CTAGGCCAACCCCAACCTCTCTCACCACCAAAGGAACACAAGTGAACAGCACAGAACCTGCCCAAGCAACTCTGACACCAAACCCCACATAAAGCAAAATAGAATCATCACCACCCGACCCCCACCCACCCACCTTCCCCCCCTTCTTCCAAATGTCTCAAGAAATGAAACTGATCTGTAAAAAATGTTACTTGGAGAGAGAAAGAGAGAGAGAGACATTGCACATACATTTGTAAACTAAGAAAATCTTTCATAAAAATACATTTTAAAAAATGAAATTCTGCTCTGAGTGAAGAAGCATCTGAAAGTCCAGACTGCAAAGCAGGAGGGAGAGATGCAGTCCCTGAGGGGGCCCCAGGCCCCTCGCCAGCTGCCCCTTCTGCCAGGGACTCCACCCTGCAGAGTTTCTTCAGATCTCCCGCTGAGTCTGCCCCTCTCTTGCCCTGCCAGCGCTGTGATGTCATCCGCCCGCCTTTGCTTCTGGCCTCCGGGGGCAGGGAGTGGCTCTCCAGCCTGGCACTGGGGCAGCCTTTGCTCCTCCCCAGTGACGTCTGCGATGCCAACAGGGACTGCGGTTGTGGAGGGGAGAGATTGAGCAGAAGGGGCCCGGAAGGCAGAGGGTGGCGGCACGTGGTGGGGCAAACTCAACACCAGTCACAGAAATGGGCGTTGATTCTTCTTCTCCCCCCACAGGGATTCCCACAATGCCTTGCTCCATCAGTGGGGCAGAAGGGGGGGAGCAGTGCCGGATTTATGTATACAGTGGACGCTCGGGTTACGAACGTGATCCATGTTGGAGGTACGTTCGCAATCTGCAGCATTTGCAACCCGTGTCTGCGCATGTGCGGGTTGCAATTCAGTGCTTCTGTGCATGTGCAAAGTGTGATTTTTGTGCTTCTGCGCATGCGTGAGCTCCGAAACCTGGAAGTAACCAGTTCCGGTACTTCAGGGTTCAGCGCGGTGCGCCACCCGAAAACGAGCAACCTGAAGCGTCTGTAACCTGAGGTATGACTGTAGAGGATCAGGCTAATGCAAATTGAAAGCCAGGCGGAATAGTTCTGTCTCACAGGCCCGGCGGAAGGAGATCAAGTCCTGCAGGGCCCTAGTCTCGTGGGTCAGAGCCGGGTTAAAATGGCGCTGGAATTAGGAGACTCGGTTAAAGTATGGATTTTCTAGGAATTCATAAAGCTAGGTACAGTCATACTTCGGGTTGAAGTAGCTTCGGGATAAGTCTATCTTTCGCTCTTCACAGAGCTCTTTTGGTGCCTGCAGATTGCCCACAGGCAGAGAGAGGCCTTGGGGATCCGGGAAGGTGGCAGTGGGAAGGGATCCTTGGAGGGATCCAGAACTACCGGTACCTGTAGAAGGCAGGAGGCCAGGCTGCAGGTTGGCAGCTGGACCTCACCCCGAGGGAAAATAAAGTTTTCTTCTCGTTCTAGTTACAGGTCGGTAGCCGTGTTGGTGTGCCGTAATCGAAACAAAACAAAAAAAATTCCTTCCAGTAGCACCTTAGAGACCAACTCAGTTTGTTATCGGTATGAGCTTTTGTGTGCATGCACAAAATATCTGAAGAAGGTATCTGAAGAAAGTATTTGAAGAAGTGTGCATGCACACGAAAGCTCATACCGATAACATGCCTGTCATAAGAGCATAAGATCTCTGCTGGATCAGATCAGTGGGGGCCCATCTAGGCATACTGTAGAATCATAGAGTTGGAAGGGACCTCAAGAGTAATCTAGTCCAAAACCAGTGCTTTTTCTGTTATGTGCTGAGTTGAATAGGATCCAAAATGCAGCAGTCTGATTGGTCCTAGAATAGGATCCAGAATGCAGCAGTCTGATTGGTCCACAGGAGCCACCCAATCCCGCTCCAGGTGGAAGTGAATCCGCAACCTGATTGGCCTACAGGAGAATCCCGGAATTAGCCAATCACGTGGGGCCCATTGTGTAAATAATGTATATAAAGCAGATATTCTGGAGGAACATTCATTCCTCCTCAACACTATGAGCTGAATAAAGAGCATGAAATCCACTCTTCACTCTGAGTAGATTTCATTTTCCCTAGGAAAATCAATGCCAGTACTCACCTTGAAGTTGTTACAGTAAATGTCACACTGTTTAACTCTCCCCCCTAAAAAAAGAGGGGCTGCTACTGCGTACCCTCGAGTACCCCCAGAAAAACAGCACTGCCACCCCCCTGCAAGGCAGGAATCGCTGCTAAAACATCCATGACAGATGACCACCCAACCTCTGCTTAAAGACCTCTAAGCATGGAGAGTCCGCAACCTCCCGAGGGAAACTGTTCCAGCCTCCTGTTCTCACAGTGTCCCACCAGATGCCCATTATGGGAAACCCGCAAGCAGGATTCGAACACAGGAGCGCTCTCCCATCTTGTGGCTTCCAGTAACTGCTGTTCAGAAGAATTGCTGCCTCCAGCTGCGGAGGCAGAGCGGAGCCCTCGTAGCCAGTAGCCATCACAGAATTATAGAATTTCTGTGTTGGAAGGGTGTCCCAGAGGTCATCTAGTCCAACCCCCTGCAATGCAGGCCTCTCCTCCATGAATTTGCCTGAGGGGAGAGACTTCATCAGGCAAGGCCTCCTTCCACCTGCCTTGCTCCCCCCTCTAGTCTCTGCTTCTCGATTTGTATTGTGTTATTTGATGTACTGGGGCTTGCCGTTGTGTTATTTATTGTAGTTTATAAATTATTTATTGTAACTGTTATGAGTGAATCTCTGTTTAACTTTTATATGCTGATATTATTATTTTATGTTATTCTAATGATTGTTGAATGTTTCTTTTTTTATGTAGGTTGCTTAAAGTTATGTTTTATTATCAAATTTTTGTATTGCATTAGATGGTTATAAGATGTACATTTTTTGTTTCTTCAGCTTGTAAACCGCCTTGAGTATTGTAAGATAGAAAGACGGTATACAAATAAAAAATGATGATGATGATGATGCCAAATTGGTGGCCGTCATTGCCTGTGGTGGCAGAGAGTTCCATAGTCTTACTATGTGAAGAAGTCCTTTCTTTTATCGGCCTTCCGTCACGGATGCTTTAGCTGAGATTCCTGCATTGCAGCAGGTTGGTCTAGATGACTCTAGGGGTCCCTTCTGACTCTACAAATCCTATAATTCTATGATTCCTGAATCTGTCTGCAGTTCTAGTATTGGGGGGGGGGGGGGAGAGAGAGCTGTTCTCTTTCCACTTTCTCCATGTCTGGCATCATTTTATAAACTTATGTCGTGTCACCTCTCAGATTTTCTCTAAACTAAAAAGGACCAAACACCGTAAGTTTTCCTCCTAGGGGAATGGCTCCATTCCCTGGATCATTTTAGCTGCCCTTTTTGGAACATTTTTAACTCTGCAATATCCTTTCTGAGCCGAGGCAAAAATAAATAAGCACTATGCAGCTAATATCAGAGAAGAGGCCTGCCATTTCTGTGTGGTGCTTAGTATATAAATGTCTAAGATAGGGTAAAATGGATTTCTGACAAGTGAGGTGACTGAGAAATTTGTTCCCAAGTCTGCCCCTCTCACCTGCCATCCTGGTGACGTTGGGACCCTCAACAATTTCTCTCTCTGGGCTGCCACCTTTTGCTCTGGGGAAGAAGTCACACACACACACACACCGAGGAAGTGTTGTACAGTGGTTAGAGTCCGTGATCTGGGAGAGAGACCAGGGTGCAAATCCCCCACTTGGCCACGAAGCTCACTGGGTTGACCTTGGGGGCCAGTCACTCACTCTCTGCCTGACCTATCCTGCAGGGTTGTTGAGAGAATTAGGTGACGGCAGGGAAAACTCATGTCTGCCAACTCGAGCTCCTTCCTTGGCCGCCGGGACCACATAACACCAGTCCTGAGAGATCTGCATTGGCTCCCAGTACGTGTCTGAGCACAATTCAAAGTGTTGGTGCTGACCTTGAAAGCCCTCAACTGTCCAGTATATTTGAAGGAGCATCTCCACCCCCATCGTCCAGCCTGGACACTGAGGTCCAGCGCCGAGGGCCTTCTGGTGGTTCCCTCACTGCGAGAAGCCAAGTTACAGGGAACCAGGCAGAAGGCCTTCTTGGTAGTGGTGCCTGCCCTGTGGAACGCCCTCCCTACAAATGTGAAGGAAATAAGCAGCTATCTTATCTTTAGAAGACATCTGAAGGCAGCCCTGTTTAGGGAAGTTTTTAATATTTAATGCTGTATTGTTTTTAACACTCAATTGGGAGCTGCCCAGAGTGGCTGGGGAAACTGAGCCAGATGGGCGGGGTGTAAATTATTATTATTATTATTATTATTATTAAAGTGGAATATACAGGCAATAAATAAAGCAATAAATAAATAACAAACCAGGAGTCTGGAAATCTGATTGCCACCCCAGCATAGTGAATCCAGCCCAAGGAAAGAAGCCTCCTCAAGTCAAGGCTGGGAAGATATTTTTCCTTAATTATTGCACTGGGAGCCCATTGCCCTGGTTTGATGAGCAATGGGAAGATGCACATGTATTTTGTGTATTTTTGGTCTTTGTTGGAAGCCGCCCAGAGTGGCTGGGGGCTGTGGAAACCCAGCCAGATGGGCGGGGTACAAATAATAAATTATTATTATTATTATTATTATTATTATTATTATTTAAACAAAAGGAGTTGTTTGCACGGGCTTAGTTCTGCCTGCACCTCATCTTGCCCTCTGATCCTTCCTCGGACACCTGCTCCGTATGCAGAACGCCCCTGGGCTCGCTCCTCCCGGGATCCGCCGCCGCCGATGGCGCATCTCACTACGACTCCCAGCGGCCCGCCAGATGTGCCGCACTACAACTCCCATCGGCCCCGGGACCTCGCCATCTCCGACCCACCCAGCCACCCCACCCACCCACCGCGAGCTGGGCGCCAGCTGCTGCCCAGGACCGGCTGGCCCCGTCCGCTTTCTGCGCAGCCCAGCGATGCCCTGCCTGCCTGCCGCGCCCCGGGCGCGCAAAAGAAGGAGAAGCAGCAGAGGCGCGCCGGGGCCGGATGGGGGAGCCCCGGGGGCCGGCGCTGCGCGAGGCGGAGCAGGCAGGTGAGCCGGCCCAGCGGGGCGGGGAGGAGCCGCCGGGGAGGCCGGGAGGGGCGAGGCCGAAGCTGCTCCGGCGGGCAGGTGCGCGGATCGGGGCGCGCAGCTGGCGACGCGCCTCCCTCGCCATCCTCGGCTCTTCTTGCAAGCGGCGCCTCGCCATCCTGCAACTCTTCTTCCCCGCAGTCTCCGGCTCGGACGCCCCCCCTCCCCACCCGGGGTGCTCTTTTCTCCAGTGGGGCGCCGATCTAAGCTCCCCTCCCCAAAAAAACCCCAGCTCTCATTGGAGACACATCCAGGGATCTAGCAGCGTCGGTTTTCAGCTGCCCCACCCGCCTTGCGCGCCAGCTGCGGGCGCTTTTCTTCCAGGAGGGGCAGAATAAAAGGGGGCTGGATCCTACCCGCCCCAGAGCGCGCCCTTCTCCCTCCATCTGAGCCAGGTAAGGAGAAAATAAAAGACCCTCTTTCTCCCCGCCGGACTTTTGTTCTGAAGCTTGCTGCTCCTCCCACTGTTGACGGTTTGTGGGTTTTAAAAAAATATATCATTTTTTCTTGTTGTTTACGCTGAAGTACCCGAGGCGCTGCAAGGCGATTTCGTGAATACAAGGGGGAAAGTAGGCTGGGAAGCGCCTCCTGATCTGGCAAGACTTGAGCGCCGCTCGTCAGAAGTCAGCGCCCCTTCGTTCCTTGCAGCTAATTCCCAGGGAATTAGTTCCTCGCAGCTAATTCCCACCTTTAGTTCTGCCATTTTAGCTTGTTTTAAACTGTTTTCTTTATCATGTTAGGGTTGTGGTTGTTGTAACCCAGCCCAGGGACCTTGTTGTAAAGGATGGGTGGGTGTGTAAATAAATTGGAATCAATAATAAAAATAAAATGTTGTTTTTGAAAGTGTGCCGAGGTGGGTCTCGAACCTCCGGCTGGAAGTCAGCAACTTCCAGGAGGCCCTCGGATGCTTCGGACTACAGTTCCCGTCTGGAGCTGGTGGGAGTTGTAGTCTGAAATGTCGGAGTGGGGGTGTGCCAGGTTGGGGGAGGCTGTTGTAAAGCTTGAGGTAATCATCCCTGCATTTCCATGCTATCCCCAGTCCCTGGCCGGGGCAGACATATTGCTTGCAAACTGAGCCCATCCCATTGCACAAGCAATCCAGGAGGATGCTGGGTGTGTGTGTGTGTGATATTTCAAAGCGAGTTGACAGGTAGGAGTGGCTCACTCAGAGTCTTGGACCATGCACAGGCGACGCTGCGCTGCACACAATCCATGCGCCAGATCCTGGCCTTCTCTTTGCACATTGCAAGCCGGCCTGCGTGCATCCTTCTCGGTACTTGGAGCTGAGCGACCCCTGGCTCCCTGGGTGCAATGTGTGTAAAGGGACCCCTGACCGTTAGGTCTAGTCACGGGTGACTCTGGGGTTGCGGCGCTCATCTCGCTTTATTGGCCGAGGGAGCCGGCGTACAGCTTCCAGGTCATGTGGCCAGCATGACTAAGGCACTTCTGGCGAACCAGAGCAGCACACGGAAAAGCCATTTACCTTCCCGCCAGAGCAGTACCTATTTATCTACTGTGGTACCTCTGGCTATATACACTTCAGGTTACATACGCTTCAGGTTCCAGACTCTGCTAACCCAGAAATAGTACCTCAGGTTAAGAACTTTGCTTCAGGATGAGAACAGAAATCGCGTGGCGTCGCGGGGATTCGAACCGCCGACCTTCTGATTGGCAAGCCCTAGGCTCTGTGTTTTAACCCACAGCGCCACCCGCTCTGCAAAACTTCGTGAAACTGATGGACCCAGATGGGCTGGCATTCATCGTTTGTCTTATTCAGGATGGAGGGATAGGAGAGTCACTTTTTGCCCTTCTTCAGGAAAGGCCCCCTATTGGGTTGCCTAGAAAAGCTTCCGAGTCGCCCCAGGCGAGTGTGCATTCTAAACCAGAAAGGGCCTGGCTGCTTTTGGGCTTCCCAGGAAGGTGGGGTTGGGTGCTTTCCAGACACAGGATGCTGGCCTGAAAAGGCCTTTGGTCCTACCCAACAGGCCTCTGCTTCTCCTTTCCGGGTAGAACAACACCTAGAAAACTGTTGGGGTTGAATCGACGTCACAGCTGCAAGCAGATTGCCGTTGTCCTGCTGGATGCAGCAGCCTTTTCCAACCCTGGCTCCCCCAGGTGCTGTTGGACTACAACTCCCATCATCCTTGACGATTGCCATGCTGGATGGGAATGATGGGAGTTGTAGTCTAGCAACCTCTGGGGACCCAAGGATGGGAAAAGCTGGTGTAGCAGTTGGGGCAGAGTCGCAGAGCCTAGTTCCGATGGAAAGGAGAGGTGTGTCTGTGGACTGGAGCTCTCCCAAGTCTTCCAGTTAGTGTCCGGCCCAATTTAAAGTGCCAGTGCTGACCGATGAAGCCTTTCACAGCTCAGGACCTCAATACCTTAAGAACTGCCTCTCCTCATACAAATTGACCAGGGCCTTGCAATCATCATCTGAGGTCCTTCATGAGAAGTTCGGAGGGCGGCAACACAAAAGCGGGGCCTTATCAGTGGTGGCTCCCTGTCTGTGGAAGTCTCTCCCCAGAGAGGCTTGCTTGGAGCCTTCATTACGTGTCTTCAGGCGCCAGGCGAAAGCAGTCCTCTTTACCCAGGGGTCTTCAGCCGTTAAATAATCTATGGCCTGTTAAAACTGGGGTGGGGGGCTGTTATGACGATTATTTTGTTACTGGGCCGCATAAATGATGTTCTTAATGTTGCACACATTAACTCAGCCTTCCCCAACCAGGTTTGCTGGTTGCCTCGTTTCAAAAAGGGCATTATATGGTTAGAAAAGGGCAACCAAAATAGGGGCCACTCCTCTGTGAAGAACGGTTGCAACATTTTGGACTGTTTAGTTTAGAGAAAAGGCGAGTAAGGAAGCAACATGATGGAAGCTTATAAGATAAGGCACGGCATAGAGAAATTGCCTAGAGAAAGGTTATCCTCCTCCCTCACGACTCGTGGGCAGCCAGGGAAGTTGACTGAAGATTCAGGATGGAGAAAACAAAGTCCTTCTTCATGCACTGCCTAGTTAGCCTATGGAACTCCCTCCCACTGGAGGCACGGATGGCCGCCAACTTGGATGGCTTTGAAAAAGAATTTGACAGATTAATGGAGGAGGATAGGGCTATTGATGCCTATTAGCTCTGCTCTCCCCAGTTGGAGGCAGCAAAACGTCTCAAAACCAGAAGGAGAGGGCTCTGTGTTCGAATCCTGATTGCAGGTTTCCCATAATGGGCGTCTGGTCGGCTACTTTGAAAGAGGATGCTGGACCAGATGGTTCCCTCTTTGGCCTGATCCAGCAACCTCCTCTTATGTTCTGTTGTAGTCGAAAACATCTGGAAGATCCCTAGGTGGGAAAGGCTGCCCTGAGTCAATGATCTGGCGTGTTTTCTCGCCTTCTTAAGCACTCACTTCGTGTTTTTTGCATGGAGGCAGAGAACTCTCTGCCAGCAAACGCGTCTCGGCTTGTTCTGGCGGGCGCGTCCGCTGGCGGGACCTGTTCTGGCGAGAGCCGAGGTGGCGAAGGGAAGCTGGCGGGGCGAAACCTTCCCAAGAGGTGAGAAGGGAGCCGGCCAAACCGTCTCCCGTGGGGGTCCGCCAAACCTCGGACTAAGCTCAGCTTGTCCGCTGCAGTTTATCTCCTGTCTGGCTGGTGAGATCACCAACCTTTTTTCGGGTGGGGTTTTTACTTTGTATTGCTAAATCCCAAACTTAGAGCAAACTTGCATCCAGTGCCAGAAAATATTGCAGGTGTTAATTTTCCTCCCCATAACATTTCTGAATTTGGGTTCTTTTAATAAAAAGCATTGGAAAAATCTGATTCCCAGCTCCCAGTTAGTCCTTTAGAATTTTAGAGTTTTATTTGGTAGCGTATATTTTTTAACCGAAAACATATATTGATAATTTTTAGCTTAATTTGCTTGTTAGCATTCGATCTTATAATAAGGATGAACATTTTATATTCCAATGTGCAAACTGTTTAAGGGATGATTTATGCAACATATAAATCCTGTCGAATAAAAATAAAATAAGCGATGGATTCTGGCTTAGTGGATCGAGAGCAAAAAGAGAGTAGGGCTTGGAACTGGCCCTGAAATAATGATAATTTTATTACTGCCCTTCGGCTTGGAATCAACTTGATCCCCTTCCCCTCTTTCCTTTTTCCTTTCTCCTTCTGTGATGGAACTCCTATTTGGGGACTTCCCTGGCTTTTTTCTGGCCCACGTAGGACCAGTCCGGATAGTTGGCCTTGGTGAAGATTTGACGTTTTCATCCCCAAAAAAGTTTTTGATTTGAGTTTCTACTGAAATGAGGCTGCATTTTAACGTTGTAGTTTAATCTTGTTTTTAAGTTGTATTTTAATCAATTGTTTTTATAACTGGTGTTGCCGCCCTTAGCTCTGTCTTGAATGGGGAGGGCAGGGTATAAATAAAATTTATTATGATTACAGTGGTTAAGAACTTAATTCGTTCCGGAGGTCCGTTCTTAACCTGAAACTGTTCTTAACCTGAAGCACCACTTTAGCTAAAGGGGTCTCCTGCTGCTGCCGTGCCGCCGCCACTCGATTTCTGTTCTCGTTCTGAAGCAAAGTTCTTAATCTGAGGTACTATTTCTGGGTTAGCGGAGTCTGTAACCTGAAGTGTATATAACCTGAAGCGTATGTAACCCGAGGTACCACTGTACAGTAATGCATCAAACATTAAAAGCTTCCCTGAACAGGGCTGCCTTCAGATGTCTTCTGAATGTCTGGTAGTTTTTTATCTCTTTGACATCTGGTGGGAGGGTGTTCCACAGGGCAGGTGCCACCACCGAGAAGGTCCTCTGCCTGGTTCCCTGTAACTTGGCTTCTCGCAGTGAGGGAACCGCCAGAAGGCCCTTGGAGCTGGACCTCAGTATCCGGGTAGAACAATGGGGGTGGAGATGCTCCTTCAGATATACAGTGGTACCTCGGGTTAAGAACTTAATTCGTTCCGGAGGTCTGTTCTTAACCTGAAACTGTTCTTAACCTGAAGCACCACTTTACCTAATGGGGCCTCCAGCTGCCATCACGCCGCTGGAGCACGATTTCTGTTCTCATCCTGAAGCAAAGTTCTTAACCCGAGGTACTATTTCTGGGTTAGCGGAGTCTGTAACCTGAAGCGTATGTAACCTGAAGCGCCTGTAACCCGAGGTACCACTGTATTATTATTATTATTACTTATACCCTGCTCACCTGGCTGGGTTTCTGAGTCTGCGCAGAGTGCCAATCAGCCCTCACTGCTGGGATCGGAGGAGAAGCTACATTCTCAGAAGCCGCAACTCGGGCCTTGACCCCAGCACCTATTTTTCTCTTTCCAGAAGCTGAGCATCGCCCAAAGGGCGGAGACACCACCTTTGGGCTCCTCTTCCCCTCTCCTTCCCGGCTGACTTGACCCCGCCATGTCGGTCCTGGTGGAGATTGGCGACAACCAATCAGAGAGGATGACGGCCGACGACATCATCGTCCACACGCGGCAGGTGATGAAAGGCCTGGAGGCCCTGCGCAGCGAGAACAAGAGCATCCATCACCGGCTGCAGGAGGCTTTGCTGAGGGACAGGCAGCTACTGGACGAGAGAGAGGAGGCCGTGGAGGCAGATGCAGAGGCCGTGGACATCCAGTCGCTGGAGTTGCTGGAGGAAAAGCACGACCTCATCTATAAGAGTCTGGAAGGGATTGAGTTGGGCATTGCGGAGGCCCAGGTATGCTGCGGTGGGCTGCAGCGAAGCCATTGGCTGGGCTGCTGTGACGTCATGGAATGTCTGCCAGAGTTCCAGCTTTGGAGGGTGGCGGCAGCAGTGGCCGGATGCTCACAATTTCTGGGAAGGAACCGAAATTTGGGAGTTGTGGGGAGAACCTGACACGAGAGGGGTTTTGTGTTTTGGGAATCTGTGGGGGCAAGGCCCTCCCCCCCCAAAAAAAATATGGGGAAAGAGTTGCCCGAGAGGCAGGCTGGGGTGGTGATGCTGGGGATCGTGGCCACCTCACCTGCAAAAGGATACGGTAGAGTTGGGAAAGCTTTGGAAAAGGGCGACCAAAATGATCGAGGGAATGGAGCGATTGCAAAAGCTACAGCGTTTGAGGGTTTTCAGTTTGGAGAATAAACGAGGAAGGGGCCGTAGGATTTGTTGTTTAGTCGTGTCCGACTCTTTGTGACCCCATGGACCAGAGCACGCCAGGCACTCCTGTCTTCCACTGCCTCCCACAGTTTGGTCAAACTCATGCTGGTAGCTTTGAGAACACTGTCCAACCATCTCGTCCTCTGTCGTCCCCTTCGCCTTGCGCCCTCCATCTTTCCCAGCATTAGGGTCTTTTCCAGGGAGTTTTCTCTTCTCATGAGGTGGCCAAAGTCTTGGAGCCTTAGCTTCAGGATCTGTCCTTCCAGTGAGCACTCAGGGCTGATTTCCTTCAGAATGGAGAGGTTTGATCTTCTTGCAGTCCATGGGCCTCTCAAGAGTCTCCTCCAGCACCACAATTCAAAAGCATCAATTCTTCGGCGATCAGCCTTCTTTATGGTCCAGCTCTCACTTCCATACATCACTACTGGGAAAACCATGGCTTTAACTATACGGACCTTTGTTGGCAAGGTGATGTCTCTACTTTTTAAGATGCTGTCTAGGTTTGTCCTTGCTTTCCTCCCAAGAAGCAGGCGTCTTTTAACTTCATGACTGCTGTCACCATCTGCAGTGATCATGGAGCCCAAGAAAGTAAAATCTCTCACTGCCTCCATTTCTTCCCCTTCTATTTGCCAGGAGGTGATGGGACCAGTGGCCACGATCTCCGTTTTTTTGATATTGAGCTTCAGACCATAATTTGCACTCTCCTCTTTCACCCTCATTAAAAGGTTCTTCAATTCCTCCTCACTTTCTGCCATCAAGGTTGTGTCATCTGCATATCTGAGGTTGTTGATATTTCTTCTGGCAATCTTAATTCCGGCTAGGGATTCATCCAGCCCAGCCGTAGGACAGACAGTTGTAAAATTACGCGTGGCATGAGGAACACGGCTAGAGAAAAGTTTTTCTCTGTGTTGTAACGTAAGAGCTCGTGGACATCGGATGAAGTTGAGGTTCAGGGCTGATAAAAGCAAGGACTTCTCTCTTTTTTACACATTTTGCTGTTTTTAAGCCCACCTTCCCATCAAACTCAAGATGGTGGTACACCTGTTGTTCCACTTCTGAAACTTAATGCGATATAATTCATTGAATTCCAACACTTAAGTTTATTTGGTATATACTAAATACAACTTTTGCACATAGTTTTGAATGAGGGTGGTTTGGTTTTCTGGAGCCTTTCCCCTTTGGCCCAGGGGTTACGGAGATGTTGCCCACGGGCAGAGATTTTCCTGCAGAAGCCTTCCCTGGTACCCGTGGCATCCGCTACCCTGCCTTTCCCCGCTGCTGAAATTAGGCTCGAAAAGAGCATTCGGTTGTAGCTAATAGAAAAGGTTGCCGTAATTAGTGTGTGCAACTCTTTTGGCAACTCCTGGTGCATTGTATAACAAACAGTTTATGCTTTTGATAAAAGCAAGGACTTCTTTGTGCAGCTCATAGTTAACCTAAAGAACTCTCCCCCCACTCATAGCTGTCAAGCGTCCCTTATTTGGAGGGACAGTCCCTTATCCCAGTGCCATGTCCCACTGCTGTCCCTTATTGATGATGTCCCTTAAATTTCCTGGGTTTCAAAGGAAGCAGCTCCTCTCCCTCCCTCCCTGCTGGCCAGGGAGGAGGGAGGCTCCAACTGTGTTGCTTGGCTGCCCGGCCCGCCTCCCCTCTGGCCTCCTCTCACCAGCCTCGCCCCCCAGGAGCCCCTCCCCGCCGGGACTGGTGGGAGCCTTGGGCCCTTCCGCCACCATCCTCCTCGCGGCTGCCGAACTGTCTCTGCCTGGGGCCTCCCCTCTGCCCATCGCTGCCGCTCCCGTTAGTACTGCGGCTATGCCACCGAAGGACCCGGATGAGATGGGCAGCCTGGCATGGCCTATGAATTGCTGAGGTGCTTTGAGAGGAGAGTGAGGGCAACCATAGAGAAAGCAGTTCAGAGAGAGGAGGAGGAGGAGGAGGAGGAGGAGGAGGCAGAGGCGTGGGCAGGTGTTCCAAGGGCTACAAGGGAAGGACCGCAAGCGCTTCTCCCATAGATTTGTAGTGGTAGACTAGCATAGATGGTCTGATCTGCGGGTTTATTTCGGGTGCTATTTCCTCCCCCCTTCCTCCCGCCCCACCTGATGGAACTGAGAGCTGCAGATGGAGCACGAGAGAAAAGATACAGAACTGCAGCAGCAACTTTGTACCTTGGGCTGATTCAGCAGCCAGGCTCTCCTGATATTTTTATGGAACCTCCAGGTTCAGAGGCAGTCTATCTGGGTTCTATGGAGCATTTGGCCACTGTGAGAAAAGGATAGTGGGCTATTTGGCTTGATCCAGCCACCAGGTTCTTAAACCAGGCAGGGGGAGTTGTTGTCGTGGGGGCTGCAGAAGTTTAGAGTTTGCAAAGAGTCCACCTACAAACCCAGTTTCCTTCCTCCATCTCGCCCTGCCCCACAGATGATGGTAGCTCTGTCCTCTCACATCGGGTCGCTGGAGGCGGAGAAGCAGAAGCTGCGGGCTCAGGTCAAGCGTCTCTGCCAGGAGAATCTCTGGCTGCGGGACGAGCTGGCGCTCACCCAACTGCGCCTTCAGCACAGCGAGGAATCGGTGGCGCAGTTGGAGGAGGAAAAGAAGCACCTGGAATTCCTCAACCAGCTCAGGCAATATGACCCGAGGGATGACCAGGTACGGACAGGGGGATGTGGCAGCCATTCAGTCCCCAAAATGAGAGGTGCAGGGACGTCCGAAGCTGCCTTCTACTGAATCTGCAATGCTGGACAGAGCTCTCTAAGCATGCACAAAGTGCCTTGTCCTTACTCCCAGCAAATCCGAAACCTACCCAGGTTTAGAGGGTGAGCCACGGAGGCAAGCGGCCTCTCGGCAGCTGTCAGCCCCAGCACCTTTGAAAACTAACCAGATCCCCTCGCATATTCATTCCACCAGGCCTTCGTGAACAGGGAACCAGGCAGAGGGCCTTCTCAGTGGTGGCGCCCACCCTGGGGAACACCCTCCCACCTGATGTCAAAGAGTACAACAACTACCAGACTTTTAGAAGACATCTGAAGGCAGCCCTGTTTAGGGAAGCTTTTAATGTTTTATAGATTATTGTATTTTAATATTTTGTTGGAAGCCGCCCAGAGTGGCTGGGGAAACCCGGCCAGATGGGCAGGGTATAAATAAATTATTATTATTATTATTATTATTATTATTATTATTAATTGGAGCAGATCCTCAGACCCCACCCAAAAGGAGATGTTCGAAATGCTTGTCCTGCAAAGCTCCCCGAATCACATTTCCAATCTCCCTTGGTTTTCAGGAATGCAGTATTTTGAATATGCAGCTGCTGTATACCCAGGCCAGACCTCCTGGCCCATGTAGTAGTAGTAGTAGTAGTAGTAGTGGTAGTATTTATTTATTTATTTATTTATTTATTCCTTCCCTGCCCATCTGGCTGGGTTTCCCCAGCCACACTGGGCGGCTCCCAACAGAATTAATGGATAATAATAGTTTAAAAAGATAAAACATCAGACATTAAAAACTTCCCTGAACAGGGCTGACTTCAGGTGTCTTCTAAAAGTTTGGTAGTTATTTTTCTCTTTGACATCTGGTGGGAGGGCGTTCCACAGGGCAGGTGCCACTACCGAGAAGGCCCTCTGCCTGGTTCCCTGTAATCTCACTTCTCATAGGGAGGGAACAGCCAGAAGGCCCTCAGAGCTGGACCTCAGTGTCCAGGCTGAGCGATGGGGGTGGAGACGCTCCTTCAGGTATACTGAGCCTTTGAGGCCTTTTAGGGCTTTCAAGGTCAACACCAACACTTTGAATTTGCTCGGAAACGTACTGGGAGCCAATGTAGGTCTTTCAAGACCAGTGTTATATGGTCTCGGCGGCCGCTCCCAGTCCCCAGTCTAGCTGCTGCATTCTGGATTACTTGTAGTTTCCAGGTCACCTTCAAAGGTAGCCCCACGTAGAGCGCATTACAGTACTCCAAGTGGGAGATAACCAGAGCATGCACCACTCTGGCAAGACAGTCTGCGGGCAGGGAGGGTCTCATCCTGTGTACCAGATGGAGCTGGTAGACAGCCGCCCTGGACACAGAATGGACCTGCGCTTCCATGGACAGCTGTGAGTCCAGAATGACTCCCAGGCTGCGCACCTGGTCCTCAATTCAAAGTGTTGGTGCTGACCTTTAAAGCCCTAAACGGCCTTGGCCCAGTAAACCTGAAGGAGCGTCTCCACCCCCATCATTCTGCCCGGACGCTGAGGTCCAGCGCCGAGGGCCTTCTGGCGGTTCCCTCACTGTGAGAAGCAAAGCTACAGGGAACCAGGCAGAGGGCCTTCTCGGTGGTGGCACCCGCCCTGTGGAACGCCCTCCCACCAGATGTCAAAGCGATAAACAACTACCTGACATTCAGAAGACATCTTAAGGCAGCCCTGTTTAGGGAAGTTTTTAACGTGTGACATTTTAGTGTATTTTTGGTCTCTGTGGAAGCCGCCCAGAGTGGCTGGGGAAACCCAGCCAGATGGGTGGGGTACAAATAATAAATTATTATTATTATTATTATTATTATTATTATTTATTTCTAAGCCAGGAGATGCGGGTCTTGCCTTTACTCTCTTTGCAGGCAGAAAAAGACGACTCGGAGCAGAGGAAGAACAGCCTGTCTTCACTCTTCCCCAACGATGACGATGAGCAGAGGCAGGGTGTGTACATGGGCCGATGATGCGCGTTAACCTGCGCATGTCTTTTGAGGCTTAACCCCAACTTAGGATGAAACCAAGGCCCGTCCAGAGGTTCAGTGAGAGCTCATTTCTGGCATCAAGTCAACTTTCTGTTTCCAGTTGCACAAAAGCAGCACCTCAGGCCAGCATTACCCAACTGGGTGCCCTCCTTTTTGGGGGGGACGGGACTACAGTGGTACCTTGGTTCTCAAACGCTTTGGTACTCAAACAACTTGGAACCCAAACACTGCAAACCAGACAGCAGGTGTTCTGGTTTGCGAACTTTTTCCGGAAGCCAAACATTCTCCGATTTGAGTGTTACGCTTCCAATTTGAGTGCCATACTTCCATTTTGAGTGTTACGCTGAGGTCCGTCTGCTTTTGCTATTTATTTTGCATTTTTGTTTTTGCGGCTCTTTTTGTTTTGTTTTTGCGGCGGTGAGGAACCCTGTTCAGCTACCGATTGATTGATTGTGTGGTTGCAGTACATTGTTTATTGCTTTCATTTTATGGATCAGTGGTCTTATTAGATCAGGCTTCCTCAAACTCGGCCTTCCAGATGTTTTGAGACTACAAATCCCATCACCCCTGACCACTGGCCCTGCTAGCTAGGGATCATGGGAGTTGTAGGCCAAAAACATCTGGAAGGGGCGAGTTTGAGGAAGCCTGTGTTAGATAGCAAAATTCATGTTAGATTGCTGCTTTAAAAGTCTGGAACAGATTAATCCCTTTTGCATTACTTTCTATGGGAAAGCACACCTTGGTTTTGGAACGGACCTCTGGAACAGATTAAGTTTGAGAACCAAGGGACCACTGTACAACTTCCATGACAGCGTACAGTCATGCTGGTTGGAGCGGATGGGAGTTATAGTCCAGGGGAGGTTGCCTTGGAGAGACTTACTGTGGCCAGAATTTCAGAGGAAGGGCTCCATTGAATGCAGGCCGGGTGCGTGGAAGGTGATGGGTGCTTCACCTGTGCACCTGTTGGAGTATGGCTGAGGTTAACAAGGGAACAATGGGAGAAAGAGGATGGATGCATGCAGACATTTTTATCCCACTTTGCTGAGTGAGAAACATGGAATGGAAAGGAATAAATATTTTACTAAAGTATCTTAGCATGCCTACTTCTCCAGCTGCTCAACCAGAGAATATTGAGAAACAAAGCAGCTCGTAAGCCTGATCTTTATTGATCTGTTGCAACAGGGTGCTCCCCTCACACGCAGGAACAGAGGAGGACCCAGAACCTAGGTGTGCCCGCCCTTATATAGACATTTTAAATTGCCTGCCTTGGAGTCCAAGACCACCCCCCTACATCACAGAAGGGGTGTAGCTCAAGACCACCCCCCAGATACATCATACCTACATCACAGAAAGGGCGATCTACAGCAGAAATCTGAGTGCATTGTTTATCTCCTGTCTGGCAGGTTACCTGTTAATGCTTACTTGATTGGATACCCTGGGGTGCCTGGCCAGTCTTTTGTAACAATAAATACTTAGTTCCTGAGCCAGGTCACATGCTCACCCTATTCATACACAGACATACCCTTAAGACAAGATTTGTGAAGGAAAAGACAATGGGGAGGCTTTTCCATTTTCCTATGACCTTACAGAGAAAACATTTGGTCAGTTTGGGAGTCAAAATGGTTTTCAGGGCTATTTTACTTTGCTGCTTCAGACATGCGGTTTATATATTTATGTACGTGTTTGCTTGGTACATTTATGAACATTTATTATATATACATAAGACCTTAATTTTTTTTATTTCACGGCCATCACTTGCCTCCTGAAGGAGGGAGTTCCACAGTTTAATTCTGTTCTGAGTGAAAACTAGGGCTAATACGCCCAGGAACCTCACCAAAATGCTGGAGAGGGTGCACCTCCACAGGCACATACCTCCACATGTGGTGGGAGTGCCCCAAAATCCAACTATTCTGGACAACAGCCATACGAGAAATATGTAAAACAACTAAGCAAGTACAGTGGTGCCTCGCAAGACGAAATTAATCCGTTCCGCGAATCTCTTCGTCTTGCGGTTTTTTCGTCTTGCGAAGCACGGCTATTAGCAGCTTAGCGGCTTTAAGAAAAAGGAAACAAACTCGCAAGAACTCGCAAGACGTTTCGTCTTGCGAAGCAAGCCCATAGGGAAATTCGTCTTGCGGAACGACTCAAAAAACGCAAAACCCTTTCGTCTATCGAGTTTTTCGTCTTGCGAGGCATTCGTCTTGCGGGTCACCACTGTATTAGAAATCACCCCAGAATTGGCCCTACTAAACATCTTCCAAGACAACAATGCCCATTTACACCACAAAGAACTCATAACCCACCTACTTTCTGCAGCCAGAAACACCATAACCAGACACTGGAGAGACCTGTCAGGAGTAAGCATGGAACAATGGTACCAAGTAGTATGGGAAACAGCCTTACTAGAAAAACTAACCTTTAACATTTATTATATACTGTATAAGGTAAAGGTAAAGGGACCCCTGACCATTAGGGCCAGTCGTGACCGACTCTGGGGTTGCGGCGCTCATGTCCCTTTATTGGCCGAGGGAGCCGGCGTACAGCTTCCGGGTCATGTGGCCAGCATAACTAAGCCGCTTCTGGCGAACCAGAGCAGCGCACGGAAACGCCGTTTACTTTCCCGCCAGAGCGGTACCTATTTATCTACTTGCACTTTGACGTGCTTTTGAACTGCTAGGTTGGCAGGAGCAGGGATCGAGCAACGGGAGCTCACCCCGTCGCGGGGATTCGAACCGCCGACCTTCTGATCGGCAAGTCCTAGGCTCTGTGGTTTAACCCACAGCCCCACCCGTGTCCCTTATATACTGTATATAAGACCTTATTTTTTTTTTATTTCAATGCCAATTTACATGGTTTTAAGAGAAAGCGAGACAAATTCATGGAGGAGGAGAGAGCTGCCGATGGATACTAGCTGTGCCTTGTCTCCAAAGTTGGTTGCAGTAATGATTCTGAATCCTTCTTGCTGGAAACCGAAGAAGGGGAGAGTTGCTCTTGTGCTTGAATTCTGCTTTGCTGGTTTCGCACAGGCAGCTGGTTGGCCACTGCGAAGGCAGGATGCTGGATTAGACGGGCCCTTGGCCTGATCCAGTACCCTCTTCTTGGGTTCGTTCTTATTTCCCTTCCCTGGTGTGGTGACCCCGCGGTCAGAGATAGAATGTCTTGGGAAAGTAGAATTAAGTGATTGGTTAGTAACCTAAAACTCCCACTGGTCTTCTTTCTGGTAGCTAGGCAGGAGGGCCAGTTTTCGGCTGGGTTACATGGTTGCGTTTAACCTTCACCCCACCCAAGTGAAGGCCACATTCTAACCCAGTGGGTGGTTTCTCCTGCTTGTGGGGTTCTGTGGGGTGACCTGGGGGCAGCACTAATAGGCAAAGGGAGGGCGCTTGGAGGTGCGAACAAGTATCCGGACTTTGAAAACCTGGCATCACAGGATCAAATCAATCAGTTTTGTTGAACTAATAAAACTCAATAGTTTTAACTGGGTTTTGAACAAACGTGCAATTAATTAATTATTCCCCATTATAATTTTATTGGGCCGTGGGTGGCGCTGTGGGTTAAACCTTGCCGATAAGAAGGTCGGCGGTTCGAATCCCCATGACGGGGTGAGCTCCCGTTGCTCGGTCCCTGCTCCTGCCAACCTAGCAGTTCGAAAGCACGTCAGCGTGCAAGTAGATAAATAGGTACCGCTCCAGCGGGAAGGTAAACGGCGTTTCCGTGCGCTGCTCTGGTTCGCCAGAAGCGGCTTAGTCCTGCTGGCCACATGACCCGGAATCTGTACACCGGTTCCCTCGGCCAGTAAAGCGAGATGAGCGCCGCAACCCCAGAGTCGTCTACGACTGGACCTAATGGTCAGGGGTCCCTTTACCTTTACCTTATAATTTTATTGTGACATTATCTTCCTTAGCGGGTTGTGCAAACTGCTATTCTGAATAACGCTGAGTTTCTGGGACCGAGGGGACAGTGGCTCTCAAAAGTTTGGGAAGCAATGTTCTTCTTTTTGTTAAATCATTTGTATTAATTTTCCAATAAAAAACATCCAATTAACATATCAAATCATAATCCAATAAAAAACTAAAATAAAAAAAGGTTGAATGATCTTCCAAATTGCAATTATTAATTTTTCGGGCTTCCCAGAGTCTGGACCTTGAAGCATAACTCCAAATCTCAATCCTGGCGCCCGTCGTCGTTTCCATATTTCCACATTAGAAGCCCTGTTCTAACCCCCCTACGTTTTCGGATGGGTTCTGGGTTCAGGAATCTTCTCCTGCAATGGGCCCGACTTACCTGTCTCTCTTGTCTGCGGCAGGAGGGAGCCCGAGCGCAGCCGCCTCGGCCGCTCAGCAAGGGGGCTACGAGATCCCGGCGCGGCTGCGGACCCTCCACAACCTGGTGATCCAGTATGCCTCCCAGGGGCGCTACGAAGTGGCCGTCCCCCTCTGCAAACAGGCGCTGGAAGACCTAGAGAAGAGCTCTGGACACAGCCACCCAGATGTGGCCACCATGCTGAACATCTTAGCCTTGGTTTATAGGTAAGGGGGGTGGCAGGGGGCGTGTTGTGTGGGAAAGGGTCCCGGGCTGCTGAGAAGAGCCTTGGAAAGAGAAGACTTAGAGCTGTGATTCCTGCATGGCATGGGGTTGGGCTAGATGGCCTTTGGGTGCCCCTGCCTACTCCCCAATTCTATAAGCATCCTCTGCAGAAACCTGAGGTTGCAACTTTTAGAGATGTCCTGCCGTGTTTGGCCGAGTCCTGCTGGCCAGCTCCTTCAGCACGTGTGGCTGAGGCACCGATGCTTTTCATATGACATATATAGAATAATAATAATAATTTTTTATTTAAGCCCCGCCCTTCCCGGTTTAAAAACCCGGCTCAGGGCAGCTAACAGCAAATATAAAACATTGGTTAAAATGCGACTTTAAAACAGCATAAAAGACAACATAAAATGCAACATCAATATCAATAAAATTCTAAAATTCAGGGATCATTTTTTTGGGGGGGGGGACCCCAGTCAGTACACATTGAATGATCACCAGGGCTAACTGGACAAGTTGGTCCTACTAAGGCCAGCAAGGAGACCAGGGAAGAATTTAAATATGGAGTCCCAGAAAGGGTTTCTTCGTAGAAGAAGAAGGGGGAAAGGGAATAGAGAATCAGGCTAATTCAAATTGAAGGCCATCTCTCTCTCTCTGTGTGTGTCTATCTATCTATCTATCTATCTATCTATCTATCTCTCTATAACTAAATTTTCTATTTTACAATTTAAAGTCCTCATTTATACATCCTTATCAACGACTTCCCTTCTTCTCTTTCCATGGTTCACGTTACATATAATAAATCCCTGCATAGTTTACAAAAACTATACCGTTCAGTACTCCATTATTGCATCCATCAAAACTTATTTACACTGTTGAATTTATCTCAACGCTGCCAGCATTCTCAGCTGTACGCTGTTATTTCTCATATATTCAGTAAACATTTTCCAATCGTCTTTTTTCTTTTTTTGTACCGACTTCTTCCGCCGCAGGGACCAGAACAAGTACAAGGAGGCCACAGAGCTGCTGAACGATGCCCTTGATATCCGGGAGCAAACTCTGGGTGTGGAGCACCCTGCCGTGAGTGTCCATCTGGGGCTCGGTGGAGGGTGATGCTGCTTGGGTCCTGTTAAGGCTTCTCTTCCTTGTGTCTTCTCCTCTGGGAGTATTTGGATGGGTGGGGGCAGAGATCATTTGTGCTGGTCCCGTGGGTTAATGGAGAAGCGAGGTCCAAGTCCAGTCTGAGGTCATAGAATCATAGAATCATAGAATCATAGAGTTGGAAGAGACCACAAGGGCCATCGAGTCCAACCCCCTGCCAAGCAGGAAACACCATCAGAGCACTCCTGACATATGGTTGTCAAGCCTCTGCTTAAAGACCTCCAAAGAAGGAGACTCCACCACACTCCCTGGCAGCAAATTCCACTGTCGAACAGCTCTTAATGTCAGGTCGAAGGTGCAATATGGAGGCAGTCCGTAAAAGCTGAAGCAGGGTGCAGGGCAGGGAGTCAGGTGAGGTCAGGGACGCAGGACAGGGTTCAGGCAGGAACAGGCTACCTACAATGTTGCTCCCGCAACTTGGGACTGGGGCTGGCCGGCTTTTATCTGCCCCGAGGCATAGGGCGGCCCCAGTCCACAGGTGACTCGCCTCTCCTGGCCTGGAGACGAGCACTCCTCCTGCGGGAACTTAGTTCCCTCCTCCTCTCTGCCCTGAGCCTCTGCAGCTCAGGAGAGGCTGGAGGGTTACCGGACCCAGAGGCAACCTCAGCTTCCTCTGACGGGGTTGAGAGTGGAGGACCTGAGGGCAATGGGTCCTCCATCACCTCAGGAGCCAGAGCAGACTCAGTTGGTGCCTGCACCTGAGGATCCAGCACAGGTGAGGACCCTTCAGGCTCAGGCCCCAGCCCCGGCTCAGCTGGTTCTGGAGGCGGGGACTCCTGTGCAGGCTGGGATGCCTCAGGTTCAGCATCCGAGTCCGAATCCCAGGCCATCACACCATTTTTCTTGGGAGGAGCAGGTCACTCTCTTAGGAAAAATACAACTCTTCTGGACGTCCTTGGAAGTTTTGAAGAGTTGTTTGTGCTCCCCAAGATTTGTTGTTGTTTAGTCGTGTCCGCCTCTTCGTGCCCCCTGGACCAGAGCACGCCAGGCACCCCTGTCTTCCACTGCCTCCCGCAGTTTGGTCAAACTCATGCTGGTAGCTTCAAGAACACTGTCCCACCATCTCGTCCTCTGTCGTCCCCTTCTCCTTGTGCCCTCCATCTTCCCCAACATCAGGGTCTTTTCCAGGGAGTCTTCTCTTCTCAGGAGGTGGCCAAAGTCTTGGAGCCTCAGCTTCAGGATCTGGCCTTCCAGTGAGCACTCAGGGCTGGTTTCCTTCAGAATGGAGAGGTTTGATCTTCTTGCAGTCCATGGGACTCTCAAGAGTCTCCTCCAGCACCAGAATTCAAAAGCATCAACTCTTCGGTGATCAGCCTTCTTTATGGTCCAAGCTCCCAAAGATGCAGTGTTTAAAAGGTGCTAGGCCTTCGAGGGGGGGCAGTGAGGAGAGCTTGGCTGATGCCCCTCCCCAAATGGTGCAGTTAGTGCCAGACGCTGCAGCACAATTGCTGACAGCATTGAGGAATCGTCTGCATGGAAGTCCTGCGCTCAGAGGTCTGCTCAGAGGATGCTGATTTGGTACCTGCCCAAGTTCAGGGTGTTGCTATTAGTACAGTGGTACCTCAGGTTACAAGGGACGCGGGTGGCGCTGTGGGTTAAATCACAGAGCCTAGCGCTTGCCGATTGGAAGGTCGGCGGTTCGAATCTCCGCGACGGGGTGAGCTCCTGTTGCTCGGTTCCTGCTCCTGCCAACCTAGCAGTTCAAAAGCATGTCAAAGTGCAAGTAGATAAATAGGTACCGCTCTGGCAGGAAGGTAAACGGTGTTTCCGTGCGCTGCTCTGGTTCGCCAGAGCGGCTTAGTCATGCTGGCCACATGACCCTGAACCTGTACGTCGGCTCCCTTGGCCAATAAAGCGAGATGAGCGCTGCAACCCCAGAGTCGGTCGCGACTGGACCCTTTACCTTTACCTTTACCTCAGGTTGCATATGCTTAGGTTACAGACTCCGCTAACCCAGAAATAGTACCTCAGGTTAAGAACTTTGCTTCAGGATGAGAACAGAAATTGCGCAGCCGTAGCGGGAGGCCCCATTAGCTAAAGTGGTACCTCAGGTTAAGAACAGTTTCAGGTTAATAATGAACCTCCGGAATGAATTAAGTTCTTAACCCGAGGTACCCCTGTACTGTTATTTTTATTTTGATTCTGCATTTTGCGGTTTTATATTTTGATTTTATTCTGTGAACCACCCTGATACCTCCTGTATATACCGTGGTACCAGAAAAAAAATAATAACAATAAGATTCTGTGTATAAAATAACAAAATGAGATACAGTACAATGCGAATAATCAGAAGTTTATTTTATTTTATTTAATCCATCCTTTATCTTTTATTTTCTTCTTTTCTCTCTCTATTTTTTCTTTTCTTCTTTTTCTACGTAAAGTATGTCCGTGTAGAAAATGTAACATGGTGTATTGTTGTGTAAATTTGTGTTGAATGCTTAATAAAGGTTTTAAAAAAAGAAATAAACAGACCTTTCCTCCTGTTTCTGACAGGTGGCTGCGACTCTTAATAACCTGGCCGTGCTCTATGGCAAGAGGGGGAAATACACGGAAGCCGAGCCGCTGTGCAAGAGAGCCTTAGAGATCAGAGAGAAGGTACAGGCTTTACCGGAGGCCCCAAGAAAAACCGTATTCAACCTGTCTTAAGGACTAGAAACTTAACTTCGCTTTTAAAAAAAACCAGACAGACAGACAAGGTTCCAATTACGCTGATCTCAGCACTCAGACTCTGACGAGACCCAGAATTGTGGAATACACAATACTTTCAAATTCACATTTTAACAGTAGGATGGTCTGACAATATGGCTGGCGAAATCAACCTATTTCTGGTCTCTGCAACTAAAGCGGGGTGTGTGTGTGTGTGTGTGTGTGTGTGTGTGCGCGCGCGTATGCGTGTGTGTGTGTGTGTGCGTGCGCATGTGCGTGTGCATGTGCACTGCATCAATCTGCATTTTTGAAAAGAAAACTCGCATTTCTTTTCTCCCAAAACTTGCTTTTAAAAAAAAAAAAAAAAAAGCTGAGAATGAATGCATTTATATCTTACCATTCCCCCCCCCAGGAGCTCTAGATGGTATATGCCTGGTTCCCCCCCCTTCATTTAATCCCCATCACAACAGCCCTGCCAGGCATGCCAGGCTGAGAGAGGCAGTGGCATCCAGTGGGAGGATCTGAACCCTGGTCTCTCCCAGGTCCTAATGCTAGAATCTCTTACCCACTCTTGTTCTTTAGGTGTTGGGCACCGATCACCCAGACGTGGCCAAGCAGCTGAACAACCTGGCGCTCCTGTGCCAGAACCAAGGGAAGTTTGAGGAGGTGGAGCAGTACTACCAGAGGGCTCTCTGCATCTACCAGACCCGGCTGGGGCCTGACGACCCAAACGTGGCCAAGACCAAGAACAACCTGGTAAACGATGGGGAGACGTTTTGTGTGTGTGTCGGCCAGAGGACGTTTACTTTTCAGGACATCAGAAGAGCCTGGCCACTAGAGGTCCATCTAGTCCAGCATCCTTGCAGTGGCCAAATAACCCTAAGAACCTAGGAAACAAGGTAGACTGCCTCTGGAGCTGGAGGCTCCACAAGAACCTAAGAACTGGCAATAATAATAATAATAATAATAATAATAATAATAATAATTTATTATTTATACCCCGTCCATCTGGCCGGGCTTCCCCAGCCACTCTGGGTGGCTTCCAACAAAATATTAAAATACCGTATTACATCAAACATTAAAAGCTTCCTTAAACAGGGCTGCCTTCAGATGTCTTCTAAAAGTCTGGTAGTTGTTGTTCTCTTTGACATCTGGTGGGAGGGCGTTCCTCAGGGCAGGTGCCACCACCGAGAAGGCCCTCTGCCTGGTTCCCTGTAACTGGGCTTCTCGCAGGGAGGGAACCGCCAGAAGGTCCTCGTAGCTGGACCTCAGTGTCCGGGCTGAACGATGGGGGTGGAGACGCTCCTTCAGGTATACTGGACCGAGGCCGTTTAGGGCTTTGAACTCAGCACCGACACTTTGAATTGTGCCCAGAAACTGACTGGAAGCCAATGCAGATCTCTCATGACCGGTGTTATGTGGTCCCAGCAGCCACTCCCAGTCCCCAGTCTAGCTGCCGCATTCTGGATTAGTTGTAGTTTCCGGGTCACCTTGAAAGGCAGCCCCACGTAGAGCGCATTGCAGTAGTCCAAGCATTCAGAACATTGCTTTCTCCAACTGCCAGAGGCAGAACATGGTCATTGTGGCTGGTAGCCATCAGTAGACCTCTCCTCCATGAGTTTATTACTGACTTTCTCAATAATCAAAAGGTCCCAAAATGATTTAGGTATATGACATTAAGAACAAGGATTATGTTTAAAAAAGCTGAAGCTATATAGTTTAATATTTCATTAAATTAAAGATTGGGTTTAAAAAAGTGGAAAAGAAACTGCTGGACAAATAATGTAGATTGGAATACAAAAGAGGGAGGTATGAGGAAGTCCAGAAAATAAGTAATTTAAAATTGGGAATGTAAAAGAGAGTTTGTTTTAAATTGTTATGTTGTGTGTTTTTATTGTTAAATTTTGTATTGTTTTTCTTTTTTTGTGTGTGTGTGTGTGTGTTGGTTTTTCTTTTTTCTTTGTTTAAAACTTTAATAAAAATTATTTTAAAAAAAATGATTTACAAGAATAAAATACAGTAGGAAAAAAATACACAGAAATCAAGAGTAAAAGCATCCCATGATTGGTGCAGCCCAAACGATGACAAGGTTGTTGCCAGGCAGGCTTCCCAGATTTCACAGACAGGATCTACTATAGAAGATGACTATTCAGCAATGACCGCCCTGGTCATTGCAGGACTGTTCGACTTTTGGGTTCCTTTTGACTTACTCGGTGCTGGTGTTTCATTTAGAAATGGTTCATAATGATTCAGTATGTGGGCTGTTTTTAATGTAGAGTAACAACAGCGAGGAGGTGTTCTTGTGCACAAACAACACACATTTCAATATTTGCATCATTTGCACAACAGCCACTTTAAAGCTTTATCTTTCATTTATTTTTGCAATGGCTTTGCTGCCTCGGCGCATCTCAGGAAAAAGCCATCGATTGCAAAGATCAGCCATTATATATATATGCATGCAATATGACTGCGGAAGAATAGAAAAATCCGCAAGCAGGATTTCCTAGGTGATAAAGGTTAGGCTGTTCTTGGAGATGAAAAAACGTTCGGCTGGAGGTTCCAGCTGTCAGTGCAAATTAAAACCAGCTAAAATTCAGCCTAGGTTATCAAAGTGCAAAGTGCAACTTAGACCTACAGGGGAACAGGCCCCGTAGAAAGGGTTTCATTGCCAGTACATAAAATTAGAATGATGTAAAAGCTAGTTAATTGTTTTTTCGTTTTTTCTTTTTCTTTTTTTTGTATTTTTCAGGTTTATATATTTCACTGATTTTGCAATCATTTTGACATTTCAAAACTCGACTTCCTTCCCCCTCTTTCTGCGGTCCTTAAATTTATTTTTAATATCTTCTGCGTATCCAAATTAACTTAATTTGCTCATTTATTCATCTTCTTTAAGTATAAACTCTTATGAAACGGCAGGTTATTACAATAATCCTGCCAGTTTTTCTTATCTGTTTAGTTTATCTGCAAACATTCAATAAACCATTTCCGTTCTTTTAGAAAAAGTTTATCTTGATTTCTTATTCTTCCGGTGAGTCCCACCATTTCTGCATATTCCATAAGTTTTTGTATCCGTTCTTCCTTTGCTGGGACTTCTGCTTCTTTTCATTTTGGGGCAAGTAACATTCTTTCCACAGTAGTCGCATACATGAATAAATCTCTATACAGTTTAGGTAGTTCTGTCCTTATAATGCCCAAAAGGAAAGCTTCTGGGTTGTTGTTGTTTTTTTACAAACCTTATTTTAAACATCCTTTTCATTTCATTGTATATCATTTCCCAGTAAGCCTTTTTTTAAAAAAAAAAAATTATTGGAAATTTTATTTACAACATAAAATAACCCCCACCCCCCAATACAGAAATCCACCCTCATTAAACATGAACATAACATACAGTGAGCATAACATACAACAATACAAACAACCAAATAAAAGACTTCCTTTATCCTGTATCTAGCCTCCTTGATTACTTCTTATGAACTGTTTCCTTTATGAATAATTATTAAGATTTTTCTAATTATAACTTAAATATCCACAAAGTTTCCTGCAGACATTAATCGAAACAAGTCCAGGTATGTATTTTAGGGCACTGTTTTGTGAAGTATTCTCTGCATTTTCCCCATGCTTTTTTAAACTCTTGTCTAGTGTGATCTCTGATTGCCTCTGTTAATCTAGCCAGTTCAACATACTCTAACGGTTTGTCTTGCCATTCCTTTTTTGTTGGCACAGTTTCTTTCCCCCCCAGTTTTTAGCAATTAGGATCCTTCCGCTCCTGTGCCATAAAGGAATATTTTCTGATCTTCTCTTGCTGTACCTGTGTCCGTTATCCCTAGTAGAAAAGCTTCTGTATTTTTCATGAAGTTAAACATTTTTTTAAGCTCATCATATGCTATGTTCTGGAAGCTTTTGATTTTTTCACAGGTCCACCAAACATGTGTAAGTGTCCCTTCTGTTTTGCCACACCTCCAGCACAGATTTGTTTTTGTCTTATACATTTTAGCTATTTTGGTAGGTGTTAAGTACCATCTATAAAACATCTTGATTAGATTTTCCCTCAATATTTCACACGCTGGAAATTTCCAGTTCTTTCTCCATAGTTCTTCCCATGCTGTTAAGTTAATGGTTTTCCGAATATCTAAAGACCACTTGATCATTACCTTCTTGACCTGTTTGTCTTTGACCTTCCACTCCAATAATGTTCATTTCCCAGTAAGCCTTAACCTTACTAGAAGACCACCACGTAAGATAAAAGAACCTTGAAATATACATTTATAAAGAAACCAGAAGCATTTTTACTGGGCATTGTAGGAAGTGATATAAATAGAAAAGAATATAAGCTGTTTTTATATGCAACGACGTCAGCAAGAATATTATTGGCACAAAAATGGAAGCAAGAAGAATTACCGACGAAAGAAGAATGGAGGATGAAATTAATGGACTATGCAGAACTAGATAAACTAAAAGGAAGGATCCGAAATCTGCGGGACCAGAAATTCACAGAAGACTGGAGTAATTTTACAGCTATTTGAAAAGTAATTGTGATGATCAGACTACGTTTGTAGGTTTGCAAGAAGTTTTGTGAGGTGAATTATTGGAACTATTGCAAAAATGGATAAAGGGGAGGATGGTTAGTTAAGATAATTAAAGGCAATATGAATTTAAGAAATGCATAAGAAGTGGTTAAAACGGTGGATCATCAGAGGTGCTGATGGAAGTCCAAAAAAAGATTGTATAAGTGGTGAAGTTTTGTGGTATGTATTATAATTTATATGTTAAAATTGATAAAAATTATTATAAAAAAAGAACCTTCTTTCTAGTTAATTGTTTTTTCAGTAGGGAAACAGGTGACGTCATCGGGTATGGAGCCACCCAGCTAAAACTGCCTTCCTCTCTTCTCGCCCAGGCATCGTCTTACCTGAAGCAGGGCAAGTACCAACAGGCTGAGGAGCTCTACAAGGAAATTCTGTCCACACATGACCAGGATTTGGGCGTCAGCAGAGGCGGTGAGCAGCCGGCTTGAGGTTGCGTTTCTCTGCAGCAGAGTATGGAGAGGGAAGTTTGGGGAAGGGTGATGTAGCAGCAAACTGTGAATAATAATAATAATAATAATAATAATAATAATAATAATAATATTTTATTTATATCCCGCCCTCCCCAGCCGAAGCCGGGCTCAGAGCGGCTAACAACAATAAAAGTAACACAGCATTCTATAATCAATTCATTCTAAAATTAATTCAGAATCAAATTAATGGCAACCATTGGGCTAGAGTTCTATGAGGATTATGAAAGGAGGGGGTCAGACTGAGTCCAAACCAAAGGCCTGGCGGAACAGCTCCATCTTGCAGGCCCTGCGGAAAGATGTCAAATCCCACAGGGCCATAGTCTCTTGGGACAGAGCGTTCCACCAGATCGGGGCCAGGGCTGAAAAGGCCCTGGCCCTAGTTGAGACCAATCTAACCACCTTGCGACCTGGGACCTCCAAAATGTTGTCTTTTGTGGACCTTAAGGTCTTCCGTGGGACATACCAGGAGAGGCGGTCCCGTAGGTACGAGGGTCCTAGGCCGTATAGGGCTTTAAAGGTCAAAACCAGCACCTTAAACCTGATCCTGTACTCCACCGGGAGCCAGTGCAGCTGGTATAGCACCGGGTGAATGTGATCCCGCAGCGAGGACCCCGTAAGGAGTCTCACCGCGGCATTCTGCACCCGCTGGAGTTTCTGGGTCAGTCTCAAGGGCAGCCCCAAGTAGAGCGAGTTACAATAATCAAGTCTGGAGGTGACCGTCATGTGGATCACAGTGGCTAGGTCAGGGCGAGAGAGGTAAGGGGCATCTTCTTCTAAGGTTACCAGATTTTTTTCAATGAATCCGGGGACACTTTTCAACTTCCTGCTAAATAGATGGATTTTGTCAGGGGGCAGATTTGTAAATCTGGGGGACTGTCCCTGGGAAATGGGGATGTCTGGCAACCTTTTCTTATTCTCTCCATCCTTTCCCCTGCATCTTTCAGATGAGAGCAGAACGGGACCCGGAAGAGGCGCTCTGTATAGCCAGGTTTGTGTTGGGGCTGCTTTGGGGGGCTTCCCCACCTCTTCTCTGTTTTTAGGTCTTGACCCCACCTCCCCATCCTAGTCTGCAGAAAGATTGTGTTACCCTTTGCACCCCCAGCAGGATTTAACTGTGGCTCCTGCATTTCAGAGGGACGCGGGTGGCGCTGTGGGTTAAACCACAGAGCCTAGGGCTTGCCGATCAGAAGGTCGGCGGTTCGAATCCCCGTAACGAGGTGAGCTCCCGTTGCTCAGTCCCTGCTCCTGCCCACCTAGCAGTTCGAAAGCACGTCAAAGTGCAAGTAGATAAATAGGTACCGCTCCAGCAGGAAGGTAAACGGCGTTTCCGTGCGCTGCTCTGGTTCGCCAGAAGTGGCTTAGTCATGCTGGCCACATGACCCGGAAGCTGTACGCCAGCTCACTAAGCCAGTAAAGCGAGATGAGCGTCGCAACCCCAGAGTCGGCCATGACTGGACCTAATGGTCAGGGGTCCCTTTACCTTTACCTTTTTACCTGCATTTCAGGGGGTTGGACTAGACGATCCTTTGGGTCCCTTCCAACTCTACAATTCTGTAGATGGACACTAGTTGCACTGTGGTCTAAACCACCGAGCCTCTTGGTCTTGCCGATCAGAAGGTCGGCGGTTCGAATCCCCGTGACGGAGTGAGCTCCCGTTGCTCTGTCCCAGCTCCTGCCAACCTAGCAGTTCGAAAGCACACCAGTGCAAGTAGATAAATAGGTACCGCTCCGGTGGGAAAGTAAATGGTGTTTCCGTGTGCTCTGGTTTCCGTCACACTGTACCGTTGTGCCAGAAGCGATTTAGTCCTGCTGGCCACATGACCCAGAAAGCTGTCTGTGGACAAACGCTGGCTCCCTTGGCCTGAAAGCGAGATGAATGCTGCAACCCCATAGTTACCTTTGACTGGATTTTACCATCCAGGCGTCCTTTACCTTTTTACAATTCTGTGATCCCTCCCTTTTTGCCAGGACTCCCTGGGGAACCTGAGGCGCAGCAGCTCCTTTTCCCGCTTCCGCGAGTCCCTCAAGCGAGGCAGCGAGAAACTCGTCTCCAAACTCAAAGGGGAAGGCGGACGGCGCCCCATTGCAGCCTCGGCCCCAGGGTGAGTCTGGGTCTCCCTGGAATCTGGAGGCAGAAACGTTTGCCTCCAAGCAAGCAATTATCACACAAACACCGTTTTCGCAGGGAACAATTGAGGGAGTTGGCGGTGCTTAGACGGAGAGGGTGAGATGACAGCCATCTTCAAATAGCTGAAGGGCTGATGGAGCAAGTGTGTTTTATCCTGCTCTGGAGGGGCAGGAACCGAAACGATGGCTTCAAGTTACAAGGAAGTATATTCTGACTAAATATTAGGAAGAACTATCTGAGGGGAAGAACTCTTAACAACAGAAGAGGCTCCCTGAGAAGGTGGTCCCCTCTTCCCGACTTTGGAGGTTTTTAAGCAGAGATTTGGATGGCTATCTGTCTTGGATGCTTTAGTTGAGATTCCTGCATTGTGCAAAGGGTTGGAATAGATGACCTTTGGGGGTCCCTTCCAACTCCATGATTCGCTGGTTGTTGGACAGCCGTCGGTCAGGGATTCTTGAGCTGCGATTACTGCCTTGCAGGAGGTTGCGCTAGATTACAGTGGGTGGGGGGAGCAGAGCGCTGCTTCCAACTTTCCAATTCTATGATTCTTTAAAAAGCCATTATTATTATTATTATTATTATTATTACTATTATTTATTATTATTAATTTATTATTTATACCCCGTTCGTCTGGCTGGGTTTTCCCAGCTACTCTGGGCAGCTCCCAACAGAATACAGTCATATCTCGGGTTACAGATGCTTCAGGTTGCGTTTTTTCGGGTTATGGACCCACCAAAACCCAGAAGTACCAGAACAGGTTACTTCCAGGTTTCGGTGGTCGCACATGCGCAGAAGCGCTAAACTGTGCTTTGCGCATGTGCAGAAGCACCAAATTGCAACCCACGCGTGCGCAGATGCGTCGCTGCGGGTTGTGAACATGCATCCCGCACAGATCACGTTCGCAACCCGAGCTTCCACTGTACTAAAAACGCGATAAAACATCAAACATTAAAAACTCCCCTAAACAGGGCTGCCTTGAGAAGTCTTCTAAAAGCCAGGTAGTTGTTTATTTCCTTGACATCTAACTGGAAGGCATTTCACAGGGCGGGTGCCACTACCAAGAAGGCCCACTTCTTGCAGCGAGGGAGGGAACCGCCAGAAGGCCCTCAGAGCTGGACCTCAGTGTCCGGGTAGAACGATGGGGGTGGAGATTCTCCTTCAGGTATACTGGGCTGAAGCCGTTTAGGGCTTTCAAGGTCAGCACCAACCCTTTGAATTGTGCTCAGAAACCAGGCATGCACAGGTGAATCAGAACTTGACAGGTGTTTGTCTTTTTGGACAGGATGAAAAGAGCCACTTCCCTGAACGTCTTGCACGTGGGTGAGAGAGCGGCTGCTGCGTCCCCGACGGTGAGTCTGTGGCAGGGGAGAGGAGGGGCCAGGTGCCAGGGCTGCGGGGACAGAGCCCTGCCTCACATGCAAGAAATCCTGGGGGGTCGGTTTCCCTTGTGGAACTCGCTGCCACAGGAAACCCAAATTGGGTGGCTTTAAACGAGGATGAGATAGAGGATTTTAAGATGGCTGCCGAACGCTTGAATCAGGGTTTTGAGCTCTAAGGCAAATTTCTGCTCTATAAAGAACCCTCAGCATTTGTTTTTATCCTCTCTCCCATTTTATTTCTTAACTTCTTTTAGTGCTTCGTTTTGTTGCTTTAATTTATCGTTTCATCTCATTGTTTTATTGTTCTAACTCCCCTAAACTGGGAGGCTGCGTGAAGTTGGGCTGGGCTGAGCCCTTTGCTAGGCAGTGCCAAACGCAAAGTCGAGCCAAAGTTTACAAGATACTAGTTATAAATTAAGGAAGAGAAACATCTTGATGATCCGAACTGTTGACGAGCCAGCCCAGGCGGCAGCTGCAGAGTCTCCCAAACGCTCCCTTCCTCTGGGTGGCACTGACTCCCGACTCGTAAATTCAAGGCCGCCACATTTGGAGATAATTGATTTCTGCAAGCTGCCGACAAATAATCATGATCATTATGGTGCTTACTAGAAAGAACGGCAAAGATAAATTCATGGCTAGTAGCCATGCTGGCTGGGGTCAAAGGCCTCGAGCTTCTGAATGCCAGTGGCTGGATACCACAGCAGGGGAGAGTTGCTCTCGCACTCGGGTCCCGCTCGTGGGTTTTCCGTGCTGGGCACCTGGTTGGCCGCTGTAAGAAGAGGAACCCGGGCTCTTATGTTCATGCTCTTTTAGGCAGAGCCTCATAGAATCATAGAGTTGGAAGAGACCACAAGGGCCATCGAGTCCAACCCCCCTTCAAAGGAAGGAGTTGCAGCCCGAAGCGATGAGGGCTAGAAACTTGGCTTTTGCTGCAGTGCTGTAGCCTTGTCTGTTTATTTTGCAGCAGCCCAGCAGCAGGACCCTGACTGGCGCCCGGACGCTGAGCTCCAGCTCCCAGGACCTCATGCAAAGCAGCTCCACTTAGCCCTGGCCCGGCCCCTTCCTCCCGCCGCGCTTCCCTCGCTGCTGCCTTTAGGCTGGGCCGAAGCTTGAGCCTCTCTCTCCTCCCCTCGGCCAGCCTTCAGCTGAGCTTGTGGGGCTGCTGGAACCAGGGCTGGGTGTCCTGCGCCAAGTGGAGACCCCACCACCACCATCCCACAGCTGGAACGCCCCTGTTCCCTGGGGCCGGGATGGAGATCAGGTCCAGTCCCCCCGCAATCAGGACAAACAGGCTGTTATTTCTCAGGACCTTTGAGGGGGGGGCAATGGGTGGCCCTTCCCAAAGCAGCTGGACAGGAGGGTCTCTGCCCCCCACTCCGCTGCTGCCTTAACTCTTTGCGTACGACCAGGTAAAGTTGCACTCCCCTTCCCGCCCCCCCCCCCCGAGGAAAAAAATCGCTGCTGTCTCCCTCCAGCCAAAGTCACAATATTTATTGTATTTATGCAACTGGAAGCATACCTCTCTGCCCCAAATAAATGGTTGTAAATGGATACTGGACCAGTGACTGCTGAATGTTGTCTGCTTCATTAATTTAGTGGACAGGGAGAAGGGGAAGAGTCCTGTGAGTGTCTGGAGGCGGTTGGAGGATGGATGGCGGCTAACAGATTGAGGTTGAATCCTGACAAGACAGAAGTACTGTTCTTGGGGGACAGGGGGCAGGCAGGTGTGGAGGACTCCCTGGTCCTGAATGGGGCAACTGTGCCCCTGAAGGACCAGGTGCGCAGCCTGGGAGTCATTTTGGACTCACAGCTGTCCGTGGAGGCACAGGTCCATTCTGTGTCCAGGGCAGCTCCATCTGCTACGCAGGCTGAGACCCTCCCTGCCCGCAGATTGTCTCGCCAGAGTGGTGCATGTTCTAGTTATCTCTCGCTTGGACTACTGCAATGCGCTCTACGTGGGGCTACCTTTGAAGGTGACCTGGAAACTGCAACTAATCCAGAATGCGGCAGCTAGACTGGTGACTGGGAGCGGCCGCCGAGACCACATAACACCGGTCTTGAAAGATCTACATTGGCTCCCAGTACATTTCCAAGCACTGTTCAAAGTGTTGGTGTTGACCTTTAAAGCCCTAAACAGCCTTGGTCCTGTATACCTGAAAGAGCGTCTCCACCCCCATCGTTCTGCCCAGACACTGAGGTCCAGCTCCAAGGGCCTTTTGGCAGTTCCCTCACTGCGAGAAGCCAAGTTACAGGGAATCAGGCAGAGGGCCTTCTCGGTGGTGGCGCCCGCCCTATGGAACGCCCTCCCACCAGATGTCAAAGAGATAAAAAACTACCAGACTTTTAGAAGGCATCTGAAGGCAGCCCTGTTTAGGGAAGCATTTAATGTTTAACAGACCACTGTATTTTAATACTTCGTTGGAAGCCACCTAGAGTGGCTGGGGAAACCCAGCCAGATGGGCGGGGTATAAATAATAAATTATTATTATTATTATTATTATTATTATTATTATTATTATTATTATTATGGCAGGATAGCAAAGCAGAATGAATAACACTCAGCACTTAAGAAAAACAAAAAAACTATTTTATTGCAACCTGAGTCCAAAATCTGGAACTGGCAATCAGAGTCTTTTTGGGTGTGGGTGTGTGGGGTATGCAATCCATGTGAGTTTGGCCCCTCTGATTTCGTCTCCGCCGGTGGGCCAGGCTGAGGCAGGAGCTGCGGGGAGACCCCCATTTGTGCTTTCTGCTTCCTCTTCCTGCTTGCCTCACACCTGGTGGGCAATTTCCTGCACCTTGCGTAGCGTCTCCTCCGACTGCAGCTGCTCAAAGGTGAGGAGAGACAGACCCAGCTGGTCCTCCTGGCGAAAGAGAGGATGGGATCTGGGGTCAGGAGTAGGAAGGGCTCGTCCTCATACCTGCCACCCCCTCCAATCCTAAGTTAAAAAGGTAAAGGGACCCCTGACCATTAGGTCCAGTCGTGACCGACTCTGGGGTTGCGGTGCTCATCTCGCTTTCTTGGCCGAGGGAGCCGGCGTACAGCTTCCGGGTCATGTGGCCAGCAGGACTAAGCCACTTCTGGCGAACCAGAGCAGCGCACGGAAACGCCGTTTATCCCAGCAGTGACATAGCGTGGGTTGCCTGTACCCGGGGCAAGGCAAGTATTGCTCCCGCTAACCTGTGGACCGTTGGCACTCCCCAAGTCCCTTCCTCCAGCCCAGTTAAAAGTCAGCCAACCCGGAACCTCCTCTCCCGCCACTCACCTTGCGGAACGGCTGGGCCATTTGGCGCAAGAAGAACTTTGACACCTGCACGGCCTCATCCACCGTCAAGTTGAGGTTGGCGTCCGTGATGTGCTCCTGGATCCAGCGGGGGAGCTTGCCTCGTTTGTCCGCCCGCGCAAAGCGCTGCCGAGAGTCGTGCGGCGTGTTACCTGGGGAGAATGGGTGCCCGCCATTGCCCACACGCCCACCTCCCCCTCCGAGTCTGCGGAACAGTGCGCCACTGCTCCGGATTTCTGCCCCGCCCCCCGGCAAACCTTGTCAGCGAAGACCATCAGGCCGTAGTCGGTCTTGCCGCGAATGGCTCTCCCCACGCACTGGGCTGCGTGGCGCATGGCGTCGAAGGTCAGGAAATCGTTTTCGCGGATCTGGAACTGGTCCCGCAGGTAGTCTAGACGGGCCTGGGGAAAGGGGGCTGGCATGGAGGTCTCTGTGTGTGTTTGTGTGTCCTTTTTCGGCTCTCCTCCCCGCACCCAGTGAGGAAAAAAAAACACACACACACACACAAACACACACACACAAATGCAGTTCCCTGCATGCAAAAATCTGCTGATCTGAATGTGAAAATTAGCAGCAAAGAACGCTAATGCTAATGCTAATAATAATAAATTTTATTTATATCCTGCCCTGCCCAGCCAAGACCAGGCTCAGGGCAGCTAACAACCGATATAAAAACAAACTGATTGAAATACAACTTAAAAAGAAGATTAAAATACAACATTAAAACGCAGCCTCGTTTCAATGGAAACTCAAATCAAAAACTTTTGGGGGGATGAAAACATCAGGTCTTCACCAAAGCTACTATCCAGCTATTCTCAGCTGCATCCGTGTCCAGATCAAGGAAAGCAACAGACTCTATTCCGTCCGCCTTGGTCAGACTCACACCTGGAATACTGCGTCCAATTCTGGGCGCCACAATTTAAGAAGGATATTGATAAGACACAGGGGGAGGCGCTGGAACTGACTTTCAGACTTTGAAAAGTTGGCATCGTGGCATGTCTTGTTGAACAGATTCCGCCATACAGTAGACCCTCGGGTTAGGTTACTCTCGAGTAACGTAAACGTCGGGTTGCAAAAGCGGCAAACCCGGAAGCATTTTCCCGGGTTTCCCTGCTCGTGCATGCGCAGAAGCAGTGCCTCTGGATACGGATTTTTCAGGGTGCGCATGGACCCCCGGAATGAATTAAATCCGTATCCAGAGGGTCCACTGTATGGTGTTTGTTGACGTTAGAACAGAAGCGCAGCTCATTGCAATGGTTTTGAATTTTGCTGTGCTGTTGTCTTTCTTGGTAGGTCATGCAGACCTAAATAAAGCTGTAAGATGCTGGATCAAGCCAATGACCCATCTAGTTATAATGACCTATGGGACCGCCTTTCCTGGTATGCCCCACAGAGGACCTTAAGGTCCATAAATAGCAACGCCCTAGAGGTCCCGGGCCCTAAGGAAGTCAGATTAGCCTCAAGCAGAGGCAGGGCCTTTTCAACAGTGGCTCCGGCCTGGTGGAACGCTCTGTCTCATGAGACCAGGGCCCTGCAGGATCTGATTTCTTTCCGCAGGGCCTGGAAGACAGAGTTGTTCCGCCTGGCGTTTGGCTTGGAATCAACTTGATCCCCTTTCCCTCTTTCGTTTTTCCTTCTGTGATGGAACTCCTATTTGGGGACTTCCCTGGCTTTTTTCTGGCCCATGTAGGACCAGTCTGGATTTCATCCCCCAAAAGTTTTTGATTTGAGTTTCTACTGAAATGAGGTTGCATTTTAATCTTGTTTTTAAGTTGTATTTTAATAAATTGTTTTTATACCTGGTGTTAGCCGCCCTGAGCCCGGTCTTGGCTGGGGAGGGCGGGGTATAAATAAAATATTATTATTATTGTTGTTGTTGTTGTTGTTTTATCATCATCATCATCATTAGTTCAGCATCATGTGCTCACCGGGGGGGGGGGGGCGACCAGAAGATGCCCAACATGGAAAACCAGTGAGCAGGATCCGGGCCCAAGAGCTACTCTCCCCACCTCCATTTGCTGGTATCCCCAGTGCATTTTTACAGCGTTGGGGGCACAGGGGATGAGTGTATGGAACCAAGGGGGCAGGGTCCCCCCAAAATCTTTGTGAACCAGTGGCCTAACCCTTCTCCAAGAAGCCGTTTAAATACAACAAAGGAAAATACAGCAAAATCCTGGGCTGGGATTTTGACAGCGCTAGGTCTCTCCTGAAAGCTTATTTCTTTACTAGAAGCAGGCTGACGGCTCCTTAATCTGACTTAATTGGGATCAAGTAAGCCAATTCAGATCCCAGATTCTCTGCCAGGGGTTTTAGCTCTGGGCATGGGGCCGGCGACATCCCAACATGTACACAGCCTTGCCAACCAGGCACCCTCTGGCTCTTTTGGACTACAACTCCCACCAGCCCCTTCCTGGTGAAGGCTGCCATCAAAGCTCTTCTTTAAGCAGCACGTAGTTCATCTTCTTGAGACATCACCTTGCCAACAAAGGTCCGTATAGTTAAAGCTATGGTTTTCCCAGTAGTGATGTATGGAAGTGAGAGCTGGACCATAAAGAAGGCTGATCGCCGAAGAATGGATGCTTTTGAATTCTGGTGCTGGAGGAGACTCATGAGAGTCCCATGGACTGCAAGAAGATCAAACCTCTCCATTCTGAAGGATCTTTTCCAGGGAGTCTTCTCTTAGGAGGTGACCAAAGTATTGGAGCCTCAGCTTCAGGATTTGTCCTTCCAGTGAGCACTCAGGGCTGATTTCCTTCAGAATGGAGAGGTTTGATCTTCTTGCAGTCCATGGGACTCTCAAGAGTCTCCTCCAGCACCAGAATTCAAAAGCATCCATTCTTCGGCAATCAGCCTTCTTTATGGTCCAGCTCTCACTTCCATACATCACTACTGGGAAAACCATAGCTTTAACTATACGGACCTTTGTTGGCAAGGTGATGTCTCTGCTTTTTAAGATGCTGTCTAGGTTTGTCATTGCTTTTCTCCCAAGAAAGTAAAATCTCTTAACTGCCTCCATTTCTTCCCCTTCAGGAGGTGATGGGCCCAGTGACCATGATCTTCGTTTTTTTGATGTTGAGCTTCAGACCATATTTTGCGCTCTCCTCTTTCACCTTCAATAAAAGGTTCTTTCTGCATATCTGAAGTTATATGTGTGTGTGTGTGTGTGTGTGTGTGTGTGTGTGTGTGTGTCACAACAGTTTCCCCTCCTTGCTTGCTGTACAGAAATTCCCACCTCCAGCTCAGCAGAAGAGGAGCTGGGAAGAGACATCCTCTTCGCCCTCCCCGTATCCAGGAGACGCCAAGGTTTGTTGTGCGCCGGTGGAGCCCCAGGAGAGTCACGCAGCCTCGAGGAGACAGCTCCTGGGAGGCACCTGCTCTGGAGCCAAGACGGAGGAAGGAGGCAGGGAGCCCAGCTTGAATGCGCAGGCAGAGAGGAGACACCGGACTCACCTTCAGAATTCGGCTCTGGGTGTAGACGTAGGGCACGCCAAACATGATCACGGCTCTCCCGTAGTGGTGGACTGCGGAGAAGGACACAAATCTAAACCGGGTTGAATGACATGCAGTGGCTGAGATTCCGGGGGGGGGGGGGTGGACTAGATGGGCTCTGGGGGTCTCTTCCAACGATACGATGCTATGATTCCATTGTCCCTTGGAGGTTTTACAGCAGGGAGGTAGACGGCCACCTGCCAGGGATCCTTTAGCTGCAATTCTTGCGTCATTGAATGAGGTTGGGCTAGATGACCCCTTAGGGTCCCTTAAAAGGTAAAGGGACCCCTGACCATTAGGTCCAGTCGTGGGCGACTCTGGGGTTGCGGCGCTCATCTCGCTTTACTGGCCGAGGGAGCTGGCGTACAGCTTCCGGGTCATGTGGCCAGCATGACTAAGCCGCTTCTGGCGAACCAGAGCAGCGCACGGAAATGCCGTTTACCTTCCTGCCGGAGCGGTACCTATTTATCTACTTGCACTTTGATGTGCTTTCGAACTGCTAGGTTGGCAGGAGCAGGGACCGAGCAACGGGAGCTCACCCCGTCGCGGGGATTCGAACCGCCGACCTTCTGATCGGCAAGTGGTAGGCTCTGTGGTTTAACCCACAGCGCCACCCGCGTCCCTTACAACTATACAATTCTATGATTCCAACAAGATCCCTGCTGGATGAGGCCCCTCGCCCATCTGGTCCAGCATCCTGGAGGGTGTGAAGGCAGCAAGCACCTTCGGTTGTCGGGCCCCAGTAACCACACTCACAGTGGCATCTTGCCTCCCTGAAGCTAATATCTGCTGTGCTTCCCTGTGTGTGTGTCATCTTCTAAGTCAGGGGTCAGCAAACCTTTTCAGCAGGGGGCCAGTCCACTGTCCCTCAGACCTTGTGGGGGGCCGGACTATATTTTGAAGGGGGGGGGAAATGAACGAATTCCTATGCCCCACAAAGAACCCAGAGGTGCATTTTAAATAAAAGCACACATTCTACTCCTGTAAAAACACGCTAATTCCCGGACCATCCCCGGGCCAGATTTAGAAGGCGATTGGGCCGGATCCGGCCCCCGGGCCTTAGTTTGCCTACCCATGTTCTAAGTTTCTAGTCCACATGCTTAAATCTCTTCCTTTTTTCTCTCTGGCAGAGAAAGAGACAGAGATGAGAGGAATTTCAGGAGAAAAATAGGAGAGGGCAGGTAGAGGTACTCACCGAAGTCGATCCCTTCAGAGACCTTCCCCCTGGCTACAGACAGCAAAATGGCTCCCCGTCCATTTTCGCAGGCCTGGTAAACAAGAGACAAGACACGCATTGCAAAATCCGGCCAGTTTGTCCACATGGCGGCCATCACTTGAGGGGGGAATAATTTTGCCCTGATTTTCCCCCTGGATTTATGTCAGCAATCCAAATATCTGGGTTTGCTTGCCAGAACGAAAACAGTGTTTATAGCAGGCACCGAAAACAGTTCAGTGATGGTGCCAGCCTGACATCAACAGGGAGTTCCACAGTTTGGTTCCTGCCACGCTGAAAGATCAGTTTATTATAAAGGCAGAATGAATATTCTGCCACACCTGAATCTTCTTGCCCAGACTTTCCCTTAACCGTAAGATTGGATTTTGTCAATCCCCATTTTTATATGATTTTATACTACTGTTTTACTGGTTTTATATTTTTGTTTTGAGGATATTGTTTAGCTAGCTAAGACAGATATTCCATACCAAACTCTGCTCCAAAAGTTTCACTCATTAGAGTATTAATGTAAATTACTGTATTTTTCGCTCGATAACACGCACCTGACCATAACACGCACACAGTTTTTAGAGGAGGAAAACAAGAAAAAAAAATTCTGAATGAAACAGTGGATGTATCATTTTTGTGCGTCATGCTGTGGCCACAGACATGTGATTTGACGGTGAGTTTGGGGTAGCCCAATGCAAAAATCCTAAGAATCCATGTGGATCTGTGCTTTGTAACCACGTTTTTGTACCATTGCAGCCCCAGGCAACAGTGGGTGCGTGATTTTTTTGGTGCAAGCTGCAGCCATGGACATGCTATGTGATCTGATGGTGAATTTGGGGTGACCCAATGCAAAGGTCCTAAGGATCCATGTGGATCCGTGCTTTGTAACCACGTTTTAAGTGGGGAGGGAAGGAAAAACATAGAAGGGACAAGGAGCACCGAGAGGGGTGTGCGGAGAAGCAGCTGGCTAAGAATGCAGGAGAGGGGTTTTACCGGAGGGAGGAAAGGAAGGCAAAAGTTCCCCCAGCCACCCACCCAGCTAGCGCTCTCTCTCTCTCTCTCTCTCTCTCTCTCTCCCCGCCCACCTGCATGTTGCCTGCGAGTCCCTAGACGCAGCAGCAGCAGCACCGGAGCACGGAGAGGAATTACGGTAGAAGGAAGGACGCTCTGCTTTCCCCTCTGCTTGCCTGGAGGGGAGGGGTTTTCTCTACTCTTTGTTCCCTTTGAGCAAACACAGTAACGAAACAGAAGAGGGTGGGCAGTAAGACTCTGAGGCAGAATGCAGGAAAGCAACAGCTTTCTCTCTCGGGAGGCTCCAACGCACGTGTGGCTGCCTGCAATCAGTTTACCACACCGAGAATGAAGATAAACTGGTAAAATAAGGGGGCTGGGTTAAAGCTAAAGGGAAAACCTCAAAGATCCCTCAAGAACAAGGCAGGGGTTCAGGGCTCCCAAAGCCGAGCTGCAGCCTTAGAAGGGAAAAATGGGGCTTTCGGAGGTGGTTTTTACTGCCCCGCTGCTTCCAATTTTTTAAAAGGCAAATTGCAGGAGAAGACGCAGCAGTCAGTCACTCTCTCACTCCCTCCAAGCTCCCACGCTAGCGAACAAACACACAGGCAACCACACACTCACAAAGCACACACACTAGCAAACACACAGTCGCGCTGCAGAGTGGCCAAACCTCCTAGCAAGCACTTCCCTGGCTTCTGCTGACCGCAACGAAGACGACCCTCGAAGAAAATGTGTGATGCACTCGGGCCAGTCGGCTCCAGGGACCACACATTCGCTCAATAACACGCATAGACATTTCCCCTTACTTTTTAGGAGAAAAAATCTGCGTGTTATAGAGGGAAAAATACGGTACTAAACACACCCTGGTCAGGAACAGTATTTCAGGATTCAGATTAACTCCTTTAAAGCACAATAAATTTAACTCTTATTTCTTCCCTTACGGCGGTCGTTGTTTGCTATAAGGTACAATCAAAACAGATGACTCCATCATCAATTACACCTGCATTTCCATTCTTCTTAATTCACTTAATCCTCAATGAATCCTATTTTAACGGTACTGTTAACTCTTCTAATGTTTTTACATGGCTCAGAGATTTCTTCAAAAATAAAGTAAGTTTTCAAACATTTGAAATAAACTGCGCTGGTAAAACGAACAGGGCGGATTTCATTCAGTAATGGTGAGTACTTCGAGGTCACTGCTTATTAGCCCTGCCCCACTGTTCACCAGGGGAACTGCCTGCCACTGCGACCCGCTGGCGGCTCACCTCCTGGTACTTCTCAAGGGCCATGCTCGTCTCCGCTCCGTCCTGCGTCTCGATGAAGATGAGTTTGTTGCGCTGGATGTTCTCTAGGATCCCCTGCAGCGGCCGGAGAGAAAAACCGGGGGGGGGGGGGGGTGCGTGAAATTCAAAAAGTCACAAGGCTTCTTCATGCAGCAGGTGGTTAGACTGTGGAACTCCCTCCCACAAGAAGCTGTAACAGACCGAGAGACGGCTCGAAGAGAGGATTCGGTCAGAGGCCATCCTTGTGGCAGGGGGTTCCACAGTTTAACTTGGCACTGCGTTCCTTCCTTTTTTCTGCCCCCAATTTTCCAATGCTTCCAATGACCACCCTCTAAAGGTCACTCTCAGTAGCCTCCCAGCCGGCAGCAAAGACCCGGACCCGATCCCCAAACATGCGTGTGCGCACACTCGCACGTACCTGTTCATACCACGAGGCCACAATGTTCTCCATGTACTGGTAGCTGGTGAAAAAGGCCACGATGCCGTCCGGGACGATGGCTGACATCTCCAGCAGCAGATTCCCGTAGTTGCGGATTACGGCTGCGAGAAAATCAAGGACCGTTTTGGGGAGAGAGCCACAAGGAAGCCTTCCCTCCCTCAACCCCTGCCGCGAAGAGGGCAGAGGAGACCCATGACCCAACCACGTTCTCACTCCTGGCCGCTCCTGCGCCAGGAATTTAAAGCCCTTTAAACAGCTGCATCTTTCCCCTAAAGAATCCTGGAAACTGTAGTTTGAGAAAGGCGCTGAGATTTGTTAGGAGACCCTCTGAGAACTACAATTCCCAAAGCTCCCTGTGAGTGAGGAATAGGGACGGATTGTTAAAACCACCCTGTAGCTCTGCGAGGGGAGCCTTAGAACTCACAGCGCCCTGTTGTTTAGTCGTTTAGTCGTGTCCGACTCTTCGTGACCCCCTGGACCAGAGCACGCCAGGCACTCCTGTCTTCCACTGCCTCCCACAGTTTGGTCAAACTCATGCTGGTAGCTTCGAGAACACTGTCCCACCATCTTGTCCTCTGTCGTCCCCTTCTCCTTGGGCCCTCCGTCTTTCCCAACATCAGGGTCTTTTCCAGGGAGTCTTCTCTTCTCATGAGGTGGCCAAAGTATTGGAGCCTCAGCTTCAGGATCTGTCCTTCCAGTGAGCACTCAGGGCTGATTTCCTTGAGAATGGAGAGGTTTGATCTTCTTGCAGTCCATGGGACTCTCAAGAGTCTCCTCCAGCTCCAGAATTCAAAAGCATCAATTCTTTGGCGATTAGCCTTCTTTATGGTCCAGCTCTCACTTCCATACATCACTACTGGGAAAACCAGAGCTTTAACTATACGGACCTTTGTTGGCAAGGTGATGTCTCTGCTTTTTAAGATGCTGTCTAGGTTTGTCATTGCTTTTCTCCCAAGAAGCAGGCGTCTTTTAATTTCGTGACTGCTGTCCCCATCTGCAGTGATCATGGAGCCCAAGAATGTAAAATCTCTCACTGCCTCCATTTCTTCCCCTTCTATTTGCCAGGAGGTGATGGGCTCAGTGGCCATGATCTTCGTTTTTTGATGTCGAGCTTCAGCGCCCTTAACAAACTACAACTCCCAGAATGCTTTGTGGTGGCGGGAGAAACCACGGCTGTTTGAAGCCCTTTAAAAATGCTTGGTGTGAATTTGCATTTTAGGCAAGAAGGGGTGGGGTGCAAAGCCCACGCAAGGCAAATATTCTGCTCCCCCTCCTTACCAATGTCTTCGCGCGTCTCGAACTTGGAACTGATGGTCACCTGGTCGTTCCCTCTCCCCACAATCTGAAACGGGAAAGGGGATTTAAAAACAGCCCGTTTTTTGGGGGGGGGGCAAGGAAATGGGGGAAGTTGGGTGGTTGATTAATCGAACACCCCTCTTTTTACAGAAGGAAAGGGAACCTCAAAAAAATCCTTTAGGGGTGGAACGTCCGGCGAAAAGGCATTTATTTTATTGCCTTTGTACCCTGCTTTTTCCCCCAGGGATCTCAAAGGGGGCATCTCTCTTCACAATAACAACCCTGAACGGTTGGGCCGAGAGGCAGTGACCAGCCCCGAAGGTTTGGAGGTTGGGGGGCCGCGTCCGGACCCTTAAAGAAAGCAGAATGGCCTCTTCACCCTTTGCTCCTCTGGACTGATGGCGGCCCTGGCACTGTGGGGAGAGCCCTCTGCCAACCGCCCCGTCTCCTCGCACTCACCATCGGGCAAAGGCAGGTCCTGGCGAGGGTCATGGTGAACGTTGCCATGGTGACGGGCCTGAAGTCCAGGATTTTGGGGTAGATGTCCAGCGGCGAAAGGGTCTGCGCCAGAAATGAGGAGGAAATCGGGGTGGAAAATGTGGCCACAAATCACACTTTTCTCTCTCTCACACACAAACTCACACCAATTTAGGCCTGCAGGAAGAGGACCCTCATGGACCCGGTAAAAAGGCCACACTTACTCCTGAGGTGATAATGACCGACTGGAACCTCTCAAAGACCGGCTTGATAGCGATGGAGGCATCCATGCAGCTGTGGAGAATCACAGAATTGTTGGACGGGACACCCAAAGGACATCTAGTCCACCCCCTCGCAACACCCAGGCTTCCCGCCCCCTCAATAATAATTAATAATAATAATAATTATTATTATTTATTATTTATACCCTGCTCATCTGGCTGAGTTTCCCCAGCCACTCTGGGCGGCTCCCAATCAAGTGTAAAAAACAATACAGCAGTAAATATTAAAAACTTCCCTAAAGAGGGCTGCCTTCAGATGTCTTCTAAACGTCAGATAGTTGTTTATCTCTTTGACATCTGGTGGGAGGGTGTTCCAGAGGGCGGGTGCCACCACCGAGAAGGCCCTCTGCCTGGTTCCCTGTAACTTGGCTCCTCTTAGTGAGGGAACCACCAGAAGGCCCTCAGAGCTGGACCTCAGTGTCTGGGCTGGACGATGGGGGTGGAGACACTCCTTCAAGTATACTGGATTGAGGCCGTTTGGGGCTTTAAAGGTCAACACCAACATTTTGAATTTTGCTCGGAAATGTCCTGGGAGCCAACGTAGGTCTTTCAGGACTGGTGTTATGTGGTCTCAGCGGCCGCTCCCAGTCACCAGTCTAGCTGCCGCATTCTGGATTAGTTTTAGTTTCCAGGTCACCTTCAAAGGTAGCCCCATGTAGAGCGCATTGCAGTAGTCCAAGCGGGAGATAACCAGAGCATGCACCACTCTCACGAGACAGTTCACGGGCAGGGAGGGTCTCATCCTGCGTAGCAGATGGAGCTGGTAGACAGCTGCCCTGGACACAGAATTGACCTGCGCCTCCATGGACAGCTGTGAGTCCAAAATGACTCCCAGGCCGTGCACCTGCTCCTTCAAGGGCACAGATACCCCATTCAGGACCAGGGAGTCCTCCACACCCGTCCGCCTCCTGTCCCCTCCTGTACTTCAGTCTTGTCAAGATTCAACCTCAATCTGTTGGCCGCCATCCATCCTCCAACCTCAAAAAACAACATTTTGCAAACATAGCTTTGGCCTCGAAAGGACGTTCTGATTTCCACCCGACTACGACCTTCCCCAACCTGGTGCCGTCCGGATGTTGTCAAACTATAACTCCCGTCAGCCCCAGCGTCGCACGGGGAGTTCTGGTTCAAAACATCTCAGGAAGGTGCAGGATTGGGGAAGATTTCACGAGAAACTGAGACAGGGAAACGGGGTAGATTCTGCACACACACCCCGCACAGAAAAAGGAAAATAATATTGGGAGGGGCCCACAAAAGCCATTGTCTGTCTCAGCCTTTCTCAAGTCTGAGTCCCTGGATTTTGAGGGGCTACAACTCCCGTCATTCCTAGACAGCGGTCAGGGATTATGGGAGTCGTAGTTCAAGCTGAGGACCCAAAGTTGAGAAAGGCTAGTCTCACTAATGCCTCTTGCAAGCTGGTCGTTGTAAGAGCAACTGTCTAATGATTGGTGTTTGATTCTTTCCTCTACCCTCCTCATCCCTTTCCCTTGTGTGTTGTGTGTGTGGGGTTTTTTAGACTGTAAGTCTGTGGGCAGAGACGCTCTTGTTTTGACTTATTTTTATGCAAACCACTCTGGGAACCCTTTTGGCTTACGAGCTGACTTCAAAGGTTCTAAACGTTCAGAAAGCTGGTGTGAATTTTAATCTGTTCTTAGCCTACTGTTATTTTAACTTTGGGGAACTCTTAATGATTGTCACTGATTTTTCTCAATTGTCATTTTACCGTCTTGCCTTTAAAAACTGCTTTGAGGTGTTTTTTAAAGAAATATTCAAGCAGTGTATAAATTTTATGAAATAAATAAATTAAATACCGTATTTTTTGCTCTATAAGACTCACTTTTTCCCTCCTAAAAAGTAAGAGGTGCGTCTTATGGAGCGAATGCAGGCTGCGCAGCTATCCCAGAAGCCAAAACAGCAAGAGGGATTGCTGCTTTCGCTGCGCAGCGATCCCTCTTGCTGTTCTGGCTTCTGAGATTCAGAACATTTTTTTCCTTGTTTTCCTCCTCCCAAAACTAGGTGCGTCTTGTCGTCTGGTGCGTCTTATAGAGCAAATGATACGGTAGATACAGTGGTACCTCGCAAGACGAATGCCTCGCAAGACAAAAAACTCGCAAGACGAAAGAGTTTTTCGTTTTTTGAGTTGCTTCGCAAGACGAATTTCCCTATGGGCTTGCTTCGCAAGACGAAAAACGAAAACGTCTTGCAAGTTTGTTTCCTTTTTCTTAAAACCGTTAATACCCAGGGTGACTTCAAGGAGCAACTCATAGCACGCGGTGTGGTAGCCTTTTTTGAGGTTTTTGAAGACGTTGGTGATTTTGAAGACTTTGGGAAACCGTGCTTCGCAAGATGAAAAATCTGCAAGACGAAAAAACTCGCAGAACGAATTAATTTCGTCTTGCGAGGCACCACTGTATGACCTTCCAGCTGACAGGCAGTTGACTCCTGGGGTTACCTGTCGTCCGTCAAGACTGACCACTGCCCCCCCGTGCATCTTTTTAGAGAAGAAAGGGACCCAAGGATCCCCCCCCCAAAAAAAATTGGGTGCCCTCTAGATTTCCCAGGTGCCCTCATGGCGCTCACCTGAAGTGCAAGATGGGGTTGGTGATAGTGGGAGTTCGGTCATCAAACGGTTCGATGATTATAGTAAAACCTGCGGTGGGATAATTAAACAAAGATGTTTGGGTATCTGGCACGAGCACACACACACATACACACACACACAATATCAACAAAAAATTATGCACAAAATCAGGATGCTAATCTCCCTATATAATAATAATATATAATAATTTATTATTTATACCCCGCCCATCTGGCTGAGTTTCCCCAGCCACTGTGGGCAGATCCCAATCGAGTGTTAAAAGCAATACAGCATTATTGGCCATTCCAGAGAGGGCTCAGCTTTCCTTTGAATAAAGGAAGGATGCAAGCTTCTAGCCCTCCTTACGGGGTCCTCACTGCGGGATCACATTCATCCAGTGCTTTACCAACTGCACTGGCTCCCGGTGGAGTACAGGATCAGGTTTAAGGTGCTGGTTTTGACCTTTAAAGCCCCATGCGGCCTAGGACCCTCGTACTTACAGGACCGCCTCTTCTGGTATGCCCCACGGAGGACCTTAAGGTCCTCAAATGACAACACTTTGGAGGTCCCAGGTCGCAAGGTGGTTAGGTTGGTCCCAACTAGGACCAGGGACTTTTCAGTACTGGCCCCAACTTGGTAGAACACTCTGTCACAAGAGACTAGGGCCCTGTGGGACTTGACTTCTTTCCGCAGGGCCTGAAAGACGGAGCTGTTCCGCCTGGCCTTTGGTTTGGACTCAGCCTGACCCTTATGCTTCCCTCCCCTTATGGTTTTGATCTATGGGCTACTTTTAAAATGAGGCTGCATTTTAAATTGCATATTAACCTGTATTTTAAATTGGTACACAAATCGGCCGTGGTCTGTCTCCCTATTATGTTTTTTACTGTGATTTTATTGGTGTTAGCTGCCCTGAACCCGGGTCTGGCCGGGGAGGGCGGGGTATAAATAAAATTATTATTATTATTATTATTATTATTATTATTATTATTACTACAGGGGGGAAGTTTGAGAGCCAGGCAGTACTTTGCTAACATATTACAAGCTTCCAGGCTTGACATTTTAAATGTTCGTTTTGCCTACTTTAAATGAACTGTTGTTTTATCTCCCATATTCTTACAAACTGTATGTTACTCAGTTTTTTTGTTTTAAGCTTTTCACTGCAGAAGAAGCAGCTTGAAGATCTAACCCAGGGGTGGCTAACGCTCCAGGGTTAGCTGTGATTCCTGGGGTTGGACTGGATGACCCTTGGGGTCCCTTCCAGATCTATGATTTATGCAGAAAGTGTTGCAGGCTGGAATATTTCTTGCCCTGGGCCTGCAAGCCGGTCGAGGCCCAAGCTTCTAGGACACCAGAAACCTTTCCTTCCGAGAGCCGAGGAGGAAGAATTAAGCTTCTTAAAGGCGGGTGGACTGACTCATCCTCAGGGCTAAGAACTTAAGAGACTTAGGAGGTATTTATATGCCGTGGCAACGTCAGACAAAAAACACACGGAGCCCGTCCCCTTCTCCTCTCGGCTTGAGGAGATGGTGCAGCAGTCCTCAGCGCATGAGAGCACCATCGTGCTTTGCTCCAGCGCACCTCCAGGCTGTGGCACAGAGGAGAGCCCCCTGGTGGCTTCAAGGCCTGGACACAGCAGTTCAGGCACTGGCGACTTCAAGACTGGATGAGTGCGATGCACTCTCTGTGGGGCTTCCCTTGCCCTTGATCCCAAAGCTGTGGCTGGTCCAGAACGTATTTGTTTAGACAAGCCTGTCCAAATGTTTAGAAAGTCGATGAAAGTTTTAATATTAGTCTTGTTGCAGGAATGTATGTATAGGTTGGGGGGTTGCCCCTCCAGCAGATATCATGCACATGCAGCCCACTACCAAAATCAGCACAATCACTTTTGTGACTTTTGTGACTTGTCCCCACAAAACACTTCATCACAGTTTCTTCCTATCTATTCAAAGGGCCTTTGCTGCACGATACCAAATGTAAGAATTCACTGATCAATGTATCTCTGTACTGGCTCACTGGGGAAACTTCAGAAATTCATCTAGACAGGTGAGCTCAGCTCCTCAGCAGCCCCTCTGCCTGAGTGATAATCCCTGGCATCCTGATACCTGAGTGCCAGACAGGTAGCCATTCCAGGACTTACAAACCCAGATGAAGACAAAAGGATGTGATAACTTGGCTGGGAAACAGGGAAATGTAAATATCTCTTTTGCTTCACTTGATGGGTGTTGGTGGGGGGCAAGGGGAACCATGGGGCAGAGTCCAGGATGCTCAGATTACGGCCACCAGACCTCCCCTTTCATGATGTAACCATGATGTAGTTTGGGGGGGTGTAACATGGGGATGAACAGCTAATAAAAGTTTGGGTTCTCTTTTGTTCTGGGCTTCCATCTTGTTCCACCTTGTGGCAGGTGGGAGTCCTGTCGCGACAGTCTTCAATAAAGACCAAGCCTACTGGCTGCTGTTTTGCTCTGGTGTTCCTGGCTGGGGTCCTTGTTTTTTTCTCCAAGGCAGCCCCTCAGATTTCTCTGTTAACAGTCTACAGGCCACGGCTGATTTGTGTACCAATTTGCAGACATGCACCAAACCCGGAAGTGACCCAAAAAGTCACAAAAGGGGGCTTACACAGGCCCCACTGACATCCACAAGGGTCTGGAACATAAGCCTTGCACAAATCAGTTGTTACCTCTGCTGCTATTTGAACTTTTCAGACACAGCCACTGCCAGAGAGCTAAGGGTTTTGCTTTTTAAAGGCGCGAACTGCCCTATCAGACGCAGAAAGTCTCCCTTACCTTTGGAGTAAGTGCTGACCAGGGTGGCGAAATTGGAAATCAGCGTGATGGGGGAGAAATCGGAGATGTCGGCGATTTCCAGTGTTCGAAGAAGGGAGCGGAGTCTCTCTGCACAGAATCTGCAAAAGGAAGGAAAGCCCGAGTTTGCAGGAAGGCAGGGGTTGCCTTCGGGGGAGAAGGTTTGTGTGAAGGAACAGTGATGGGGAATCAGCCTTCTTTATGGTCCAGCTCTCACTTCCATACATCACTACTGGGAAAACCATGGCTTTAACTATACCAGGGGTCTGCAACCCGTGGCTCCGGAGCCGCACGTGGCTCTTTTACACCTTTGCCGCGGCTCCGGGGCGGATACTAGCGAGGGGAGGAGGCACATTGTGCGCCCCGACACTCCCCACTGTGGCGGGCGCTGTACTGGCTGTGACATCGCATGGGGTGGTGCGTGCGTTAGTCACGCACCATCCCGACGTCACCTTCCCGCCCGCCCGCTACATTGTAAGGGGCATGTACGCTGGTCACTGTTTTGAAGGGGAGTGAAGAACACACACACACAAAAAGGTAACTTGTTAATTTAACGTTTATTTCTATGAGGAGGAGTAATTCTGAGGGGTCAAACAAAGAAATAATAAAAAAGTGACCAAAAAGTTATTTTTATAATGACGAGTTTTGCGGCTCCCAGTTTTTTTTTCCTTCGGAAACGGGTCCAAGTGGCTCTTTTTGTCTTAAAGGTTGCAGACCCCTGAACTATACGGACCTTTGTCGGCAAAGTGGTTTACACACAATAAATAGTAGCACAGCAGAACTTCACCATTGAAACATAAATTGTATCAAAGAATTAACAAACAGTCAGTAAAACAACTGGAAACAGAACCTGAAGACACCGCCGTCTCTGCCCTGGAGTCGAACGCCACTCCCAGGTTGGGGTGCAAGCAAGGGTACGAAGGGTGGGGTTGGCTTTTGGGGGTGGGAGATTCTCCCTCCTGACCCCCCACTTACCGAAGGGGCTTGCGCTCAATGCAGACCTTCTCGAAGATGTCCTTCAGGAACGACGGGGGGCTTTCCTGGACCACGTGATGCACCCGCAAGCGGGACTTCAAGTACTCCAGGAAGCGTTTCAGGAAGCCCACAAAGTGCTCCGCGGTCCGGATGTTGCCCGGGACGGCCTCTGCCAAGAGGGGACAGAAAGGCAGGTCGGACCTTTGCCGTTACGCTTGTGGGGCAGCCCAGTCCAGCAGGCAGGAGGCCCCAGGGCAGCCAGAACAAATCTCTCCCCACCCTCTTCAAGAATGAGAAATGGGTCAATGCTGGATCAAACCAAGGGTACACCTCACCTGGAGTAGGTAAAGGTAAAGGGACCCCTGACCATTAGGTCCAGTTGTGGCCGACTCTGGGGTTGCGGCGCTCATCTCGCTTTACTGGCCGAGGGAGCCGGCATACAGCTTCCAGGTCGCGTGGCCAGCATAACTAAGCCGCTTCTGGCGAACCAGAGTAGTGCACGGAAACGCCAATTACCTTCCCACTGGAGTGGTACCTATTTATCTACTTTGAACTGCTAGGTTGGCAGGAGCAGGGACCGAGCAACGGGAGTTCACCCCGTCGCGGGGATTTGAACCGCCGACCTTCTGATTGGCAAGTCCTAGGCTCTGCGGTTTAACCCACAGCGCCACCCGCGTCCCAACACACCTCGCCTGGAGTCTTGTCTTAAATGGGGGACAACCACCACAGGCTCCCCACCTCCCGCTGCAGAAAGAGGCACAAGCACCTTGCAGGACCTCGTCGGGCAGCACTGGGTTGGCCAAATAGACATCCGTTTCGCGGGCGACGTTCGCCTCCCGCAGACCTTCCACCAGGCGCCGGTATTCCTCCTTCAGCTTCTGAGCATCCGTCTCCTTGATCCTTGAGGAAACAGGGAAAAGGGGGTTGTATACCTGAAGGAGCGTCTCCATCCCCATCGTTCAGCCCGGACGCTGAGATCCAGTGCCGAGGGCCTTCTGGCGGTGCCCACATTGCGAGAACTGAGGTTACAGGGAACCAGGCAGAGGGCCTTCTCAGTGGTGGCGCCCGCCCTGTGGAATGCCCTCCCTTCAGATGTGAAGGAAATAAGTAGCTATCTTATCTTTAAAAGACATCTGAAGGCAGCCCTCTTTAGGGAAGTTTTTAATGTTTGATGTTTTATCGTGTTTTTAATATTCTGTTGTGAGCCGCTCAGAGTGGCTGGGGAAACTCAGTCAGATGGGCGGGGTATAAATATATATTATTATTATTATTATTATTATTATTATTATTATTATTATTATTATTATCATCCTAGGAGGGTCAGCAACCCCTCCGTGTACTGAATGTCTCCAACCCCCACAGAGTGTACAGAGTGGATCCCAGTGGCAGTCTGACTCGGTAGGAAACATCTTCCCATGTTCCTAATTCAGCTCCCTGAGAATTTCAGCTATCAGTAGTAGAAATGGACCACGTTTCTAGCTGTTGAAAACATACAAGCCAAGTTTCTAGCTCTCATTGAGGCCAGGGTGGTTGGAAAAGGTCTCCCCCTGCCCCCAAGGAGGGTTTCCAGGGCTTTACAGCGGCTCCTTGCCGCACCCGCTTCATGACCCAACAAGCTGTGATTCCTGAGTTGCGGGGGGTTGGGCTAGATGACCCTTAGGGTCCCCTTCCAACTCTACAATTCTATAACTGGAATTATGCATGCGGGACGTCCCATAGAATCAGGGGCTGATCTTAGTGCAGGATTTCGACATTGTGCTCATGGGTATTTGCTGAGTCAAGGCTGCCGGGTGGGAAAATAAGAGGGTCCTATCTTAATTTATCTTAATAATAATAATTTTTTATTTATACCCCGCCCTTCCCAGTTCAAAAAACCGGGCTCAGGGCGGCTAACAACAAATTTAAAACACTTAATTGATGCAACAAAAACAGCATAAAATACAGTATAAAGCGTGAATAACAATAAGAATTCAAAAATCAATTTAGGGGGGAAAGCCATCCAATAAACATCAGACGATCACCAGGGCTAGCTGGCTAAATTAGTCCTATTTGGGCCAGCGAGGAGACCAGGGGAGAATTAGCTGTGGGATCCTAGAGCGGGTAATCTTCATAAAAAGGGGAGGGGGAGGGAAGGAAGGGGAATAAAAGATCAGGCTAAGTTCAAATTGAAGGCCAGGCGGAATAGCTCTGTCTTACAGGCCCTGTGGAAGGAAGTTAAATCCTGCAGGGCGCTGGTCTCATGGGACAGAGCATGCCACCAGGTCGGAGCCACCACTGAGAAGGCCCTGGCGGAGGATAGTCTGACTTCCGTTGGGCCTGGGACCTCTAAACTATGGTTATTCATGGACCTTAAGGTCCTCTGCGAGGCAGACCAGGAGAGGCGGTCCTGTAAATACGAGGGCCGTAAGCCACAAAGGGCTTTAAAGGTCAAAACCAGCACCTTAAACCTGACCCAATACTCCACCGGGAGCCAGATAAATTCAACAGTGTAAGTAAGTTTTGATGGAAGTTATCATGAAATACTGAATGGTTTAGTTTATATACAACTTGCAGGGACTTATGCTATGCAAAATGAACCATGGGAAGAGAAGAAGGGAAGTCACTGATATTTTAAGGTTGTCTAAGTGAATATTCTAAATTGTAAAACAGAAAATTTAATTTAAAAAAATGGGAAAATAAGAGGGTCTCCTCACTCACTTCTGGATGCTGGCTTGGAGCGTGGCCACGTTCCCCTGGCACCGGTCCAGCATCTTGCGCGTGATGTTGACACCCATGGAATCGATGCAGACGTTGTCTGTGGGAGAAGAAAGAGGCCGGCCGGCCGGTCTATGTGACTTTCCAGGCAGGTGAAGACAGACCGACAATTTTCCGGCACAGCAACTGAGCCACCGCGCTTGTCAGGATGGGGCAGCAAGGCCTCCTTTCGTGAGAGAATCTTCTTCCCACAACACCTCCTCGAATTTTAACACACCCTGCGCTGATAACCATCGCGGCACCATGTAGCGGTGAGTTCCGCAGGCTCTGCGTGTGCTACATGAACCACCACCCTCACCCTGTCAGCTCAGGAAAGGCCCTGCTACGCTTGGCCCTAAAGGGACAGTCGCATTATCCCCCCACATTGCAGGGGGTTGGACTAGATGGCACCTGGGGTCCCCGCCCAACTCAACAATTCTATGATTCTAGGTATGTGCTTGCAGATGTTCAAGACAGGCAAGAGGTGCTCTTGCATACCGATATTGTGAGCCTCGTCGAAGACGACGACGGATTTCTTGGCCAGTTCTTTAGACACCAGGTCAGCGATCTTGGGGTCCAGGAGATAGTGGTAGCTGTACACCACGATGTTGGCGTGAAGGATCTGGTCCAGCATGGAGAGAAACAGCAGAACAAGGACACACGTGGCATGAAAATCTATACTGTATTGGACCAAGTTATCACATCCTTTTTTTGAAAAAATGAAATAAAATAATTCATTTGATTTTTCAACTTAAAAGTTTTACAGAGATATATCAAACATAAATTATAAAAATCAGATTCCAAGGAATATCCTGGACTTCCATCCTCCCCTTTGTGGGTCCTCCACCTCCATCGTTCTGCCTGGACACTGAGGTCCAGCGCCGAGGGCCTTCTGGCGGTTCCCTCACTGCGAGAAGCCAAGTTACAGGGAACCAGGCAGAGGGCCTTCTCGGCAGTGGCACCCGCTCTGTGGAACGCCCTCCCACAAAATGTCAAAGAGAAAATCAACTACCAGACTTTTAGAAGACATCTGAAGGCTGTCAAGAAGTGGCAGAGAGATATTTCTAGATTTGTCTGGCAGGGCAAGAAGCCCAGAATAAAATTTAAGATATTAACTGATGCCAAGGAAAGAGGTGGATTTGCCCTGCCAGACCTTAAACTTTATTATGAATCAGCAGCTTTGCTGGCTGAAAGAATGGCTACTTCTTGAAAACACAGACATTTTGGATTTAGAAGGTTTTAACAATGTATTTGGATGGCATGCATATTTATGATATGATAAGGTCAAAGCACACAAAGCATTCAAAAATCATATTGTTAGGAAAGCATTGTTTAATGTCTGGATAAGATACAAAGACTTATTGGAAAATAAAACCCCAAGGTGGCTGTCACCAATGGAAGCGAAAGCTCTGAAAAGGCTCAATATGGAGGCCAAATGGCCGACATATTGGAAATTTTGGAGCAAGAAGGAGATAAATTGAGACTGCAGAGTTTTGAAAAATTAAAAATAAAGTGAGAGATTGGCTCCACTACTATCAGATAATGGAGGCATATAACTTGGATAAGAAAATAGGCTTCCAAGTGGAAAAGTCAAAATTAGAAACAGAATTGTTAGAACCCAAAACTAAAAATTTGTCAAGAATGTATAACTTGCTGTTGAAATGGAATACTCAGGATGAAACGGTGAAATCGGCTATGATTAAATGAGCACAAGATGTTGGACATAACATTATGTTCGCTGACTGGGAACAGTTATGGACCACAGGTATGAAGTTTACGGCATGTAATGCCTTAAGAGAGAATATTATGAAAATGATATACAGGTGGTACATGACCCCAGTCAAGCTTGCAAAAATTTATCATTTGCCCGATAATAAATGTTGGAAATGTAAAGAAACTGAAGGTACATTCTTTCACCTTTGGTGGACGTGCCCAAAGATTAAGGCTTTCTGGGAAATGATATATAATGAACTGAAGGTATTTAAATATACCTTTCTGAAGAAACCAGAGGCCTTTCTCTTGGGCATTGTCGGCCAACTGGTGCCAAAGAAGGACAGAACCTTTTCATGTATGCTACAACAGCAGCAAGAATACTTATCGCAAAGTATTGGAAGACACAAGATCTACCCACTTTGGAAGAATGGCAGATGAAGGTGATTGACTACATGGAATTGGCGGAAATGACTGGCAGAATCCGAGACCAGGGAGAAGAGTCGGTGAAAGAAGACTGGAAAAAATTTAAGGACTATTTACAGAAATATTGTAAAATTAAGGAACTTTAGAAGGATGTTGGATAGAAATTAAGAGGTTTTTAGCTGTAATGCTTTAAGAGACATGAAAAAAAAGGTTAACAATTGGGTAAAAGATTAATGGTAAGGATTTGCTGAACCAACAAACTGAATTGGAATACAAAGAAGGGAGGTATGAGGAGGTCTGGGGAAATAAGAGTAAGGAAGATAGGTTATGGAACATTATTGTGTTTTTAACTGTTTTATTTTGTATGTTTTTTCTTACTTTTTACTCTTCTGCTGTAATTTATACTTTTTTCTTTGTTTTCTGTATTTTTGTGAAACTTTAATAAATATCATTTAAAAAAAAAAAAAAAGAAGACATCTGAAGGCAGCCCTGTTCAGGGAAGCTTCTAATGTTTGATGCATTACTGTATTTTGATATTTTGTTGGATGCTGCCCAGGGTGGCTGGGGAAGCCCAGCCAGATGGGCAGGGTATAAATAATAAATTATTATTATTATTATTATTAATCAGTTCCTCCCACATCTTTTATGATAATCCAAACCCTTTACTTCTTCCATTATGTCCAGAATTCAAGGAATCTTCCATTCTCTCCTTTGTGGGTCCTGTTACTATCATTTCCTTCGGCATCTTTTATGACAGTCCAAATCTTTTACATCTCTATTATATCCAGAATTCACCCTTGAAAACTATCAGTGATATTCCAGTCCTACTAACGATTTTAACTGTTTACAGTGGTCTTTAAGATAAGTTATCAATTTCCCCCACTCCTTATTAAAATTTTGGTCTTCCTGATTTCTGATTCTTCCGGTCATTTTAGCCATTTCAGCACAGTCCATTAACTTAATCTGCCATTCTTCTCTGGTACGGACTTTATCTCCTTCCCATCTCTGGGCCAGTAACATCCGTTTTCCAGTCCTCTTGGGGTGGAGGGAGGGGGGAAACCAACTCTCCGCCCCCCTCAAAAGGACAGTCACATTAAAAGGTATCCACAGATGCTCAAAACATGTAAAGAGATGTGCTCTTTTAAAAAAAAATTAGGAACAGCACCTGTGCAAGCTTTCAAGCTACACAGAAAACTTCAGGCAGGCAGGGAATGGAGGTAATGAGGTGTACCCTTAAAAAAACCAAAAACACAACCTTACTTCATATGTGGTGGACTTGTCCCAAGGTGAAAGACTTTTGGGAAAAGATTTATAATGAACTGAAAAAAATGTTAAAATGTACATTTATTAAGAAACCAGAGGCCTTTCTTCTTGGAATAATAGGTTTGGAATTGCCCAAGAAAGATGTTAGATTGTTTTTTGTATGCCACAACTGCTGCAAGAATTGTGCTGGCCAAAAATTGGAAATCACAAGTGCCACCAACAGTGGAGGAATGGCAGATGAAGATGATAGACTTTTCGGAGCTAGCCGACCTGACCGGAAGAGTCCGCGACCAGAAGGAGGAGGAGCACCAAGAGGAATGGAAGAAATTTAAAGAATATTTAGTTAAATATGTTAAGATAATTTAAATAGAATTACTTGCGAGTACCAAATTGGCCTAGGATTTAAATGTGTGATGTTGTAGAATACCATGGATAAAAGTCAAAATGAAAAGAAAGAAAGATGTTAATAGGACTATGTAAATTTTATGTGAAATTAGTTTTCGAAAACTGCTACAATGATTTATATGGAAACTCAGCCAGGGAGATTCGAGGAAGTCACTTAGCAAAAGTGGATTTTCCACAGTTAGGATATATGTTTGTTTGTTGCTTGTTTTTTGATGTTTTCTTTTTATCTTTGTTGATATGTCTGTTTTAAACTTGGAAAACGAATAAACAATTTTGGGGGGAAAACAACAACACAACCTTATATTGCACATTTATTCTAATTTAGTGAGTAATGGGTGGTGAGAAGGCACTGAAATCCCCACCCCCCACCCCCAATTATTGGAAATTTAAGCAGAAAATGCCAGCTGCAGAGGGGAAAAAGCAAACAGGACTCATCTCCATCACCTCTGCCACCTTTGGTTCTCCCTCTCTCCTCATAGCAGGCGTTCCATCAGGCTACCAGCTTCCCTCCCAGCCGGTCACGAGAAGAACCGTAATGTTCAAGAACAGGTGCCTGAGCTTTCCCCCTTCCTCTTCCCTCCCCATCCCTTTTTCCTTGCATGCTGTGTCCTTTCCATTCTAAGCCCCAAAGCAGCAATCTCTAGCTGTCGATATTGTGCTTCTGAGCGGCTTTTGGACTAAAGAGCCCATCAATATGCTTCAAACAAAATTACTTGCGTTCATTAGTTTGTACTCAGCTCTCTGGCCTCAGATATTCCAGCAGGCCTTGCACTCTTTGAGCTATGAGGTCAGGAACTTGGCATCTATAAAGCCACCCAGAGTGGCTGGGGAAAGTCAGCCAGATGGTCGGGGTATAAATAATAAATAATAATAATAATTATTATTATTATTAAAGAGGAGGTTCTTAAGAAGCTGAATAGTATTTTTAATCTGTTTTAGTATTATTAGTACAGTGGTACCTCAGGTTACATACGCTTCAGGTTACATACGCTTCAGGTTACAGACTCCGCTAACCCAGAAATAGTGCTTCAGGTTAAGAACTTTGCTTCAGGATGAGAACAGAAATCGTGCTCCGGCGGCACAGCAGCAGCAGGGGGCCCCATTAGCTAAAGTGGTGCTTCAGGTTAAAAACAGTTTCAGGTTAAGAACAGACCTCCGGAACAAATTAAGTACTTAACCCAAGGTACCACTGTATTATTGGGGAAGTTTTTAATATTTAATGCTGTATTGTTTTTAGCACTCGATTGGGAGCCACCCAGAGTAGCTGGGGAAACTCAGCCAGATGGACGGGGTATACATAATAAATTTATTATTATTATTATTATTATTATTATTATTATTATTATTATTATGAGTCAACAGCGTGATGCAGCAGTAAGAAAAGCTAACGCTATTCTTATTATTTATCTTATTATCTTACTATTTATTATTATTATTATTATTACTACTACTACTACTATTACTATTATTATTATTATTATTAACTTTTGTGTGTTTTAAAGAAGGGCTGCAAATCTTTCTTAATTTTATTGTTTTATCTTTCATAAACCGCTTTAGTTTGTGTTTTGTTTTGTTTTTCAAATCAACCAGTGTATAAATTTTATTATATTTTATGCCATGGCCATTTGGGCTGTTTTTTCCCCCCTCCAGAAATTTATGATGGCAGTCACATGGAGGCAGAGGAAGGGGACCCAAACAAAATATACCTGGTTACCTATTATGCACAAAAAAAGACAGCTAGGTGATCACAGCCACATTACCGAGTAACGTGCAAGGAAGTAGGGGCACCATCCTTTCTGGCGACCGAAGGCCTTCAAGTCGTCGAGATTGTACACGCCGTATGGGAGAGGCACCTGCCGCCCGTGGGCATCAAATTCCTGCCAAAGAAGGGGAAAGCACATGGCAAGCTGCAGTTTGAATCAGAGAGTTGGAAGGGAGCCTTGAGGGCCAGCTATTCTTTTTGGCACCCGCTAAAAACATCATTTTCTAAGACGAGATGCTTAGAAAGTTGATGTCGATTCTATTATATAGAATAAGAGAACAAGAAGAACATACGTCGAGAGAAGATTGGAAAACATGTATTGATACATGGGAAATAACTGTGTACAGTGGTGCCTCGCAAGACGAAAAGAATCCGTTCTGTGAGTCTCTTCGTCTAGCGGTTTTTTCGTCTTGCGAAGCAAGCCCATTGACGGATTAGCGGATTAGCGCTATTAGCGGCTTTTAGCGGCTTTTAGCGGCTTATCAGCTTATCGGATAAGCAGATAAGCGGCTTAGCGGCTTAGAAAAAGAGGGGGGAAAGGAAAAAAAAATGCAGGAACTCGCAAGACATTTTCGTCTTGCGAAGCAAGCCCATAGCAGATTTGTTTTGCGAAGCACCTCCAAAACGGAAAACTCTTTCGTCTAGCGAGTTTTCCGTCTTGCGAGGCATTCGTCTTGCGGGGCACCACTGTACAGCTGAAAACGCTGGCAGCGTTGAGATAAATTCAACAGTGTAAATAAGTTATGATGGATCTAATAGGTCAAGGGACAACTGGACGGTTAAGTCCAGTCAAAGGCGATGATGGGGTTGCAGCGCTCATCTCGTTTTCAGGCCAAGGGAGCCGGCGTTTGTCATGTGGCCAGCATGACGAAACTGCTATTGGCGCAACGGGACACCATGACGGAAACCAGAGCGCACGGAAATGCCATTTACCTTCCTGCCGCAGCGGTACTTGCACTGGCGTGCTTTCGAACTGCTAGGTTAGCAGGAGCTGGGATCAAGCAACGGGAGCTCATCCCGTCGCAGGGCTTTGAACCGCCGACCTTCTGATCGGCAAGCCCAAGAGGCTCAGTGGTTTGGACCACAGCATCACCCACATCCCTATGGATATAATAATGGATCCGTGCCAGTCGTGGCTGACTCTAGGGTTGCGGCGCTCATCTCGCTTTATTGGCCGAGTGAGCTGGCGTACAGCTTCCGGGTCATGTGGCCAGCATGACTAAGCCGCTTCTGGCGAACCAGAGCAGTGCACGGAAACGCCGTTTACCTTCCCGCCGGAGCAGTACCTATTTATCTACTTTCACTTTGATGTGCTTTCGAACTGCTAGGTTGGCAGGAGCAGGGACCGAGCAACAGGAGCTCACCCTGTCGTGGGGATTCAAACCACCAACCTTCTGATCGGCAAGTCCTAGGCTCTGTGGTATAACCCACAGCGCCACCCACGTCCCATAATCAGTCATACCAACAGGCTAAAAAACACTTCTATCTGTGGGCTGTTAGGCTGCTGAACAGAAAAGAATATAGTGCAATTGACTTTCGGGGTTGGTGCGTTGTGTGACAAGCACAGAGTGCAATGAGATTGGGTGTTTGGGGTGGGGAGAGAAGCTCGGTTAATTTCACTGTACACAGGTTGTACATTGACAATAAAGGTATTATTATTATTATTATTATTATTATTATTATTATTATATCAGGCATAGTTAAAGCTATGGTTTTCCCAGTAGTGATAGTTTTCGCCGAAGAATGGATGCTTTTGAATTCTGGTGCTGGAGGAGACTCTTGAGAGTCCCATGGACTGCAAGAAGATCCAACCTCTCCATTCTCAAGGAAATCAGGCCTGAGTGCTCACTGGAAGGACAGATCCTGAAGCTGAGGCTCCAAGACTTTGGCCACCTCATGAGAAGAGAAGACTCCCTGGAAAAGACCCTGATGTTGGGAAAGATGGAGGGCACAAGGAGAAGGGGACGAGAGATGGTTCGACAGTGTTCTCAAAGCTACCAGCATGAGTTTGACCAAACTGCGGGAGGTAGTGGAAGACAGGAGTGCCTGGAGTGCTCTGGTCCAGGGGGTCACGAAGAGGCGGACACAACTAAACAACAAAAGTCAGGCATCCCCAACCTTTGGCCCTCCAGATGTTTTCGACTACAATTCCCATCATCCCTGACCACTGGTCCTGTTAGCTAGAGATCATGGGAGTTGTAGGCCAAAACATCTGGAGGTCTGCAGGTTGGGGATGCCTACTGTAAATGATACAGCGATTATTATCGCGATACCTCAAAGAAGCGGCAAGAGGGGACGCTGCTGTCCTGCTGCTGCTGAGCCCGGACGTAGGAAGCAGTCAGGCTGAAGCATTTCCCGTCCACCTCCTTCCCGAAGCGAAAGGCGCTCACCTGCAGGGAGGAATAACGATTATTAGAACTGTAGAGCGGGCAGAGACCCCAAGGGTCATGGACTACAGCTCCCATCAGCTGCAGCACCCACAGTTGGTGCCAGGTTGGGGGTAAGCTGGGATAAGGGGCCCCCACAGCAAGTGGGTGAGCACAGAGGGGCTGACCCCAAGGTGTCTGAACGCCCTGAAAGGCAGCGACGTGGGCGACTCCCAGGTAAGCCCATTGGGCAGAACGGCGCTAATCAAAACAACAGGCAAACCTCCGGGTGGATGCAGAGGTTCTTCCGGGAGCTAAGCGCCAAGCCCAGGAAGGGCAGCTTGTCTCCTGTCTGCTTCTCGTGGAAATCCAGGAGTTTGCGCAGTTCCTCGATGACCTGGGGGAAAAGCACAGCACTCGCGCCAAAGACTCCTTGGTCCTCTCTCTCTCTCTGCGAGCCACGGAGGATGGAGGCAAGTCGAGGGGTCAGGGACAGAGGCGCGGGCTGGACTCCAGCTCCCATCATTCTCCAACTTCTCACTCTCAGCACTCCTCAGAACTAACCACACCACACTAACAGTCTCCAACACACACCAGTGTTATAGGTAAAGGGACCCCTGACCATTAGGTCCAGTCATGACTGACTCTGGGGTTGCAGCGCTCATCTCGCTTTACTGGCCGAGGGAGCCGGCGTACAGCTTCCGGGTCATGTGGCCAGCAGGACTAAGCCGCTTCTAGCGAAGCAGAGCAGCGCACGGAAATGCCGTTTACCTTCCCGCCGGAGTGGTACCTATTTATCTACTTGCACTTTGACGTGCTTTCAAACTGCTAGGTTGGCAGGAGCAGGGACTGAGCAACGGGAGCTCACCCCGTCGCGGGGATTTGAACCGCCGACCTTCTGATCGGCAAGCCCTAGGCTCTGTGGTTTAACCCACAGCGCCACCCGCGTCCCTATCAGTGTTATAGGTCATGCCTATATAAGGAACTCAGCCAATCACTTGCTTGTTGCTGGGTCTCCTTATTTCTGGGCAGATTCCTTTCATGTTCTGCATTCCCATGCTGTGGAGATTCTAATTGCAAACTTGCTAAGCTGCCGGCAGATCATGGATTCCAACAAACCCAACCATGTCCCAGTTACCTTTTCAATCTCTGGCACCGTTCGGGAGCAGTATATGAGCTTCGTCACTTCCAGGGGATGAGCCTGAGGAGGGAAAGGGAAAACGGGTTTACTTAGAAAGAGCTTTTTGGGTGGGTGGGTGGACATCGGCCAAAAGAGGTGCCCCATTGACAGGAGGGGATGCGGAAGAGTGGACAGTCACACGGGGGGGGGTCCAGAAAGCAATATATTTTATCTTTTTTTAAAAAATCATTTTTATTGATTTTCCATAAAAACAGCCAATCAACATATCCGCATCATAATCCAATTAAAAACAATAAACTAAAATAAAAAATGACCAAATTATAGTCCAAATTGTAATTATTAATTTTTCCAGGCTCCCCATAGTCTGGACCTCTGAAGCATATCTCCAAATCTTCATTCCTGCCTCTTCTCGTTGCTTTCATATTTTCCGCCTTCTGATCTTAACATTTTAAAGTTCTCCGTCCCTGGCTATGCGATTCTCAGTCATGTCAAAAATCATATATCCTTTCATCCATCGAATACAGCTTTATTTGTAAATATATATAGCAATGTATTTTATCTTGCATTTTTAAAACACTTGCTTTTATTATACTGGCTTAACGTAAGTCATCTTCGTTACAATGCAGGCCATAAAGGAATTGACTAAATTTAGCTGCTGGCCACATGACCAGGAAAAACTGTCTGCGGACAAACGCCAGCTCCCTCGGCCAGTAAAGCGAGATGAGCGCCGCAACCCCAGAGTCATACACGACTTAACTGTCAGGGGTCCTTTACTTTTTTTTTAATAGGAAGCCAGGTTCTTTCACTTTAAAAAACAGTAATTTCTGCTCAAACGGATAACACAAACCAGTACATCCAACACCCCGTTTTAAAGGATAGATCTATTTTCTATTTTATTGTACTACTAGGGGATTAACTTTGGTGCCCAGTTTGATAGAGAGAAGTTAGCTTCCTATCTAGACGCTTGTGTTCTTCGGGGGTACACAGAAAATAAATCATAAGGACACGGGAATGGGGGGATATTTTAAATGCATATGTGTATTTAATCTCAAGAACTCTTGAGGTGTTGTTGCTTAGTCGTGTCCGACTCTTCGTGACCCCATGGACCAGAGCACGCCAGGCACTCCTGTCTTCCACTGCCTCCCGCAGTTTGGTCAAACTCATGCTGGTAGCTTCGAGAACACTGTTCCACCATCTCGTCCTCTGTCGTCCCCTTCTCCTTGTGCCCTCCATCTTTCCCAACATCAGGGTCTTTTCCAGGGAGTCTTATCTTCTCATGAGGTGGCCAAAGTCTTGGAGCCTCAGCTTCAGGATCTGTCCTTCCAGTGAGCACTCAGGGCTGATTTCCTTCAGAATGGATCGGTTTGATCTTCTTGCAGTCCATGGGACTCTCAAGAGTCTCCTCCAGCACCATAATTCAAAAACTCTTGAGGTAGGCTAAACCAAACTGCGGGAGGCAGTGGAAGACAGGGGTGCCTGGCGTGCTCTGGTCCAGGGGGTCACGAAGAGTCGGACATGACTAAACAACAACAAGACTGAGAGGCAGTGATCAACCCAAGCAAGCTTCATGGACAAATGGGGATTCGAACCCTGGTCTTTCCCAGGTCCTAGTCCAACACTCTAACCACTGGCTCTCTTATTGATGTTTCTGCAGACAAAGTACTAATAATGGAAGGCTGCAGAACCGGTGCCCCCCTCCCCATTGTTGCTGGACTCCCATCAGCCCAAATGGCCAAAGGTTGGGGTGATCAAGGGAGCTGTAGTCCAGCGGGAATAATACTTCATCTTCATGTAGCCCCTTGGGGTGTTCAAAGTGTTTCACATTCTCCCGGTGATCGTTACACCAAGCCTGCAAGGTAGGCCAGGTGTCGTTATCTGCATCAGGGGCTGCCAGGCCGCCTTTACAGAAGCCGAGGCAAGGCGACTCACCCGCTGGTAGGCCACAATCAGAGACAGGAGGGAGATTGTCTTCCCGGTGCCCGATGGCATTTCCAGAACGCCATGACCCTAGCGGAGAAACAGAGAGAGTCGGTATGAATTAGCAGCGATACTGCAATGCGGCTCACGTCAAATCTCAAAGTGGAAAATGTATGCATTCACGCAATTTAAAACAGGCTGTTCTCCATTCGATGGTTGTGATGCTGGTGATGTAAAAGCTTTGCTAAGAGCCAGTGTGGTGTAGTGGTTAAGAGCGGCAGTCCCGTAATCTGGGGAACCGGGTTCGCTTCCCTGCTCTTCCACATGCAGCTGCTGGGTGACCTTGGGCCAGTCACACTTCTCCGAAGTCTCTCAGCCCCACTCACCTCACAGAGTGTTTGTTGTGGGGGAGGAAGGGAAGGGAGAATGTTAGCCGCTTTGAGACTCCTTAAAGGGAGTGAAAGGCGGGATATCAAATCCAAACTCTTCTTCTTCTTTGCTATCAAGTGTAGACTCTAGACCAGGGGTCAGCAAACTTTTTCAGCAGGGGGCTGGTCCACTGTCCCTCAGACCTTGTTTTTTTGGGGGGGGAATAATGAATTCCTATGCCCCACAAATAACCCAGAGATGCATTTTAAAATAAAAGGACACATTCTACTCATGTAAAAACACCAGGCAGACCCCACAAATAACCCAGAGGTGCATTTTAAATAAAAGGACACATTCTACTCATGTAAAAACACGTTGATTCCCGGACCGTCCGTGGGCTGGATTTAGAAGGTGATTGGGCCGAATCCGGCCCCCGGGCCTTAGTTTGCCTACCCATGGTCTAGATGTCTGTTGATGAAACCTAGAACAGCATCAACGATTTTTGGCTGGTGCATCCCATTATTCCACCTCACCTCTTGAAACAAGAAACTGATTTGCACTGAGGTCAAGCGCAGCAACGCCCTCCTCCTCCTCCTAAACCGGCACCCCAAACAAACCCAGCCCCTGGTCAAACCTTGGCATCCAATGTCCTCTTCAGCTCCAGCATGTAAGAATACTGCTCCGGGTAGATGTAATCATAGGGGAAATAAACAAGAAGTCCATCTATGTTCAGCCTGAAGGAAGGGAAAGCGAGAGAGGCATCAGAGAAATGTCCTGGGAAAAGAACTGCCCATAAGGAGGTGCTTGACTCAAAGCCAAGCTCCTAGTCCTTAGGGTTTGAACTGCCAGTCAGTGTAGGCAGTACTGAGGGGATCATAGGAATTCTAAGGTCTTATATATAAAAAATAAATGTACATAAATGTACAAGGCAAATACATGAATAGTACAGGAGAACAATCCTGAAGCCATTTTGACTCTCCCAAATTGACCTCAAATATTTCTCTGCAAGGAGGAAGGAAATGGGAAAAGCTTTCCAGTTGTCTTTGGACTGTAGGGGCTTACACCTCCCTGTAAATACAGGGGAAAGTGTTCTCGAAGCTACCAGCATGAGTTTGACCAAACTGCGGGAGGCAGTGGAAGACAGGAGTGCCTGGCGTGCTCTGGTCCAGGGGGTCACGAAGAGTCGGACACAACTAAACGACTAAACAACAAAAATACAGTCTGGCAAGTTTCTGTTAAGCTGAGCACATATGCGTAAGAGATTAAGGAACTAAGTATTTACCATCTCCAGAGAATGGCCAGGCTACCCAGATAAGGCAGGGGTCAGCAACCTAAGGCCCATGACCAGCCCACAAGCCGCCCCTGAATTGAGCTGCCCACTCGCATGCTGAGCTATAGCAGCGCAGCGTGGCATGGGGACTCGCTTCCACGGTGCTGAAAATCGTGTCTGCGCATGCACAGACACCGAAAATTGCGGACACGCACGCTCATGCGCGCATGTGATCTGGCTCACGGAGGGATCTCTGAGGGACCAATCTGGCCCAGGCAAGATAAACCTTGCTGACTCTAAGATAAGGCATTATCAAGTATCCTGGCAGACAGGAGAGAAGCAACACACTCAAATTTCTGCTGGGGACCACCTCTTTCTGTGATGCATGTATGATGTTTTGGGGGGTGGTCTTGAGCTACAGGGTGGGCAGTTTCAAAAGTCTATATAAGATCTTGCACACCAGTGTTCTGGGTTCCTCTTCTCCCTCCCTGCGTGTGGTGGTAGGGAGCACCCTGTTGCAACAGTTTAATAAAGGTCAGGCTTACTAGCCACTTTGCTTCTCAATATTCTCTGGTTGGCCTCTGTTATTTTCTCCTACCGATGGGGAACCCACTTAAGGACTCTACAAGGGCTCTTAGATACTCCATACAGGGGTGCCCAAACTTTTTCAAAGAGGGCCAGATTTGATGAAGTGAACATGCATGAGGGCCGACAAAAGTTGTAGACTTTTTTTAGAATTTTAAAGAATTTTTTATAAGTTGTTCAGCTTTTTTTATGATTTTACCCCAAAGTTGCTGAGCTTTTTTTAGGATTGAAGTAGCCACAGACCAGCTCTGATGTCCCTATTGAATCCTATGTTTCTCCCGAGAATCATGAGGACTGGAATCTTAGCTCCTTTTAAGGGAATGGGCCACAGCTCGGGGGGGCAGCACCCGCTTCGCAAGCAGGCGGTGTCCCAGGTGGGGTTGGGAGTGCCCCCTGGCTGAAACCCTAAGAGCCACTGCTGCCAGTCAGTGTTGGGAATATTGAGGTAGATGGACCCTGTGGTCTGACTTAGCGGCTTTCCTAGAATCCTGAGCAGAGTTATAATAATAATAATGATAATTTATTATTTATACCCCGCCCATCTGCCTGAGTTTCCCCAGCCACTCTGGGCGGCTTCCAATCAAGTGTTAAAAACAACACAGCATTAAACATTAAAAACTCCCCTAAACAGGGCTGCCTTCAGATGTCTTTTAAAAAGAAGATAGCTGCTTATTTCCTTTACATCTGAAGGGAGGGCGTTCCACAGGGCGGGCGCCACCACCGAGAAGGCCCTCTGCCTGGTTCCCCGTAACCTCACTTCTCGCAATGAGGGAACCGCCAGAAGGCCCTCGGCGCTGGACCTCAGTGTCCGGGCTGGACGATGGAGGTGGAGACGCTCCTTCAGGTATACTGGACCGAGGCCGTTTAGGGCTTTAAAAGTCAGCACCAACACTTTGAATTTTGCTCAGAAGCGTACTGGGAACCAATGCAGATCTCTCAGGACCGGTGTTATGTGGTCGTGGCGGCCGCTCCCAGTCACCAGTCTAGCTGCCGCATTCTGGATTAGTTGCAGTTTCCAGGTCACCTTCAAAGGTAGCCCCACGCAGAGTGCATTGCAGTAGTCCAAGCAGGAGATAACCAGAGCATGCACCACTCTAGTGAGACAGTCTGCAGGCAGGAAGGGTCTCATCCTGCGTACCAGATGGAGCTGATAAACAGCTGCCCTGGACACAGAATTTACCTGCGCCTCCACGGACAGCTGTGGGTCCAAAATGACTCCCAGGCTGCGCACCTGGTCCTTCAGAGGCACAGTTGCCCCATTCAGGACCAGGGAGTCCTCCACACCTGCCTGCCCCCTGTCCCCCAAAAACAGTACTTCTGTCTTGTCAGGATTCAACCTCAATCTGTTAGCCGCCATCCATCCTCCAACCGCCCCCAGACACTCACACAGGACCTTCACCGCCTTCACTGGTTCTGATTTAAAAGAGTTATGGAATTAATGCATGGGGAGGGGGGGCTGCATGCAAAGATATGGGGGTGCACCTTTCTCTGGCTGGTGGAAAAGGGTTGCTTTTGCACCCCCACCCCCCAAAAAATGTCCCCCCCAAATATTGCACCCACAGAGAGAGTGGACTTGGTCATGTCAATGACCACAGCAAATGCCTCCCCTTTAACCAAAGCAATGAATTCCAAACGCCTCCAGGTATTTGCCCCCCCCGCGCCCCCCCACAATAGCCCCTCTTTTTAATAATGCCCACTTAGTCTATATCTGTCCCCAATAACACTCCCCCCTCCCTGTTTCCCTAGTGGTATTTCCCAGGTCTCCGCTCCCCCCACTCACTTCATGGTCTCTCCCAGCCTCCAATCCCATTGGCCGCCGCAGCTGCTCACGCCGCTCCACTCTAGGTAAGCTTTTTCTTCTTCTGCGCATGCCTTCGCCGCTGCGCTCTATTGGTCAGAAAGACTCGTCGGGTCGCGCTTCTGGTTGGCTAAGATGAATAAAGCTCCGCCCTACATTCAAGCGAGTACTTACAGCCCTAGCCCAAAGGGAGTTCGGCTGCGCTGTGAAAAGGCATCGTAAGCCGCTCGAGAGCTAATCGTACGCAGCTGTTGAAGGCTGAAGTAGTCGAGCCCAGAAATAGGGATGGCCTTGGATTGGGAGATGCTAAAAACCATGAATGATAAAGCTTGCTTGCTTGCTTCTTTGATTGATGGATGGATTGCATTTATAGTGTCCTACCTTTCCTGCAAGGTTCTCTTCCTCCCTATTTTATCCTTGCACAACAGCCCTGTAGGTTAGGCTTGAGGCTGGGCAGGGTGCAACGCAGGGCTAAAAGAAAAAACTGCTCCTTTTCTCTTATGGGGTATCCAAGAGGCCGTTCATCTTCTGCGATCCCTCGTAGCCGAGTAAGATTGTCTTCCATAAACACGGCCTTAACAGTGAGTCCGTAAGTGACTGGAGGCCAATTCTGGATCCACACGTCCTTCCACAGTGGGGACATTGGTTTCCGGGCAGGAGCTGATTACGATGTGGATTTGCCAAGCGTGCCTTCCTCTTAGCACGTTTCTCCCTTGCGTCCTGAGTTCAAGTGTCTTCAAAGCCCATGACACCTTTGGTCAAGGCTGTTCTCCAACTGGAGTGCTCACAGGCCAGTGTTTCACAATTGTCAGTGTTTATACAGTGGTACCTCTGGATACGAACGGGATCTGTTCCGGAGCCCCATTCGCATCCAGAAGCAAACGCAAACCGCGACTGCACGTGCGCGGGTCGCGATTTGCCGCTTCCGTGCATGCACGTAACGTCATTTTGACCATCTGCGCATGCGTGAGCGGCGAAACCCAAAAGCGCTCAACCTGAAGCACATTTAACCTGAGGTATGACTGTACTAGGGACGCAGGTGGCGCTGTGGGTAAAACCTCAGTGCCTAGGACTTGCCAATCACATGGTCGGCGGTTCGAATCCCCGCGGATTCCCGTTGCTCGGTCCCAGCGCCTGCCAACCTAGCAGTTCGAAAGCACCCCCGGGTGCAAGTAGATATATAGGGACCACTTACTAGCGGGAAGGTAAACGGCGTTTCCGTGTGCTGCGCTGGTGCCGGTTCGCCAGAGCAGCTTCGTCACGCTGGCCACGTGACCCGGAAATGTCTGCGGACAGCGCTGGCTCCCGGCCTCTAGAGTGAGATGAGCGCACAGCCCTAGAGTCTGTCAAGACTGGCCCGTACGGGCAGGGGTACCTTTACCTTTATGACTGTACTACATTTTTTAAGATTTGCCTTGAGACAGTCTTTAAACCCCTTTTGTTGACCACCAGCATTACGCTTTCCATTTTTAAGTTCGGAATAGAGTAGTTGCTTTGGAAGATGATCATCAGGCATCCGCAGAACGTATAGAGTCCTTAAGTGGGTTTCCTATCGGTAGGAGAAAATAACAGAGGCCAACCAGAGTATGTTGAGTAGCAAAGCAGCTAGTAAGCCTGATCTTTATTAAACTGTTGCAACAGGGTGTCCACTCACCACATGCAGGAGGGAGGAGGAACCCTGAACAGTGGTGTGCAAGCTCTTAAATAGACTTTTAAAGTCTTTAAAATAGACTTTGAGCCTGTGGCTCAAGGCCAAACCCCAATACATTGTTAGGGAAAAATCTAGGTGTGAGGCTGCTCAGTCCCCCAGCTGGTCGGGCAGAGCCCGCGGGTCCCTGCGGAATAAAGGAAGGAGTCCAGCCAACCGGAGCAAATAGCTGTAGACCAAAGTTTATTGCGCAGTAGGTTCAAAGAGCAAATTTGAACCCCGAGGATGGGGTGACAAAGACTTTTAAAACTTTCCCACCATATTCCAGAATACAGTTTGTACAGCATCATTGCTACATCACTGACATGTCACAAAAGGGGAGGGCTTAACCTTGGGAAACAGGTCCAGACAAAGCCTTGGTACCAGATTAGCATAAGCAGACATGGCAGGGCAAGAGTCAGGTATAAGATTAGCATAGACAAATATGTCTTAAGTACCCACCACCCAAAAGTACAATAGAAGTTCCTTTGCAAGTCTGGAGCCTGAGGCGAGTCAGGTGATGAGATTTGGCTTCCTTTGGCTAACAATGAGCCCAGCAATTGTCACCTCTGGGAACTTCCTGGAGTCCCTTTTCAAGGGGAAAATAGCTTTGGAATGGAGGAAACTGGGAAAGGAGATGATTTTATATTATTTTTAAAGCTAGGTAACTTCCCTGAGCTGTCAAGTTGAAAGGATACATTCAGGTATAATATTTGTAATATTTAACTTTAAAGATGTGCCCCCCCAGTAATTTCCGTAACACATCATACATACATCACAGAAGGAGCGGTCTACAACAGAAATACATCACAGGGGTGGTCTACAGCAGAAATCTTGCCTGCCAGGATACCTGATAATGGTCAATGACTGCTTTTACCTGGGCGTCCTGGCCATTCTTTTGTGATGGTAAATACCGTGGTACCTCGGGTTACAAATGCTTCGGGTTACAAACACTTCAGGTTACAAACTCGACCTCCGGAACGAATTAAGTTTGTAACCCGAGGTACCACTGTACTCAGTTCCTGAATCCAGGTCACAGGCTCACCCTATTCATACACAGATACGCCCTTAAGACAGGATTTGTGAGCAAAGAGACAACGGGGAGGCTTTCCCATTTCCTTCCTCCTTACAGAGAAATATTTGAGATCTATTTGGGAGAGTCAAAATGGCTTCAAGATTGTTCTCCTATACTATTTCAGACACGTGGTTTATATACTTATGTACCTGCTTGCCTTGTACATTTATGAACATTTAATTTATATATTTGAGACCTTAAATTCTTATAACATGGAGAATGGCAATAAGGCCCCAAAGCAGGGCCTGAGCACAGCAAGTGGGGTATAAATAAATATACAATAATAAACATGGAACTAGGGGTGAACAGGTCCCCCACCATTTCCCCAGTGTCCCCCCCCCCAAGGCCTCCACACCTTTAATTTCTACAGACCCATCCGTGGATGTGGTGCTTTGCGAAATTGCGAAGAACCGGTTTGGCAAACCTGTAGCCCGTGGGGGCTTGCAAGCTCAAACTAGACCCAGGGAACTAAAGAAGGAAAGGCCTGGGAAGGGAGGAGTAAAGGATAAAAAGGTTTCCCAACCACAGACTCTCGGAATGAGCACCTCCAGCAGCAACAGCCCTTTGCAATCCTCAGTAGAGCTGTGGGTTTCTGGTCTGGCCCCAGTGACGCGCGCCTTAGTCATCCCATTTGGACTACTGCAATGTGCTGTGCTTGGGGCTATCCTTTGAAAAGCGCGCAGGAATTTCAACTGGCCCAAAGAGCTGCAGACACATTGCTGGTTATCGGGAGCATAGGGAGAGACCGGAATAGTTAAATGGTTCAGTTAAGCTGTCTTGAAGAGAAGCTGCTAAGTGGAAAGAAAATAAGGCCATATTTGACGGGTTCGAAAAGGAGTGAGCAAGAAGTGTTTCAGGAGATGGAAATGATATAAGAAAAAAATCTGCTCTTTTCCCCTTATGGGGTACCCAAGAGCCCATATAGAGTCCTCTTTTTAGGTTCTCTATCGGTAGGAGAAAATAACAGAGGCCAACCAGAGAATATTGAGAAGCAAGGCAGCTAGTAATCCTGTTATTTATTAACTGTTGCAACAGGGTGCTCCCCAAATGCAGGAGAGAGGAGGAGGACCCAGAGCCAGGCGTGCAAGCCCTTATATAGACATTTTAAATTGCCCACCCTGGAGTCCAGGACCACCCCCAGAAACATCATACATACATCACAGAAGGGGTGTAGCCCAAGACCACCCTCTAGATACAGCATACCTACATCACAGAAAAGGTGGTCTACAACAGAAATTTGAGTGCATTGTGCATCTCCTGTCTGGCAAGTTACCTGATTGCATTATCTAGGTTTTGACCACTCTTTTGTTGTTATAACTGAATCTATAATTCCTGAATCTAGGTCACAGGTCACAGGCTCACACCCTGTTCATATCTTGTATCTGAAGAAGTGTGCATGCACACAAAAGTTCATACCAATAACAAACTTAGTTGGTCTCTAAGGTGCTACTGGAAGGAATTTTTTTTATTTTATACAGTGGTACCTCGCAAGACGAATGCCTCGCAAGACGAAAAACTCGCAAGACGAAAGAGTTTTTCGTTTTTTGAGTTGCTTCGCAAGACGAATTTCCCTATGGGCTTGCTTCGCAAGACGAAAACGTCTTGCAAGGGAGGTGCTGAAAAGGCGGATGAAGCAGCAGACCATGGACAGGTTCTTCAGCAAAAAGCAAAGAGTGGAAGAGGAACCTTCTTCAAGTTGTCCCCCAGAGTCTTAGAAAATGCATGTACAGTACACTTTGGTGATTTTTAAATGCTTTTCTGTCATGTTTAGAAACTTAATTTATTGTTCCTTCAATTTTTGAAATGCTCTTTACAGTATGTGTGACTTTAAAGAGCGAACACTTAATAAACTCTTTTTGTACCAAATTTGGCTTGGTTTGGACTTTTTTTGACCATAGGAACGCATTAATTGATTTTCAATGCATTCCTATGGGAAACCGTGCTTTGCAAGACGAAAAATTCGCAAGACGAAAAAACTCACAGAACGAATTAATTTTGTCTTGTGAGGCACCACTGTATATTGAATGTGCCCTTAAGACAGGATTTGTGAGGGCAGGTTTGTGAGGAAAGAGACCATGGGGAGGTTTCCCACATTGACCTCGCAGAGTAATATTTGAGGTCAATTTGTTCAGGACCTTTTCTGTGGGGTTTCAGACATGCGGTTTATATATACAGTTATGAACATTTAGTTTTTTTATATATGACCTTAAAATTCTTAGAACAGAAATCTTGCTGTATTTCAAGGCGAATTGCAGGTCAAGCACTTATTCATAGCTGATGGTGTAAATTAGGGTAGGAACAAGGGGAACTAACTGTGCATGTTTCTGTCTAACCTGAATCTGTTAAAGGCAGCTTCCGTTGGGGCCAAAAGAGAACAGTAAATTAGCTGGGGTGCATAGCTGTCAACTGTCCCTTATTTGGCGGGAAACTCCCTTATCCCAGTGCCTTTTCCCGCTGCTGTCCCTTATTGATGATGTCCCTTAAATTTCCCGGGTTTCAAAGGAAGCAGCTCCTCTCCCTCCCTCCCTGCCGGCCAGGGAGGAGGGAGGCTCCAACTGTGTTGCTTGGCTGCGTTGCTCACCCAATAAGGAGTCTAAGAACGACTGGGGGGTGGAGCTTGCATGCCTTGTGCCGATCAAATCGGCCACGTTGCCTGGGGGCTCGCCTTTGCTCAGTGCTTCCCAGCGGAGAGGTGACGGTGGTTTTCCTTGCTGCATCCCCTTTGCCGGGTTGCTGCGCTGTGGGAACCACCGCTTGAGGCTTTGTTTGGCTGCTGGTTGACTAAAATCCCTTATTTTGGCTGCTGATCCCTTATTTTCAAATCTGTAAGTTGACAGCTATGCTGGGGTGTGCGCACGAAATCCACCCTCCTCCCTACCCCAATACCTCCACAGTTCAGCAGAGGCAGTTGACTGATAAATGGAAGCAACGCATCAATGATCCAGTTAGTCCACATTTATTATTATTTTTTAAAACATACTTTTTAGATATAAGCAATTACAAATACATCATCAACAGAAAAGTAATTCCCCTCGCCATAAAGTGTGGCTCCAGTTTTAGGCCTAATACAATATCCATTACACGCTACAGGTGCAAAAACAGGAAGCGAGTGTCATTCCAGAGGGTCCCTGTGCATTTTTGGAGGGCAGAATCGATGCTCGATCGATTGTACATAGTGAATAACCATGTTGCATTAAAAAGGAGTGCCTTTTCCCCGTTTGAGGTTCTTGTAGCAAAGTGGTAATACTTGTTCCTAAGTATTAAGTTCCAAATTTATGTGATCCAGTTCCTAGATAAGAGAGTTTAGTATCTGGGATATTTCCAATGATTCCAATTCTCCCTTTTCCCCCAAGGCTTACAGTAAACTCTTTTCCTTTGTGTGCATATGTTCTGTTTCAAGCTCCCGTAGTAGTATTCCTTGTAGTAATTTGAGCATTAATGTTACTTTTCTCCTTTTTAATGCCACATTTTTTACTAATACAGTTTCCACGGACAAAAGCTTCAAACGTGTCCCAGATTATTGCTAGGGTTTGCCCTCTCATTTAATGAAAACAGCATGGAATCTCCTTGAGGAGTTTTTGCTTTGTGGTTTTTCTTTCTTTTTGTTACCCAATTTCCCATGGGTCATGTTGAAAAAGTGTCTTGACAGGGGCAAGATCAGAGAACCCCATCAGAGCCATCTCCAAGAGAGGCCCATCCCTCGGAAATATTCAATTGTGTGGCCTTGCATGACTTTTATCTCTAGCAGACGTGCGTGAAAAACCCCTGAGATCAGGGTTAGCCATTCCCCAAGAATCGAAAGAATATATTCACAAAATATTAAACGGAGGCATCCTGAAAGAAGGATTACGAGGAGTCTGTGTTGGAGCAGTCCAATTTTTAATAGTTAAAGGTAAAGGGACCCATGACCATTAGGTCCAGTCGTGGCCGACTCTGGGGTTGCGGCTCTAATCTCACTTTATTGGCCGAGGGAGCCGGCGTACAGCTTCCGGGTCATGTGACCAGCATGACTAAGCTGCTTCTGGCGAACCAGAGCAGCGCACGGAAAGGCCGTTTACCTTCCCGCCGGAGTGGTACCTACTTATCTACTTGCACTTTGATGTGCTTTCGAACTGCTAGGTTGGCAGGAGCAGGGACCGAGCAACGGGAGCTCACCCCATCGCGGGGATTCGAACCGCCGACCTTCTGATCGGCAAGTCCTAGGCTCTGTGGTTTAACCCACAGTGCTACCCGTGTTCCTTTTTAATAGTTAGCTCTGTGTTTTTCCAGCCAGGGTCCTTGATAGAAGCACAAACCCAAAATTCTCCCCCTGCAATCCTTCCGGCAAATAGAGGAATCTTTTTGCAGGAGTTGCATGGAGGAGCCTGTGTCTGGACTCGGGGTGCAACCTTCCAAGGCTATAATATTCAGGGGATACAGAACACTGGCGTTATATTTGTTAACCCACCACCACCAAGTACCCCATCCTTTTCATTCGCTTTAAAATGCCAACCCTGGTTGTGATTTGAGCGATCTACTCGGCTAGAGGTGGAGGGGCTTGTCTCTCTTATGGCGGCTGACCGGCCTTAGCGGAATAAGTAAAGGTAAAGGGACCCCTGACCATTAGGTCCAGTCGTGACCGACTCTGGGGTTGCGGCGCTCATCTCGCTTTATTGGCCGAGGGAGCCGGCGTACAGCTTCTGGGTCATGTGGCCAGCAGGACTAAGCCGCTTCTGGTGAGCCAGAGCAGCGCACGGAAACACCATTTACCTTCGCGCCAGAGTGGTACCTATATATCTACTTGCACTTTGACGTGCTTTCGAACTGCTAGGTTGGCAGGAGCAGGGACCGAGCAACAGGAGCTCACCCCGTCGTGGGGATTCGAACCGCCAACCTTCCGATCGGCAAGCCCAGGGCTCAGTGGTTTAGACCACAGCGCCACCTGTGTCCCTCCTTAGCAGAATAACAGCGAAGAAAATAAGGTAGGGAGGACGTGGGGCAGCTTGTCCAAGGAGGAGGAGTGTCAGGTGTGATGGGAAGGCTATAGGAGTGAGAAAAGGCAGAGCAAAACAGAGCATCTGCAATTGAGCCAGGGTTTCCTCCGCAGTCTGAAGAGAGGCAGCCTAGCTCTGGAGCAGAGACCATGTTTGACATGAATTAAGTCTTGGATTCAAACCGGGGCCTTTCCAGCTAGGAAGATCAGGGAGCTAGCAACAGGAAAGGTGTCTCTCTGCCAGAGAGACAGCTGCCAGTCCGTGTAGGCCACATTGGGCTAGATGGAGCTGTGTAGAAGGCAACACCCTCTTGGTGAGGCAAACTCGCCAAGGCACAAGCTCCCTAGTGCCTCCCATTTGTGCAAAAGTCAAAAGAGCAGAAAGCAGTGGATTTTGCCCAGGCCACGGTCCCGTCCTGTGGAGCCCTCCTCCTGGGCAGAGAGGGAGCTCTCCTCAAGGATCCCGTTGAAACTGCGAGTCCTGGGGAAGCGAGGTCCTCTTCTATCACGTCTCCAGTTTCAACGCTGGGACAGGGAGCCGGAGATTCGTGGAGGGAGAACCGCAGCTGAGCAACGATCGTAGAAATGAGAGGGGGAAGCAGCTGCCATTGCTCAAGTTCTGATGCCGAGGCCCAAAGGAAGCTGTTGGCGACGTGGCCGGAGCTGGGAGCAGAGAGGTCAGCTGGTGGTGGACGTGTCCAGAGAGGCAAGGAAGCCAAGGGGATGGAGAGAGGGTCAGGCACCTCTGAATATGCTCAGGGTAGGAGCTGGGAGGGAGGGATGGGGGCAATCTCTTTGAGAGGCAAGGCTGCTCCAGCAGTGGTTGGATTTATGGGAAGGATTCCCCCAGAGGTGCGCTATGTACCCCTTGGGCAAATCAATTAGTCACCCCAACATCTGAATTTTCGTTTGGATGAATGGGGCAAAAACCTTCCAGCCGCTGGAGCTGGAATCCTAAGTGATGGGGGCTTTCCTTCCTTGGAGATTGGGATTCCCATCCACCAGGGATTCCTCAGCTGAGGGGGTTGGGCTAGATGCCTCTCAGGGACTCCCTTAAAGGTAAAGGTATAGGGACCCCTGACTGTTAGGTCCAGTCATGGACGACTCTGGGGTTGTGGCGCTCATCTCGCTTTACTGGCCAAGGGAGCCGGCGTACTGCTTCTGGGTCATGTGGCCAGCAGGACTAAGACGCTTCTGGCGAACCAGAGCAACGCAACGCCGTTTACCTTCCCGCTGGAGCGGTACTTATTTATCTACTTGCACTTTGACGTGCTTTCAAACTGCTAGGTTGGCAGGAGCAGAGACTGAACAACGGGAGCTCACCCCGTCAGGGGGATTCGAACTGCCGACTTTGATCAACAAGTCCTAGGCTCTGTGGTTTAACCCACAGCACCACTCACGTCCCAGGGACTCCCTTATAACACTACAATTCTATGCAAAACAATAAAAAAATACCATAGCTGTCAACTTTCAAATTTGAAAATAAGGGATCAGCAGCCTCAAAAATAAGGGATCAGCAGCCTCACCTGTCCCAGGGACAGTCTATGGGATATCTAACAATCCGGGATAGCAGCAGGAAGCAGCGGGAAACGGCGCTGGGATAAGGGAATTCTCCGCAAAAAAAGGGAAGGTTGACAGCTATGAAATACTATCACCCTTCCTAGCGTCATGGCAGGTCCTTAACGGAAGCAGGAGGAGAGGAAGGCAGATAGTAAAAAAAAAAAAAAATCAGGTCAGACCCTCTCCTTTTAGGCATGCTTTTCCAGACACACACACACACACACACACACACACACACACACACACACAGAGCGAGAGAGCCAAGGATTCGCCATCTTCTCATGTCTCTCCCTTCCCTCCACCAATACAGCGCATCTGAGGATGCCAGACAGCCGCCCTCCTGAGGCAGGCAAGGCGATTCATCCGCACTGCGAAGCTGTTCTTCGGGATCCTGTCCAGGCACATTCCTCAGGTTCCTCCTGGGATGGCAGCGACGGGGTTCCTCCCTCCGAAATGTCACGCCTTCCTCTGCTGCGGCCTCACCCTGGGGAAGAGCTGCGGAGGAGAGAAGCACAGGTGAGTTGCGTATTTTGGAACGGAGCAAGCCCAGCAAGGCAGAGAAACCAGCACGCCAGGCTGGATCCTGGTGGCCGCAGGAAGCTCATCGCTGGTTAACAACGTAAGCAGAGGCTCACCCAGGTGCTTTTACGCAGCAGCTAGACTGGTGACTGGGAGCAGCCGCCAAGACCACATAACACCAGTCCTGAGAGATCTGCATTGGCTCCCAGTACGTTTCCGAGCACAATTCAAAGTGTTGGTGCTGACCTTGAAAGCACTAAATGGCCTCAAAGGCCCAGTATACCTGAAGGAGCATCTCCACCCCCATCGTTCAGCCTGGACACTGTGGTCCAGCGCCAAGGGCCTTCTGGCGGTTCCCTCCCTGCGATAAGTGAGGTTACAGGGAACCAGGCACAGGGCCTTCTTGGTGGTGGCACCCGCCCTGTGGAACACCCTCCCATCAGAAGTCAAGGAAATAAACAACTATCTGACGTTTAGAAGACATCTGAAGGCAGCCCTGTTTAGGGAGGTTTTTAATGTTTGATGTTTTATTGTGTTTTTAATATTTGGTTGGGCGTCCCCCAGAGTGGCTGGGGAAACTCAGCCAGATGGGTGGGGTATATTATTATTATTATTATTATTATTAAGCATAAACAAAGGACCCTCGCACATGTGTATGTCTTTTAAAAATTATTTTTCTTTTTGACAAAGTAATAATCCTAAATAAATAAGAATAACTATTGTAACTTTCCAGCCTCCCAGATTTTCAACGCCTCTTGCGATGGTTTGACCCCTTTCTGTTTTAACAGTACAAATTCTACAAACACCTTCCATATCTCCTCAAAATCAATACTCCTGCATATTCCCCGTCTTACCTTAATGGCACATGTTAATTTATCATTAACAGCTAAATCCCACACCTCTTTATTCCATTCTTCCATTTTATATTCTGCTTGCCCCTTCCACTTGCTAGCTATAATAATCCGTGCAGCTGTCAACATATTTGTGAACGAGTCCTTCGTAGCCTGCAAAACTCCCATCGCATCCTCGCGCGTGTCTTGAACACTCACCCCAAAGTAGTTCTTGGGCACGTAGCCCTCCTGGCCGTAGAGAGATGCCCACCACCAGTCTGTTTCGTCGGGGTTGTCGTGGCGCAAGACGGTGACCGGCTCGCCCTCGCGGAAAGACAGCTCGTCGCTGAACTCAGCGCTATAATCCCACAAGGCGTAGACCACCCCGTTGTTCATCAGCCCCATGTTCTGCTCAACATCTGCAAAGAGGAATGGGGAGCCCCCCAAAATGTGGATCAACATTCATTCAAAACTCATGACTTCACTGCCGCCCACCATCTGAATCCTAGAATTGTAGTGTCGGGTGCTCTGCTTCTTGGGAGGAAAGCAATGACAAACCTAGGCAGCATCTTGAAAAGCAGAGATATCACCTTGCCAACAAAGGTCCGTATAGTTAAAGCTCTGGTTTTCCCAGTAGTGATGTATGGAAGTGAGAGCTGGACCATCAAGAAGGCTGATTGCCGAAGAATGGATGCTTTTGAATTCTGATGCTGGAGGAGACTCTTGAGAGTCCCATGGGCTGCAAGAAGATCAGACCTCTCCATTCTGAAGGAAATCAGCCCTGAGTGCTCACTGGAAGGACAGATCCTGAAGCTGAGGCTCCAAGACTTTGGCCACCTCAGGAGAAGAGAAGACTCCCTGGAAAAGACCCTGATGTTGGGAAAGATTGAGGCCACAAGGAGAAGGGGACGACAGAGGACGAGATGGTGGGACAGTGTTCTCGAAGCTACGAACATGAGTTTGACCAAACTGCGGGAGGCAGTGGAAGACAGGAGTGCCTGGCGTGCTCTGGTCCAGGGGGTCACGAAGAGTCGGACACGACTAAACAACAGCAACAACATGCTCTGCCAGGCACCCCCAAACTCGGCCCTCCAGCTGTTTTGAAACTACAATTCCCATCATCCCTGACCACTGGTGCTATTAGCTAGGGATGATGGGAGTTGTAGTCCCAAAACAGCTGGAGGGCCGAATTTGGGGGTGCCTGCTTCCAAACACCACTTGCTGGAAACCGGGGTGGGTAGAGAATTGCCCTTGTGCTCAGGGGTCCTGTTTGAGAGTTTCCACTTTGGGGGAACCTCATTGGCCACTGAGAGAAGAGGACATTGGAGCAGATGGGCCTGATCCAGCAGACATGCTCTTGGTATGTCCGCATGGAACCTCCAGGTCCAGGAGCAGTCTATCCAGATCCCCAGGTTCTTAGGGGTATTTGGCCACCGTGAGGGCAGGAGGGTGGACTAGGTGGGCCCCCTTTGGCCTGATCCAACAGCTTCTCCCCACAACTCAGAGACCCATAGCCCGTTTGTTTGTTTTGCCCCGTCTGGGAAAAATCGCCAGACTAAATTTGCAGCTGCGATATGTATAATTTAGGACATGGAAATGTTTTGCAGCTGTGTGACACAGGACTTTCCGGTGCATCCACACAGAAACATATCATTTTACTTCAGCTCGCTTGTGGAAACAGCTCAGAGGCAGTGAAAGAAGGAAAGCAACAGGAAGAAGAAGAAGAAGAAGAGTTTGGATTTGATATCCCGCTTTATCACTACCCGAAGGAGTCTCAAAGCGGCTAACAATCTCCTTTTCCTTCCGCCCCCACAACAAACATTCTGTGAGGTGAGTGGGGCTGAGAGACTTCACAGAAGTGTGACTGGCCCAAGGTCACCCAGCAGCTGCATGTGGAGGAGCGGAGACGCAAACCCAGTTCCCCAGATTACAAATCTACCGCTCTTAACCACTACACCACACTGGAACTATTAGAAATGACTATCAAAAGCAGCAGAGATATGAGATGATCAGAGCCCACCCCTGAACTCAAAGCATGGGAAGCCCCAGCAAAAGATTTATAATTCGGCAGAATATTTGGATTACCTGTATGAAATGTATATGTATAATTTCCCATTCTTAAGGAAATCAGCCCTGAGTGCTCACTGGAAGGACAGATCCTGAAGCTGAGGCTCCAAGACTTTGGCCACCTCATGAGAAGAGAAGACTCCCTGGAAAAGACCCTGATGTTGGGAAAGATGGAGGGCACAAGGAGAAGGGGACGACAGAGGACGAGATGGTTGGACAGTGTTCTCGAAGCTACCAGCATGAGTTTGACCAAACTGCGGGAGGCAGTGGAAGACAGGAGGGCCTGGCCTGCTCTGGTCCAGGGGGTCACGAAGAGGCGGACACGACTAAACGACTAAACAACAGTATGTATAATTTGGAATATTTAATGTGATTTGAGTGGATTGTTAAAATGGAAAATTTAATACAAGTTGCTATTATTTTATTTTTTTAAAAAAGGACTTCCTGGTGCCTTTCCCATGTGCCCTCCTGCCGCCTCACCTGCCAGGTAGCTGAAGCAGTCGCTGTAGCCCTCACGGTACGGGTCGCACTTCTCAATGGCCATGCTGCCGTCGCTGAAAGTGGTGGCGAAAATGGCCGCTCCGTGCTTGACCAGGGCTACGCAGATGGCCGTGTCGTTGCAGGAGGCAGCGCAGTGCAGGGGTGTCCTGGGAAAGAGAGGGGGGGTGGAAAAACACCCAAGCTCGGTTAAGGTGTGTGTGTGTGTGTGCCCTGTTCATGGCGGACGGGTGTGGGGGATTCCCTGGTCCTGAACAGAGTAACCGTGCCCCTGAAGAACCAGGTGCGCAACCTGGGAGTCATTTTGGACTCACAGCTGTCCATGGAGGCGCAGGTTAATTCTGTGTCCAGGGTGGCTGTCTACCAGCTCCACCTGGTACGCAGGATGAGACCCTATCTGCCCGCGCACTGTCTCGCCAGAGTGGTGCATGCTCTGGTTATCTCTCGCTTTGACTACTGCACTGCGCTCTACGTGGGGCTACCTTTGAAGGTGAGCCGGAATCTACAATTAATCCAGAATGCGGCAGCTAGACTGGTGACTGGGAGCAGCCGCCGAGACCACATAACACTGGTCCTGAAAGACCTACTGGCTCCCAGTACGTTTCCGAGCACAATTCAAAGTGTTGGTGCTGACCTTTCAAGCCCTAAACAGCCTCGGTCCTGTATACCTGAAGGAGCGTCTCCACCCCCATCGTTCAGCCCGGACACTGAGGTCCAGCACTGAGGGTCTTCTGGCGGTTCCCTCATTACAAGAAGCGAGGTTACAGGGAACCAGGCAGAGAGCCTTCTCAGTGGTGGCGCCCGCCCTGTGGAACAGCCTCCCTTCAGATGTGAAGGAAATAAGCAGCTATCTTCTTTTGAAAAGACATCTGAAGGCAGCCCTGTTTAGGGAAGTTTTTAATATTTAATGCTGTACTGTTTTGATTGGGAGCCGCCCAGAGTGGCTGGGGAAACTCAGCCAGATGGGCGGGGTATAAATAAATAAATAATAATAATAATAATAATAATAATAATAATAACAATTTAACTGTGATTCCTGCATTGCTGGGGTTGGACTAGATGGCCACTAGGGTTCCCTTCCAGCTCTACAGTTCTGTGGTTCTGCAGCTTCCTCCTGGGGGATGGCGGGAATGTAGGAAGAGAAGGAAGCTGTGGAGCATTGCAGCTGCACTTCCTACCTTCCCCCAGGGAATAGCTGCAGCCCGATTGCTGACAAAAGCCAAGGGCTTGCCAGGATAGAACACCTGTGCTCAGAGATCCGCACTCGCTGCCAGGTTGAAGGTGTTAATAACTAGTACACAAAGCCCTTAACAACTTGGGAAACCGGTTTGTCTGTGAGATCATTTCACCCCACAAACACCCACTCAGGTCGGTGGATCTGGCCCTGTCCCAGGTGCCCCATATTCTCCGTTCTGCATCTGTAGATGGCTTACTGCGGCAGTGCCTACACTTCGGAACTCCCTGCCTCATGATAAGACAGGCGCCTTTGCTGTAAAGCCCTTTCGGCCCTTGCTAAAAACGTCCTTGTTTAGACAAGCCCACCCGGCTGCTCAGAAAACTGGGCCATTTTTTCTTTTTAGGCGATTGTTATTGTAACTTTCTAAATATCGTATTATTATTATTTTAGGACGCGGGTGGCGCTGTGGGTTAAACCAGAGAGCCTAGGAATTGCCTATCAGAAGGTTGGCGGTTCGAATCCCCACGACGGGGTGAGCTCCTGTTGCTCGGTCCCTGCTCCTGCCAACCTAGCAGTTCGAAAGCACGTCAAAGTGCAAGTAGATAAATAGGTACCGCTCCGGCAGGAAGGTAAACGGCGTTTCCATTCGCTGCTCTGGTTCGCCAGAAGCGGCTTAGTCATGCTGGCCGCATGATCCGGAAGCTGTACGCCAGCTCCCTCGGCCAATAAAGTGAGATGAGCGCCGCAACCCCAGAGTCGGCCACGACTGGACCTAATGGTCAGGGGTCCCTTTACCTTTACAGTGGTACCTCGGGTTACATACGCTTCAGGTTACATACGCTTCAGGTTACAGACTCCGCTAACCCAGAAATTGTGCTTCAGGTTAAGAACTTTGCTTCAGGATGAGAACAGAAATCGTGCTCTGGTGGCGTGGTGGCAGCAGGAGGCCCCATTAGCTAAAGTGGTGCTTCAGGTTAAGAACAGTTTCAGGTTAAAAACGGACCTCCAGAACGAATTAAGTACTTAACCTGAGGTACCACTGTACTATTATTATTTTATTTATTACATATGTACACCTTCCTATACCTGAAGGGTGGTTCACAACATAAAATTATGCTCTAAAAGACACAGAACGCATAATGAAAATGCAAAACAAGGAAAACCCAAGAATCCTAAGAGCAACAATTTAATTGTTTTAGCTTCTTTTAGTAAGCTGCTTTGAGGATTTTTGGATAAATAAAAAAAAAGCTCACCATCCATGGCTGTCCGGGGAGTTGACGTTGGCCCCAATGTTGATCAGGTAGTCCACGATGTTGTAGTTGGCACCGCAGATGGCATTGTGGAGAGCAGTGATGCCCTCGTCGTTGGGCTGACTCGGGTCGTTCAGCTGGGGGGAGAAGCAGGAAAATGCACTTTTGGAGGGTCCGTGTGCTTGTGTGTCTTTCAGCTCCCATGGTTTTATTTTACTTATGATAATAATCCTATACCGCTACAGTGGTACCTTGGTTCTCAAACGCCTTAGTTCTCAAATGCCTTGGTTCCCAAACGCCGTAAACCTGGACGTGTTCCAGTTTTCAAATGTTTTTCTGAAACCAAACATCCAATGCGCCGGTCGGCTATTGTTTCCGGGGCACCTGCACCAATCAGAAGCTGCGCCTTGGTTTTCGAACATTTCGGAAGTCAAATGAGCTTCCAGAATGGATTACGTTTGGCGCTTTCGCTTTTGCTATTTATTTGGTGTTTTTGTTTTTGAGGCTTTTTCATTTAATTTGTTTTTGCGACTGTGTGGAACCCAGTTCAGCTACTGACTGACTGTGTGACTGTGTAAATGGATACAAGCCCCCCATCCAAACAATGATGATCATCAGTGCAAGTAAGAAAAAAATTATTATTTTTATCATCTACAATACCGTCTTATTTATTTTATAGTACAGTACATTGATTATTGCTTTCATTTTATGGATCCATGGTCTCGTTAAATAGTAAAATTCATGTTCAATTGCTGTTTTAGGGGTTATTTTAAAAAATCTGGAACGGTTTGATCCGTTTTGCATTACTTTCTATGGGAACGTGTGCCTTGGTTTTGGAATGCTTTGGTTTTGGAATGGACTTCTGGAACGGATTAAGTTCGAGAACCAAGGTACCACTGTATCAGAGCCACAAAAGTCCTATGGCAAAAACCACATGAATATGTTAAGGTCAGAGAAAAGGTGACCAAGAAGGGACGTGATGGAAGCTCACAAAACTACACATGGCACTGAAAAAGTGGAGAAATTAAAGGCGTGTCAGAAGCAACATGAGTTTATAAAACGACGCATGCCAAGGAGAAAGAAGGGAAAGGATTCCCTGCCTCTCTCCTGGACTTGTGGGCATCCAAGGATGCTGAACATTGGAAGATTCAGGACCGATAAAATAAAATCCTTCTTCACGCAGTGCAAACTGTGGAACTCCCTGCCACTTGAGAAGAGGCTGTTGGGCCGGGCCAAAAGGGGCCCATCTGGTCCAGCGACCTGTTCTCACAGGGTCTGACCAGATGTCCAAAGAGAAACACAAGAGCAACTCTCCCCTCCTGCGGTTTCCAGCAACGCATTGTTGCCTTCTGCTAAGGACACTGAGTACAGCCATTGTGGCCAGAAGCCGTCAATAGCCCTCCATGAATTTGTGCAGTCCTCTTTTAAAGCCATCTAGATTGGTAGCCTGTTGTCTTTGTCCATGGAGTTTTCTTGGCAGGGATACTGGAGCGGCTTGCTGGTTCCTGCTCCAGGAAATGAGGGTGAAAGAGGAGAGCGCAAAATATGGTCTGAAGCTCAACATCAAAAAAACTAAGATCATGGCCACTGGGCCCATCACCTCCTGGCAAATAGAAGGGGAAGAAATGGAGGCAGTGAGAGATTTTACTTTCTTGGGCTCCATGATCACTGCAGATGGTGACAGCAGTCACGAAATTAAAAGACGCCTGCTTCATGGGAGGAAAGCAATGACAAACCTAGACAGCGTCTTAAAAAGCAGACACATCACCTTGCCAACAAAGGTCCGTATAGTTAAAGCTATGGTTTTCCAAGTAGTGATGTATGGAAGTGAGAGCTGGACCATATAGAAGGCTGATCACCAAAGAATTGATGCTTTTGAATTATGGTGCTGGAGGAGACTCTTGAGAGTCCCATGGACTGCAAGAAGATCAAACCTCTCCATTCTGAAGGAAATCAGCCCTGAGTGCTCCCTGGAAGGACAGATCCTGAAGCTGAGGCTCCAAGACTTTGGCCACCTCAGGAGAAGAGAAGACTCCCTGGAGAAGACCCTGATGTTGGGAAAGATGGAGGGCACAAGGAGAAGGGGACAGCAGAGGACGAGATGGTGGGACAGTGTTCTCGAAGCTATGAACATGAGTTTGACCAAACTGCGGGAGGCCGTGGAAGACAGGAGTGCCTGCCGTGCTCTGGTCCAGGGGGTCACAAAGAGGCGCCTTTTAATTTGGTGGCTGCTGTCCCCATCTGCAGTGATCATGGAGCCCAAGAAAGTAAAATCTCTCACTGCCTCCATTTCTTCCCCTTCTATTTGCCAGGAGGTGATGGGCCCAGTGGCCATGATCTTCGTTTTTTTGATGTTGAGCTTCAGACCATATTTTGCGCTCTCCTCTTTCACCCTCACTAAAAGGTTCTTTAATTCCTCCTCACTTTCTACTGTCAATGTTGTGTCATCTGCATGTCTGAGGTTGTTGATATTTTTGGTTGTCCCCAAAGATAAGCCCCCCCCCCAAAAAAACTCACCTCCTTCATGGCTTCCTTCACGACTTCCAACTCGCCGGTCAGGGCCGCATCCAGCAGCAGCACCAGGGGGTTGAGTCGCGCCCTCTTTGACAGCCGCTTCCGTGGGGAGGCCGCCTTGCGCAGCACTGAACGCTTCTCCTGTTGAATGGCAAAGGGCAGGCAGCCATCAGCAGGGAGGCCGCCTTGGGAAGGGCCAACAACCCCCACACAGCCAGTCCCCACTCCCTCTGCCTTTCGAAGCCAAAGCTCAATCCAGCGTGTTGTTTTTTTAAAGGCCACAAGTGCCTCTGAGCAGGTGCAGAGTGCTCTCTAGTCAATAATTACAGCACAGCTACAAGGGACAGCCAGGGACTGGGTTCGAGGTCTCGCAGGTTTAGTCTCTTTGGCTCCATTTATTATTATTAAGTGGTGCATGCTCTAGCTATCTGCCTTTGAAGGTGACCTGGAAACTGCAATTAATCCAGAATGCGGCAGCTAGACTGGTGAATGGGAGCAGACGCCGGGACCACATAAAACCGGTCCTGAGAGATCTGCATTGGCTCCCAGTACATTTCCGAGCACAATTCAAAGTGTTGGTGCTGACCTTTAAAGCCCTAAACGGCCTCGGTCCAGTATACCTGAAGGAGCGTCTCCACCCCCATTGTTTAACCCGGACACTGAGGTCCAGCACTGAGGGCCTTCTGGCAGTTCCCTCATTGCGAGAAGCCAAGTTACAGGGAACCAGGCAGAGGGCCTTCTCGGTAGTGGCGCCTGCCCTGTGGAACACCCTCCCACCAGATGTCAAAGAGAACAACAAGTACCAGACTTTTAGAAGACATCTGAAGGCAGCCCTGTTTAGGGAAGCTTTTAATGTTTGAAGCTGTATTATTTTTAATACTTGATTGGGAGCCACCCAGAGTGGCTGGGGAAACTCAGCCAGATGGGCAGGGTATAAATAATAAATTATTATTATTATTATTATTATTAATTAAATTAATATACCGCCTATACCCACAGGTCTCAGGGTGGTTCACAAGGCAAAATTACAATATAAAAACACGAAACACATAAACAAAACAGAAACATAAACAGCCGAATAACCCCATTAAAAGAGTTAAAAACATTTTTTTAAGAAAATGCAATTAAAAAGCAGTTTAAAAGAAGTGTTTATCTTGTACTTTGACTGTGATACGGCTAGGATCTTACTGCTTTTTTTGCTGCTTTTTGTAACTACAGTGATCAGTATTTGATCCCCCGCTAAATCCGCCCGCCTGCCCTCCAACGAGGAAATGACCAGTCCACCATCCCAATGGTAGTTTCACTGTAGCCACGAGAGACAGAACAACGACAGGCTCCATGTAGGCCAACATTGTCAACTCTGGCAGGCAGCCGCTCTCTGGGCTTCCATGCACAGAGACAGAGAACAGGGGGGTGTTTGTTCTCTCCCGTGACCTGTTCTGTTTAGCTCAGCCTTTCTGGTGTTGGGAGGAGAAGCCCTCTGCACATGGGCAGAGGCACCTCCCAGTTTCATGTGGGTCACTACACCGCAGTCCTCATCGACAACCTGGTGTCCTCCAGATGTTTTAGGCTACGACCCACGCAATCCATTGTCACGGATGCTTTCGTCGAGATTCCTGCATTGCCGGGGGTTGGACTAGATGACCCCCAGGAGCCCCTTCCAACTCTGCGATTCTTTGGTTGTAACTCCCATCAGCCCCAGTATCCCGTAACTGTACTGGCTGGGGAATGTGGGAGTCATACTGAATGTGGATACATCTACATGCAGCCGCTGGGAGAGATCATCAGGGGGTTTGGGCTGGGTGTCCACCAATATGCGGATGATACCCAGCTCTACCTCTTTTTCAAATCAGAACCAGTGAAGGAGGTGAAGGTCCTGTGTGAGTGTCTGGAGGCGGTTGGAGGATGGATGGCAGGTAGCAGGTTGAGGTTGAATCCTGACAAGACAGAAGGACTGTTTTGGGGGGACAGGAGGCGGGCAGGTGTGGAGGACTCCCTGGTCCTGAATGGGGCAACTGTGCCCCTGAAGGACCAGGTGCGCAGTCATTTTGGACTCACAGCTGTCCATGGAGGTGCAGGTCAGTTCTGTGTCCAGGGCAGCTGTCTACCAGCTCCATCTGGTACGTAGGCTGAGACCCTACCTGCCCGCAGACTGTCTCGCCAGAGTGGTGCATGCTCTGGTTATCTCCCGCTTGGACTACTGCAATGCGCTCTACGTGGGGCTACCTTTGAAGGTGACCCAGAAACTACAACTAATCCAGAATGCGGCAGCTAGACTATTGACTGGCAGCGACCGCCGAGACCATATAACACCGGTCTTGAAAGACCTACATTGGCTCCCAGTACGTTTCCAGGCACAATTCAAAGTGCTGGTGTTGACCTTTAAAGCCCTAAACGGCCTCAAAGGCCCAGGATACCTGAAGGAGCGTCTCCACCCCCATCGTTCTGCCCGGATGCTGAGGTCCAGCTCCAAGGGCTTTCTGGCGGTTCCTCACTGCGAGAAGTAAGGTTACAGGCACCCGCCCTGTGGAACGCCCTCCCATCAGATATCAAAGAGAACAAGACTACCAGACTGCTAGAAGACATCTGAAGGCAGCCCTGTTTAGGGAAGCTTTTAATGTTTAACAGACTACTGTATTTTAATACTTTGTTGGAAGCTGCCCAGAGTGGCTGGGGAAGCCCAGCCAGATAGGCGGGGTATAAATAATAAATTCTATTCTATTCTATTCTATTCTATTGAATGGCAGGCCAGTTGCCATGTGCTTTACAGGCCAAATGAAGGTGCCCACTTTCTAATGTGGGCAGAAATTGCATTTAAGGCAGAGATCAGGGATGGGACATCTCAGGCCCCTGGGCTGGATGCAGCCTCACAAGCCTCTGCATCGGACTCAAAGGCCCTGATCCGCACCCTCAGCCAAGTGTTTTTGCTTGGCTGGAGTGTGTCCTTGCCTGCCCGCATGAAGAGGCGAGTGTGTTTGTGGGGTGGGTGGCGGCACGCTTGTGTTTGCACGCTTGTGTTTGTGCATGTGCCTTTGCCTGGAGTGCCACCCACCGTGCAAAGGCAAGAGACCTCCTCCCATCGCTCCGCCCAGCTTTTCCTTCCAGCCCCAGCAACTGCCAGTCCCGAAAGGAAATGGCACAAAAGGAAAAAGGAATGGGGAGGGAGGAAGAAAAAGGAAAGCACGGTTGTGCACCGGTTCTTAAAAGTGAACTGCTTGGGCGGAAATTCAGCCCAATCAAATGATTCTTAAATTGTTGAGCCTCAGAAATTTCATAAATAATGATAATAATGCAGCCCTTGGCCCACCCACATGCGGACCCCAGAAGCTTGCCCACAAGGCAATGCGGCCCCACCCCTGCCATAGACCTACCGGACTGGGCAAAGGACTGAAGCTCACTGGGCTCTCTGGCAGAGGCGGAGGCGGGATGGGGGGTGCCGGCATTGGTGGCAGGGGGGCTGCTGGAATGGGGGCCACGACAGCTCCAGGCGCCTTCTGCTCCATGGCCTCGGTGATGGGCGAGAGCTCCGCCTGCGGGGACGCTTCTCCGGCCATGCCAGCGTCCTCCTTGCGGGGATGGTGGTGGAAGAGGCGGCTGATGATCTGGCGGTACTGGTTCTTGTGGGTGGGGGGCAAGACGGGGCCGGGGCACTGCTCCATGGATCCGCGGCGTTTCAGGGGCCGGGGCATCTCGGCCAAGACCCGCGCCACCTCCTCAAACTCGGGCACTTTCTGGGCCTCGGGGGGCAGCAGAGGCTGGAGGCGGGTGGGGCTCAGAGGCCGGGGGACCTCTTCCGCTTCGGCCGGCTCCCCTCCCGGAAGGAGGTTCTCTAACTCGGCCTCTGCGTCGCCCCCGGTCAAGACGATGGGGACGATGCGGACGGGCTCGGACGGGGGGCTGGCCGCTTTGGCGACGCCGTTCCCTGGAAGAGAAAGAAGAGAGGGGTCACCGCTGGGGATGCCGTTCCTAGGGAAGGGAGCGCTTCCTGGGAAACGAATGCTGGAGTTGCGGCGTCGGAAGGGACCCCTGGGGTCATCCAGTCCAACCCACTGCAATGCAGGAATCTCAGCTAAAGCATCATTGGCAGATGGCCACACAACCTCTGCTTAAAAACCTCCAAAGAAGGAGAGTCCACAAGCTCCCAAGGGTTCTACTGCCAAACAGCTCTTCCATTCAGAAGCTTATTCCTGATCTTTAGTCAGAATCTCCTTTCTTATACAGTCATACCTCATAATAATACTAATAATTTATTATTTATACCCCGCCCATCTGGCTGGGCTTCCCCAGCCACTCTGGGCAACTTCCAACCAAATATTAAAATACAATAACCTATTAAACATTAAAAGCATTAAAAGGAAGTAATAGTGCCACTGTATTCTGCTCTGGTCAGACCTCACCTGGAGTACTGTGTCCAGTTCTGGGCACCACAGTTCAAGAAGGACACTGACAAACTGGAACGTGTCCAGAGGAGGGCAACCGAAATGGTCAAAGGCCTGGAAACGATGCCTTATGAGGAACGGCTAAGGGAGCTGGGCATGTTTAGCCTGGAGAAGAGGAGGTTAAGGGGTGATATGATAGCCATGTTCAAATATATAAAAGGATGTCACATAGAGGAGGGAGAAAGGTTGTTTTCTGCTGCTCCAGAGAAGCGGACACGGAGCAATGGATCCAAACTACAAGAAAGAAGATTCCACCTAAACATTAGGAAGAACTTCCTGACAGTAAGAGCTGTTCGACAGTGGAATTTGCTGCCAAGGAGTGTGGTGGAGTCTCCTTCTTTGGAGGTCTTTAAGCAGAGGCTTGACAACCATATGTCAGGAGTGCTCTGATGGTGTTTTCTGCTTGGCAGGGGGTTGGACTCGATGGCCCTTGTGGTATCTTCCAACTCTATGATTCTATGATTCTATGAAAAGCTTCCCTAAAAAGGGCTGCCTTCAGATGTCTTCTAAAAGTCTAGTAGTTGTTGTTCTCGCCACCACTGAGAAGGCCCTCTGCCTGGTTCCCAGTAACTTGGCTTCTCGCAATGAGGGAACCGCCAGAAGGCCCTCGGCACTGGACTTCAGTGTCCGGGCAGAACGATGGGGGTGGAAACGCTCCTTCAGATATACTGGACCGAGGCCATTTAGGGCTTTAAAGGTCAGCATCAACATGTTATGTTTGCTTCAGGTTGAGCGTTCTCAGGTTGCGTCCAGCGGTGACCCGGAAGTAACGGAACGGGTTACTTCCAGGTTTCGCTGCTCGCACATGCGCAGATGTGCAAAATGACGTCATGCACATGCGCAGAAGCAGTGAATCGCTGCACGTGCAGATGCGGGTTGCGTTCTGTTCAGGTTGTGAATGGGCCTCCGGAACGGATCCCATTCACAACCAGAGGTACCCCTGTACAGTGGAACCTCAGTTCTCGAACGTCTCCGTTGACGAACGTTTCAGAACTCGAACGCCGAAAACCCAGATGTAACTGCTTCAGTTTTCAAACGATACTTGGAAGCCCAACAGCTTCCGCACAACTTCAGTTTTGAGTTTCCCTATTGTACTGAGGCTTCCACTTTCATTTTTCAGTTTTTTGAACATTTTGGAACATTACGTTCGAAAACCGAGGTTCCACTGTAACATCAATTCATTGGTTCGGGTCCTCCTCTCTGGAGCAGGGGAAAGCAAGCTTTCTCCATCCTCCATGGGGCAGCCCTTCAGATATGTGAAGATGGCTATCCTATCCCCTCTCAAGTCTCCTCTTTTCCAGGCTAAACAGACCCAAGTCCTTCAACCGCTCCTCATCAGGCTTTGTTTCCAGACCCTTGATCATCTTGGTTGCCCTCCTCTGCCCACATTCTACCTTGTCAACATCCTTCTTAAATTGTGATGCTCTGAATTGGACACAGCATTTCAGGTATGGACTGACTAAGGCAGAAGACAGAGGCAGAAGTGAGTTGATGCAGCCAAGAATAGTATTAGCCTCTTTCGCTGCCGCAAGACGCTTACCTTCGCTCCCAAGCGAGGCCATGCGCAGGTGGTGCTGGCTCTGGGGCAGAGTGGGCTGCATCAGCTGCTTGTGGAGGGAGCGGAGGAAAAGCGAGGAGCCTGGGGGGCCCTGGGGAAGGGGGAACTTCTGCCCAGCTGCCCCGTACTCCCAGAAGGCGTTCTGCAGCCGGAAGATCATGGAGAGCGGCAGGGGTTTGTGGCGCTTGGGGAGGCTGCCCTGCGGGTTGGGGGGCGGCATGGGGATGCGGGAGATGGGCTGCCAGTTGCGGGGCAGGGTTCCCGTCGGGTTGCTGGGGAGGGAGCGGCGGAAGGAGGTGTCCGGGCGGCGCTCGCTGGCGAGCGGGGAGACCTTGTAATTCCTGGGCAAGGTGGCGCTGTGCATCCCATAATGCTCCTCCTAGGGGAGAGGAAGCAAAGAGAGGTGAGACATCCCATCTAAGTCCCTGTTTTTGTAGTGGCCCTAACAAACTAGGAACCTAGATAGACTGCCCCTGGACCTGGAGGTTCCATAAAAACATACCGTATTTTTCGCCCTATAGGGCGCACCGGCCCATAGGGCACACCTATTTTGGGGGGGGAATAAAGGGGGGATTATTCCCCCCCCCAAGCCCCAAAGAGCAACCTCGCCATCGCTCCCGGAGCTTGCGGGGCTGGGGGCGGGGGAAGCCTGAGCTTCCCCCGCCCCCAGCCCCCAGAACGGGTCCGGGAGCGATGGCGAGGTTGCGCAACCTCGCCATCGCTCCCGGAGCTTGCGGGGCTGGGGCGGAACAGGCTGCTATCCGCAAGCCTTGGGAGCCCGGCGGGAATTTCCGTCGGGCTCTCCAGGCTTGCGGATATCTGCCCGAAGCCCGGGGCACGCTTTGCTGAGCTCCCCGGGTTTCGGGCTGCAGGCTGCTGTCCGCAAGCCTTGGGAGCCCGGCGGGAAGTCGCACCGGGCTCCCAAGGCTTGCGGATAGTTTCCTGAAGCCTGGAGAGCGAGAGGGGTCGCACCTGCATTCGCCCCATAGGACGCACACACATTTCCCCTTCATTTTTGGAGGGGAAAAAGTGTGTCCTATAGGGCGAAAAATACGGTAATCTATTTTTTTTTAAATGCTTTTTTATTGATTTTTCTTAAAAAAAAAACCAAACAAAAAATATAATGAAGTTCCATAATCTTATACACACTTATTTTCACAACGCTCTACTGAGCGCGGACTTCCATAAAAACATAATCTAGTCCAGCCTCCTGTTCTCACAGTGGCCAACCACATGCCCATTATGGGAAACCTGCAAGCGGGATTTGAACAAAAGATCTAGCTATTACATTTTTCGCCCCTGAGGTTACAAATCTATATCCCCTCCCCTTACTTTAACTTGTCACCATCGCCCGAGATTTCAACCTGCCATTAGTTGCAGGGTTCCCAATGAGCGCCCTCCCCTGGAAAGTCTTCCTTGAGAATTAGTGTTGTGTAGTGGTTAGAGCGCTGGACCAGGAGAGACTGGGGTTCGAATTTCCTCTCAGCCATGAAGCTCCCTGGGTGACCTTGGGCCAGCCTAACCTACCTCGCAGGGTTGTCGTGGAGATTTAAATGAGGAGGAGAACAAGAAAGGGAAAAAAGGTGGGATATACGTGAAATGAATAAACCCCACAGACCATAGCTGCCAACCGTCACTTATTTGGCGGGAAAGTCCCTTATCCCAGCGCCGTTTCCCGCTGCTGTCCCTTATGGATGATGTCCCTTAAATTTCCCAGGTTTCAAAGGAAGCAGCTCCTCTCCCTCCCTCCCTGCCGGCCAGGGAGGAGGGAGGCTCCAACTGTGTTGCTTGGCTGCATTGCTCACCCAATAAGGAATCTAAGAACGACTGGGGGGTGGAGCTTGCATGCCTTGTGCCGATCAAATCGGCCGCATTGCCTGGGGACTCGCCTTTGCTCAGCGCTTCCCAGCGGAGAGGTGACGGTGGTTTTCCTTGCTGCATCCCCTTTGCCAGGTTGCTGCGCTGTGGGAACCACCGCTTGAGGCTTTGTTTGGCTGCTGGCTGGGCTTTCTGCCTTTGGCTCGGAGGGGCTCAGAAGTTGAACATACCTGTGCTTGGGAAATCCCTTATTTTGGCTGCTGATCCCTTATTTTCGAGGCTGCTGGTCCCTTATTTTCAAATCTGTAAGTTGACAGCAATGCCACAGACCCAAAGGGGAGCCGCGCAGGCCCAAACTTACCTTGCTTGGCCCGATGCCCCCGTCTAAACTCGATTCCCTCCAAGGAGACAGCGGGACGCCAGCCGGGCTCTGGCGGAGCCCCATGTGGGCGTCTCCTCCTGGACGGGGGGTGGAGAAAGAGAGACTGATTGGGGATGGGATGCTCAGTGCTGGATAAACCATTAAGCAAAATAAGCACTTACTTAGGGCATCGAGGAAAGAGGGGGGGGCAATCACAGAAATTTCCCATTGCCAGATTTTGACCATTAATGGTCAGAAATGGCTCAGCTGAAGTCTATTAGAAATCCCAGCAAAACAACTAATGCGACAAGGCAAGTATAGGAGGAGATGTGTCACGCGAGATTGGCTTTGAGGTTCTGACCAAAAGACTTTGCAATGAGAAAAAGTAGGAGAAATGTTTTTTTCAAATATAAAGAAAGTGGAAGTAATAATAAATAATAATAACAATAATAAATTTTTATTTATACCCCGCCCTCCCCAGCCAGAGCCGGGCTCAGGGCGGCTAACACCAGTAAAATTACAATAAAAACATAATTGGGGGGGGGGGACAGACAATTTAAAATACAGGTTAAAAATGCAATTTAAAAGGCAGCCTCGTTTTAATAATAGCCCATAGAGCAAAAACATAAGGGGAGAGAAACATAAGGGTCAGACTGAGTCCAAACCAAAGGCCAGGCGGAACAGCTCCGTCTTGCAGGCCCTGCGGAAAGATGTCAAGTCCCGCAGGGCCCTAGTCTCTTGTGACAGAGCGTTCCACCAAGTCGGGGCCAGTACTGAAAAGGCCCTGGCCCTACTTGAGACCAATCCAACCTCCTTGAGGCTTGGGACCTCCAAAGTGTTGTTATTTGTGGACCTTAAGGTCCTCCGCAGGGCATACCAGGAGAGGCGGTCCCGTAGGTATGTGGGTTCTAGGCATTGTTTTCCACCTTACTGTAAGTTTTAAAAAGGTAACGGGACCCCAGACCATTAGGTCCAGTCGTGGCCAACTCTGGGGTTGCGGTGCTCATCTCACTTTAGTGGCTGAGGGAGCCGGCGTTTGTCCGCAGACAGTTTTTCCGTGTCATGTGGCCAGCATGACTAAGCCGCTTCTGGCAAACCAGAGCAGTGCACAGAAATGCAGTTTACCTTCCCGCCGGAGCGGTACCTATTATCTACTTGCACTTTGATGTGCTTTCGAACTGCTAGGTTGGCAGGAGCAGGGACCGAGCAACGGGAGCTCACCCCGTTGTGGGGATTCGAACCGCCAGCCTTCTGATCGGCAAGTCCTAGGCTCTGTGGTTTAACCCACAGCGCCATCTGCATCCCTACTGTAAGTTCTATTGAATCTCAAAAATTAAAATTTTATTTGACAGTTTATTATTGCCTATATTTTGAATTAGATATATATGTGGGGGTCTCTAAAGGTCTTAATCTGGCCCTGCAGGTGTCCCCGCAGCCTGGCTGCTGCACCATGATGCCCGGGGGTGAAGCCCTTTCCTTGCCCCCCCCACTTTGCCTCCCGCCTGCCCGCCCACTGACGCATCAAGACATCTCTTCCTCTCCTCCCTCCAGAGACCCCAGCCAACACTCACGCTCATAACCAACTGGGTGGGTCGCCTTCTTCTCATACGCCACGTCCAGGTCGGATTCGTTCCACCCTTTCTGCACCCTCCTCCGGATCACAAGGTCATCTGCAGAGAGAGAGATCTTCAGAGATCCACCAGAGGACCTTTCTCGGGGGTACGCCGTTGCCATCCCTTGACGCAGAACCTCTGGCTCACCCCATCTTTCCTGACCTTACAGCCGAGCTGCTCCCAAAGCTTTTCAAGCCATTGTCCCCTTGAGCTCATCCCCAGTGCCCATTATTATTATTATTATTATACCTGAAGGAGCGTCTCCACCCCCATCGTTCTGCCCGGACACTGAGGTCCAGAGCCAAGGGCCTTCTGGCGGCTCCCTCCCTGCGAGAAGCCAAGTTACAGGGAACCAGGCAGAGGGCCTTCTCAGTGGTGGCACTCACCCTGTGGAACGCCCTCCCACCAGATGTCAAAGAGAAAAACTACCAGACTTTTAGAAGACATCTGAAGGCAGCCCTCTTTAGGGAAGCTTTTAATGTTTAATAGGTTATTGTATTTTAATATTCCGTTGGAAGCCGCCCAGAGTTGCTGGGGAAACCCAGCCAGATGGGCGGGGTATAAATAATAAATAATATATTATTATTATCATCATCATCATCATCATCATCATCATCATTTATTAGAATCTATATACTGCCCTATACCCAGAGGCCTCAGGGCAGCTCACAGAACCTACCCTTTATTATTATATTATATTATATTATATTATATTATATTATATTATGTTATATTATACAGTGGTACCTCTGGTTAAGTACTTAATTCGTTCCGGAGGTCTGTACTTAACCTGAAACTGTTCTTAACCTGAAGCACCACTTTAGCTAATGGGGCCTCCCGCTGCCGCCGCACGATTTCTGTTCTCATCCTGAAGCAAAGTTCCTAACCTGAAGCACTATTTCTGGGTCTGTAACCTGAATCGTAATGTAACCTGAAGCGTATGTAACCCGAGGTACCACTGTTTATTATATTATATTATATTATATTATATTATATTATATTATATTATATTATATTTATTATAACCTACCCTTTATTAGAACCTACCCTTTATTATAAAGAAGCCACATTCAGAAAGCAATTTCATGACCCGCCAAGGCTGATAACACAACAGAATTCGAATTGCACACTTATCCAAAATCCAATTAATTCTGTTTCATCAACTTGACGAAACTGATGGGCTCATGACCCAAAGGCGAGCAGTCCCACCCCGCCTCAAAAATGCCCCCCACACCAGACCGCCGCCCCCCTCAGTCCTCGCCTGACCTTTACCTTGAGACCGGAAAGGTGCAAAAGTGCTGGGTGGCGACGGGTACAGGCTATGGCTCTCATACGGCGGCGGCAGAGGCGGCCGTGGCGACGGCACCCGGTCCGGGAAGAAGGACTGGGGCGCAGCTCCTTCCGTGGGCATCCGTGGGGAGCTGGCTCGCCCCAGTGGCCCGCCATAGGTCTTGTAGTCATACTGGCGCTCCAGGGAGAGGCTGGGCCGGAGGGAGCGGGGAGAGGCCGTGGGGCTGGGCGCCGTCTCGTAGGGTACAGGCAGCACCTTGGGCCTGGGGGGCGGCAGTGCCCGGTCCACCTCTGGCTGGAGGAAGAGGGACGGCCGCGGAGAGGTGGGGCGGCCCAGCGGGGATCTGGGTGCAAGGAGCTGGCTGGGGGACGGCGAGCCGTAGGTGGAGCTGTGTGCGAATCCTGGCGCCGCTTCCCCAAAGGAATAGTGGGCGCTCTCCGTGGTCTCCGATGACAGGCTCTTGCGGGGGAAGAGGGGCAGCGGGGAGGGGGCGATGGGACTCATCCTGCCCAGCAACTCGTGGGAGGGGCTGGTGCTGAATCTCTCCATAGCCTGCCAGGAACAGAGAAAGGAGATTGGGGGGTGACTCCACAATGACCCCCCTGCCAGGCCTGGCAAAATAAGAGCTGGCAGCCACAGGCCAGGGTTGCGGGACTTGGTTGGCAAGCAAGCTCTCCCCACAAGGCTGCTTGTGGGGACCCTGTTTGGTGTCTCCCCACCTCCAATTCCCCAACAACTGGCTTCTCTTGAAGATATTTGCAAGAGCATCCAGAAGAGGCCGCTGTATTTTGCTGTGATGTTCATGAAATGAAGTACCAGCAAGAATTCTTTCAATGCATTAATTCTATCATGCAACCGCAAGCTATCACTCGGCTTTGCAGACGACCTTAAGGTCCATGAATAATCATAGTTTAGAGGTCCTGGGCCCTAAGGAAGTCAGACCATCCTCCACCAGGGCCAGGGCCTTCTCAGTGATGGCTCCGACCTGGTGGAATGCTGTTCCAGGAGACTAGGACCCTGCAGGATTTAACCTCCTTCCGTCAGGCCTGTAAGACAGAGCTATTCCGCCTGGCTTTCAACTTGAACTTAGCCTGATCTTTTATTCCCCTTCCTTCCGTCCCCCTCCCCTTTTTATGAAGATTACCCGCTCTGAGACCCCACAGCTAATTCTCCCCTGGTCTCCTCGCTGGCCCAAATAGGACTGTAGCCTTATGAGGCTTTGCCCTCGGGTGGGAAAAATATTGCGCCCGGGAAAGGGAAGTGGGAGTCAACAGACACTCAAGGAATAGTTTCGGAGAAAAAGGTTTTGTTTCTACCATCCATGAACTGGTAGAAGGAGCAAGTGTGATAAGTCACAAAAAGCATGCACGAGTTCACAGTCATGTGCACAAGCATATATACCCCTTTCCAGTTCCCTCCTCCTTTCTCCTCCCTCAGGAGTCCTGCCCCATGTTGAGGTTCCTGAGCATGTACAGAAAGCTGTCTTGGGACTATTGTGGACTCTTGGCACCCTTCCCAGGAAAGGGGTTTCAGAGTGTATCAGATATGTTTGAATCTCTTGTTCTGGCATGGTTCCCGGACAGAAAGCAAGTTGCAATGTGGTTCTTTAGCAAGGCCAAAGGCTCTGAGAAAGGCCTGAGAAACAATGGACTGTTCTCTACCTTTGTTACAGCAGAGTGGAATGTTTCTGATGCTTAGCTGCTGAGAAAATAATTTTGAAAAGCTTTGAGAAGCTTTGAGCCTGCTTTGGTGGGGGGTGACTTCGGGCCTAGGTGGGGTCACCTGTCCTCACCTCCTACAGGACTAATTTAGCCAGCTAGCCCTGGGGATCATCTAAAGTTTATTGGATGGATGCTGGTTCCAGGACCGCCCCCCCAAGGCTCCTTTGCTGCCTCCGCACCTTGAGTTGCCCAAGAGGTTGGGCCGGGTTCTCTGTCCAGAGGGACTCCAGTTGCTTGGAGAGCTCGTCCACTTTGGCCACCGCCGTGTCCAGTTCCAACTGCTTCAGGTCCATGTGCTTCGAGGCCAGAGCTGTGGTGGGGAATGTGAGAGAGGAGGGTAAGAGAGGGAGAGGAGAGGCAGGTCTCTGCCTGGGAAGCGGGTTGGGCTAGATGACCTCTGGGGTGTCCCCCCCCCGACTCTAAAACTCTAACATTTTCAAAGCCAAGGAACCAAGACACTTGGTTCACGAAGGTTGCCTGGACCCAGAGATGTTCAGAGCAGGGCTAGCTCCTAAGCGGCTGCGGTGGTCCAAGATGCCCCTCACCCCCGAGGGCCAGACACAGCTCTCTGACTGGCCCTTGGACCTCTCCTTAGCCGCCCTCCCCCCCCACCAGCCAGCCCTGCTGAGATGATGTGAGCGCATGTAGAGAGCCTAGCCTACTGGGCAAGGCAGAAAATCCACAGGTGTTGCTTTTGTCCATTTGGCCCCGCCTACCATTCACATGCGGCCCCCAGAAGGGATTGCGGCCCCCAGGCCCCCCCAAGCGCTCCCTGCTCCTGCCCCAGGAAGGAGAACACCAATTGATAGAGCACGAGACTCTGGGTTGTGGGTTCGTGCCCTACGTGGGGCAAAATATTCCCACATTGCAAGGGGTTGCACTAGATAACGCTTGTGGGCCCTTATAATTCTATGCAGATGATACCCAGCTCTACCTCTCTTTCAAATCAGAACCAGTGAAGGCGGTGAAGGTCCTGTGTGAGTGTCTGGAGGCGGTTGGAGGATGGATGGCAGCTAACAGATTGAGGCTGAATCCTGACAAGACAGAAGGACTGTTTTTGGGGGACAGGAGGCGGGCAGGAGTGGAGGATTCCCTGGTCCTGAATGGGGTATCTGTGCCCCTGAAGGACCAGGTGCGCAGCCTAGGAGTCATTTTGGACTCCCAGCTGTCCATGGAGGCACAGGTCAGTTCTGTGTCCAGGGCAGCTGTTTACCTGCTTCATCTGGTACGCAGGATGAGACCCTCCCTGTCCACAGACTGTCTGGCCAGAGTGGTGCATGCTCTAGTTATCTCTCGCTTGGACTACTGACATGCGCTCTATGTTGGGCTACCTTTGAAGGTGACCCGGAAGCTGCAATTAATCCAGAATGCGGCAGCTAGACTGGTGACTGGGAGCGGCCGCCAGGACCAGTCCTGAGAGATCTGCATTGGCTCCCAGTATGTTTCCGAGCACAATTCAAAGTGTTGGTGCTGACCTTTCAAGCCCTAACCGGCCTCAAAGGCCCAGTATACCTGAAGGAGCATCTCCACCCCATCGTTCTGCCCGGACACTGAGGTCCAGCTCCGAGGGCCTTCTGGCGGTTCCCTCACTGCGATGAGTGAGGTTACAGGGAACCAGACATAGGGCCTTCTCGGTGGTGGTACCCGCCCTGTGGAACGCCCTCCCAGCAGATGTCAAAGAAATAAGCAGCTATCTTATCTTTAGAAGACATCTGAAGGCACCTGTGTTTAGGGAAGTTTTTAATATTTAATACTGTATTTTTTTAACACTTGATTGGGAGCCGCCCAGAGTGGCTAGGGAAACTCAGCCAGATGGGCGGGGTATAAATAATAAATTATTATATAATTATATGATTCTACGATCTACCGTATTCCCTTTTTTTGCAAGAATTTTGGCCCTGACATGTGGGTGGAACAAACAGAAAACGCGAACACAAAATACTGGACAGCCTAGGTAAAGGTAAAGGTCCAGTCGTGACCGACTCTGGGGTTGCGGCGCTCATCTCGCTTTATTGGCCGAGGGAGCCGGCATCCAGCTTCTGGGTCATGTGGCCAGCGTGACTAAGCCGCTTCTGGCGAACCAGAGCAGCACATGGAAACGCCGTTTACCTTCCCGCCAGAGTGGTACCTATTTATCTACTTGCACTTTGTTGTGCTTTCGAACTGCTAGGTTGGCAGGAGCAGGGACCGAGCAACGGGAGCTCACCCTGTTGCAGGGATTCGAACCGCCGACCTTCTGATCGGCAAGTCCCAGGCTCTGTGGTTTAACCCACAGCGCCACCCGCATCCCACTGGACAGCCTACCAGGATCCTATTTAGGATTTCTGTTTAAATGGATCTGGATTACCGGAGTAGGGTATGGCAAAGGCCTGGGTTCGAATTCCCACTCGTTTGCATGATGCGCACTGGGTGTCCCCTTGGGCCAGTCGCTGCCTCCCTCAGCCTCACCTCCCTCGCAGGGTTGTTGTGTGAGGACGAAACGGGAAGGGAGGGAGCTGTGTGCACCACTTTTGAGCTGGAAGGTGGGACGACAATGTAATAAACCAATAAATAGTTCCGCTAAGGATCTGGGGGAACCAGATTTCCCTCCAATGTTTTTTTTAGCTGCCATAGGGGCTTGGCACTTTACGGTGCTGTAGCATATGAGATCCAAGCAGATACACACAGAAACACTCCTCAGCCACCAGGCTGCAAAATTCCTAGCAGGTGTCACCCATTTTCCCCGGAAAGCCCTCTAGGGCACCCCCCAGGGAAGGGAGGCCCATGGAGCAGGATCAAGCCTGGCGCCCGCTCACATAAGCACGCTGGCCCTGCAGTGCGGGCCCAGCCCTCCTTGTTTCCTCACCCGTTTGCCACGGGGCCATTACGCCACCTGCCTCCTGGGCAGGCTCAGCGGGCTACAAAGGGTTCGGCCGAAAATGCCGCAGGAATGTCAAGACAAGCCCAGGACGTCCTGGCAAAGAGCCCCGCTTTGCTCGCGGCTATGAAATGCCGGGCCAGTTGCCAAGTGAAGAAAATTAAAATTAAAAAGGGCAGGCGTTTGCTCCCATAGAGCAACACACACCAGCAGGCGATGCAATACTGAATGTATGTGTGCTTTTAAAAAATATTTCTGAGTCACTTTTCATGGCAGAGCCTGAGCAAAGTGGCTTACACACACACTTTTGTATTTTTAAATTGTTCGCGCTGTGGGTTAAACCACAGAGCCTAGGACTGGCCGATCAGAAGGTCGGTGGTTCGAATCCCCGCAATGGGGTGAGCTCCCGTTGCTCGGTCCCTGCTCCTGTCAACCTAGCAGTTCGAAAGCACATCAAAGTGCAAGTAGATCAATAGGTACCGTTCCGGTGGGAAGGTAAACGGCGTTTCCGTGCGCTGCTCTGGTTCGCCAGAAGCGGCTTAGTCATGCTGGCCTCATGACCCAGAAGCTGTACGCCGGCTCCCTCGGCCAGTAAAGCGAGATGAGCGCCGCAACCCCAGAGTCGGCCACGACTGGACCTAATGGTCAGGGGTCCCTTTACCTTTTGTATGTTATTTTGTATTTTGGGGTTTTATAAGGCTAACATTCTACTGCCCTTTCAATGTGTTTCTGGGGGGTATTGTTTTGTTGCTTTATATATTTTTTATCCTGCGAACCTCCCTGAGATCTTGTGAAAAAGGGTTGTATATAAATCTAATAATAATAATAATAACCTTACTGTCTTTTAACTCGCGCAGTTCCAACCATACGTGGTAGCAGGCAAGGAGGCTGAAACTGCGCAAGTTGCATCTGAGCAAGGCAGGGAGTTCAAAAGCTCTTTTTTGTGCCAGGTCTGCTTCAGGTTTGCTGGGGCAGAAAGAGCGTTGAAGCTCTCTGCCTCGCTTGGGGAGGCAAGGCGTGCTCAGTGCACCAGCTCTGGGATGCTTTTGTGAGATCCTGTGGGGCCGTCCGAGTTTGTGTGAGATTTGCTGCAAGCATCCCTAGCGTGCAGAGACGATCTTGCCCAGAAAGCAAGGCAGAGGGCTCTTTTTGTGCCTGCTTGGGGTTCCCTGGCTTGTCGATATTCTTCTTAAATTGTTGTGCCCAGAACTGGACACAGTATTCCAGGTGTGGCCTGACCAAGGCAGAATAGAGTGGGACTATCCTTGGACTATGGACTTCTGTTGATGCAGCCTAGAATAGTGTTAGCTTTTCTTGCTGCTGCATCACACTGTTGACTATTAATAATAATAATAATTTATTATTTATACCCCGCCCATCTAGCTGGGCTTCCCCAGCCACTCTGGGCAGCTTCCAACAAAATATTGAAAAACAGTAATGCATCAAACATTAAAAGTTTCCCTAAACAGGGCTGCCTTCAGATGTCTTCTAAAAGTCTGGTAAGCTGTTGTTCTCTTTGACATCTGGTGGGAGGGCGTTCCACAGAGCGGGCGCCACCACTGAGAAGGCCCTCTGCCTGGTTCCCTGTAACTTGCCTTCTCACACTGAGGGAACCGCCAGAAGGCCCTCAGAGCTGGACCTCAGTGTCCGGGCTGGATGATGGAGGTGGAGACGCTCCTTCAGATGTTTAGCTTGTGTTCCACTAAGACCCCTAGATCCTTTTCAAATGTATTGCTGTCGAGGCAGGTGTCCCCATCCTAAATTTGTGCGCCTGGTTCTTCCTGCCTAAGCAGAACGTGACATTTGTCCCTGTTGACAAAAGAACTGCCCATACTGAGCTAATTGGAGCAGAAAAGCCGTGTCTTCTGTTCCTCTCTCCCTCTCTGGCATTCCTGTTTGCTTGAGTGGAGATCTAGTGTTTGTGTCTTGATTTGGGCAACCAGGACAGATTAAGGAATCTGCTTGTTTACCGCCTGCCTCCCGTGTCAAATCTTAGGTTGCAAAAGTCCCGGGGGGGGGGGGAGAGCAGGACACTCTCCTCTGCTACTTTGCAAAGCAAAATACGCATTGGAGAGTGTTTATTACGATTATCATTATTACTATCCGGTCTTTTTCTCCCTTTGAAGTTATTTGGGCATTTCAAAGCGGAGATGAGCAACGCAAAGTCTTTGGCCTGCAGCCTCTTTTGACATTCCTGGGGCGGGCTCAGCAAAGCCCGCCGTAGCCCCAAAGGCAGATTGCATAATCGCCCCGCGGAAAGGCCCAGTTTGCAACTGCTCACGTAACACGCTTGGGAGCCAGAGACGCTTTTCAAAAGCTCAGGACGATACCCCCCACCCACCCACCCACCCTTGCACTTCGGTCAGAGAAAACAGCCAAACCCTGCTCTCTTCATGTTCCAAAGCATAGCAGCCAAACCAGGGACACCAAAAATGCAGGAGACAAAAGGCAGACCCAGCTGCTTCCGTCCTTATTTGTTTTCCCTCAGCGTAATTTACCAAAATTTTATCCTAATCGTTTTCGCCAACAGCGGGTTAGGAATGTACTGAGCCAGACCCTTGGTCCCTTCTGGTACCACATTCATGCCAAACATTTAAAGCACTCTGGTAGCACTTTAAACGGTCACGGCTTCTCCCCACCCCACCCAAATCCTGGGAGTTGTAGTTTTTTGAGGGAAGCCCATATTCCTGCCACGCTGCTGTTCCCAGAGCTCCTAGGGAAGTGGGATTGACAGTTTACAACTCTGGAAATTGTTGCTCTGTGATACCACTTGGCTTCCTTCAAGGAATCCTGGGAGTTATAGTTTCTTAAGGGCGCTGAGGGGTGTTAGGAGACCCCCCCTATTCCTCTGGCAGAGCTGCAATTCCCTGCTCAGAGGACAACAGGTGAATAATCTGTTCTAGGGTAATTTCTTCCCCAAGGCAACCTGAAAATCTGCTGGTGAGCTCCCCTCACTCACACTTGAAGCTGAGGTCCAACAGATCTTGGGCACTGGTGATGTCTTCGCTCGCCATAATGCCAGCTGCCAATCGGGGTCCCGATCCTGTCGGCCACCAGCACCCCAAGCGTCGCAGGGACCTAGGAAGATGGAGCAACTCCATGGTTGGTGTGTGTGGACACGGGCCACCTGCTAGAAGAGCATCCCAGCTTTCCCACCACCCCCTGGCCCGCCCCAGCCCACCCCCTGTCCCACCGACACTCTCCACCCCTCTCTCCCCAGGGATGTTTTGCAGCAAACTGAGAATCCAGCCTTGCCAGTCAACCGCTTACACCGTATTTTTTGCTCCATAAGACGCACCTGACCATAAGACGCACCTAGTTTTTAGAGGAGGAAAACCAGAAAAAAAAAATCTGAATGAAACAGTGGATGTATGATTTTTGTGGTTCATGCTGTGGCCACAAACATGTGATTTGATAGTGTGTTTTGAGAATCCATGTGGATAACCACATTTTTGCGCCATTGCAGCCCCACAAAACAGGGGATGCGTGATTTTTTTGGTGCAGGCTGTAGCCATGGACATGCTATGTGATCTGATAGTGAATTTGGGGTGACCCAATGCAAAAATCCTGAGGATCCCCACAGTAGTAAGAACACCGAACACGGGGTGACAGCCTCTTTTAAAACTTCTCTCTTCCCCACAGAATACACTTCAAGCAGCATCACTGATACATCATCACTACATCACTAAAAAGTAAAGGTACCCCAGACCGTTAGGTCCAGTTGTGGACGACTCTGGGGTTGCGGCGCTCATCTCACTCTATAGGCCGAGGGAGCCGGCGTTTGTCCGCAGACAGCTTCCGGGTCATGTGGCCAGCATGACTAAGCCGCTTCTGGCGAACCAGAGCAGCGCATGGAAACGCCGTTTACCTTCCCGCTGGACCAGTACCTATTTACCTACTTCCACTTTGACGTGCTTTCAAACTGCTAGGTTGGCAGGAGCAGGGACCGAGCAACGGGAGCTCACACCGTTGCGGGGATTCGAACTGTCGACCTTCTGATCGGCAAGCCCTAGGCTCACTGGTTTAGACCACAGCGCCACCCACGTCCCTTCACTACGTCACTAGCATGTCACAAATGGGGAGGGGTACATAAGGGTTACACAAGTTCAACATTAGGTCACTTGATCAGGCACCTTTCCCAACACCATCACCGAAAGAACAATAAAACTCTTGACATCTCCTTGCCCTCAGGACTTGTCTGGAGATGGGCTTTCAGAACACCTGACTTGCTCAACTGCCTGTGCGAATGTCCAGTCTTGCCCCCTTGGTCACTCCCTCAGTGGGTGGCCCTGTATGTGCTCTCACGCTTGGGGAATTATGGCAAGGTCCCCTGTTCCTGCTGCCTGTGTGACTTCCTGCTTCTTGGTCCATGGAGGGAGGTGGAGCCCAAATTCACCTTTCTTTATAATAATAAATATTAAAATTTTATTTATACCCTGCCCTTCCCGGTTTAAAAACCAGGCCCAGGGTGGCTAACAGCAAATATAAAACATTGATTAAAATGCGACTTAAAAACAGCATAAAACACAACATAAAATGCAGCATCAATATCAATAAAATTCAAAAATTCAGGGGTCATTTTTGGGAGGGAAAAAAACTCCCAGTCAGTAGACATCACCAGGGCTAACTGGCCAAGTTGGTCCTACAAGGGCCAGCAAGGAGACCAGGGAAGAATTTAAATATGGGGTTCCAGAAAGGGTTTCTTCATAGAAGAGGAACGGGAAAAGGGAATACAGTGGACGCTTGGGTTGCGAATGTGATCCGTGCGGAATGCACGTTCACAACCTGCAGCATTCGCAACCCGCGTCTGCGCATGCGCAGGTTGTGATTTGGCGCTTCTGCGCATGCACAAAGCGCGATTTAGTGCTTCCGTGCATGCGCAACTGCCGAAACCCAGAAGTAACCCATTCTGGTACTTCCGGGTTACGGCGGTCCGTAACCCAAAAAAACACAACCTGAAGCATCTGTAACCTGAGGACTGTAGAGGATCAGGCTAATTCAAATTGAATGCCAGGCGGAATAGCTCTGTCTTACAGGCCCTGCGGAAGAAGATCAAGTCCCTAGTCTCGTGGGACAGTGCATTTCACCAGGTCGGAGCCGGGTTAAAATGACATTGGAATGAGGAGAGTCGGTTAAAGTATGGATTTTCTACGAATTCATAAAGCTAGGTATCTCCCCTGAGCTGTCAAGTCAAAAGGATACATTCAGGAATAATACTTGTAAAAACTTTAAATATTTGGTCCATCCCAGAGGCAGCGATAGCATCTTAAAAAGCAGAGACATCACCTTGCCAACAAAGGTCCGTATAGTTCAAGCTATGGTTTTCCCAGTAGTGATGTATGGAAGTGAGAGCTGGACCACAAAGAAGGCTGATTGCCGAAGAATGGATGCTTTTGAATTCTGGTGCTGGAGGAGACTCTTGAGAGTCCCATGGACTGCAAGAAGATCAAACCTCTCCATTCTGAAGGAAATCAGCCCTGAGTGCTCACTGGAAGGACAGATCCTGAAGCTGAGGCTCCAAGACTTTGGCCTCCTCTTGAGAAGAGAAGACTCCCTGGAAAAGACATTGATGTTGAGAAAGATGGAGGGCCCAAGGAGAAGGGAATGACAGAGGACAAGATGGTGGGACAGTGTTCTCAAAGCTACCAACATGAGTGTGACCAAACTGTGGGAGGCAGTGGAAGACAGGAGTGTCTGGCGTGCTCTGGTCCAGGGGGTCACGGAGAGTCAGACACGACTAAACGACTAAACAACAACAAAGAGGCAGCGATGCTTCTGAATTCAAGTTGCTGGAAACTGGAAGAGTGGGTTTCCCATAAAGGTTGGGGTCTGTGAGAACAGGAGTCTGGACCAGATGTGCCCCTGGCCTGATCCAGGACCCAGGCTCTTCTTATGGTCGTATGCTCCTATCTGAGTAATTGGAGAGAGTCAACCACTTTCCACGACTCCCTTGAACTAAGAATTGTGAAGCAAAATCCTCCATTATCATCACCACGGCTTCTCTCACGCTGTCTGCCGGCTGACAACTCTTTCCTTTCGCTCCTGCCTCAATGTAAGATCCTCAGGGCAGGGACCAAGTTTCTATAAAACTCCGGGCTGTCCGTAAACCAACAGCAGGGGACAATGCAAAAGCAAACATGCATTTTCTGCCAGAAAGGATTCTCACCACTCAATATCCTTAAGCAAATCCTTAAACAAACGGCACATCTTTTTCTCAATTCCACGCACGTTTCAAACGCTGGCTGCGTTTAAAGCCAACATCAGAAGTACTGAAGTAGAACAGAAAAAAAACACCACCAGTTGCCAGAAGAAAAACTGGGAGGGGATTAATGAAATTATTATTTTTTTAAAAAATGAATTAAAACAATATGCTCTTCTAAAAACATTTAAAAGAAAAAGGTTCCGTTTTTAAAAAATATTGTGTGATAGCCACCAAAGTCAGACTCAGTAAGTAAAGGTAAAGGGACCCCTGACCATTAGGTCCAGTCGTGGCCGACTCTGGGGTTGCGGCGCTCATCTTGCTTTATTGGCTGAGGGAGCCGGCGTACAGCTTCCGGGTCATGTGGCCAGCATGACTAAGCCGCTTCTGGCAAACCAGAGCAGTGCACAGAAACGCTGTTTACCTTCCCGCCGGAGTGGTACCTATTTATCTACTTGCACTTTGACGTGCTTTCGAACTGCTAGGTTGGCAGGAGCAGGGACCAAGCAACGGGAGCTCACCCCATCACGAGGATTCGAACCGCTGACCTTCTGATCGGCAAGTCCTAGGCTCTGTGGTTTAACCTACAGCGCCACCTGCTGTGGGTTAAACCACAGAGTAGACCCACTCAAATCCATGGACAAGTCACAAAACCCCACTGAACTCGTGAGTATGATTAATAATAATAATAATAATCATTTATTTATTTTTACCCCGCTCATCTGGCTGGGTTTCCCAGCCACTCTGGGCGGCTTCCAACAGAATATTAAAATACAATAACCTAATGCAGAATATTAACTTATCTGTTGTCTCATTTGGGTCTTCAGAGAGGGCATGATATAGCGTATTCTTTGCTCTATAAGACTCACTTTTTCCCTGCTAAAAAGTAAGGGGAGATGTGTGTGCGTATTATGGAGCGAATGCAGGCTGCGCAGCTATCCCAGAAGCCAGAACAGCAAGAGGGATTGCTGCTTTCACTGCGCAGCGATCCCTCTTGCTGTTTTGGCTTCTGAGATTCAGAATATTTTTTTTATTGTTTTCCTCCTCCAAAAACTAGGTGCGTCTTTTGGTCTGGTGCGTCTTATAGAGCGAAAAATACGGTAATTTAAATTGGCTGAGGTATGCAGAAGGTACCTTTATTAACATTTGAACATTTTATCCTTTTTATTGTTATATTTAAGGTTACAATGTTGTATTTTTGAACACTGTTTAAGCTCCACAACTCTAAACACACCTGCAAGGCAGCAAGTCCCACTGAACACAGCAGGAGTTGCTCAGAGGCACTTTTGCGGAGATATTACAGCACGCAAACATGCAAACATTTATTCGGTGCGTGCTCAGATGAGTCAAGTTTAAAGCTAACCACCTAATTGCACCAGTCGGGGCACTGGGCTGGGACCAGGGAGAGAGCTGGGTTCGAATCCCCACGTACCTGCCACTTTGAGCTCTTTGGAGGGGAGGAAAAAGTGGGATGTAAAAGCAATACATAAATAAATTAGGCAGCAGCTGTTGTTTACAAAAACACGTGGAGGAAATATATTTAGACCAATTTACATGCCTGATCTAATTTGCCCTCACGGAAGAAACTTTTAAATGTGTTTGCGGCGAGGCAGGGTTACTGTTTTGTTCCTGTTCTTGTTTTTATTGTGTACTTTGTGGTTTTTGTTCCGTATTTCGTGCTGCGAAGTGCCCTGAGGGCTTTGGATGAAGGCCGGTACAACGTCAATTTAATAGATGTGATAGGAATTTTATACATGGTAATGTTCATAAGTGTATCAACCAAGCACATACATAGATCAGCGCAGGAAGGCCAACCTGGAACCATTTTGATTCCTAAACTGACCAAATCTTTTCTCTGCAAGGTCAAAATAGAAAAGCCTCCCCATTGTCTTTTCCTTCACAAATCCTGTCTTAAGGGTATGTCTGTGTTTTGAATAGGGTGTGAGCCTGTGACCTGGCTCAGGAACTAAGTATTTATCATTACAAAAGACTGGCCAGGCTACCCAGGAAATCCAGTCAAGTAACTTGCCAGACAGGAGATAAACAACAACAGGAGAAAAAAACAATATTAAAATTTCTGTTTTAGACCACCTTTTCTGTGATGTAGGTGTGATGTATCTGAAGGGTGGTCTTAGGTTACACCCCTTCTGTGATGTATGTATGATGTTTCTGGGGGTGGTCTTGATCTACAGGGTGGCAATTTCAAAAGTCTTTATAAGGGCTGGCACACCATTTTTCTGGGTCCCTCGTCTCTGCTGCAGGTGAGGCAGTGGCGTAGCGTGGGGGTGCAGGGGGGCCCGGCCGCACCGGGCGCAACATCTGGGGGGGCGCGCTCGCACTCGCAGCTCTCTGCCCCTACCTGGCTCACTCCCTCTCTCTCACTGCAGTGCTGGCTGTGCGAATCCGATCCGAGCCGCCGGGTCGCCGCCCACTGTGGAGGAGGTGGGTGCCAGGCGTGCGGTGCGGAGAGAGAGCGAGGGACTATCTGGGGGGGGACAGTGCAGCGGCCGCCCAGCGCAGCGCTGAGCGCGGGAGAGAACCACACCAGACCAGCCCAGGCAGCAGCAAGAAGAAGCTGGCAGCGGCGGCAGGTTAGGGGTTAGGGGGCGCAAATTACTTGCCTTGCCCCGGGTTAGGGGGCGCAAATTACTTGCCTTGCCCCGGGTGCTGACAACCCATGCTACGCCGCTGAGGTGAGGGGAGCACCCTGTTGCAACAGATCAATAAAGGCCAAGCCTACAGGCTGCAGTTTTGCTCCAAGTAATCCTGGTTGGTGTCTTTGTTTTTTGTCCAAGGGAGCCCTCAGATTTTTCCATTAACATAGATAAATAAGTAAAGGACAAAATTGGGGATCTGGGAGACGGGGTGCAGCCAGATTTCTCCCAAGAGGCCATCCTTAATCAGGAAGGAATCTGGCAGCCCAATTCTGCCTGCAAAGCGTTGCTCTCTACAAAAGAGAGCCCTTTGTCTAGGAGGAGAGATTCCCCGGGCAAAGTGCCAAATCCATTTTGTAATGCCCAGGGAACCAGTTCAGGCAAGGACGGAGCCAGCCCTAAACCTCTCTCCCAGTTCCTCCACCCCCAGCACCACCAACAATAAAAGGGACACCCCATTTCCCAAGGCAGATCGCATCCTGCACACCTGCCAAACCAGTCTGGAAATGACAAACCGCCGATTTTAGAGGCCTCCCAGGGTCCCAAACACGAGGGCGTCAGTTGCACAATAACATCGTGACGTAAGAACATAATAAGTGTTGCTGGGTGCCGGTCAGGCCAATGGGGGCCCATTAGTCCGGCATCCTGACCTCATAAAAAACTAAGAATAGTCTGCTGGAAAGAGATGGGAAGAAGACAAAGTCCCTACCCTATAAGAATGGCAGGTGGACTATGCTGAAATGACTACGTTTTTAATGTGTGACATTTTGATGTACCTTTTAATCTTTGTTGGAAGCCGCCCAGAGTGGCTGGGGAAACCCAGCCAGATGGGCGGGGTACAAATAATAAATTATTGTTGTTGTTGTTGTTGTTAAAATGACCGGAAGAATCAGAAATCAGGAATACCAAAATTCCAATAAGGAATGGGGGAAATTTGTAACTTATCTTAAAGACCATTAAAGGTAAAGGTAAAGGGACCCTTGACCATTAGGTCCAGTCGTGGCTGACTCTGGGGTTGCGGCGCTCATCTCGCTTTACTAGCCAAGGGAGCCGGCATACAGCTTCCAGGTCATGTGGCCAGCAGGACTAAGCCGCTTCTGGCGAACCAGAGCAGCGCACGGAAATGCCGTTTATCTTACCTATTTATCTATTTGCACTGGTGTGCTTTTGAACTGCTAGGTTGGCAGGAGCTGGGACTGAGCAACGGGAGCTCACCCCGTTCCCCATTACGGGGATTCGAACCGCCACCCTCTGATCGGCAAGTCCTAGACTCTGTGGTTTAACCCACAGCGCCACCCGCGCCCTAAAGACCATTGCAGACAGTTAAAATCGTTAGTAGGATTGGAATATCCCTTGTAGTTTTTAAGGGTGAATTCTGGATATAATAGAGATGTAAAAGATTTGGCGTGTCATAAAAGATGCTGAAGGAAATGATTAATAACAGGACCCACAAAGGAGAGGATGGAAGATTCCTTGGAATCTTGTTTTTATGATTTATGTTTGATATATCTCTGTAAAATTTTAATTTGAAAAACCATATAAATAATATTGTTTTTTAAAGGAAAACTAGAGTTCTCCAGCTAGTCTACTGGATCAGATCAATGGCCCATCTAGGCCAGCATCCTGCTCTCACAATAGCCAACCAGATGCCCCGATGTCAGCAGGATTCGAACACAAGGCAACTGTCTCCTCCTGCGGTTTTCAATGGGTATTCAGAAGCATGGTTGCCTCTGGCTAGGAGCCCTCAGTAGCCCTCTCCTCTGTGAAACTATCCACTACTCTTTTAAACCCATCCGAATTGGCGGCCATCGCTGCCTCCTGTGGCAGGGAGTTCCGTAGTTTAACTCTGTGACACATGAAAAGCTCTTTCTTTCTTTGATCGTGCCCTGAATATTCTACCCTTCAATGAGAAGGAGACGGTATTCTGCACATGCTCAGAGGGCGTTCCTCCCTGGTGACGCCTTTGCCTCCCTCACGGAAAAACAAACAGGTTGTTGATCTGACCCCTGAGCTCACCTTAAGCCCTGAGGACTGAGCTGGAGGCACAACCCTGACCTTCCCCTCTCCTAGGAGCTCATTTTCTCCTCTGCTTTGTAATCAGCAGCTAAAAGAGAGGGGGAAATGAATTATTCCTTTAATTATACTTTTTGTAAGGGATTGCAAGGCAAAACAGCATGCAATGTAGGCCAGGCTGCCCCTTCTCTTCCCCAATTTTTGTTGCAGCTTAAAAGAAGGAAATTGGGGTTCCTTTCCTCCACCCGGGATGCAGAGAAGCCAAGCCATTAGCCATCCTCAAGGGCCTTCGTGTCCTGTTTACAGACATCTTTGTAAAGTTGGTCTGCCAACAGGCCTGGTGCCTGAAGCCAGCTGTTCGTACAGCATATCCTTTGGGATCCTGCCTGCTTGGGCTGTACCATAACCAGGAAATTCTCCATTGACGCTGAGCTGGATATGCATATTGGCAAGGCGGCCCCAGCAATGACTCGCCTCTCCGAAAGGGTGTGGGAGAACGTGATGCTAACATCTAAGGTCTGCCAGACTTGTGCATTGAGCACGCTGCTTTATGGAAGTGAGTCGCAGGCAAGCTGCAACGGCCAGGAGCGATGCGTCAGGATTTTGAGCATTGCACGGCAGGACACAACTCCAAGCAAAAATGTGCTCTCCCAAGCTGACATTCCGATCCGGTTTGCACTCCTGTCTCAGCCACGTCTACGCTGGTTTGGTCATGCCCACAGAACGGAAGATGGAAGGGCACCCAAAACAGCCTCAGCAAATTTAGAGGGAGGCGTTACTCGTTCCACATGTTAGAGAGAGAAAAGGTGATGAAGAGCATTATAATAATATAGTAATAATAATTTATTATTTATACCCTGCCCATCTGGCTGGGTTTCCCTAGCCACTCTGGGCGGCTTCCAACAAAATATTAAAATACAGGAATGCACTAAACATTAAAAGCTTCCCTCAACAGGGCTGCCTTCAGATGTCTTCTAAAAGTCTGGTAGTTGTTCTTCTCTTTGACATCTGGTGGAAGGGCTTTCCACAGGGTGGGCACCACCACCGAGAAGGCCCTCTGCCTGGTTCCCTGTAACTTGGCTTCTCTCAGTGAGGGAACCGCCAGTAGGCCCTCAGCGCTGGACCTCAGTGTCCGAGTAGAACGATGGGGGTTTCTGAACTGAAACATCTTCCTCGAGGTAAACTAGGGTCCTGGCTGCGATGTCTTCACTCCAGTTCAGTTGTGTGAGGCTGTTATTGCGATGGGAAGGTGACTTTCCTCCCAGCCAACATTTATCCTGCGCTCGGCAGCCTTCCCAGGTCCTCTACGTCCGATGAGATCTTCTGCACAGGCCCACAGTAGCGCTTGCAACAGAGAACTTGGTGGATTCTGCTCCAAATCTCTTTGGTTGATGGCCGAGGGTCTCCAGAAGAACACGATCGCCAGCAGGATGATGGAGAAGAGGAACCTACAGAAGGCTTTGTCGATCCAGAGGTCTTGCCAGACAGATAAAGGCCCATATTATGAAGATAACGGATGGAATGATGGTGCGAATGAAGGCAGTCTTAGAAACACAGATATATAATCTAGGTGCCAAATGGCTCCTTAAACCAAGGTTGGAGTTGCCAAAACAGAATGCCTAGTTGCCTTTTTCAGGCACGACAGCTCTCAAGTCTTAGTTTTTCAAATGATGGAATGACTGTGATAGATTCTCAGTTAAAAACATCTTGCTAGTTCAGGTGACAGAGGTGACAACCTTGAGTCAGGTAAAGAGCTTTGAGAACTTAAAAGAAGAAAAGTCGCTTGAAACAGGGACTCCAACCTCTTTTTCATAATGGTGGCTGCTCCTGCGTTGTGGTTCCTGAAATTCATTCCGATTGTGCAGATTGTGGTCGAAAGCTGGGTGCAAAATGTGCCTGGCGCCTAGCTAATTTCGAACATGGGATGAGGGTGTTGGTGAAGTGTCAGTAGAGCGAGAGCTTGACCAGAATCTGACACAGCTTCGGCAACTTCATGCTTTGTTGTTGTTGTTTAGTCGTTTAGTCGTGTCGGACTCTTCGTGACCCCCTGGATCAGAGCACGCCAGGCACTCCTGTCTTCCACTGCCTCCCACAGTTTGGTCAGACTCATGCTGGTCACTTCCAGAACACTGTCCCACCATCTCCTCCTCTGTCGTCCCCTTCTCCTTGTGCCCTCCATCTTTCCCAGCATCAGGGTCTTTTCCAGGGAGTCTTCTCTTCTCATGAGCTGGCCAAAGTCTTGGAGCCTCAGCTTCAGGATCTTCAGGGCTGATTTCCTTCAGAATGGAGAGGTCTGATCTTCTTGCAGTCCATGGGACTCTCAAGAGTCTCCTCCAGCACCAGAATTCAAAAGCATCAATTCTTCAGCGATCAGCCTTCTTTATGGTCCAGCTCTCACTTCCAACTTTCATGCTTTGCACCAGGCTAATGAGGACTCACCAGACGATACACAAACCCACAAAAGCCAGGGAAATTACACAGAGGACCGCGGTGTGCATTTATTTGTTCACAATACCCTACATCTTTCAGTATTGTAAAGACAAACAGAAAATAGGAAAGAATCAAACCTATTAATCTCAGGTGTAGGTGCTTCACCTGAGATTAAGATTGGTTCTTTTCTTGTACATGGTAGGTCCTTTACTCTCAATTTGTGAACAATTGTGTAAATACGGCTTCTGGTGACTGAGGAGGTGGGGAAGGGCTAGACTGCATTTTTAGTTTTTTGATGGTACTTCAAATAACATGTTTGTTTTACATGTAAATAAATTTTGTTTGATGGGGGCAGGGGGAAAGATGCAAGGCCCATCATCCCAGTTCATAAGGTAAAGGTAAAGGGATCCCTGACCATTAGGTCCAGTCGTGGCCGACTCTGGGGTTGCGGCGCTCATTTCGCTTTACTGGCCAAAGGAGCCAGCGTACAGCTTCCGGGTCATGTGGCCAGCATGACTAAGCCGCTTCTGGCGAACCAGAGCAGTGCATGGAAACGCCATTTACCTTCCCACCGGAGCGGTACCTATTTATCTACTTGCACTTTGACGTGCTTTTGAACTGCTAGGTGGGCAGGAGAAGGGACCGAGCAACGGGAGCTCACCCCATCGCGGGGATTCGAACCGCCGACCTTCTGATTGAAGGTCGGCAAGTCCTAGGCTCTGTGGTTTAACCCACAGCGCCACCCGTGTCCCTCATCCCTCATCCTGGTTCATGGCTACTGTCAAAAACTCCAGCTTCTCCTCCTTTGTCGGCACTTTGTTCTTGGGATCTCTGACTGCCTTCTCTTTGACCCAGGGCGACAACTTCCCCCCAGGGACCTCACCCAGCTCTGCTCACCTGTTTGGTTCTTGTCTCCTTTCCCTTCTCCTCTTCCTTAGCCTCTGGCTGTTTGCAAGCTTCCCTCTTATTCACTCCTGACCGGGGCGAATTCACCACACCTTACTCTCAGAAAGGCTTCTGCTTTGGGGGCAGGCCACACCGAACCTGGGTCATGTACCAAATGTGCCACCTGTCAGCGGCTACACTGGTCTCCACATCACGATAGCTCAGGTAGTGGAGCGCCTTGGTTTCATCTGACCTCGCTGCGGCAATGGGAGCTGCAGAGGTACCCGGTGATGTTCAGGGGCCTATCTTGCGTGGCACAATTCTGTCCCACGAATCGGAGGGTGTGTGTCTCAAAACACCACAGAAATAAACAACTATCTGACGTTTAGAAGACATCTGAAGGCAGCCCTGTTTAGGGAAGTTTTTAATTTGTTGTTGTTGTTGTTGTTGTTGTTGTTGTTGTTTAGTCATTTAGTCATGTCCGACTCTTCCTGACCCCCTGGACCAGAGCATGCCAGGCACTCCTGTCTTCCACTGCCTCCCGCAGTTTGGTCAAACTCATGCTGGTAGCTTCGAGAACACTGTCCCACCATCTCGTCCTCTGGCGTCCCCTTCTCCTTGTGCCCTCCATCTTTCCCCGCATCTGGGTCTTTTCCAGGGAGTCTTCTCTTCTCATGAGGTGGCCAAAGTCTTGGAGCCTCAGCTTCAGGATCTGTCCTTCCAGTGAGCACTCAGGGCTGATTTCCTTCAGAATGGAGAGGTTTGATCTTCTTGCAGTCCATGGGACTCTCAAGAGTCTCCTCCAGCACCAGAATTCAAAAGCATCAACTCTTCGGCGATCAGCCTTTTTTATGGTCCAGCTCTCACTTCCATACATCACTACTGGGAAAACCATAGGTGATGTTTTAATGTATTTTTAATCTTTTGTTGGAAGGCGCCCTGAGTGGCTGGGGAAACCTAGCCAGATGGGCAAGGTATAAATAATAAATTTATTATTATTATTATTATGAGTCAACAGCGTGATGCAGCAGCAAGAAAAGCTAACGCTATTCTAGGCTGCATCAACAGAAGTCCATAGTCCAGGAATAGTCCCACTCTATTCTTCCTTGGTCAGGCCACACCTGGAATACTGTGTCCAGTTCTGGGCACCGCAATTTAAGAAAAATATATTATTTAAAACATTGTTTTGGGGAAGGCAAACAAGCTTGCTGTTTGGTTGCCCACAGCTACTACCTGCCAGCGGCCAGGCTCTGATGTGACTCTGCCAACTGGTGCTATTGTGCCCCCCCGGCAAGTAGCAGCCCAAACTGGAACAGGAGTCGTGTCCCCATGAAGCCAAACCTACTGGGCCCAATTCACAGCCCTGGTTTCGAATATAAAGCCTTAAACAGCGCAGGACCGCAATACCTCAAGGACCACCTCTTTCCATATGCACCTACCCAGACCCTGAGATCATTTTCTGAGGCCCTCCTTTGTGTGCCGCCTCCTCGAGACGTCCGGAGGGTGGCAACATGAGAACGGGGCCTTCTCTGCAGTGGCTCCCCATCTGTGGAATGCTCTCCCCAGGGAAATTTGACTGGCACCTTCATTATACAGCTTTAGGCGCCAGGCAAAAACGTTCTTTTTTAACCAGGCCTTTGGTTGATCTGATTTACATCCTATGCCCTGTTTTTGGGGAGGGGGCTATTGGGTTGTTGCTTTTATTTTTATTAGGCATTTAATGGTTTTATATCTTGATTTTATTCTGTGAACCACCCTGAGACTCCCAGGTATAGGGCGGTATATAAATTTGATAGTGTTGTTGTTGTTTAGTTGTTTAGTCATGTCCGACTCTTTGTGACCCCCTGGACCAGAGCACGCCAGGCACTTCTGTCTTCCACTGCCTTCCGCAGTTTGGTCAAATTCAACAACAATCCTCTTCTGGAACCAGGAGCCACAGTTGACTCGACCCACTAAGGAAGTCAGTAGCACAGAATGATTCAAAATAGCAACAATTAATTGCACATTTATTCAACATCCCATTAAAACTATGTAGTTTAATGAATTCAACTGGAGAACTTGACACAACTTGTCAAAGTCTGATACTCATTTACATCTCTGCCGTCTCTTTGCACCAGGAAATGCCACTACCATCACTCCCCAGGGGACAGTATTCCCCATAGCGGGAATTTAGAGCTTTATAAAGGGGTGTGGAGTGTGTGTGTATCTCAATATCATCATGAGTTGGAAACAAATAAAGGGAAAGGGACCCCTGACCATTAGGTCCAGTCATGACCGACTCTGGGGTTGCGGCGCTCATCTCGCTTTATTGGCCGAGGGAGCCGGCGTACAGCTTCTGGGTCATGTGGCCAGCAGGACTAAGCCGCTTCTGGCGAACCAGAGCAGCACACGGAAATGTCGTTTACCTTCCCGCCGGAGCGGTACCTATTTATCTACTTGCACTTTGACATGCTTTCAAACTGCTAGGTTGGCAGGAGCAGGGACCGAGCAACGGGAGCTCACCCCGTCGCGGGGGTTTGAACCGCCGACCTTCTGATTGGCAAGCCCTAGGCTCTGTGGTTTAACCCCCAGCGCCACCCGCATCCCTTGGAAACAAATAAAAAACCAATAAAAAAGAATATTGGTGCAATGAGATTGGGCCCGAAATAGGCATCTAAATGGCCACATTCTGCATGAACCGAGGTTACTGAACCGTCTTCAAAAGCAGCCCCAGGCACAGTGCTTTGTAGCAGTCTAACCTGGATGCAGCCGCAGCCTGCAGAAATAGGGCAAGCACAGCTCAGAGCTGCACACTGGTCTTCTTTGTTACCTGTCATTAAAGTGGCAGCTTTGAGGCTTGCCTCCTCCCATGGCAGGCTCAGGGCTGCAGGGCATGTGGTAATTGCCCAGGTTGCAGGTAAACGAGCTTCTAGGGACGTGCAGAGTGCCTTTCCCTTCTTTGCTGTGAAGTTTCCAAATATTCAGAATTTGGGAGAAGGTCTGCCTGATCGCTGAGTGCGGCCTCCAGGCAGGGTCTGAACCCTGGGTCTCTTTTTTCCAAAATAAAGTCCACAGGGAGGACCAATTAAGAAGTTTTGTTTACAAATTAAGCAGGATGCAAATTCTGCTAAATAAAGCATGGGTTGGACCAGATGGCCCTTTGTGTCCCCACTCTACAATTCTACGATTCCATGGGAAATAAATGAATGCTGTTGGATTGCTGAAGTTAAGTAAGCCAGGATCTGATTGGCAGCAAGGAGGGGGAACCACTGGGAACCCCCAAATCAGAACAGGATAGACGTTTCGTCAATAGATTTAACACCCCCCCAAACACGTTCTCAAGACACAAAGTGCTTTTCTGGAGCCCAGCAGAAGGATGGCACGCAATAGCTCCGTAGCCACTGCAAGAGGCACGAGTGTGAAATTAGCCACTGCGTTTGCCCCGGGTTCCCTGGCACACGGCATGCGCCGAAACTCCTTTCGGAAGGCGTCTGAGCGAAACAAACCACCGCTACGCAAGACTCTTCCGCCCCACAGCTGCTCTTCCCGGCCCCATCCAGAGGGAAAAACCTGTTCTTATTTTTCTCAGCCCACACCCAGTTCCAGAGAGCCAGGCAAGTTAGCATATTAATCTGTGTTGCCAAACCCACATGGATTTGCCAAGGAAAGAGGGCAAGGCTTTGGCGTTTCACTTGGCAAAAAATAATAATAATAAAAAACCCCAACCAATTTGATGAAATGGAAGAAATAAATTGATCCCATGCCTACGTCTGATCTATATTGGCCTAGGACCCTCGTACCTACGGGACCGCCTCTCCCGGTATACCCTGCATAGGACCTTAAGGTCCATAAATAGCAACACCCTAGAGGTCCTGGGCCTTAAGGAAGTTAGATTGGCTTCAACCAGAGCCAGGGCCTTCTCAGTGATGGCTCCGGCCTGGTGGAACGCTCTGTCTCATGAGACCAGGGCCCTGCAGGATCTGATTTCTTTCCACAGGGCCTGCAAGACAGAGTTGTTCCGCCTGGCCTTTGGCTTGGAATCAACTTGATCCCCTCCCCCTCTTTCCTTTTTCCTTCTGTGATGGAACTCCTATTTGGGGACTTCCCTGGCTTTTTCTGGCCCACGCAGGACCAGTCTGGATAGTTGGCCTTAGGGAAGATTTGATGTTTTCATCCCCAAAAAGTTTCTGATTTGAGTTTCTATTGAAATGAGGCTGCATATTAATGTTGTATTTTAATCTTGTTTTAAAGTTGTATCTTAATCAATTGTTTTATATCTGGTGTTAGCTGCCCCGAGCCCAGTCTTGGCTGGGGAGGGCGGGGTAAAAATAAAAAATATTATTATTATTATTATTATTATTATTATTAGTGTCTCCAGGGCTTCCAGAAAAGGCAGACAGAGCGGGGTGCCAAAAAAACAAGATGCACTTTGCAAGAGGTGAGCTGCAAGCTGTAGCCCAAGCATAAGGAAATAAGAAGAGCTTGGCTGCTGGATCAGACCAAAAGCCCATCTGGTTCAGCATCCTGTTCCCACAGGGGCCTCCCAGCTGCCCACTGTGGCCACAGCCCCAAAGTCTGCCCAAGAACCATCACCTAGTCTAGGAACTGCCAGCTGCCCAGCTTATTTCTAGCGGAGAAGCGCCATGAGGGGACAGAAGGCAGCGCCTTCCAGCGACGGCACCTAAACTCTCAGCTGCTTCCCATCCGAAGGAGGTGGCAGAACTTGCTGTGACTTTTTTTTTGCAAAGCATTTTGAGGATAGAATCGTTTGCGTCATCTATAACAACAATAATAATAATTTATTATTTATACGCTGCCCATCGGGCTGGGCTTCCCCAGCCACTCTGGGCGGCTTTCAACAAAATATTAAAATACAATAATGCATCAAACATTAAAAGCTTCCCTAAAGAGGGCTGCCTTCAGGTGTCTTCTAAAAGTCTGGTAGTTGTTTTTCTCTTTGACATCTGGTGGGAGGGAGTTCCACAGGGTGGGCGCCACCACCGAGAAGGCCCTCTGCCTGGTTCCCTGTAGCTTTGCTTCTCGCAATGAGGGAACCGCCAGAAGGCCCTCGGCATTGGACCTCAGTGTCCGGGCAGAACGATGGGGGTGGAGACGCTCCTTCCACTGGGATCTTGACTCTGCTGTGACAGCAGATTTATCTCCTGGGGTGTCCAGAGCACAGCTGAGTCCTGTTGTGCTGGATGAGTTTCAGTTGGTAAGGCTCGATAATGTGCACAAAGTCCTTGTTTCGGTCAAGGCGACTGCTTTTGCCCTGGACACTCGTGGCTGATAAAAACTAGGAGGGAAGGGACAGCTGGCTGGGCCAGGGAGGTGATGAATGTTTTCCTGGTGGTCCCTGCCTGCTTGAAGGAGGCTGAGAGGGGTACTAATAATAATAATAATTTTTATTTATACCCCGCCCTCCCCAGCCAAGGCCGGGCTCAGGGCGGCTAACAAGCAATAATAAAAACAAGTTGAATGAATAAGACCACTTCTCAAGAACTGCCCCTCCAGATCTGGAAAATCTAAGTTACTACTAGCCAACAGCTCATCTCCCCTTCTTGGGCAAGGTTCTTAAGCGGGTGCTTGTGGACCAGATCCAGACACTCTCGGAGGAAACTGATTTTCTAGATCCATTTCGGTCGGGGTTTAGGCCCGGTTTTGGCACAGAAACTGCCCTCCGTCGGGAGAGAGGCAGGGAAAATATGTCCCTGTTAATCCTCCTCAACTTATTTCTCTCTTTTTAAAGATAATTTTTATTGATTTTAACATATAAATTATAAAACGTACCACAAAACCTTATAACCAATCTTTTTAGACTTCCATCAGCACCTCTGATGAAGTTTTAACCACTTCTTATGCATTTCTTAACGATATTGCCTTTACATCTCTTAGGAAATCATCCTAATCCTCCTCAGCTTCTCAACAGCTTTTGAGACCATCGACCACGGTGTCCTTCTGGAGTGGCTGTCCAAGTTTGGGGTGGTTGGCACTACTCTGAGGTGGTCGCGGTCCTACTGGGATGGTCATTCCCAGAGAGTGATGCACAAGCCCCATGGAGTCTTCAATGTGGGGTTCCTCAGGGGTCAATTTTATCCCCCAGGCTGTTTCAATGAAGCTGCTGGGTGGGGTTATCTGCAGGTTTGGGGAATGTTGTCAGCAATATGCTGATGGCACTCAGCTCTATGTCTCCTTAACATCTGCAGGTGAGGCAGTGGAAGTGCTGGACCAGTGTCTTGCCTGGGTAATGGACAGGATGAGAGCCAACAAACTGAAGCACAGTCCAGATAAGACGGAGGCACTGTTAGTGGGGGATTCCCTAGACCGGGTGGGTGGGAGACTGCCTTCTCTTGATGGGGTTACTCTTCCTCTGAAGGAGCAGGTTCGCAGCTTGGGGATCCTCCTGGATCCTTTGCTGTCGCTCAAGGCTCAGGTGGCCTCGGTTCCTTCCATCAGCTTTGGCTGGTGGCCCAGCTTCCTCCCCTATCTGGACAGGGATAGCCTAACTACTGTTGTCTATGCTCTGGTAACCTCAAGGTTAAAGGTAAAGGTAAAGGGACCCCTGACCATTAGGTCCAGTCGCAGATGACTCTGGGGTTGCGGCGCTCATCTCGCTTTATTGGCCGAGGGAGCCGGCGTACAGCTTCCGGGTCATGTGGCCAGCAGGACTAAGCCGCTTCTGGCGAACCAGAGCAGCGCACGGAAATGCCGTTTACCTTCCCGCCGGAGTGGTACCTATTTATCTACTTGCACTTTGACGGGCTTTCAAACTGCCAGGTTGGCAGGAGTAGGGACCGAGCAACGGGAGCTCACCCCGTCGCGGGGATTCAAACCGCTGACCTTCTGATCAGCAAGCCCTAGGCTCTGTGGTTTAACCACAGTGCCACCCGCGTCCCTTAACCTCAAGGTTAGATTACTGCAATGTGTTATAAGTAGGGCTGCCCCTGAAGACAGTTTGGAAACTTCAGCTGGTGCAGAATTCAGTGGCCAGGTTGCTCAAGACCATGGGTAGGCAAACTAAGGCCCGGGGGCCAGATCCGGCCCAATCGCCTTCTAAATCAGGCCCGCGGACGGTCCGGGAATCAGCGTGTTTTTACATGAGTAGAATGTTTGCTTTTATTTAAAACGCATCTCTGGGTTATTTGTGGGGCATAGGAATTCCTTCATTTATTTATTTTTTCAAAATATAGTCCAGCCCCCCGCACAAGGTCTGAGGAACTGTGGACCGACCCCCTGCTGAAAATTTGCTGACCCCTGCTCAAGACAGATCCTGGTCTGACTGCAATGGCTACCAATTAGCTTCCGGGCCCCATTCAAAGGGCTGGTTTTGACCTATAAAGCCTTAAACGGCTCAGGACCACAATACCTCAAGGACCACCTCTTCCTTATGAACGTACCCGGACCAAGATCACCTTCTGAGGCCCTTCTTTGTGTGTCTCCTCCTTGAGAGGTCCGGAGGGTGGCAACACAAGAACGGGGCCTTCTCTGTAGTGGCTCCCCATCTGTGGAATGCTCTCCCCAGGACGGCTGGCCTGGCACCTTCATTACATAACATTAGGTGCCAGGCAAAAACATTCCTCTTCAACCAGTCTTTCAGCTGATTAACATTCTATGGCTTTTAAAATGAGTTTGCGGGGTGTGTGTAATTATTGGTTTGTTTTCATATGTATTTTGTGTTCTCGTTTTGTTTTTGTTTTTATATATAATGATCTTTATTGGTTTTTCAGTTACATACTCCACATACAAATATGGTTTTACATTTTACATTTATACTTGCTCCTAAGAGCTGACTTCCCTCCTTCCTCCTTCTGGCTTTTCTACATCATATCTAAATTTTTTCGCATTGTCGTGTGTTCTCATTTTGTATTCTTCTGCCTCAGACCGCCCTGTGATCTCCAGACAAAGGGCGGCATACAGATTTAAATAAATAACAAAATAATAATTGTTATTCATTTCATGTCTAAGGATGCATGGACAGCAGTCTTAAGTGAACTTCCTTGTGGATCTGTAGGAGTTATTCCTACCTATTCCTTCTCTTTGCTTCTCACCTGCCTTCTCATCACCCAAGGGCCGGGCACCTCGAATACGAAATCTAAAACAGGGATTGGGAACCCGAGGGCCAAATTCCCTCCTGGGCAATGTTCTGGGGGCCGAATGCCAACACTGGGCAAGGCCAGAGGCGAAAAGAGGGCGAGGCGCTGAATTTCACTTTGGCATCGTAGGCCAGTTTCGACAAGACACTTACACACAGGCTCTCTCTGTCTTCCAGCCAAGTGAGCAGGAGATACCGTATTTTTCGCTCTATAAGACGCACCAGACCATAAGACGCACCTAGTTTTTGGAGGAGGAAAACAAGAAGAAAAAAATTTTTGAATCCCAGAAGCCAGAACAACAAGAGGGATCGCTGCACAGCAAAAGCAGCGATCCCTCTTGCTGTTCTGGTTTCTGGGATAGCTGCTCAGCCTGCATTCGCTCCATAAGACGCACACACATTTCCCCTTACTTTTTAGGAGGGAAAAAGTGAGTCTTATAGAGCAAAAAATACGGTAGATTCAGAGCTGAAGGACACTTCCCAACCAGGGAAGAATACTCAAGGAGGGTGAAAATTAGGATCGGTGGCCTGGGAAGAACCCTGTGGGCCACATTTGCCCATAACACAGGCCTGATCTATCTTCATCATCATCATCATCATTATTAGATTATTCTTCTTCATCATTATTAGAATTTTTTCTAGAAATATTTTTCTTAGAATGGCAATGGCGCCCACCTGAGAGTTGCCAAGTTCCAGTGAGTTCCGGCTGAAAAAAGCCCTGATTATTATTATTAAAATTTGCATACCGCCCTTCGTCCGCAGATCTGACCTGAAGCATTAAAACTGTCGAAACAATATTAACCGCTCCTTCTCACCCCGGCCAATTAGTAGCCTAAAACCTCAGGGCTCTGCATCGTTAAAAGCCTGGAGGAAGAGGCAAGTTTTCACCAGGGCCAAAAACCAAGCAGAGTCTTTGCTACTTGGCTTTTCCAGCAACCACGGAGCCACCACCAAGAAGGCCCTTGTCATGAGTGATGGATATTCGTGCCTTACTTGGTGGTGGAATAACAAGCAAGGCTTTCGAAGCAGATCTTAAAGCCAAGGTAGGAAGATGCCTTCTTTGCAACTGAGTCCTTAGTCCTTCAGGAAAGCTGGCATTAAAACCAGGAGCCCTGCAGGCTGTAAGTAAGTCTGAATGGTGAGCAGGCCAGGAGGCCATGCAGGCTGACTCTCACCCGTAGACCCACCACCAAGGGGGCTGGCACTTAACCCTGTGCCTCATCTACTCAGTTTCTGCATATCGAGCTGCAGACTTAGCTTTCTTTTCTACTACCACAAAACTGAATTTCTGTGCGGCACTGCAAGAAATGGACTCAGGACTGGGTGGACCCTGGTCCATTAGGAGTCCCCTGACGTTCTTAGCTAGCCATGCATCATAGAAACCCCGGAATGGAAGAGTAGGAAGGGACCATGAGGGTCATCTAGTCCAACCCCCTGCAATGCAGGAATCTTTTTTGCCCCACGTCTGGCTCGAACCCACGACCCTGAAGTTAAGAGTCTTGTGCTCTACCAACTGAGCTATCCCGCAGATCCTGGCCTTGCAGTCTGAGCGTGAGGCCACGTGATCAGGAGAAGGGAAGGGTGACATTGAGGTTATCGGCAGAGGAGGAACCAGTTTCAACAGCGACGGGAGGGAAGGAGATTCCTTTTTTTGGAACTCGCAGGGCCAGGAATGCATTAGCTTATCTGTCTAAAAGCCTCAGCTCTTTTGAGCTCAGCCTTCAGCAGCCTGGGCCAGCCAAGGCTATCATAACAACAACAGAACAGCCTGCAGGATCAGGCCCATCGAGTCCAGCATCCTGTTCCCCCAGATGCCACAAAGGAAACCCTTAAGCAGGCCTGAGCACAGGAGCCCTCTCCTCCTCCACAAATCTGCCTAGTCCTCTTTTAAAGCCATCCAGGTCATCACTGCCTCTTGTGGCAGAGAGTTCCAAAGTTTAACCACGTGACAAAGTCATTATCTTTCCTCTGTCCTGAATCTTCCAAAGTTCCGCTTCATTGGATGAACACGGGTTCTAGTGTTATGTGGGGGGGGGGAATCCTCTCTGCCCACTTTCCCCAGGCCACGAATTATTTTATAATAAGCTTCTATTGTATAATAATAATAATAATAATAAAATTTTATTTATATCCCGCCCTCCCCAGCCGAAGCCGGGCTCAGAGCGGCTAACAGCAATAAAAGTAACACAGCATTCTATAATCAATATTCTAAAATCAATTCAAAACCAAATGGCAACCATTGGGCCAGAGTTCTACGAGGAACACCAAAGGAGGGGGTCAGACTGTTTTTTGGCTAAAGACCTGGTGGAACAGCTCTGTCTTGCAGGCCCTGCGGAAAGATGTCAAGTCCCGCAGGGCCCTAGTCTCTTGTGACAGAGCGTTCCACCAGATCGGGGCCACTGACTCTGGTCGAGGCCAGCCTAACCTCCCTGTGGCCCAGGACCTCCAAGATGTTTTTGTTTGCAGACCGTAAGGTCCTCCGTAAGACATACCAGGAGAGGCGGTCCCGTAGGCACGAGGGTCCTAGGCTGTATAGGGCTTTAAAGGTTAAAAGGTATCACTTGCCTTTTCTCTAAACTAAAGAGTCCAAAACGCTACAACCCCTTTTTTCCTAGTCTTTCCGTCTCTCTGATTGTTTTCGTTGCTCCATCCTCCTGATGGATGAGGATGGATCACTGAATCACACGCTGAATCACACATATCAGAAATAAATGCATATTTCCTCCGCTCTGTTCCTGCCTCCCTTTTCCTCTGAGGAACCCCTTGTGCTGCTTACAGGTGGTCAACCCCCCGCCCTTTTTAGGGTGCGTGAGATAGGGTGCGATGGGTAAAGCGCCATTATCCTTGGATCAGGATAACCCAAGGCAGATTCGGGCGTGCCCATCCTTTACACGTACGGATTATCCCAATTATCACACAATGCCTTCGCCACTGGAAGCTGTCCTCACGTGGCACGGGGCCACCGGAGGCAGCTGGGGCCAGGGCCAGGAGAACATGCCGCCCGCCACACCCTCTGCCTGGGCAGCTGCCCACACCAAGCCTCCGGTGAAACCGCAGCCGCACCTTCTCACGCAGCAAAGAAAACGTGAAATATTTTTAGCTGCCGGTGTGTGTCATTTGCCGTTGGGATTCCTGCATCGCAGCGGGTTGGGCTGGATGACCCTGGGCGTCCCTTCTAACCCTGCTTATTCCAAGTATCACTCGCCGAAGCTTCTTTGACGACAACACAATATTCAAGAGAGCTTTGGGGCCTGTTTTGTGACCCTATGACACACGCACAGAGTTGTGCCACTCGCAGGGCACTTAAGGGCAGCCACCCTCGCCAAGGCCCCATCGGGAGAGCAGTGGCGGCTGGTGCCCAGTGCAAGAGGCTGGCAGGCCCTTTTGGGGGTGATGTCTGTGCCCCATGGCAGGCAGCGACAACCCTGGGCTGGTTGTATGTAAGAAATCAGGCCAGGAGATGGGGAGAGGGCCGACTGAGGTTTTGGGGGCAGACCCTTAACACAGAGAGTTGCAGCACATGGAAACACCGTTTACCTTCCCGCCGGAGCGGTACCTATTTATCTACTTGCACTTTGACGTGCTTTCGAACTGCTAGGTTGGCAGGAGCAGGGACCGAGCAACAGGAGCTCACGCCGTCGCGGGGATTCGAACCACCAACCTTCTGATCGGCAAGTCCTAGGCTCTGTGGTTTAACCCACAGCGCCACCCGCGTCCCTGTACCCGGAACACCCTTCTGCATGCCAAGCAGCTCTCCACCTCCTTTTCCCATCCCCCCCCCACCCCAATGTACCAGCCGCCAAAAATAGGAGAGGATGAAATTTGCAAACTCAGAAGGGGAAAGAAACATGGGAGGCTGGGCTCTCTTTTGGCAAACATCTTTTACGCAAAACAAAACATAATAAATACATCTCTTTTTTTGCGCGTGGGGGGGTGCGTTCTCTCTTCCAAGTCAAATTCCAGGGCGGCCCCTCCCTCCCCGCTCCCCTCCAGCCTTTGGTGGAAGGGGGGGGGTTGGTTGAGGCTGCTTGCCTCCCTCCCTGCCTGGCTCTGCCGCGGTGAATAAGCGCACCCAAAATGTCTGCAGCGCAGGGCGAGAGCAAGCCCGGGCGTGAATCGGATCCGCCTGCCGGCCGACCCCCCCACCTCCAGCCGCCGCGGTGCCCTGGAGACAGGCGGATCCGATTCCCAGAGAGAGAGAGTCAGGGAGGAGAGGAAAAGCTTAGACGGAAAAGCAGGCAGACCCTCCCCAATAAAATGGGGGCATCTTGGCAAGCCCCCCCCCAAAAGCGGCATCAGAAACGCAGAGCAGCCGTTTCCCACGCAGAGGTAGGAGGCGCGTTGGACGGATTTGGGTAGGGGGACCCTCATTCCTCCGCCCAGTCCCCGCCTGGCAAAGTTTGGGAAAGGTTTTTTTGGGGGGGGGGTTTGAAGGACCGGTGCCCCCCAAACCCTTGGCCGCCCCCACCTCCAGGAGGCTTTTCGACGCCGGCTGGGCGCTTAGAGGGAAAAGTTTGCCAAAGTTTGGCCAAGTTTGCCAAAGTTTGCCCCCGTCCCCTCGCCCTCCGCGGACCGACCTGGGGCTGAAGAGGCGCTGCTGGTGCTTCTCCCGGGGGGGCTCCGGCCGCCGCCGTCGCCGTCGGGGCTCTTCCTGGGACTGATCCGCCGCCGCCGCCGTGCGCCCCACGCCTCTTCCCGGGAACAGGTCGGGCTCCCTGCCCGCTGCCTCCGCCCACCGCGGCTTCCCTTGGCCGTCCAACAGGTAGGACTGCTCCGGAGCGGCTCCTGCTGCATTCTGGGACTGGTAGTCCTGCCCTGAACCGGATTATTAGGGCCGTTCACACGCACAAGGATTTGCATTTTGTGTTTTTTGGATTTTGTGGCATGGATATGTTTGCGTGCAAGTGTTGCTCACGAAAGGTATCTTTCTATTTTCCAATTTTTCTTTTTTTCTTTGCTTCTTTTCTTGGTCTCTAAATATTGTTGAACAATGGGTGAATGATTGTGTTTATATGCATATGTTTGAAATTTGTCTCTTTTTTAATATTCTTGTATTATTTAATAAAATTAATAAAAATTAAAATACACACACACGCAAGGTCCCGCGACAGGGCGCGGTGGGATCCGATTGGAGGCCCGCCGGCGGCCTGGGGGACCGACGCTGCAGGGAGACCTCTGAGCATGGGCAGAGTGCCCAGGCTGTCCCCGCAAGCCCTTCCCCATTCTTTTTTTTCTGGGGGGACGAATCTGAAGTCGCTCCGGCTGCTGGTCCGTCGGAGGGTGGAGGGCGCTTATTTTAAGGTGTGGATAGGGGGGTACAACGCACCCCACCCCGTGGGTTTTAATGTTCTATTTTAATCTTGTTTTTAAAGTTGTATTTTAATCAACTTGTTTTTATTATTGATTGTTAGCCGCCCTGAGCCCGGTCTTGGCTGGGGAGGGCGGGGTATAAATAATAATAATAATTATTATTATTATTATTATTATTATTATTATTGGAAACACTGCACCTTCCTGCTTTCAATTGCATTCCCTGTCGTTTTTTTAATCATTCTGATTCGCCCTGGATTCCCGGGAGGGAGGGAGGGTGGCAAAAGTACTTTGCCCATGCTCAGAGGCCACATCGCTGTCTCTGATGAGCTGGCACGTGGAGGGCAGGCGGGGTGGGGGCCCGCTAAAACAACCGAGGAAAGAGAAAAGGTGACGGCAGCCCACCTGGGACTTCTCCAGCTGGAGGGGGGAGAAGACTACAACTCCCAGCATCCCCCGCGCCCGCCGGGTGACACATGGCTTTGGAATGCCAGCCGCTGCCAGCCTTTCTCTCGGGCTCCAAACCGGTCCAGAGAGCCGGGAGTCGCCCTCAGGAGTCAGCAGCGCCTCTCCCCGAAAGCAGAAAAGTAGCAGCCAAGCCAGGAGTGGTTCCTGGCCTTGCCAGCTTGGCATTTCTCTTCCCCTGCTGAAGATTAAGAAGTCCAACACCAGATTCCCCCCAGGGCTTCCTCTCCACCTTGGAAAAAACTCCATCCTTAATAAGAGGGTGGCTGACTTAGAATCATAGATTTGGAAGGGCTCCCCCAGGGTCATCTAGTCCAACCCGCTGCAATGCAGAAATCGCTGCTGAAGAATCCCTGGCACCCAACCTCTGTTTAAAGACTGCCAAGGGAGTTGGTGCCACTGCTGAATGTCTCTTACCATCAGAAAGTTCTTCCTGATATTCAGTCGGAATTTCCTTTCTTGTAACTTGAAGCCATGGGTTCGAGTCCTACCCTCCAGAGCAGGAGAAAACAAGCTTCCTCCATCTACCATATGACAGCCCTTGAGATATTTGAAGATGGCTATCATATCATATTGACTATGCAAGCCTGTGTCGACCACAGCAAACTATGGCAAGTTCTTAAAGAAATGGGAGTGCCTGATCACCTCATCTGTCTCCTGAGAAATCTCTATGTGGGACAAGAAGCTACAGTTAGAACTGGATATGGAACAACTGATTGGTTCAAAATTGGGAAAGGAGTACGGCAAGGCTGTATACGGTCTCCCTGCTTATTTAACTTATATGCAGAATTCATCATGCGAAAGGCTGGGCTGGATGAATCCCTAGCCGAAATTAAGATTGCCAGAAGAGTTCACCATCCCTCAGACCTTGTGGGGGGGCAGACTATATTTTTTTTGGGGGGGGTGAACGAATTCCTATGCCCCACAAATAACCCAGAGATGCATTTTAAATAAAAGGACACATTCTACTCATGTAAAAACATGCTGATTCCTGGACCATCCGCGAGCCGGATTGAGAAGGCGATTGGGCCGGATCCGGCCCCTGGGCCTTAGGTTGCCTACCCCGTCCTAGTGTAACGCTCTAACCACTATACCACACTGTCTCTTAATCAGCAAATTTCCCTCCACTGCACCCGCAAAAAGTGCCTGGCAACTTTTTTGAAAGCTGAATTCTCTCTTTTTTTGTTTTTGTTTTTTAATGGCGCTTAAGAAAAAAGAAATCTTTAAGCTGTCTATAGAAAAATGTCTGGTGACCTTTCTATTGGATGGAGTCAAAGCAAAGCAAATGGCCTTTTCAGTTGAAAACGGTTCCTTGTGCTTATGTCCCATTGAAATCAAACCTTTTAAAAGAATTTAGCTGCGGCATCAATGCTTTTTTTATTTTTATTTTATTTTAAAATCCCGAAATCCAACGACACCCACAATTTGAAATACTTGCCGAATAAAGGAGGGAAATATCTGTTTACAAATAAGAATACTCATGTGCATTTTTGTAAAGCAAACACCAGCAGGGTGAGAATTTATTTGGCCATAATTGGGGAGAGGCGAGTGAATCACCATCGCACTCTTGTAAATTTAACATCCCCAAAGAGGAAACAGATAAAACGCACCTTTACAACCATCTCACTCAATCAGAACATAAAAAGCCACATGTCTGAAACCACAAAAGCAACCACTGTGTCACAGATCTTTCCCTCAGAAACAGATAAAAAATTTAATAGTGGTTTGATCACCAGCATTTACATAGAACCAGGAAGGAAGTCAGCACCCAAGCCTCATTCTGCCTTCTTAAGCTGATTCCCACCTCCCAATAAAAACTGAAAGACACAACGCACAAACACAAACCCTATCAATTTGTTTAATCTCTGGAGTCATAAGAACCTGGTCTCGCAGGTCCTAATCTGACACTCTAACCACTACACCACACTGCCTCTTAATCAGGAAATGCCCCCCACCCCTCGAAAAGTGCCTGGGAACTTTTTCACTTTACAATTAAGAATATCCGTTTGCATTTTTGTAAAGCAAACACCAGCAGGGAGAGAGAATTTATTTGGCCATAATTGGGAGCGAGCCGAATGAATCACAGGTGGACTCTTGAAGATTTAACAGTCCAGAAAAGGAAGCAGATAAAACTCACCTTTACAACCAGCTCACTCGATCGGAACATCAAAACCACACGCCGGAAACCACAAAATCTATCCCTTTGTGACATATCTTTCCCATAGACACGGATATAATTTTTGCAAGTGGTTTGATCTCCAGACTTTAAAGGTAAAGGTAAAGGACCCCTGACCATTAGGTCCAGTCGTGGCCGACTCTGGGGTTGTGGCGCTCATCTCACTTTATTGGCAGAGGGAGCCGGCATACAGCTTCCGGGTCATGTGACCAGCATGACTAAGCCGCTTCTGGCGAGCCAGAGCAGCGCACGGAAACGCCGTTTACCTTCCCACTGGAGCAATACCTATTTATCTACTTGCACTTTGACGTGCGTTTGAACTGCTAGGTGGGCAGGAGCAGGGACCGAGCAACGGGAGCTCACCTCGTCGCTGGGATTCAAACTGCCGACCTTCTGATCGGCAAGCCCTAGGCTCTGTGGTTTAACCCACAGCGCCACCCGCATCCAGGATTTACATAGAGCCAGAAAGGAAGTGAACATCCCAGTCTCGTTCTGCTTCCTCAATCTATTTCCCAACTCCCAATAAAGGTTGAAAGTGCATGCACAAACCCTTTCAGTTTGTTTAAGCTCTGCAGTCGTAAGGCCATAAAATCAGGCCAGCATCCTGTTCTCCCAGTGGCCAAATACCTCTAGGAACCCAGGTAGACTGCCTCTGGACCTGGAGGCTCTATAAGAAGACCCTGCTGGACCAGGTCGATGGCCAATTTGGCCAGCATCCTGTTCTCACAGTGGCCGACAAGGTGCTCGAATGGGAAGCTCAGAAACAGTATCTGACCACAAGAACGCTCTCCCCTCCTGGTATTCAGAATTAAGGCCTCTGTCCGTAGAGGCGGGGCATAGCCGTTGTGGCTCTTAGCCACTGATAGTCACGGGTAAGTCTTATCCTCTGTAATGCCACATATCAAATGAAATCAAACCACCGCACAGAAGTTGCAGGTGGTGTTTTAGGTGGTAGATCTGTTCTTAGCCATCCACAGAGCATGCATGCAAAAATATAATCCTCTCTTTCGTCCATGCAGGTGGGTGTGTCTTTTAAAGTGGTTTGTGGCCATAATAACCAAAAGGGTACCAGTGCCACACCTAGGTTTACCGCCGACTTTCCTTCTACACTTCAGGATCTCCTGGCGCAGGATTCCTACTCTCTCGGGGCCTAGTTTTAAAAAGTGCTATTCTCTTCCCCAGAGCATCCCTGACAGCAGGGTTAAGGAAAGCAACAGCTCCATCTGTCGGTGCTTGAAAGAAACACGCAGCAGACTTCAATGCGGTTTAGCGCTGTACAATTAACTCCAAGGCACTTCAAAAGGCAGGCTTCTCGGCAGTGCAGAAGGAAAGGCTCTGCGGTGTTTCGTCGAGGAAATGAAGGAGGCGTGAGTGGCTTCATAAGCCAGTGGCTAAAAAGAAATATCAATGAGGTGGGCTTCAATGCCCTTCAGCGCTGCTCAAGTAATTCTAATGCACTTGGAAGGCTGACTTGCAAGATGAGAGGCTAATGAAGACATAAACTGAAATATATGGTATAATAATAATAATAATAGTGGAAAGAGTGTCATTGCACATGTGCAGAGTGCCTTTCCCTCACCACCGCTGAGTAGCCAAAGCTGACTCCCACTTATCTGGGGTTTGAAGTGTGCCTTGATTTCGGTCAGCCCATATAACATCTCCTGTTTTCAAAAATTAGCACTAGGTTTTTCCCTGATGGCGGGGTATGGAAAACACTGTTTTAAAAACACAACATTTGCAAAAAGCTGTGGCTTCTTTCGTGCTAGGAGCGCACGGGAGCCAATGCAACGTCTTTTGGGTGAACACACAAACACTCACTTCCACACATACAGCCACACGCGAGACGCATGCCTGGACCAGACGTGTGTTTCAGACCTAAGAACGAGGCGTCATAAATAAAAGAGGGAGGGAGGGAGGCAATGATGGGGTGGAGGGCAGGAATGCTTTGCAAAAGGCCCTTTTTTAGTGCAGAAACAGAACGTGCCTTGTTGGGTCAACAGACGAAGGGGGAAACACGTAGGCATGCCATGGTCTGGCCACCCCAACCTGGTGCTCTCTTTGGAGTTCTGAGTTCAAAACAGCTGGCAGGGACCAGATCAGGGAAGTCTGTAAGACATATCTGGGGACCAGTCAGGGAGCAGGACTCTTTAATGGATAGTCAGCGGACGTCTGCCCCACCCCTCTGCAGATGGAGGGTCTCCCGATCCCATCAGCGTCCAGAAAAGGGCAGCCCCTGACCCCAGACCCCACGGAGGGCAGCCCCCAGACTGGGCCTTGCAGGGATTTTTCTGTCCGCCATTCTTGCATGGGCAGCTGGGAGCGAGGCAGCCCTGCCTGCGTCCGGACTTCAGACAGGAATGTCTCTCTCGGACAGGGGCAAATTCTTGGCTTCTTCTTGGTCTCTGTGCTGGGCCTCTGGTCTCCCCGCACCGGGGAGTTTGCAGCTGCTGAAATAAAACCACACGCAACAGGTTTGGGGGGGTGATGCTGGTGAAATAAAAAAATTAAGGTCTTATATATAAAATAAATGTTCATAAATGTACCAAGCAAACACGTACATAATGATATAAACCACATGCCTGAAGCAGCACAGGAAAACAGCCCTGAAAACCATTTTGACTCCCAAAATGAGCAAATGATTTCCCTTGCAAGGTCAAAGGAAAATGGACAAGCCTCCCCATTGTCCTTTCCTTCACAAATCCTGTCTTAAGGGTATGTCTGTGTATGAATAGGGTGAGCCTGTGAGCTGGCTCAGGAACTAAGTATTTATCATTACAAAAGACTGGCCAGGCTCCCCAGGGTATCCAATCAAGTGAGCATTAACAGGTAACCTGCCAGACAGGAGGTAAAACAGCACACTCAGATTTCTGTTGTAGACCGCCCTTTCTGTGATGTATGTATGATGTTTCTGGTGGTGGTCTTGGACTCCAGGGCTGGCAATTTAAAATGTCTATATAAGGGCAGGTACATCTTGGTTCTGGGTCCTTCTCCTGAGTGTGAAGGGGGCACCCTGTTGCAACAGTTCAATAAAGATCAGGCTTACTAGCCGCTTTGCTTCTCAATATTCTCTGGTTGGCCTCTGTTCTTTTCTCCGACCGATGGAGAACCTACAAAGGACTCTGTAAGGGCTCTTGTGCTCCCCATAAGGGAATAAGGGCAGATTTTTGTTTATTACACTGGAGAGGTCTGAAGGTGCCAGTCCCCAGCAGACCTGCTGACTTTCCAGAATTCTGCACTGCAGGAGAGGAGAATTGGGCAGATAAAGGGCTGATTTAAATAGGAACGTACCTTATGGTGCTCCTTACGCCAGGGCTGAAGCAACAGCGGCACCTACAGGCAGCTCAGGACATTGCTAACCCTATCGTAACATTGCCCTCTCTCCCTCCCTCCATCCCGAAGCCAGAGGGGGTGGGGTTATGCTCTGGCCCCATCCACCATCTAGAACTAAGGGGTGCTGGTCGGGTGTGAAATATGCGTGTAAAAACATGGTGCTCCTCCAAATCAGATTGCACTGCTCTGAGTATGTAACTTCAAGCATTGGCAACTGTGCTCGCTACTTTTCCACTGCCCTCCCCATTCCTCTTTCCTCTTGCGCCTTTTCGATTGAGAGCCTGCAGGCAAGGCTTGCCTGACCTTTCAATCTCCTAGGACACCTGAGAAGCTTTACAGGTAAGGAATAATGTTATGAAACCACCTGGGTCAGAGCGTTGGTCCATCTAACCATGTCGTCTACTCTGGCTGGCAGCCGCTCTCAGTCTTTCCCTTCACGTTCTCCCAATGGACCTTTGTTTTTAATTTGGAAATGCCAGGCTTTTGCATTAAATGTAGGCAATCTCTCCCCCCAGAGGGAGGGAGGCTAAGGCTAAGGCCTCTTTCCTATTGTTGCCAACTGCCACGCAGACATGGTGCTCTCGTGTACCTACATTGGCGTGAAAGGCGTCAGGCTTGGCTCCCGGGGTCTCCTCTTGGCCCCAATCCGGTGGCTTCTGGGGAAAGGAGAGACAGGTAAATCTTTTTTATCTTTTTTGGCAATTTTATTTATTTATTAACGTTCTTATGTTACATCGGTAAAGAATATCACATCACAGTACAATGCTTATTATCATATAACTTTCAACATGTATACAAAATTTATAAACAAAGTTTATATACCAAAAGATAACAAAAAAGGAAGAAAAGAAAAAAACAAGGACAAAAAAGTCATATCTGTACCAACACTTCGGACTTCCTGTCTATCCCGCTGTATATTCCTTTTTTACAATTGAATGTACTCTTATTATTGTATATTTCTTTACATTTTGTCTAATACATTCCTATATCAATATGTACCCTTGGTCTTATTTCTCAACTCAGTCTCTCTCCAACGTCAATCAAATGCTAGCATAGATAGCAAAACTTTGCTGTATTTTTGAACATATGTTTTATATCTATCCCACTGTTCCATAAATTTTTGTTTTGAATTGCCTCTCAGGCTATTTGTCAACTGCGCCATTTCAGCAAATTCTTGTAGCTTGTTATGCCAATCTGTTATTGTCGGGACTTCTTCTTCCTTCCACCCCTTTGCCACCAAAGTCCGAGCTGCAGCCGTTGCATATAAAAATAACTCCCTAACGGCATTTGGGATGTCCCTGGAGAGACAGGTAAATCCAGCGACCCAGCTGTTTCTAAGGAGGCATCTACAGAGATGGGGAAACTGGGGTTGTCCCTGGTGAATTGGGAGCACCGAGGTGTCTCTAGGGGGCAAGAAAGGCAGCTTCACTCCCCCCACAGTGATTCATGCGTTGGATTCATCAAAACTGGATTACCGCAGTTGCACTCTACTTTCTCTTGCAACTGATCCAGAACGCTGCAGCACATCTGCTGGCAGGAACAGTGCTGGATTTACATATAAACTAAAGAAGCTATAGCTTAGGGCCCCACCCTCTTGGGGGCCCCCAAAAAATTTAAAGGAAAAAGAAAATGGATGTACATTTCCAAAATATAAGATAAAAAACAAATAAAATGAAACCTACATACAGCAACAGTGTTTTGTGTTATGTAGGTTCCTGTGATGTAAGTCACGAAATTAAAAGATGCCTGATTCTTAGGAGAAAAGCTATGACAAACCTAGACAGCATCCTAAAAAGCAGAGACATCGCCTTGCCGACAAAGGTCCGCATAGTTCAAGCTATGGTTTTCCCAGTAGTGACGTATGGAAGTGAGAGCTGGACCATAAAGAAGGCTGATCGCCGAAGAATGGATGCTTTTGAATTGCGGTGCTGGAGGAGACTCTTGAGAGTCCCATGGACTGCGAGAAGATCAAACCTCTCCATTCTGAAGGAAATCAGCCCTGAGTGCTCACTAAAGGACAGATCCTGAAGCTGAGGCTCCAAGACTTTGGCCACCTCATGAGAAGAGAAGACTCCCTGGAAAAGACCCTGGTGTTGGGAAAGATGGAGGGCACATGGAGAAGGGGACGACAGAGGACGAGATGGTTGGACAGTGTACTCGAAGCTATCAGCATGAGTTTGACCAAACTGCGGGAGGCAGTGGAAGACAGGAGGGCCTGGCGTGCTCTGGTCCAGGGGGTCACGAAGAGTCGGACACGACTAAACAACTAAAATATCGCTGGTTTGCTCATTTCTATATCAATTGCTTTTGTTATGTGCAAATGGCTTTAAAGGTAAAGGTACCCCTGCCCGTACGGGCCAGTCTTGCCAGACTCTAGGGTTGTGCGCTCATCTCACTCTATAAGCCGGGAGCCAGCGCTGTCCGCAGACACTTCCGGGTCACGTGGCCAGTGTGACAAGCTGCATCTGCATCCGAGAGCCAGCGCAGCACACGGAACGCCGTTTACCTTCCTGCTGGTAAGCGATCCCTATTTATCTACTTGCACCCGAGGGTGCTTTCGAACTGCTAGGTTGGCAGGCGCTGGGACCGAACGACAGGAGCGCACCCCGCCGCGGGGATTTGAACCGCCGACCATACGATCGGCAAGTCCTAGGCGCTGAGGTTTTACCCACAGCGCCACCCGCGTCCCCGGCAAATGGCTTTAGATACCTATTAAAGGTAAAGGTAAAGGGACCCCTGACCATTAGGTCCAGTCGTGACCGACTCTGGGGTTGCAGTGCTCATCTTGTTTTCCTGGCCGAGGGAGCCGGTGTACAGCTTCCGGGTCATAGAATCATAGAATCATAGAGTTGGAAGAGACCACAAGGGCCATCGAGTCCAACCCCCTGCCAAGCAGGAAACACCATCAGAGCACTCCTGACATATGGTTGTCAAGCCTCTGCTTAAAGACCTCCAAAGAAGGAGACACCACCACACTCCTTGGCAGCAAATTCCACTGTCGAACAGCTCTTACTGTCAGGAAGTTCTTCCTAATGTTTAGGTGGAATCTTCTTTCTTGTAGTTTGGATCCATTGCTCTGTGTCCGCTTCACTGGAGCAGCAGAAAACAACCTTTCTCCCTCCTCTATGTGACATCCTTTTATATATTTGAACATGGCTATCATATCACCCCTTAACCTCCTGTGGCCAGCATGACTAAGCCGCTTCTGGCGAACCAGAGCAGCACACGGAAACACCGTTTACCTTCCCGCCGAAGTGGTACCTATTTATCTACTTGCACTTGGACGTGCTTTCGAACTGCTAGGTTGGCAGGAGCAGGGACAGAGCAACGGGAGCTCACCCCGTTGCGGGGATTCGAACCGCCGACCTTCTGATCAGCAAGTCCTAGGCTCTGTGCTTTAACCCACAGCGCCACCCGTGTCCCTTTAGATACCTATTAGGTCCATAATTTACCATATTGCATATATTCAACACAAAAAAACAGTGACAATTTGTTGTTGGCAAAGTACAGCTGGACATATAAAGGGCCCCATTACCTTCAGGAGCTTAGGGCCTCATCAAATCTAAATCTGGCCCTGGGCAGGAAGCTAGCCTAGGCAACACCTGTGCTCAGAGATCTGCTCTGCTTCCCAATGGCCACAGTCAAGGTGCTGCTATTAATATATAAAGCCCTGAACAATTTGGCACCAGTTCACCTGTGAGATCTCCTTATTCCAAGTACCTCCCCCTCAACCGCTTCGATCTATGGAAGTGGCCCTGTTCCAGCTGCCACATAAGACCCCATTCCACATTTGTAAGAAGTCAGTGTTTTAGTGTGGCAGCACCTGCACTCTGGCACCAGGCAAATAGATGTTGATGCATGTTTTCATTGTTTATTTTATCTTCCGAATGTTTTAAAGAGTTTTCATGGTTAGTTCTGCTGTTCTGGCCGTTCCCTCGCTGCGAGAAGCCAAGTTACAGGGAACCAGGCAGAGGGCCTTCTCGGTGGTGGCGCCCGCCCTGTGGAACGCCCCCCCACAAAGAGAAAAACAACAACTACCAGACTTTTAGAAGACATCTGAAGGCAGTCCTGTTTAAGGAAGCTTTTAATGTTTAATAGATTATTGTATTTTAGTATTCCGTTGGAAGCCGGCCAGAGTGGCTGGGGAAACCCAGCCAGATGGGCAGGGTATAAATAATAAATTATTATTATTATTATTATTATTATTATTATTATTATTATATACCACTTACCTCTCGCCTTTCAAACGTTTCCGCCGAGGCCTGGAAAAAGAGGAAAACATATATTTACACAAGCGGAAGCGGATGGATTGGTTGAAGCTGATCTGCTGTGTGTGCCTCCTGTAGAAAAAGCACCCAGTCCGGCATCCTGTTTTCAAAGTGGCCAAATATCCCTAAGAACCTAGGAATGTAGATAGACTGCTGCTGCAGCTGGAGGTTCCACAAGGACCTAAGAAGAGCCTGGCTGTTGGATCAGGCCAATGGCCCAACTAGTCCAGCATCCTCCATGAATTTGTCTCTTCCTCTTCTAAAGCCCTCCAAGCGGGTGGCCATCCCTGCTTCCTGTGGCAGTGAGTTCCATGGTCTAACTCTGTGCTGTGTGAAAGGAGCCCTTTCCTATATCTGTCCTGAATTTCCAGCTTCATTATATGTCCATGAGTTCTAGTCTTATGAGCGAGGGAGACGAGAAATTGCCACTTTCTCCATGCCATACATGCAAAACATGATCTAAGTGTGATTTGACGAATGATCTTATGAATATCTACACGAGTTTGGAAGGCAGAATAGCCTGGTGTGGGTACAAAACCCAATCCTTTCTCAATAATAATAATAATAAAATTTTATTTATATCCCGCCCTCCCCAGCCGAAGCCAGGCTCAGAGCAGCTAACAACAGTAAAATAATACAACATTCTAAAATCAGTTCATTATAAAATCAGTTCAAATCGAATTAATGGCAACCATTGGGCTAGAGTTCTGTGAGGATTACCAAAGGAGGGGGTCAGACTGTGCCTTGGCCAAAGGCCTGGTGGAACAGCTCCGTCTTGCAGGCCCTGCGGAAAGATGTCAAGTCCTGCACGGCCCTAGTCTCTTGTGACAGAGCGTTCCACCAGATCGGGGCCAGTACTGAAAAGGCCCTGACTCTGGTTGAGGCCAGCCTAACCTCCCTGTGGCCCGGGACCTCCAAGATGTTTTTGTTTGAAGACCGTAAGGTCCTCTGTGGGACATACCAGGAGAGGCAGTCCCGTAGGTACGAGGGTCCTAGGCCGTTTAGGGCTTTAATATACTTAATTCTGCTCTAGTTAAATTATGAGAAGACAAATTAACAACGAGTGATTCTGTTGAAATCCTTTTCTCCTGTGAGGACATGTCATCTGGCCCTTGCGAAAACCCGGACAGCGCCTACTGGATCTAAGCTGCAACTCCCTATCTCTCTCCATGTCACTGTGACTGGAGGCACCAATGGAATCACAGTCACTAGGGAAATCACGTGGCGTAATACCACCAGCACATCTTCTAGTCTGTTTGTTCTTGTTTTTATCATTGTCACTGAACCACCAATATACTGAGGCATCAGATCAAGGCCTGCATTTTAAAATGAGCTTAAAAAATATATTTGCAAATGTTTGTATGTTTTATGCCAGGCATAAAGCAGCTGGCTGGGTGCTTTGGCAGATGTTTATCTTCCTAAACAGGGCCCCTCTGATCTATAGCAGTGCCTCAGGGTTGTAAAAGGAAATTACAGGCTGGGAGCAAAAGGTCACACTGACCATACAAATTACAGAATACAATCAAGCTGCAAAAAACACTAATTAAGAGTTGGTAAATAGTAAGTTTTATTGTTTAACAGAAGACTCGAGTCATATTTTCCTAAGGTTAAAGGGCAAGAGCTAATGGGAACAGCAGCTGGCTTGAAAGGGGTTGCTTTTGGAAACTGTTTTTACTTTGAAAAGGCCTTTTCTTCTAAAAATCTATATATGTTATGTATGAAATATATTGGCTTAAATGTAATTATGCAAAGGATTTAGAAAGTAAGAAATGTTAGATTCTTATGTTAGATTCTTATTTCATTGATGGTGTGTGAGAAGGTGAACCCAAGATCTCTGTTTAAGATAAAAATTAAAACCATTAGCCATCTGTTTTGGAGTGAATAGGGCAATAGGGCAATAGGGCAAAGATGATCTGATAATTAAGGTGCCTGGTCGAGGCAAATGTAAGATATATGGCTACTTGTCTGCCATTTATGGATAGAAGTAAATATAGCTCTTTGTCTCCCATAAAAGGTAATAGGAAATGGGTGTATCTTTTATGATTGGTTCTAGCAAACAGCCAATAGGAATTTCAACCAGGCTGATTGGACAGAGGCAGCCAAAGGAGGAGCAAGGGGGCTGGGCTGAGGAAATATAAGTGCTGGCCATCAGGGCTGGAGTAGGCAGAGCTTTGATATCCATATACCACTGTGTCTCTCATTTATTTGTCTGACAAATAAATTATTATTTTAATTTCTCTATTGCTGCCTTGAATATTTCATTCCAGCTAAGCGTTAACCACAAGCAGGGTGCTACAATACGTTGTTGTGAGCATAATCATTTTTGTCCCCGTTGAATTTCTGCGCTTTCAATTACCTGACCTCCTCCGTGAAGGTCTTTAGATCCTTCTCTACATTCTGCATCAATTTGTCCACTTCCTGAGTTTTTAGTTGAGCTTTCAGATTATCCGATACCATACTTATTTATAAACTTCAACCATATCACTCCTTCCTCTCCCCCCCCGAAGAGTCCCAAATGCACATTTTCTAAAATTAAGGGAATGGGTAAATATGGGAGAGAGAGAGAGGGGAAACACTCTGCACGTGCTCAGGGGCACTTTTACAAGTGCACCATACATTATAGGGATGAGCTGTGGTTTGGAAAATAGGCTCTGGGGTGCAGAGAGAATGAGCTGTGGCGTGAAAGTTAACACTTTATGCCACCCCCCGATATCCAACTGCAGACCCTCCCCGCCAAACCTCCCAGCTGGCTCCTGCTTGGCCTTCGTCTCACCTGCAAGAGCAGCGGGTGTGCTCCACGAACTTCATTTCTTCCTGCTGAGTCGTGCCCAGGATGGGGCTCACTCGGACCACCTGCCAAGGGGGAAGGGGGACACGTCACCTTCCACCACCTGCACCCACTCCAGCTCCCGTCCTCCCCGGGCACCTGCCCCACTAGATGGCAGAGACCATAGCTGTCAACTTACAGATTTGAAAATAAGGGACCAGCAGCCTCGAAAATAAGGGATCAGCAGCCAAAATAAGGGATTTTCCAAGCACAAGTATGTTCAACTTCTGAGCCCCTCCGAGCCAAAGGCAGAAAGCCCAGCCAGCAGCCAAACAAAGCCTCAAGCGGTGGTTCCCACAGTGCAGCAACCCGGCAAAGGGGATGCAGCAAGGAAAACCACCGTCACCTCTCTGCTGGGAAGCGCTGAGCAAAGGCAAGTCCCCAGGCAATGTGGCCGATTTGATTGGCACAAGGCATGCAAGCTCCACCCCCCAGTCGTTCTTAGACTCCTTACTGGGTGAGCAACGCAGCCAAGCAACACAGATGGAGCCTCCCTCCTCCCTGGCCGGCAGGGAGGGAGGGAGAGGAGCTGCTTCCTTTGAAACCCGGGAAATTTAAGGGACATCATCAATCCAGGACAGCAGCGGAACACAGCGCTGGGATAAAGAAGTTTCCCTCCAAATAAGGGATGGTTGACAGCTATGGCGGAGACAGTGTGCTGGGGCAGACTGAACTTTGGGCCTCATCCAGCCAGACATACCCTCGCGTGCCTGCTAGGCGTCTCGCCAAATCCTGGGTCAGATCCAATGTTAGTCATACGGATTCGACCCATTGGCATCCATCGTGGAATCAGAGAATTGGAAGGGGCAACCGAGGGTCATCTAGTCCAACCCGCTGCAATGCAGGAATCTCTACTAAAGCATTCATGACTGATGGCCATCCGGCCACTGCTTAAAAACCTCCAGTGAAGGAGAATCCATCGCCTTCTGAGGTGTTGAACAGCTCTTTACCATCTTGCCTAAGGTTTAGTCGGAATCTCCTGTCTTGTATCTCGAAGCTATGGGTTCGAGTCCTAACCTCTGGAGCAGGAGAAAACAAGCTAGTTCCCTCTTCCATGGGACAGCCCTTCAGACATGCAAAGATGGCTATCATATCACCTTTCAGTCTCCTCTTTTCCAGGCTCAGCTACCTCAACCGTTCCTTGTAAGACTTGGGAGGTTCATCTGCCATGAGTTCTTTAGTTGTGATCCCTACATTGACTGGGGGTTCGGCCACATGACCCCTAGGGGACCCTTCCAGCCCTACAGTACTATGAGCATTAAATGTGCCTCTGGTTTTACATGTAACGAAGGAACTATGAGTCTGGGACCCTGAGCAGACCCCAGTTTCTGCAATAAGTGGAGTGAGGTTGAGGGAACACCACCAGAGCTTTGAAAGGTGATGACGTTAAGGAAGGGCTAAAGTTGCGATTCCTGCTTTGCAGCGGGTTGAGCTGGATGACCTTTGGGGGTCCCTTTGAACTCTACAATTCCGTGATGCCTCTTTGTTTCTCGGACCCAGGGCAGCAGCCCTTTCCCCACTGGCGCACCTGCAAGTCGATGGTCCGGGTCTCCACAGCGATGCACTCCAGGCTCTCGTCCCCACAGCAACCGGCACATCTCCAGAGGGGGACGCAGGGGGGCTTGAAGATGTGCTCAGCCTCGTGGGGGAATTCACTCAGGATGTCCACCAGGGTCTCCCGGGCTCGGCAGTAGCTGCGGCTCCAGACCTCCTCAAAGGGCACCACTGCAGAACATACAGTCAATATCTATATGAAGCTTCTGGGAGAGATCATCAGGGGGTTTGGGCTGGGTGTCCATCAATATGCAGATGATACCCAGCTCTACCTCTCTCTTAAATCAGAACCAGTGAAGGTCCTGTGTGAGTGTCTGGAGGCAGTTGGGGGATGGATGGCGGCTAACAGATTGAGGTTGAATCCTAACAAGACAGAAGGACTGTTTTGGGGGGACAGGAGGCGGGCGGGTGTGGAGGACTCCCTGGTCCTGAATGGGGCAACTGTGCCCCTGAAGGACCAGGTGCGCAGCCTGGGAGTCATTCTGGACTCACAGCTGTCCATGGAGGTGCAGGTCAATTGTGTCCAGGGTAGCTGTTTATCAGCTCCATCTGGTACGCAGGATGAGACCCTCCCAGCCCGCATACTGTCTTGCCAGAGTGGTGCATGCTCTGGTTATCTCCCGCTTGGACTACTGCAATGCGCTCTATGTGGGGCTACCTTTGAAGGTGACCCGGAAACTGCAACTAATCCAGAATGCGGCAGCTAGACTGGTGACTGGGAGAGGTGTGGTTAGTTCTGAGGAGTGCTGAGAGTGAGAAGTTGTGTTGTAAATAGTAACTTTTGCATTGGCTCCCAGTATGTTTCTGAGCACAATCAAAAGTGTTGGGGCTGACCTTTAAAGCCCTAAACAGCCTCGGCCCAGTATACCTGAAGGAGCATCTCCACCCCCATAGATCAGCCCAGACACTGAGGTCCAGCTCTGAGGGCCTTCTGGCGGTTCCCTCGCTACGAGAAGTGAGACACGCTGCCCAGGCTTGAGCCCCGGGGACAGTGCTGGATTTACGTACCATATTTTTTTGCTCTATAAGACTCACTTTTTCCCTCCTAAAAGGTAAGGGGAACTTTGTGTGCGTCTTATGGAGCGAATGCAGGCTGCGTAGCTATCCCAGAAGCCAGAACAGCAAGAGGGATTGCTGCTTTTACTGCACAGCGATCCCTCTTGCTCTTCTGGCTTCTGAGATTCAGAAATTTTTTCCCCTTGTTTTCCTTCTCCAAAAACTAGGTGCGTCTTGTGGTCTGGTGCGTCTTATAGAACGAAAAATACGGTATATAAGCTAAATAAGCTCTAGCTTAGGGCCCCAACTCTTGGGGGCCCCAAAGAAATTTAAAGGAAAAAACCTGGATGTACATTTCCAAAATATAAGATACAAAACAAATAAAATAAAACCTACATACAGCAACAGTGTTTTGTGTTGTGTAGGCTCCTGTGATGTAGGCAATGGGCCCCGTCTGCTCCCTCAAATATCACTGGTTTGCTCCTTTCTATACATAGGGTGCCGACATTCTGCATGTGCAAATGGCCTGAGATACCTATTAAAAGTAAAGTTAAAGGGACCCTTGACCATTAGGTCCAGTCGTGGCCAACTCTGGGGTTGCGGCGCTCATCTCGCTTTACTGGCCGAGGGAGCCGGTGTACAGCTTCCGGGTCATGTGGCCAGCATGACTAAGCCGCTTCTGGCGAACCAGAGCAGCGCACGGAAACGCCGTTTACCTTCCCGCTGGAGTGGTACCTATTTATCTACTTGCACTTTGACATGCTTTCGAACTGCTAGGTTGGCAGGAGCAGGGACCGAGCAACAGGAGCTCACCCTGTCGCAGGGATTCGAACCGCCAACCTTCTGATCGGCAAGCCAAGACTAAGTGGTTTAACCCACAGTGCCACCCGCGTCCCCCTTTACTTTTACCTTTTTATAAAATCTAAATGGAACTCCAGCCAGTAATCTGGCCAAAGCATTTTGGACCAACTGACATTTCCATTTTGGACCGACTGAAAACCCCATGTGGAGCACATTGCAGTGATCCGGCCTGAAAGTTACCAGTGCCTGGAGTTCAGTGGCCAAGTCATCTCTGTCCAAAAGGGGTTGTAGCTGGCAAACAAAACGCTCTTTGCCACTGGGTGCAAACTTTGCAGTTCGGAAGGTTGTGGCTTTTCCACGTGGGGAAGGCAGTGAGTTTTTCAGAAAGGGGAAGGTGGGGACAAGAAACTCACCTCCTGCTGGCTGCTCGGAAGTCAACACCGGCTGTAAGTGAAGGGAGGACCAGTTAGAAAGGAGAACCTTTGGGTGGGGTCTGTGATAGTACACTGAGGTCCAGCACAGAGAGCCTTCTGGCGGTTCCCTTACTGTGAGAAGCCAAGTTACAGGGAACCAGGCACAGGGCCTTCTCGGTGGTGGCGCCCTCCCTGTGGAACACCCTCCCACAAGATGTCAAGGAAATAAACAACTACAGTGGCACCTGGGTTCTCAAACGCCTTGATACTCAAACGACTTGGAACCCAAACACTGCAAAGCTGGAAGTAAGTGTTCTGGTTTGCGGACTTTTTTCGGAAGCCAAATGTGCTCCGTTTTGAGTGTTACGCTTCTGATTTGAGTGTTACGCTGAGGTCTGTCTGTTTCTGCTATTTTGCATTTTTGTGGCTTTTTTGTTTTTGTTTTGTGACTGTGTGGAACCCAAATCAGCTACTAACTGATTGATCGTGTGACTGCAGTACATTGTTTATTGCTTTCCTTTTATGGATCAATGGTCTCGCTAGATAGTAAAATTCATGTTAAACTGCTGTTTGTGGGGTTGTTTATAAAAGTATGGAGTGTGTTAATCCGTTTTGCATTACTTTCTATAGGAAAGCACGCCTTGGTTTTGGAACGCTTTGGTTTTGGAACGGACTTCTGTAACGGATTAAGTTTGAGAATCAAGGTACCACTGTGCATGACTTTTAGAAGGCACCTCAAGGCAGCCCTGTGTAGGGAAGTTTTAAATATTTGATGTTTTCTTGTAGGTAGGCCTTAATTCTAAAGCAGTTCTTTTAAAACTATCTAGAAGCTGCCGTACCAGGGATAGCCACTAGATGGCAGTCCACCGCTACAAGACAATTAAAAGTTAGCTTCAGCTCAAGCGAATCAATCGGCTGTTTTTCGGGGCCAAAAATTGTCTATAATCATTTTATGCATTTTATTATTCCATAAAATTTATACACCGTTTAATTGTATTAAAAAAAGAGAGATCGACAGCAGTTTGCAAAAAAAAAAAAAACCAACCCAATGAAATTAGCAATAAGAAGAACTGACGACAATAATTCTTTCAAAAAGTTGAACAGGCTAAAAACAGATTAAAACTCTCACCAGCTTTCTAAATATCTGGGCAAAACGGCGTTAATTCATTTATTTACAGGCTACAGCTCGTCTCGCCATGCTTTTGAACGTGCGCATGTCCACGTGCAGAGAGAGTCTTGCCCGGAATTTCTTAAATAAATTAATAGCATTGCCTAGTGGTTAGAATCCCCCACTCGACCGTGTCGCTGCCTCTCAGCCTAACCTACCCCGCGGGGTTGTTGTGGGGATTAAATGAGGACGGGAGGGATGCAGGCGGAGCTCCTCAGAGAAACAGGTGGGACAGAAATATGGTAAATAAATAACAATAAATAAATATATATATTTAAGGCAAAGACCTTCTCCTTTTCTCAGGCTTCCGAATCAATTCGAGCTGTTTTACCTCCACTGGGTTTGTTGGTTTCTCTGCCGCCTCTAGGGATATTACTGGGGCGCGGCGGTGTGCCATATTTTCCCCTACTTTTAATTTGGCTTATTTGGCTGTCGCTGCCTTAGACGATGGAGCGCATCTCGTTTCGGCTGATCCAGAGGACAGGACCCAAACCAAACAAGAAAGGGCGAATTCAAGCTCAACACGAGAAATACCCTCTGGACGGGACAGGGGCAGAGCTGCCCTTCGCTGGAGGCTCATAAGTAGAAGCGATAAAATTAATAATGTCTAATAAATACAAAAAACCTTCGCTAATGAACGCCCGCCGGGTTGATTCATCCCCATACGGAGAAGTAATCTGTGCCCCTGCTGCCAAAAAATCCCCCGCTTTGCAAGGACCACGGCGCGCTCCGCCTGGGACAGAAATAGTTTCTTGCCTCCTTCCAAACTCTCTGCACCCCCAGATGCATTTTTTAAAAATACGCAAGGCTGGATAGTTCAAGGGAATTTAACACCCGTCTCCCGCTGGCTCTGCCCACGGCAACAGCGAGGCGAAGCTTCTTTGGACACATGGCAAGACCTTCGTGCTGGGAAGAAGGTTGGTCTTTTTCTTCCCTTTTCCACTTTTTGAAGAGGGCATGCAGGAGCCCCGAGCCCTGGAAGAGACCCCCGCGCCTTTCCCTCCTCCTCCAGACCCCACCCAGAGGCTCTCTTTACCTGAGCGCACAAGAGGGCGATTGCCACCAGGTACCCAGGGACTGGCATCCTCTTCGTCCTGGATCTGCTCGAGCGGCCGATGGGTGCTGGGGCGGAGAGGTCCAGGATCGCCCAGCTCCGGAGTCAGCAGAGGAGGGCATCAGCCAAGCCGGAGGGTGGCAAGCGGGTGGCACCGACCGGGCGCTCCATGGATGGCAGCGGAGACCCTTCTTCTGACCCGCTTCTCCTGGAAGTTGGAAGCAAATAAGAGGATGGACGAAATAAGGGAGGGAGAAGTTGGGGGGGGAGGCAGGGAGGCTGGGGGGCAGGAAGGGGCAGAGGGAAGCGGGATCAGGGCATGTCCTGGAGAGAAGGAAATAAAGTTGGAGCTCCACCCCAGCTGGAAAAAGGAGGGGCTCTCAAAGGCAGGCTGCCCCCCCCCCGCCACGAAGCTCCAGCTGGAGCCTCTCCAGGGCTCTGTCTGTGCTCAGGGCACCGGGGGTGAGGCGGGGGGGGGGTGGCAACTTGGCAGAGGCTAGGGAATGATCCCTGCGCCCTGGCACGGGAAGCAGCGCCTGCGTGCGTCTTGGCGCACGGGCACGGGGCGCTCCTGTGCCCACGCAGGTGGAAGAGTCTTGTGGCATCTGAAAGGAGGGCGGTGCCAGTGCTGTGCGGTGGTCAGAGTGGGGGTTCGCAAAGTGGGCCGTGGCGCCCCCTGGGGGCGGGGGCGGGATTAACCGAGGGGCGCTGGAAGTGGTGATTTAAGAACCCTGCTTTGTTGTTCTTTAGTCGTTTAGTGGTGTCCGACTCTTCGTGACCCCCTGGACCAGAGCACGACAGGCCCTCCTGTCTTCCACTGCCTCCCGCAGTTTGGTCAAACTCATGTTAGCAGCTTCGAGAACACTGTCCAACCATCTCGTCCTCTGTCGTCCCCTTCTCCTTGTGCCCTCCATCTTTCCCAACATCAGGGTCTTTTCCAGGGAGTCTTCTCTTCTCATGAGGTGGCCAAAGTCCTTGAGCCTCAGCTTCAGGATCTGTCCTTCCAGTGAGCACTGGCTGATTTTCTTAAGAATCTTTGGTCTTCTTGCAGTCCATGGGACTCTCAAGAGTCTCCTCCAGCACCAGAATTCAAAAGCATCAATTCTTTGGCGATCAGCCTTCTTTATGGTCCAGCTCTCACTTCCATACATCACTACTGGGAAAACCATCGCTTTGACTATACGGGCCTTTGTTGGCAAGGTGATGTCTTTGCTTTTTAAGATGCTGTCTAGGTTTGTCATTGCTTTTCTCCCAAGAAGCAGGCGTCTTTTAATTTCGTGGCTGCTGTCACCATCTGCAGTGATCATGGAGCCCAAGAAAGTAAAATCTCTCACTGCCTCCATTTCTTCCCCTTCTATTTGCCAGGAGGTGATGGGAAGAACCCTGCTGAAGCGGCGGGTTATCACTTCATCAAGGCCACCCATTGCATTGAGAATGTGCTGAGTAGGGAGTTAGTCCCCAATAATGTGGAATGTTAAGACTCTTGCTAAATGACTGTCAGATTTTGAAAGACGGGGGCCGCTCGACTGAGTTCATCTGTGCTATTGTATTAGTTAAACTACATCGTTTAGATTGGAACCCGAATAAAGATGCAATTAATCTTCCCTGCTTTGAATTTTATTGGGCTATTATCTTACTCAGTGGGTCGTGGAATCTGCTATTTTGAATAATGCTTTTTATAGGGTGGGTGGGGCTCTGGGGCATGAGTTTATGGAAGCGAGCTGGTGTCTGAGTTTGAGAGCCACTGCAATAATAATAATAATAATAATAATAATAACAATAATTTATTATTTATACCCCGCCCATCTGGCTGGGTTTCCCCAGCCACTCTGGGCGGCTTCCACAGAGACCAAAAATACACTAAAATGTCACACATTAAAAACTTCCCTGAACAGGGCTGCCTTCAGATGTCTTCTAAATGTCAGATAGTTGTTTATCGCTTTCACATCTGATGGGAGGGCGTTCCACAGGGCGGGCGCCACCACCGAGAAGGCCCTCTGCCTGGTTCCCTGTAACTTGGCTTCTCGCAGGGAGGGAACCACCAGAAGGCCCTCGGAGCTGGACCTCAGTGTCCGGGCTAAATGATGGGGGTGGAGACGCTCCTTCAGGTATACTGGGCCGAGGCCATTTAGGGCTTTCAAGGTCAGCAGCAACACTTTGAACACTGCTTTAGCAGGTAGGACTGAGACCTGGGAGAGACCAGGGTTCATATCCTCCCACTTGGCCATGGGGTTCACCAGGCGTAGCCTTCAGGGCCAGTCACTGCCTGACAGCTTAGCCTACCTCAAAGGGCTGTTGTGAGGATTAAATGAGGAGCAGGAGGAGAACCATGGGCACCACCTTGAGCTCCTTGGGGAAAAGGGCGAGATATAAATACAACAAATAAACAATAATAAGAACACATTGAGTGGGAAAGAATACACTTATCCGAACCCCTAGAATGTCATCCTGAATTGCATGGGTATCTAAGTCCATATTGAGGTCTGCGGAGATGTAACCCATGTTTAACCCATTGTTTTAAATGGTTTTTAGCATGGCTTTTTAATGGTTGTAGCTGCCCTGGGACCTTGGAGTGGATGGCAGGTGATAAATGGTTGTAATTAATGATGCAATGCATACCTTTGTTAGGCCAGCCAAAATATCACAAAATAAAATATCACAAAATTAGCTTCTGAGTCCTCCAGAAATCTTCATCAGGCTTGATGGGGAAAGGGAGGAGGGGGAGGGGGAGGGGAAGGGTTTTGGTTTTTCGGCTGTTGAAAACATGGAGATTCAGGCCAAGATTTTTCCCTCCCTGCCTGCTTCCCATCCCATCTCACTGTTCCGTTTTCTTGCTGGCCTGTTGAAGGACTGTGAAGAAACTAAAAGCTTCCAAGCTATTTTGCAATATTTGGTTTGGCCTGTTGTGAGCTTTGGAATTTTTTTCTTACAGACCAACGTGTGTGTGTGTGTGTGTGTGTGTCACATAGACAGAGAGATATTTGATGCAGGCATCTGAAAGATCACCACATATGCTGAGGAAAGGGGTCTCTGCACATGCGCTGGGACACTCTCTTCCACCGCCACCCAGAACAGCAGCCCCCACCAGAAGACAAGGTGACATTTTGCAGCAATGAGGGAGGAAGCATAATTCCCTGGCCCTCTTACATTTCTTGCCTTTTTTTAATCATTTAATGGCTTTCATTTGCTAGGAAAGCGCTCTCTGCACATGCTCCACTATTGGTTTTCCAATAATAATAATAATAATAATAATAATAATAATAATTTATTTATATCCCGCCCTCCCCAGCTGAAGCCGGGCTCAGAGCAGCTAACAATAATAAAAGTAACACAGCATTCTAAAATCAATTCATTTTAAAATCAATTCAAAATCAAATTAAATTAATGGCAACCATTGGGCTAGAGTTCTGTGAGGATTACCAAAGGAGTGCAAAGGAGTGCAATGCACAAGCCCCAGGGGAGAAGAGAAGACTGGGTGGTGATATGGTAACGGTCAAGGGACCCCTGACCATTAGGTCAAGTCGCAGATGACTGGGGTTGTGGCGCTCATCTCGCTTTATTGGCTGAGGGAGCCGGCGTCATGTGGCCAGCATGACTAAGCCGCTTCTGGCGAACCAGAGCAGCGCATGGAAACGCCATTTACCTTCCCGCCAGAGCAGTACCTATTTATCTACTTGCACTTGGACGTGCTTTTGAACTGCTAGGTGGGCAGGAGCTGGGACCAAACAACGGGAGCTCACCCTGTCGCGGGGATTCGATCCGCCGACCTTCTGATCGGCAAGCCCTAGGCTCGGTGGTTTAACCCACAGCGCCACCCACGTCCCTTGGTGATACGATAGCCATCTTCAAATATCTGAAGGGTTGCCAGGGGGAAGATGGAGTAGACTTATTTCCTCCTGCTCTGGAGGTTAAGACTTGAGCCCATGGTTTCAAATTATGACCCCTTGGGATCCCTTCCAACTCAAGAAGTCTATGATTCTGTGAGATTCCAGGACTAAAAAGTGGTGTGCCATCAGGGCAGCTCCAAAGAATCCCCCTGAATCTCTTTGGGCTGAACGAAGAGGCCTTGGGGGTGGGTGGGATTCCCACCCCATTTCTCTTGCTGTGTCATTTCCCAGCTGAGGAAGCCCTGTCTCCCGTGGATCCTGTCCGCCTCACACCGCAGTCAACAAACCTAACAGGGTCATGCGCTTTGGACCAGCTGGGATCACCGCACAGGTGTCTTCTACACGACCCTCCGAAAAGCAGGGATGGCGTCAGTCCAAGGACCTCAATTCCTGGATGCAGCTGCCGGACATTTGGCGGCCCAGCAGCTGGGTCCTGCGTGGCTCACAGCTACAGAACGGGACAGGCGTTTGGCAAGGGGACGGCCCCGGCATTGCTGGAGTCAGCGGACACTTTGCGAGGCTGGGAAGCAAGCTCAGCACACAAGGAACCAAGGCTGGGCCGGATGAGGGGATTTGACCGACAGTCATCAATCCTGGACCTGCTGACAGCTTGCATGTCTGTTTGACTTTGATCAGCGGAGGAAGGAGGAGGAGGAGGGGAGCCCGGTCAGAGGGAAGGGAAGTGACCCCATTTAGGGAGCTCTCCGCTGGTGGGGTGAGGAAGCATCTCTTCCACAAGGAGACCACAGGGACATAATTCACCCTCCTCCTGTGCTCTGGCCTTCATTCCCTCGCTTAAGGAATCATGGAACGGTAGAGTTGGAAGGGAACGCCAAAGGTCATCTAGCCCAACCCGCTGCGTGCAAGAATCGCAGCTAAAGAATCCCTTGTCCTTGGCCCAGTATACCCAAAGGAGCGTCTCCACTCCCATCGTTCTGCCTGGACACTCAGGTCCAGCTCTGAGGGCCTTCTGGCAGTTTCCTCACTGTGAGAAGTGAAGCTACAGGGAACCAGGCACAGGGCCTTCTCGGTGGTGGCGCCCGCCCTGTGGAACGCCCTCCCGTCAGATGTCAAGGAAATAAACAACTATCTGACATTTAGAAGACATCTGAAGGCAGCCCTGTTTAGGGAAGTTTTTCATGTTTGATGTTTTATCGTGTTTTTAATATTCTGTTGGGAGCTGCCCAGAGTGGCAGCCAGATGGGTGGAGTATATATATATATATATATATATATATATATATATATATATTATTATTAGATGCCCATACAACCTGTCTTTCAACAGTGGAGAGGGCACCACTTTCTGAGGGAGTCTCACTGCCAACTTCATAGAATCACAGAACTGTGGAGCTGGAAGGGACCCCAAGGGTCATCTATTCCAACCCCCTGCAATGCGACTTCTTTGTAGTATCTGGTTGGGATGGCAAAACCAGAAGAGAAGGTCCCCCTTTGGCCTGCCTACGTTTGTCTCTCCTCTCTGTCAATGCCCTAGTTTGCGTGGCCTAGGTAGTGGTGTCTCGCTATTTTAGGCGGTGAGCGGGGTCAGCCTAGATGGCCTTTGGATTCATTCCCCACCAGTCATTATTATGAGTAATCAGGATCTATGCCACAGGGCTATCCAGGTATATAGGCCTTTTAAAAGCATAAAGTGGGGGGAGCAATGGAGAGAGAAGAAGGGGGCGATGGGAGGGGCATCCAAAGGCCAGGGTGTCGGATGTGAAGAACAGACACAGAGCTGCTCTGAGCCTTTGCTGCCCTTATACAAATCTATGGTGCAACCACATTTGGAATGCTGTGTGGTGCTGTGGTCTAAACCACTGAGCCTCTTGGGCTTGCCGATCGGAAGGTCGGCGGTTCGATTCCCTGCAATGGGGTCAGGGGTGTAGCTAGCTGCTCCAGCTTCCGAAGCAGCGGGGGCAGGGCGATCCGCCACGGCGATCGCCCAGGGGGGGCATTGTGGGGCCCATGGAGTCCGCCTGGTGGGCGCAAACCCCACATTGATGTTTCGGGCAGCGCAGGGCCCCGAGCCACCGCATCACTCTCAGGAGAGACGCGTGGCTTGGGCACGCTGCAGGCCAGGCCCCGCGGTAAGTGCCACCCCACCCCCCACGGTGTGCTATTTTGTCACCCCCTCAGGGATCACACCCAGGGCAGACTGCACCCCCCGCCCCTTCCTAGGCCCCGCGACAGGGTGAGCTCCCTTTGCTCTGTCCCAGCTCCTGCCAACCTAGCAGTTCGAAAGCACACCAGCGCAAGTAGATAAATAGGTACCACTCCGGCGGGAAGGTAAATGGCGTTTCCGTACGCTCTGGTTTCCGTCACGGTGTCCTGTTGCGCCGGAAGCAGTTTAGTTCTGCTGGCCACATGACCCGGAAAGCTGTCTGTGGACAAACACCGGCTCCCTCGGCCTGAAAGCAAGATCAACCCCACAACCCCATAGTCGCCTTTGACTGGACTTAACCGTCCAGGGGTCCTTTACCTTTTACCTTGCTAGCCACGTTGCCCATGCTCTGCTTTTGTAGTGGGACGCAGTGATGCTTCTGAATACCAATTGCTGGAAACCACAGCCACGAAATTAAAAGACGCCTGCTTCCTGGGAGAAAAGCGATGACAAACCTAGACAGCATCTTAAAAAGCAGAGACATCACCTTGCCAACAAGGGTCTGTATAGTTAAAGCGATGGTTTTCCCAGTAGTGATGTATGGAAGTGAGAGCTGGACCATAAAGAAGCCTGATCGCTGAAGAATGGATGCTTTTGAATTCTGGTGCTGGAGGAGACTCTTGAGAGTCCCATGGACTGCAAGAAGATCAAACCTCTCCATTCTGAAGGAAATCAGCCCTGAGTGCTCACTGGAAGGACAGATCGTGAAGCTGAGGCTCCAGTACTTTGGCCACCTCCTGAGAAGAGAAGACTCCCTGGAAAAGACCTTGATGTTGGGAAAGATGGACGGCACTAGGAGAGGACGACAGAGATGAGATCATTGGACAGTGTTCTCGAAGCTACCAGCATGAGTTTGACCAAACTGCGGGAGGCAGTGGAAGACAGGAGTGCCTTGAGTGCTCTGGTCCAGGGGGTCACAAAGAGTCGGACTAGTCGTGTCTAAACAACTAAACGACTAAACAACAACAAGAAGAAGCAGCAGCAGCAGCAGCAGAAGAAGACTTGAGGTTTTCAGCTTTCTCCAGAGCATGGAGCACCTTGCGTTCCTTCACTGAGGAGAGATGCTGATAGCACAACACACTTTGCTGCCAACCCACAAAGAACGAACTGTGGGTCCCTAGGAAGTGCTCCTCCCTGCATTACAGGGGGTTGGAATAGATGACCCCTGGAGGTCCCTTGCAAATGTACAATTCTATTTTTTTAAATATTGTTTATTTATTTATATTAGATTTATATTCTGCGCTAATATACGCTGGAAGTCGCCCTGAGTGGCTGGAGAACCGCAGCCAAATGGGTGGGGTATAAATAATGAAAATATTATTATTATAATTAAGATCTCAAGGCGGTTCACACAATAAAATACAGGAGAAAAGGAGAAAATAAGTACAACGGGATGGCAAAACAATAACCCTTCCCACAGACACATTTAAATGACTGCAGAATTCTACGGTACTATGATTATTCAATTGTGGCAGTTGAATTTAATGAGAGTAATAATAATTTGAAGCAAGCAGAGTGGGGGGAGAGAGAGGCTATTTATGTCTCCATCAGGAGAGCTTTGGGCATGACCCTCTGTGGGACATTATCCTGGCTGGTATTTGCCGCTAATAATAGACATCTCCTGTGGTGTGTGTGTGTGTGTGTGTGTGTGTGTGTGTGTGCCTTGCCCAACACCTGACCCTCCCCAGGCCCCCGGCCTCCTCAGAGTTTGCAAGGAGCGCCGGGGGCCTTGGGCACTGATGGCAGGATGAGGAGAGAGAGAGGGCTAGGAGAGGAAAGGCCTTGTCTCCTGTGGGCGGGCAGGTGCCAGGCTGCATTGCAGATCCTTGCATCAGCTGCAGAATCCAAGCCCCTGAGCAGCTGGGCATTCCCTGGCTCGTCTTTCCTGCTGGGCAAACTCGGCCGCAGGGTCCAGTTTGGAAAGGGGCCGCCATATATGGACACGAGGGAGCCTGGGCAGGGGGCTGTCCCTTGTCTTCCTCAAGCCCTTGCCGGCCTTATTCCATCCCCTTTAAGAGGCTAAAGAGAGCCTGTAGCATCAGGCTGGTGGCTCACGAGGCCAAACATCCCAGGCACGCTAACGGGAAGCCCACAGTCAGGATTCGAACACAAGACCCCTCTCCCCGTCCACTGCCTCCCGCAGTTAGGTCAAACTCATGCTGGTAGCTTCGAGAAGACTGTCCCACCATCTCTCCCCCTGTCGTCCCCTTCTCCTTGTGCCCTCCATCTTTCCCAACATCAGTGTCTTCTCCAGGGAGTCTTCTCTTCTCAGGAGGTGGCCAAAGTAATGGAGCCTCAGCTTCAGGATCTGTCCTTCAAGTCTTCCTGCTGTTATTTCTGAAGTTGCTGGTTTGCTCGGCTTCCAGGCCAGGCAGGCTGGCAGAGGCGGCTGTCCTTTGGTGGAGAGCGCTGTCTCCTGTCCCATGGCAGGCCGGGCTGGGAACTGGGGGGGCGACCAGTGTGGGAATGGCCCCCTGGCTCCCTAGGGAAGTCTCTGCGGCTCTGAGAAATGCCTCTGGCAGCAACTGATCTGACGTGAATGGCGAAGGGTCGGGTCAGCTCTCCGTATAAACAAGGAGCAAGGTTACTCCCGGGCTTGGCGTGTGTCTGGGAGCCCAGCTGCTGGCTGGCAGCCAGCCCTTCGTATCTCTATGGCCTCCCTCCTCTCCTCCCTCCGGACCGAAATGCCCAGAGCAAGGGCCACTCCGAAGCCTAGTCACCCCAAAAAGGATGCCAGGTGGCATCCCAGCGGGTAACTCGGTTGGCAGAGCGTGAGATTCTTAATCTCTCTCTCTTTTTCAAGAAATACTGTATTTTTCGCTCTATAAGACACACCAGACCACAAGACGCACCTAATTTTTGGAGTAGGAAAACATGAAAGAAAAAATTCTGAATCTCAGAAGCCAGAAGAGCAAGAGGGATCGCTGTGCAGTGAAAGCAGCAATCCCTCTTGCTGTTCTGGCTTCTGGGATAGCTGCGCAGCCTGCATTCGCTCCATAAGATGCACACACATTTCCCCTTACTTTTTAGGAGGGAAAAAGTGAGTCTTATGGAGCAAAAAATACGGTAAGTGTTTCGTCTTTATTGATTTAAAATATCATCTTGCATATACATTACAAATAGTTACAGCAAAATTAAACACAAAACTATAAAAGAAAAAAGATAAAGAAAATAAAAAAAGCAAAGAAGAGTTAACAATAAGAGATGAACATCCTGTCTTTTCTAATGAAGTCTTCTGAAAGAAACTTCCAATCATTCTAGTTGTGCTTTTTCTATTGTCTTAATTTTATCGCACAGTTTGTTCTATAACTTTTCCTGTATATTTTTCTAGTGCATTTATTCCATTTGTTTATTATATACAAGTATCATTCAGTTCTGCTAGGATAACGTCATTTTCACAATATAATCTTATATATTCTTTGAATAGTCTCCATTCTCTAAATAATTTTTGATTTGGGGCTGCTCTGATTTTTCCGGTCAGCTTTGCTAATTGAAAGTACTCTAGCATGACTGATGGCCAATCTATTATTGTAGGTGTTGTTTCACATTTACAACTTCTGGCTATCAGTCATCTCAGGGTTGTGGGTTGGAGCCCCATGTTGGGCAAAAGATTCCTGCATTGCAACGGGGTTCGACTAGATGACCCCTTGTGACCCCTTGCGACTCTACAGTTCTATGCGTAAGGCAGCTAAAGGGGTTTGATTGGGGCTCCCCCCAAGGCACCCCTTCTCTTTCCCACATTGCTGGATTACTGCAATGTGCTCTTTGTGGAGCTTTCCTTGCGCCCGAGCCGGAAGCTGCAGCTAGCGCACGATTGCTGCCGGGAGAGAGGCCTTGTCCGCATATAGCATCTGTGCTCAGAGATCTGCCCTGGCTGAGGCCAAGTCTGAGGCGTTACTATTAGTGTGTGACACCCTTAACGACTTGGGATCAGTTTATGGGCCTTGCCCCATAAACAACCAGCCGACCACTTCGATAGCAGCCCTTCAACCTTTGTAAGAAATAGATCTTTTAGTGAGGCAGCACTGACCCTGTGGAACTCCCTGCCTATTGAAATCGTACAGGTGCCTCCACTGTACAGTGGTGCCTCAGGTTACATACGCTTCAGGTTACATACCCTTCAGGTTACAAACCCCGCTAACCCAGATATAGTGCTTCAGGTTGAGAACTTTGCTTCAGGATGAGAACAGAAACCGGGCTCCGGCGGCACGGCGGCAGCGGGAGGCCCCATTAGCTAAAGTGGTGCTTCAGGTTAAGAACAGTTTCAGGTTAAGTACGAACCTCCAGAACGAATTAAGTACTTAACCTGAGGTACCACTGTAAAGGTAAAGGTAAAGGGACCCCTGACCATTAGGTCCAGTCGTGGCCAACTCTGGGGTTGCGGCGCTCATCTCGTTTTCCTGGCTGAGGGAGCCGGTGTACAGCTTCCGGGTCATGTGGCCAGCATGACTAAGCCGCTTCTGGCGAACCAGAGCAGCGCACAGGAACGCCGTTTACCTTGCCGCTGGAGCAGTACCTGTTTATCTACTTGCACTTTGGCGTGCTTTCGAACTGCTAGGTGGGCAGGAGCAGGGACTGAGCAACGGGAGCTCACCCCGTCGCGGGGATTCAAACCACCGACCTTCTGATCGGCAAGTCCTAGGCTCTGTGGTTTAACCCACAGTGCCACCCGCGTCCCAGGCTCAGGGTCTACATATGTGTAAATAAAGCTATATATCCTGAAAGATATATTCTGTTCTCACAGTGGCCAACCAGATGGAAGCAGGACCTAAGAGCCCCCAGGGAACACAGAGCTGGCTCTGTCTTCAAGAAGGGTGTTTTATGGACAAGGAAATTCATCCCATCGCAATGGACCAGAGCAAAGGTGTGTGACCGAGTGTGTCTGTGAGAGCGAAGTGGGGGGGGAGGTCTTGAATGGAGGAGGCGAGTTTTCCACGCGGTGGACAGGATCCACTAGGTCACTGGAAGAGGGAGGGGCGGGGCGGAGATGGATGGATGGATGCAGAAGACAATAATAGACAGACGGGGCGATGGGAAACTGAAGAATGCCGTGAGAGAGTCGGATAGAGGAAATAACAGATAGAGGGGCAAGGGTGAAAAGCTGAGCGGCCAGCTCATTATGGGATGGATGGAGCAAACTCTGCCAGCAACGAGCAAGGCCACCAGCCCTGTCCATCGTCTCGTCTGGTGAGAGACACAGCCCGTCAGCCCAGCGCCATGATTCTGTCCCTCCACCTGCAACGATGAAGGGTACAGCTGCATCAGGCCAGGCCCTCCCCACAGAGCGTCCCGCTCCGTCCGTCCACAAATTGTGACTCTCTCTCTTCTGTCTGGGATTGGGACGCCCCTCTGTGGATTTCATAGGGAGACAGGCTTTTCAGCACACACTAGCCTTGATAACAAATGGAACCCCTCAACGGTTATGTAATAAACGAAAATCTGCCCTTATTCCCTTATGGGAAACACAAGAGCCCTTACAGAGTCCTTTGTAGGTTCTCCGTCGGTCGGAGAAAAGAACAGAGGCCAACCAGAGAATATTGAGAAGCAAAGCAGCTAGTAAGCCTGATCTTTATTGAACTGTTGCAACAGGTGCTCCCCTCACACTCAGGAAAGGAGGAGGACCCAGAACCTAGGTGTGCCCGCCCTTATTTTAAACATTTTAAATTGCCCGCCCTGGAGTCCAAGACCACCCCCAGAAACATCATACCTACATCACAGTAGGGGTGTAGCTCTAGACCACCCACCCACCCCCGATACATCATACCTACATCACAGAAAAGGCAGTCTACAACAGAAATCTGAATGGTTGTCTTTCTCCTGTCTGGCAAGTTACATGTTAATGCTCACTTGATTGGAGATCTTGGGGAGCCTGGCCAGTCTTTTGTAATGACAAATACTTAGTTCCTGAGCCAGCTCACAGGCTCACCCTAATCATATATAGACCTACCCTTAAGACAGGATTCGTGAAGGAAAAGACAATGGGGAGGCTCCCCCACCTCCTCCCTCCTTGCAGAGAAAACATTTGGTCAGTTTGGGAGTCAGGGCTGTTTTCCTGTGCTGCTTCTGACATGTGGTTTATATCTTTATGTACGTGTTTGCGTGGTACATTTATGAACATTTATTATATATATGGGACGCGGGTGGTGCTGTGGGTTAAACCACAGAGCCTAGGACTTGCCGATCAGAAGGTTGGCGGTTCGAATCCCCGCGACGGGGTGAGCTCCCGTTGCTCGGTCCCTGCTCCTGCCAACCTAGCAGTTCGAAAGCACGTCAAAGTGCAAGTAGATAAATAGGCACCGCTCCAGTGGGAAGGTAAACGGCGTTTCCGTGCGCCGCTCTGGTTCGCCAGAAGCGGCTTAGTCATGCTGGCCACATGACCTGGAAGCTGTACGCCGGCTCCCTCGGCCAATAAAGCGAGATGAGCACCGCAACCCCACAGTCGGCCACGACTGGACCTAATGGTCAGGGGTCCCCTTACCTTTACCTATTATATATATGAGAACTTAATTTTTTTATTTCAGTTAGAAGCAGTGTACCTCTCCCTTCGAAGCCCAGAAGAAGTGTGGTCTATGGAAGGTGCATTATCCCAACAGAAGACTGTGGAATCGCGGTGGGAAAAGGGTCAGGCTAACAGAAAAGCTTTGCAGATGGACCGGACCAAAGGCCTTCCCAGCAAAGCATCCTGTTTCCCACAGTAGGTTGACCAGATGCCTTTGGGAAGCAAGACACAATGGGCTCAGTCATCGCATCCCCCCACCTGGAGCTCCAAGCAATGAGGATTCAGAGGAGATATTCCTGGAGGGAGCTAACAGCCATCATTAGAGCAGTCATTCATAGAGGACAGGGCTATCGGTTGGCTTCTAGCCAGTGCCGGATTTACGTACAGTGGTACCTCGGGTTACATATGTTTCAGGTTACATACACTTCAGGTTACAGACTCCGCTAACCCAGAAATAGTACCTCAGGTTAAGAACTTGGCTTCAGGATGAGAACAGAAATCGTGCTCCAGCGGTGCGGCGGCAGCGGGAGGCCCCATGAGCTAAAGTGGTGCTTCGGGTTAAGAACAGTTTCATGTTAAGAACGGACCTTCGGAACGAATTAAGTACTTAACCTGAGGTACTACTGTATAAGCTAAACAAGCTATAGCTTAGGGCCCCACTCTCTTGGGCACCCGAAAAAAATTAAAGGGGAAAAAACCTGGATGCACATTTCCAAAATATAAGACAAAAAAACAAATAAAATAAATCCTACATGCAGCAACAGTGTTTTGTGTTGTGATGCTTTTGAATTCTGGTGCTGGAGGAGACTCTTGAGAGTCCCATGGACTGCAAGAAGATCAGACCTCTCCATTCTGAAGGAAATCAGCCCTGAGTGCTCACTGGAAGGACAGGTCCTGAAGCTGAGGCTCCAATACTTTGGCCACCTCCTGAGAAGAGAAGACTCCCTGGAAAAGACCCTGATGCTGGGAAAGATGGAGGGCACAAGGAGAAGGGGACGACAGAGGACGAGATGGTGGGACAGTGTTCTCGAAGCTACCAGCATGAGGGAGGCAGTGGAAGACAGGAGTGCCTGGCATGCTCTGGTCCAGGGGGTCACGAAGAGGCGGACACGACTAAACGACTAAACAACAACAATTTGTAACATTTAACAGTTTTAAAGATGTGCAGCCCCCCGTAATTTCCATAACAAAGTAATTCACACTGTTCCCTGCAAGGATCTATTCTGTGGGCTTCCGTGCACTGCAGGCAGTTGCAGGCTACAGAAACCAAACCAACAGCTGGAGAACCTGGCATTTGCCTCTCAGCGAAAATCTCCAACAACAACACCATCAGGCCAGCCCAGAAATTGCTCCACTCAGCTGATTGCTGCTATTCAGCACCCTTCCTGTGTAGCCCAGATGGGGCCTGTCTGGTTGCATAGGACGCTTAAGCCAGGAAGACCAGCATATTGGGGTCTGAGGGTTCAAGGCCCCGATCCTTTGGAAGGTCGTACAGGGCTGTTTGCAAATGGGGCACAACTCTTGGACCATGTACAACTCCCTTCCCCACCCCAACACACTCGCCAGCATGTTTTGCAACACTAGAAGGAGGTCCTGGGATTTTCTTTCTCTGGTGTTCGGTTCCATAGCAAAATATTCTGGATTATTTGTCCCTGGAATCAGGAAACCCTCCTGCTATTTTATAAAGTTAATTACGCCATCTAGTGGCCATGGTCCTCTCTGCAAGCCGCATGCTAAACTCAACTCAGGTTTTTATTTTATTTTATTTTATTTTATTTAAAAAAAAGAAATCAGCCACACAGATACTGCAAAATGAGGCATCCCATCAGGATAGGACTTTAGGGCAAATGTCCAGGGCCCTCCCTCAAGAGGATGAGGTGCGGGTAGCTGGGCTGGGAAACCACATTTTGAAACGAACACTCATGTCACGAGAATTTGTGGGCATGCAAAGCTGTGGGTTAAACCACAGAGCCTAGGACTTGCCGATCAGAAGGTCGGCGGTTCAAATCCCCACGATGGGGGGAGCTCCCATTGCTCGGTCCCTGTTCCTGCCAACCTAGCAGTTCGAAAGCACATCAAAATGCAAGTAGATAAATAGGTACCACTCAGGCGGGAAGGTAAACAGCGTTTCTGTGCGCTGCTCTGGTTTGCCAGAAGCGGCTTAGTCATGCTGGCCACATGACCCCGAAGCTGTACGCCGGCTACCTCAGCCAGTAAAGCAAGATGAGCACCGCAACCCCAGAGTCGGCCACGACTGTACCTAATGGTCAGGGGTCCCTTTACCTTTTTAAAGCAGATGAATGTTGGAAAATTCAGGACAGATAAAAGAGAGTTTCTTGATTTTTTGATTTCTTTTGATGATTCAGTTATTTAATTTCTATACCGCTTGATATATTTAAAGCGGTTGTACAGAAAACGGATGCAGCAACAGAGAGAACTTCAACAAAACGTTAGGAAAACACAGTTACATATAAAAATGTTGCATTAATGCAAAGTTACTAATATGGAAGTGAGAGCTGGACCATAAAGAAGGCTGATCGTTTGACCAAACTGCGGGAGGCAGTGGAAGACAGGAGTGCCTGGTGTGCTCTGGTCCAGGGGGTCACGAAGAGGCGGACACGACTAAACGACTAAACAACAACAACACTAATAGGGACTGCCTTGTTTTCATAAGCCACACATAAGCCAAGCTGCTTGGTTGAAGAGTGAAGTGTACAAATGCTCTAAATAAATAATAATAAATAAATGAAGCAATATTGGAGGGGTGGTCCATAAGACTACTATTTCCAGAGTCTAAAGTTACCTAGTTACGCCACTTGGTAGCTTAAATTTCACAGGAACCTAAGACCTGCCTCGTGCTGGGTCAGGGCGAGGAAAACACTCTGTACCAAATGGAGCCAAGCAAATGCCTCTGGAAACTCCGAAGACATGGCCTGCCCCTCTTATTTGTGTCCCGCCCCCCCCCCCCGGAACCTGGTGCACGCAGAGGTAGACTACACCTGTCCATGGAGGTTCTGCTTTGCTGGAATGGAGTATACCGCAGTGGCCACAGTGATCCACGCGACGGTCACCTCCAGGCTTGATTATTGTATCTCGCTCTATGCGGGGCTGCCCTTGAAGCTGGCCCAGAAACACCAGCGGGTGCAGAATGCCGTGGCGAGGCTCCTTACGGGGTCCTTGCCGCGGGATCACATTCACCCAGTGCTTTACTAGCTGCACTGGCTCCCGGTGGAGTACAGGATCAGGTTTAAGGTGCTGGTTTTGACCTTTAAAGCCCCATGCGGCCTAGGACCCTCGTACCTACGGGACCGCCTCTCCTGGTATGCCCCGTGGGGGACCTTAAGGTCCACAAATGACAACATTTTGGAGGTCCCAAGTCGCAAGGTGGTTTGGCTGGCCTCAACTAGGGCCAAGGCCTTTTCAGCTGTGGCCCCGACTTGGTGGAACGCTCTGTCCCAAGAGACTAGGGCCCTGCGGGACTTGACATCTTTCCGCAGGGCCTGCAAGACAGAGCTGTTCCGCCTGGCCTTTGGTTTGGACTCAGTCTGACCCCCTCCTTTCATAATCCTCATAGAACTCTAGCCCAATGGTTGCCATTAATTTGATTCTGAATTAGTTTTAGAATGAATTGATTTTAGAATGCATGTCAATTAATTGATTGCATTTTAACCTGTATTTTTTTAAAAAAAAAATTCCCCTATTATGTTTTTACTGTAATTTTAATGTTGTTAGCCGCCCTGAGCCCGGCTCTGTCTTGGGAGGGCGGGGTATAAATATTATTATTATTATTATTATTTTCTCCTGTTCTGGAGGGTAGGACTCGAACCCAGGGCTTCAAGTTACAAGAAAGGAGATTCCGACTAAACATCAGGAAGAGCTTTCGGACGGTAAGAGCTGTTTGACAGTGAAAAGGTTTCCCTTGGGAGGTTGTGGACTCCCTTCCTTTGATGTCTTTAAGCAGAGGTTGGATGGCGATCTGTCAGGGATGCTTTAGCTGAGATTCCTGCATTGCAGCGGGTTGGACTGGATGACCTCAGGGGTCCCCCTTCCAAGTCTACGAGTCTATGATTTAATTCGCTTCACCTTCCCTGAAACGCCGAATTCCTCCTCCTTTCCCTCCACCTGCAGAGCCTGCCTGTCTTTTCCCTTCCCAGTGACTCATCCTCTCCGTCCCAGCCCGGGAGGCGCGTTCTGCGCGTCACTTGTGAATCCGCCCTCGGGGAGGCGGAGGGCTTGGCCCGCAGGAACGCGCATGATGTCAAGCAGGAGCGCGCCGAGAAAAGCCTGGAAAGGGAGAGAAGTATGGAGTCCGGGCGGACTGGCCGGCCAGCCAGCCAGCCTGCGTGCGGGTCCCCGGGCGGGCAAGCGCGCAAGGCGCGGCAGCTATGAATAGCGCGGCTGACGCGCGGCGCTCAAGGGGGCACCTGCGCACCGGCCCCCGCGCTATTTTTAGCGCCGGGTGAGCTATAAATAGCCGCAGGAGCCAGAGGCCAGGCCGAGATGACGCGGGCCGGAGCGAGCGAGGGGCAGGGGCTGATTCAGAGGCGGCGGCGCGGCCGGAGGCAGTAGGGCGCAATGGTTACGGCTTGGAAGAGAGCCTCCTCCAGCATCGCCAGCATCCCTCAGGAACCGTGCTCCGAGGCCAGGGGGAGCCCGGACTCCTGGGTCCCTGATGGAGAGGCCTGGGCTCCTTTTACGCGCCGGCCAGCTGGGCGCGCGTGGGCTGGATGGGCGCCGCAGTCCCGCTGGTTTCTGGGCTTCTTCCCAGTGGGTCAACTGGGGGGCTACTGGGAGAACAGGAGGCTGGGCTACGACACCCCCCCCCATTATTTAGACCTGAACCTGCTCCACCCAGTGACTTCGTGGCAAAGGGGCCGGTAGGCGGTGAACCCAGATATCCAGGGTCCTCGCAACAGGTTCCCCACGATAGCACCCTGATTTCTTACTCACCCCAGGCAAGGTGAGGTTCTGGAGTGCAGGCACTAATTAAGGGCAGCAGCAGCGAACGGGTCAGAGCCACAAGGGGGCGCTGCCCCGCGGGAAATGCTCCTGCGCAAGCCCCTGGGTGGCTCTTGCGCAGGAGAAGTGCCCCTTGGACTGGGTTGTCTCGCGAGAAAGGGAGGGAGGGAGGTCCCGCTTTGGTGGCTTCAATCTCAAAAGCTGCTCAGGATTTTCATTCAGGCCTCTGGGTCCTTGGAAGGTGTAAACTATATGGGTTAGGGAAGAGCCCTAATTGTATTTTCTTGCTGCTGCTAGTTTTGATAGGTTAAGGACACCAAAAGAGCAAAATGAGGCCCATCTTGTTCTCACAGTGGCTGAATACCCATAAGAACCTAGGAACCTAGATAGACTGCCCCGGGACCTGGAGGTTCCATAAGAACCTGAGAAAAGTGCAGAATCCTGTACTCACAAGAGCAACACTTCCCCCTCCTCTGTTGTTGTTGTTGTTTAGTCGTTTAGTCATGTCCGACTCTTCGTGACCCCCTGGACCAGAGCACGCCAGGCACTCCTGTCTTCCACTGCCTCCCGCAGTTTGGTCAAACTCATGCTGGTAGCTTCGAGAACACTGTCCCACCATCTCGTCCTCTCTTGTCCCCTTCTCCTTGTGCCCTCCATCTTTCCCAACATCAGGGTCTTTTCCAGGGAGTCTTCTCTTCTCCTGAGGCGGCCAAAGTCTTGGAGCCTCAGCTTCAGGATCTGTCCTTCCAGTGAGCACTCAGGGCTGATTTCCTTCAGAATGGAGAGGTCTGATCTTCTTGCAGTCCATGGGACTCTCAAGAGTCTCCTCCAACACCAGAATTCAAAAGCATCCATTCTTCGGCGATCAGCCTTTTATGGTCCAGCTCTCACTTCCATACATCACTACTGGGAAAACCAGAGCTTGAACTATACGGACCTTCCCCTCCTCTAGTTTCCAGCAACTGGTATTCAGAAGGAAGCTCTCTGGGCGTGACTTTGGACCCATCACTGCCTCTCTGCCTAACCTACTCCAGGGTTGTCGTGGGGATTAAACAAGGAGGAGGAGGACCGTGCATGGCACCTTGAGCACCTTCCAGAAAAAGGTGGGGTGTAAATGCAAATAAATAAAGAAATAATAATAAATGGGGAGTCAGGTGGGGGGGGTTCAGGTGTCCGATTGCTGCTGCTCTTAAATGAATTTGGATGTTCTAAATGTTTTTAAGCAGTAATTCTTTTTTACTACAAGTTAAAGGGACCCCTGACCATTAGGTCCAGTCGTGGCCAACTCTGGGGTTGCGGCGCTCATCTCACTTTACTGGCCGAGGGAGCCGGCGTACAGCTTCCTGGTCATGTGGCCAGCAGGACTAAGCTGCTTCTGGCGAACCAGAGCAGCGCACGGAAACACCGTTTACCTTCCTGCCGGAGTGGTACCTACTTATCTACTTGCACTTTGATGTGCTTTTCAACTGCTAGGTTGGCAGGAGCTGGGAGGGAGCAATGGGAGCTCACTCCGTCGCGGGGATTCGAACCGCCCACCTGCTGATCAGCAAGCCCAAGAGGCTCAGTGGTTTAGACCACAGCACCACCAGCATTTACCTCACCTTTTACCCAGTAAAGGTAAAGGGTAAAGGGACCCCTGACCATTAGGTCCAGTCGTGGCCGACTCTGGGGTTGCGGCGCTCATCTCGCTTTACTGGCCGAGGGAGCCGGCGTACAGCTTCCGGGTCATGTGGCCAGCAGGACTAAGCCGCTTCTGGCGAACCAGAGCAGCGCACGGAAACACTGTTTACCTTCCCGCCGGAGCGGTACCTATTTATCTACTTGCACTTTGACGTGCTTTCGAACTGCTAGGTTGGCAGGAGCAGGGACCGAGCAACGGGAGCTCACCCCGTCATCGCGGGGATTCGAACCGCAAAGCCTTCTGATCGGCAAGTCCTAGGCTCTGTGGTTTAACCCACAGTGCCACCCGTGTCCCCCCAATTCTTTTTTAAAGTCTTAAATATTGTTTATTACTCTCTTCAACAAGAACAAAACACCAAAATCATGGACAACTTCGGTTACAATGGAGGACTACAGAATTACATAAAATATTAAGTCGGTTATGCATCTGAAAGCCCAAACCACATCAACTATATTTTCAAATAGCTCTGCTGTGAAGATGACTGAGCTGCTGGAAGCGGTGTAAACCTGCTCCCCCCCCCCCCCCGCAACACCTTTAGTAACCTCAGTTAAGTTTTTTGTTTGTTTGTTTGTTTGTTTTTACTTGATGGGGGGCAGCTGCCCTCTCCGGTTATGCCAATGGCACTTGTCTCCAACGCACTAACCATTACACCACACTGCCTTCAGTCTCCCCTTGGATTACTGGGCGGTAAATTAGATGTTCCAGGAGAACTAGACCCCCATATCTTTTGGGATAGGCTCTTGAGATTTCTAGTGGGGTGCTATTATGCACCCCAGTGATCTTCAGAGATGTGTGGGGCTTTGAACCCTGGTCTCCAGGGGCCCCTTTTGACACCCTGAAATACTTGCAATGCGTAATAGCAGGGATACCAAAGCCTTCTGGCTCACAGCAGGATTAAATGGGTTTTCATCTATTTTAAATTGCACTGTTTTAACATTTTGATGCTTTCTGTTTTGGAAGAAAGGGCAAGATAGAAATTTACTGAATGGTTAAATAAAAGAATATTACTAACCGCCCATTCAGTGATTCGCTGTTGTGTGTTTTAATTGATTTTGTGTGTGTGTGTTCTTATTTACTTGTTTTTATTGTAAGCTGCCAGCAGCTTGTGCCAAGGGCAGCATCTGAATCATCCAAATAAATGAACAAATTTCCTTTTCAGGCCTGGGAGAGGAGATGTGGGGGATTTCAGCAAAGCCTGCTCAGCACAGACTGGGATTTGACAAAAGGATGGGAATGCGTGCGCAGAGGAAGGCGGCCGAGATGATCAAGGGTCTGGAAAGAAAGCCTTTTGAGGAATGGTTCGGGGAGCTAGGTATGTTTAGCTTGGGGGGGGGGGGGAGAGAGACTGAGATGTGACAGCAGTCCATGTGATAAAAGGATCTAGGGGTCTTGGTAGACCACAAGCTTTAGAGGAGCCAAGAGTTTGATGCAGCAGGAGGAGGGGAACTGATGCAGTGCTAGGCTGCATAAACAGACGTCTCATGTCCAGATCAAGTGAAATGATAAAAAAAAGGTAAAGGACCCCTGACAGTTAAAGTCCAGTCGCAGACGACTCTGGGGTTGCATGCTCATCTCACTCTATAGGCCGAGGGAGCTTGGCCTGCATGACTAAGCCGCTTCTGGTGAACCAGAGAGGCACGGAAATGCCGTTTACCTTCCCGCCACAGCAGTACCTATTTATCTACTTGCACTGGCGTGCTTTCAAACTGCTAGGTTGGCAGGAGCAGGGACCGAGCAACGGGAGCTCACCCCGTCGTGGGGAATCGAACCGTCAACCTTCTGACCGGCAAGCCCGAGAGGCTCAGTGGTTTAGACCACAGCGCCACCCGCGTCCCCATAGTGAAATGGTATCACTGTTTTATTCTGCCTTGGTCAGACCACACCTGGAGCCCTGTGTCAAGTTTTGGATACCAGAAGGATATTGATGAGCTGGAAAGTGTTGCAGAGGAAGGTGACCAAGATGAAACCAAGGGTCTGGAAACCAAGGGTCTGTGAGGAATGGTTGAAGGAGCTGGGAATGTTTAGCCTAGAGAAGAGGCGACTGAGAGGAGATGTGATAGCCAGCTTCAAATTTCTAAAGGTTTACAGTGGTACCTCGGGTTACATACGCTTCAGGTTACATACGCTTCAAGTTACAGACTCCACTAACCCAGAAATATTACCTCGGGTTAAGAACTTTGCTTCAACTATTCCTCACTGGTCTGTGTGTGCTGTGCGTGCATGCGTGCGGGGGGGGGGTCCGCTCTGGGTCTCCCCCGCCCGCCAATAGTTCGCACTTCTTCAAATTAAATCTGAATTCTTTTCAGGGGCGAGAATGTTCTCTTTACAGTGGTACCTCGGGTTAAGAACTTAATTCGTTCCAGAGGTCCCTTCTTAACCTGAAACTGTTCTTAACCTGAGGTACACCTTTAGCTAATGGGGCCTCCCACTGCCGCTGGAGCACGATTTCTGTTCTCATCCTGAAGCAAAGTTCTTAACCTGAGGTACTATTTCTGAGTTAGCGGAGCCTGTAACCTGAAGCGTCTGTAACGTGAAGTGTATGTAACCTGAGGTACCACTGTAGTACTCGAGAGCTGTGGCTGGATGGTTACGTGAGAGCCGGTTGAAGTTAAATCCTTCGAAGACAGAGGTCCTCTGGCTGGGACGGGACGATATGGGGGGCAACTCCCATCTCTTGCGGGGGCGCAATTAGTGCCAGCACCGTCCGTTAAGAGTTTTGGTGTAATCTTCGATACCTCCCTCTCCATGGAGGTGCAGATTGCAGCTATAACAAAGGTGGCATTTTTCCATCTCCGCCAAGCTAAGCAGTTGGCTCCTTACCTCTCTCGCCCTGACCTAGCCACTGTGATCCACGCGACGGTCACCTCCAGACTGGATTATTGTAACTCGCTCTACGTGGGGCTGTCCTTGAGACTGACCCAGAAACTCCAGCGGGTGCAGAATGCTGCAGCGAGACTCCTTACGGGGTTCTTGCTGCGGGATCACATTCACCCAGTGCTATACCAGCTGCACTGGCTCCCGGTGGAGTACACAATCAGATTTAAGGTGCTGGTTTTAACCTTTAAAGCCCTATACGGCCTAGGACCCTCGTACCTACGGGACCGCCTCTCCTGGTATGCCCCACAGAGGAACTTATGTTCTTCAAATAAAAACATCTTGAAGGTCCCAGGCCACAGAGAGGTTAGGCTGGCCTCAACTAGAGCCAGGGCTTTTTCGGCCGTGGCCCCGATCTGGTGGAACGCTCTGTCACAAGAGACAAGGGCCCTGCAGGACTTGACATCTTTCCGCAGGGCCTGCAAGACAGAGCTGTTCCACCAGGCCTTTGGTCAGGGCGCAGCCTGACTCCCTCCTTTGGCAATCTTTACAGAACTTTTCTTTATGGTTGCCATCAATTTTGATTTTAATTAATTTTTATGATGTTTTTATAATGTTGCACTATTTTAGTGTTGTTAGCCGCCCTGAGCCCGGCTTCGGCTGGGGAGGTCGGGATATAAATAAAATTTATTATTATTATTAAATCGTTGCTCCTGCGGAGAGCGGCCACCAAGGGGCAGCAGAGAGCCGCGGGAAGAGCCGCGGGAGAGCGCGCGTTGGCTAAGCTGCTTGGGGTGCAGAAGGGTCCATCGGTTCCCCCCTGCTACTAGGTTGGTATCTGGGTTGCTGGGTCTCCTGCGGATCTTCTAGGCGCGCGTCCCGTGCGGATCAAGCCCAGCTCCTTCTTCGTAGAGGAAGGAAGGAATTCATCCATCCCCTTGGACTTTGCACCCAAGAGTTTAGGAGCAGGCGAGCACCTCGGAGGGCTGGCGGGGGGGGCATGGAGATCTGGCCTGGGTGGTGGTGTCCAAGGCCGATTTGGGGGCTCAGAGCTCTGCATTTCCCTTTATTCAAGATGCGCCCCCCCCCCCAGCGTGGGACTAAGGGACCCAGCCCCCCCCCCCTAAGAAGGGACCAGGTTCCTTCTCTGCAGCCATCCATCCAGGTTCTGGGTGCACCTAAGGTGCCCCATCCGCGCCTGGCCCTCCCCGCAATCCGCTGAGCGCTCCTTCGGGCAGCTCAGGAGAGCACCTTCCATTTTTACCCTCCGGATGCTATAAATAGCCCCTCTCCTCACTCGCTCGGCAGCGCCGCAGCCCGAAATAGCCGCGCGCCTCTATATGGAGCAGCCCGGCGGCGAGGCGCGCGGGCTTCCGGCGGCCACCGCTGGCGTGCGCGCCCGCGCATCTGCGTGCGTCTGCGGGGACAGTCAGCCGGAGAGGCACTCCCCCAGCGCACACCCCATCATTGCGCGCGCGCAGCCCAACCCCCCCCCCCGTCTCGGGAGAGATCAAACCGGGGGCATCCCTTAGGAAGAAGAGGTGCGTTGCTCAGAGAGGATGCTCAGCCGCAGCCGCTTCGAAGGGGAGGGGGCAGAGATGGGGGGGGTGTTTGCTTGCTGCGTTTTTGCCTATCCTTCCTCCGAGCAGCTCTGGGTGGCGCCCCGTGCGCACTGCGATCTGGCCACGCCAAAAGTGGACAGTACCCATCGCAAGATTGCCGGAAGAAATATCAACAACCTCAGATATGCAGATGATAAACCTTGATGGCAGAAAGTGAGGAGGAATTAAAGAACCTTTTAATGAGGGTGAAAGAGGAGAGTGCAAAATATGGTTTGAAGCTCAACATCAAAAAACGAAGATCATGGCCACTGCTCCCATCACCTCCTGGCAAATAGCAGGGGAAGAAATAGAGGCAGTGAGAGATTTTACTTTCTTGGGCTCCATGATCACTGCAGATGGTGACAGCAGCCACGTAATTAAAAGACGCCTGCTTCTTGGGAGAAAAGCAATGACAAACCTAGACAGACCTAGACAGCATCTTATGACAAACCTAAACCTAGACAGCATCTTAAAAAGCAGAGACATCACCTTGCCAACAAAGGTCTGTATAGTAAAAGCTATGGTTTTCCCAGTAGTGATGTATGGAAGTGAGAGCTGGACCATAAAGAAGGCTGAAGAATTGATGCTTTTGAATTATGGTGCTGGAGGAGACTCTTGAGAGTCCCATGGACTGCAAGAAGATCAAACCTCTCCATTCTGAAGGAAATCAGCCCTGAGTGCTCACTGGAAGGACAGATCCTGAAGCTGAGGCTCCAAGACTTTGGCCACCCAATGAGAAGATAAGACTCCCTGGAAAAGACCCTGATGTTGGGAAAGATGGAGGGCACAAGGAGAAGGGGACAGCAGAGGACGAGATGGTTGGACAGTGTTCTGGAAGCTACCAGCATGAGTTTGACCAAACTGCGGGAGGCAGTGGAAGACAGGAGGGCCTGGCGTGCTCTGGTCCAGGGGCTCACGAAGAGGCGGACACGACTAAACGACTAAACAACAACAAGAAGAAGAAGACTGGTTCGCCTGCACTGGGTGCCGAGCCGAGGGGGCACTGCAGGGGGCGCTGCAACAGTGATGGAGAGCGGAAGGCGAGAGGGTGGGTGCCTCTGAAATTTGAAATTTTAAAGTCCGCCACTGGGTCCTCCTTGAGGAATATTGGGAGTGGTGGGAGATGACGGGACAGAGACGTTCTTGCGGGGACCCCTCATCCATGATTTAGGGGGCAGGCACTGCTGCAGAGTCCTGGTCTTCAAACATAACCTGAAGGTCTCTCTCACTGACGATCGGCGCTCTCTGTAGACAGAACCAATGCAGGGAACTAAGGCTTAAGCCTGAAACGCCCTCATGTTACGTGCTGTTCCAGAGCGGGACAGACGTGCCTCCGGAAATGGGCTCTGCTTGCTTGGAATGTGTCTAGGCAGCTGGTAGGGCAGTAGTCAGGGAGCCTGACAGTAGGGGGCGCCAGAGCCAAATGACAAGGAATTCTGCTTCAGCCTTCTCCCTGCTGAGCTCTACCAGGGGCAACAAGGAGGAGGCTGGCAGCGAACGGGGAGAAGTGATATTGGAAGGGGTCAACCTGGGACGGGTCCAGGAGAGATGCATTCAGCTCCTGGGCCTGAAGATCTCCATCTTTTCCATCTGACATCGCATGTCTTGAACTGGACAAGGGGGCCCTCCCAGTGCGCAGAGAAAAGTTCTTCTCTGGAGCTTGTGGACCTTCAACGGAGATGGAAGGTTTAGGACGGATAAAAGGAAGGACATCCTCAGGTGGCGCAGAGCTAAACTGCGGAACTCACTGCTGCAGGGAAGATAGGCAGCCAACCTTGGTGGCTCTAAAAGAGGATCGCACAAATTGGTGGAGGAAAGGGCTACTGATGGCTACTGAGGTCAGGACAGCTGTGCCCTGCCTCTACTTGCAAATACCTGCTGGTGGAAAAAACAGGAGGGGAGAGCTGCTCTCGCACTCGGGTCCCGCTTGCGGGATTCCCGGAATGGGCATCTGGCTGGACACCATGAGAAGAGGACGCTGGACTTGATGGACCGTTGGCCTCCTCCGGGGGGCTGTTCTTATGTTATTATAAGATACCTGTGGGACCTGACCCAAAGGACAAGAAAGCAGATTCCAGCTAAACACCGGGAATAATTTTTGTTTAGACTGTAGAAGGGACTCCCTCGGAAGGTTTAGGACTCCCATTTGCTGGAGGTTTTTCAACAGGGGGTGGAAGGCCACCTGTCAGGGGATCCCTCCGCTGCAATTCCTGCCTTGCGGGGGCGGGTTGGGCTGGATGACCTCTGGGTATCCCACCCCACTCTACAATTCTATTATTCTTTTGGGGGAGGAGGGCAAAAACACACAGAAGCGTGGGGTGAAGGAAGCAAGGGGGGCTGGTTTTGTGACAACAGTGTGTATATAAATATATAGGCGAGGCCTGCTATGCAACCCCCCCCCCCAACTCCTTAGCGACCTGATAGTTCTAGGCGGGCGGGCGAGCAAACAAACAGAGCCGTGAAGGGGCCTCCAGCAAATGCTGTTTATGTAAGCAACAGGACTTCCAGGAGGGAGGGAGCAGGCGCAGGCTCTTGCCAGCCCCTGGGAGGAATGTGCCCAGCCTGCCAAAATTCTCCGTAGAACCCCCTGGCTAACCCAGAGCAGGTACACACCTTACGGCGGGGGTGGGGAGGGTGAGAGCAACCTGGGTGACTGGCAAGGGCTGGGCTGGGCGGCTAAGGGAGAGGAGCAGGCGGGCAGAACTTTGGAGGTGCAGAGATTCTGGGTTCACACACACACACACACACACACACACACACACACACGGCACTCCTCCTGAATCTGTTTTGCAGATGAGGCAAAACAGAAAGAGTGAGAGAGAGTATGTGTCTCTGACCGGGTGAGCTGCAACTAGAATCAGGCCTCTGTCTCTGTGATCTCAGTGGGTGGCCTCGGGCAAGACACTGCCTTCCCCGCCTCAGTTTTCCCGTGTGTGAAATGGGACCAAGCGCGGCCAGGCTCGAAAGGGGTTGCTGCAAGGAGGGGTGAAATAAGGATTGTAAAGCTCTGGGGAGCCAGACGGGTTGTAGCGAGTAATTGGGAAAATGCAGAAGAGCTAGGGGGTGAACCAACAGAGGGAAAAATTGAAAAATACAGTGGTACCTCGGGTTACAGATGCTTCAAGTTACAGACGCTTCAGGTTACAGACTCCACTAACCCAGAAATAGTACCTCGGGTTAAGAACTTTGCTTCAGGATGAGAACAGAAATCGCGCTGGGGCGGTGTTCTTGAAGCTACGGTGTTCGTGACCCCCCGGACCAGAGCATGCCAGGCACTCCTGTCTTCCACTGCCTCCCACAGTTGGGTCAAACTCAGGCTGGTAGCTTTGAGAACACTGTCCCACCATCTCGTCCTCTGTCGTCCCCTTCTCCTTGTGCCCTCCATCTTTCCCAACATCAGGGTCTTTTCCAGGGAGTCTTCTCTTCTCCTGAGGTGGCCAAAGTCCTGGAGCCTCAGCTTCAGGATCTGTCCTTCCAGTGAGCACTCAGGGGTGATTTCCTTCGGAATGGAGCGGTTTGATCTTCTTGCAGTCCATGGGACTCTCAAGAGTCTCCTCCAGCACCATAATTCAAAAGCATCCATTCTTCGGCGATCAGCCTTCTTTATGGTCCAGCTCTCACTTCCATACATCACTACTGGGAAAACCAGAGCTTTAACTATACGGACCTTTGTTGGCAAGGTGATGCCTCTGCTTTTTAAGATGTTGTGTAGGTTTGTCATTGCTTTCCTCCCAAGAAGCAGGCGTCTTTTAATTTCTTGACTTCTGTCACCATCTGCAGTGATCATGGAGCCCAAGAAAGTAAAATCTCTCACTGCCTCCATTTCGGATTAGACAAATTCACAGAGGAGGAGAGGGCTATCGATGGTTATTTGTAGCCTCAATGGTTCTTCTCTGCCTCCACAGCTGGCGGCACCGATGCTTCCGAATACCAGTTGATGGAAACCACAGGAGGGGAGAATCCTTTTGCCCACAAGCCTCTGGCCGGCCACCATGAGAACAAGATGCTGGGCTGATCCAACAAGCTCCTCTGATCTTCTTACGCCCTTAGAAAACTGGGGAACCTCCTTTTCATTTGCCCCTGCTCTCTTTCCCCCTCCTGGCAGCAGTACCCCACATAAAAAGAAATGAAGTTATACTTCCGCTGAGTTGCCAGGGGGTTGAGCTAGATGACCCCTGGGGGACCCTTCCAATGCTATGATTCTGTGGTCCTCATCCCCCCCCCTTCCTCCCTCTGTCCCTGTTCCCAGGCTCCTCGGCCCGCCTCCCTCCCAGACTGGAGGCCCCAGCTTTGCCGGAGCAAAACATTGGTCTCTTAGCAACAAGTTTCGCCTTCCAATTCTGGCTGTTGTTATTTACCGAGGCCACCGGCCAAATTCCCCTGGTCCGGGGCCAGAAGCCACAGCTGAGGAGGGATAGGCTGAGCTCCTGCCGCTGCCAGAGGCCGCTGGCACGCAATGCGCTGGGAGTGCGCTACTGGGCTGGAGTCACCTTTCGCACACAAAACCTCCCTGGCACACTCACCCCGATAAAGCAGCTCTGCCTCTGCAAAACACACACACACACACACACACACATCTTGTGTGATTGTGTCTCTGCACAATCACAGGCCAGGAGATGCAGGCAGGCTTTCACCCCAGCTGGTGCAAACATCTCCGTTTACACACATGCATTCCCACAACCACACACATACAAGCGTTACTCGCACAGCTGCACAATCCCTTGCACGAATGTTCACACATGCACGAGCACCAAAACAGAACCGTGGAATTGTCGAGTTGGAAGGGACCCCTTCCCCAGGGGTCATTGAGCCCAACCCCCTGCAGTGCAGGAATCACATCAAAAGAATCCTGAAATAATAATAATAATAATAATAATAATAAAATTATTCATACCGCACCCATCTGGCTGGGTCTCCCCAGCCACCCTGGGCGGCTTCCAACCAAATATTAAAATACAGTAATACATCAAACATTAAAAGCTTCCCTAAACAGGGCTGCCTTCAGATGTCTTCTAAAAGTCTGGTAGTTGTTCTTCGCTTTGACATCTGGTGGGAGGGCGTTCCACAGGGCGGGTGCCACCACCGAGAAGGCCCTCTGCCTGGTTCCCTGTAACCTGGCTTCTCGCAGGGAGGGAACCGCCAGAAGGCCCTTGGAGCTGGACCTCAGTGTCCGGGCAGAATGATGGAGGTGGAGACGCTCCTTCAGGTATACTGGGCCTTTGAGGCTGTTTAGGGCTTTAAAGGTCAGCACCAACGCCTTGAATTGTGCTCGGAAACGTACTTGCCTGCCCAAGCTCTGTTTAAAAAACCTGCAGAAAGGAGAGCCTGCCATAATCAGGGTCACCAATAAAACAAAGCCTAAATATTCCACTAGTAGTTAACACATGTGGTAGACTCTCTTTTGTTAGAGACCTAGAGGATTGTGCTGTTCTCTGAGAATTCCATTTCTAGAGTTAGATTACTGCAATGCCTTATATTTGGCACCACTGGTGGCGGATGGGGGGTGCGGGGGGTGCGGTTCACCCCGGGTGTCATCCCTGAGGGGGGTGACATCGCCGCCCTGCCCCCCTGGGATGCTCTCTGCGCCGCTCCCCATAAGACGCTCACCACGGAGCAAGAAGAATTACCGACGAAAGAAGAATGGAGGATGAAATTGATGGACTATGCAGAACTTGATAAATTAACTGGAAGGATTCGAAACCTGCGGGATCAGAGATTCTCAGAAGACTGGAGTAAATATACAAACTATTTGGAAATTGTACTGAACAGATTACGCTAGTAGGACTGCAAGGAGCTTTGTAATGAGGATTACTCGAAAGATTGCAAGGAAGACTATGAGGAGAATTATTAGTTAGTGAGAATTAAGAGTAATAGTGAAATTAAGAAATGCAGAATAAGTGATAAAGAACAAAAAACCATCAGAGGTGTAGATGGAAGTATAAAATATTGTATAAGATGAAAAGTTACGTAATATGACTGTTGGAAATGATATGTTAAAAAAACCAATAAAAATGTGTGTGTGTGTGTGTGTGTGTATACACACACACACACACACACACACACACACACAGTGGTACCTCGGGTTACATACGCTTCAGGTTACAGACACTGCTAACCCAGAAATATTGCCTCGGGTTAAGAACTTTGCTTCAGGATGAGAACAGAAATCGTGCTCCGGCAGTATATATATATATACACATACACACACACACACACACACACACACACACACAGAGTGGTACCTCGGGTTACATACGCTTCAGGTTACAGACTCTGCTAACCCAGAAATATTGCCTCGGGTTAAGAACTTTGCTTCAGGATGAGAACAGAAATCGTGCTCCGGCAGTGCGGCAGCAGCAGCAGGCCCCATTAGCTAAAGTGGTGCTTCAGGTTAAGAACAGTCCCAGGTTAAGAACGGACCTCCGGAACGAATGAAGTACTTAACCCGAGGTACCACTGTATATATAAAGACACTCACCACAGACAGCTCCCTGTGGGATGGCACCACCCCCATGCTTGCTGCCCTGCCCCGTGGGACATTCACGGCGCTGCCCCGTGGGTGGCACGCCCCGCCCCTGGCTGCAAAGCGTGCGCGCCGCTCCGGGATCCGAAGCAGCTAGCTCTGCCTCTGCATGGGGCTGCTTTTGAAGACAGTTCGGAAACGTCAGCCGGTGCAGAATTTGGCCTCCAGGTTGCTCACAGGAGCAAGACGGTTTGAGCCTATTGCACCCAACCTGGCTCGACTGTGCTGGCTGCCAGTCAGTTTCCCGGCCCAATTCAAAGTGCTTTTCTTGACTTATGAAGTCTTAAATGGCTCAGGACTGCAATACCTCAAGGACCACCTCTCCCCATAGGAACTACCCTGACCCTGAGATAATCTTCTAAAGTTCTTATTTGTGTGTCTCCTCCACAAGAGGAAGGGGTGGGGAACCTCGGGTGCAGGGGCCAGTCGTGGGTCTTGGCGCTCTCCCTATCTGGCCCCTCAAATACTCCACGGAGTCATGTGTCACATTTCCCCTGCCTGGTCACCAACTGCTTCCCCAAGTGCTCAGATATGTCCTTTGGCAGTGCCTCTTGTGTGTCTGGATAGAGGTGTGCGTTTGTGTGTGTGTTTGTGTGTAGAATACAAGGAAAGCCTGGCTGCCGGATTAGGCCAGTGGCCGATCTAATCCAGCCTCCTTTTCTCACAGTGGCCAGGCAGATGCCCATGATGGAAAAACACACCACAATCAGGATTCTTCTGCTCCACGAATTGGTCCAATCCTCTTTTCCAGGTTAACGGCCAAAACAATCTACCGGTGCAAAAGTACAATTTTCACTCAGCCACACACCCCATGGTGCCCTCAGATGGCTGCCGGAAGCGAATGTGCAGTGGCGTAGCGTGGGTTGTCAGCACCCGGGGCAAGGCAAGTAATTTGCGCCCCCTAACCCGTGGATTTTAGCACGCCCCCCCCCAGATGTTGCGCCCGGTGCGGCCGGCCCCCCTGCACTCCCCACACTATGCCACTGTGAATGTGGCCCCCCAGGACTGAAAATGGTTCCCCACTCCCATATATATAAATTAACAAATTTCAGTGGACAAATAAAGGGAAAGAAATGAAAACCAAAACTAAAAGATACTTGAAACTGTCGTCTTTTTGATCTGTATTTGTATAATTTGGAACGTTAAATGTGATTTGATTGGATTGTTAAAATGGGAAACTTAATAAAAATGAAAAAAGAAACTGCCATACAGTACTCTATATAGGTATATAATAAATGTTATTATTCAGATGAGTAAAGGTAAGGTAAAAGGTAAAGGACCCCTGGACAGTTAAGTCCAGTCAAAGGCGACTATGGGGTTGCGGCGCTCATCTCACTTTCAGGCTGAGGGAGTCGACATTTGTCCACAGACAGCTTTCCAGGTCATGTGGCCAGCACCGTGATGGAAACCAGAGCGCATGAAAACACCACTTACCTTCCCGTCGCAGCAGTACCTATTTATCTACTTGCGCTGGTGTGCTTTCGAACTGCTATGTTGGCAGGAGCTGGGACAGAGCGATGGGAGCTCAGCCCGTCGCGGGGATTCGAACCGCCGACCTTCCGATCAGCAAGCCCAAGAGGCTCAGTGGTTTAGACCACAGAGCCACCCGCATCATTGGTTGTTCAGTGATAGAATTCTCACCTGCCAGGCGGGAGACCCGGGTTCGATTCCTGGCCAATGTAACGGTGGATTCCGACGAGTATGCAATTATGAACAAGTCACTACAATTTATGTTAATGCATTCCAAATATCACTGGATTTATCCGTACACAAGCAAACTATTCCTAGGTTGCAAGGGGGGGGGGGGTCCTGACGTCTATCCCTTTGATCAAATGGGGCCACGGTATTATATTTCTCAGTGAATCAATATCAGTACAGTATTTTGGCAGAAGTAAGGGCGCGGGGAGTCCATGTACGTTGACCAGCTGTCATCCCCACCCCAGATCGACAGGGGGCCCCCCTCCCTCCCACACATTTCACCCCATATGCAATCCCCGCAGGGGTCTCCCTATGTCATCCTACTAGTAAACAAACTTTTCCCTCCTCCGCCTCCTCTTTCTCACCTGATAAACAAAACCCTCCCCTGGCATTCGTCTAACGAGTAGTGGGGAGGAGGCTCTACTACAAATCCATCGTGAGCCCCACTTTCAATGGGGCGGGAGGGGCGGCGAGAGAAAGAGCGAGCAGCCCCTCCCCCTGCCTCGAGGCTGCCTCGCCGAGCGCCGGCAGCCGACTGGCTCCGCCTCCGGAGGGTTCGCTTCTGCCGTTGGCGCTGCCCTGGGGAAGCCCCGCCCCGCCTGCCCCTCCACCCGCCGTCGCCAAGGCAGCGGCGCCGTTGCCGGGCAACGTCAACAAAGCCCCGAACGGCCGGCGTGATGACGCGCGCGGGGAATGGAACGCCGTTGCCGGGGAGACGGGCGGGTTGTTTGTTCTCGGCCGGGATGCCAGCCACGTGGGGCGGCCGGGCGCTCGCACAGCGAGGAGAGGATCGCCGAGCCGAGCCGGGACGCCGGAGCTGGACGGGGCCGGCGGAGAAGGAAGGGAAGGAGGGAAAGGGAAAGGGCTTAGCTGCGGTTCCTGCACTGCACTGCAGGGATGGGGTTGGGCTGGATGACCTCTGGGGGTCCCTTCCGACTCTGGAACCCGGGGAGGATCGGGAGAGGCAAAAGGTTTAGCTGCGGTTCCTGCATTGCAGGGGGTTGGGGGTCAGACTGGATGACCCCGGGGGATCCCTTCCAACTCTGGGACCCGGGGAGGATTGGAAGGGAGAGGCAAAAGGTTTGGCTGCGGTTCCTGCACTGCAGGGGTGGGGTTAAACTGGATGACCTCTGGGGGTCCCTTCCAACTCCTGAACCCGGAGAGGATCGGAAGGGAAAGGCAAAAGGTTTAGCTGCGGTTCCTGCACTGCAGGGGTGGGGTTGAACTGGATGACCTCTGGGGGTCCCTTCCAACTCCTGAACCCGGAGAGGATCGGAAGGGAGAGGCAAAAGGTTTAGCTGCGGTTCCTGCACTGCAGGGGTGGGGTTGGACTGGATGACTTTTGGGGGTCCCTTCCGACTCTGGAACCCGGAAGGGAGAGGCAAAAGGTTTAGCTGCGGTTCCTGCACTGCAGGGGGTTGGGGGAGGTGGGGGTCAGACTGGATGACCCCGGGGAATCCCTTCCAAATCAACCGTTCTATGAAAGCCCCCGAGGCCTGGCCGGAACATCTGCTGCGCTACCGTAGCCCGCCTGCTCGCACCGGCTTTCTACTCATTCCTTTTCCTTTCCTGGGACACCCTGGGACTCTGCCTGCCTTCCGCTGGTCCTCGGTCCTTTCGGGGTTTCTCCCACCTCCCAACCCCAGAAGACCCCTTTGCGCATCGCTTCCTGCCTGCGCTGGGTCTCCCGCGCCTCCTGCTCCAAATCCAGTCCCCGCCCGCCCTCACAAAAACTGAGCCCCTCCTGACATGGACGGCACCATAGGTGGGGGGCAGACGATCTTCTCCCCAAGCAAGGACCTCGCCCACCCCCATTCCTCTTCCATTCCTGGAGCCCAGTCATTAACCCACACTGCTCTTTCAGAGAGCTTAACATGGATGCAACTGGAATGATGCTTTGCTGCTTCTTGTGCCCCCAGCCATACTCTGCTTATCAGTCTTTCCTCCCCCCTCCACTGCTTCTCTCCTCCTGCTGTCCCCCCCCCCCCCACATCTGCAGCCTCCTGCCTACCATCGCTTCTGCCTCTTCCAATCCCAACTATGATGGATGATCTTTTTGGCCACCCTGGGGGGTGCTTCCTTGCCCACTAGGCCTGCCAGGTATGTAACTGGGCTTACCAGAGTAGTGCATGCTCTAGTTATCTCTCGCTTGGACTACTGCCATGCGTTCTACGTGGGGCTACCTTTGAAGGTGACACGGAAATTACAACTAATCCAGAATGCGGCAGCTAGACTGGTAACTGGGAGCAGCCACTGAGACCACATAACACCGGTCTTGAAAGATCTACATTGGCTCCCAGTACATTTCTGAGCACAATTCAAAGTGTTGCTGCTGACCTTTAAAGCCGTAAATGGCCTCGGTCCAGTATACCTGAAGGAGCGTCTCCACCTCCATCGTCCAGCCCGCACACTGAGGTCCAGCTCCGAGGGCCTTCTGGTGGTTCCCTCCCTGCGAGAAGCCAAGTTACAGGGAACCAGGCAGAGGGCCTTCTCGGTGGTGGCGCCCGCCCTGTGGAACGCCCTCCCACCACATTTCAAAGAGAACAACAACTACCAGACTTTTAGAAGACATCCGAAGGCAGCCCTGTTTAGGGAAGCTTTTAATGTTTAACAGACCACTGTATTTTAATACTTTGTTGAAAGCTGCCGAGGGTGGCTGGGGAGACCCAGCCAGATGGGTGGGGTATAAATAAAATTATTATTATTATTATTATTATTATTATTATTATTATTGCAGGACCCACCAGCCAACTTGGGCACTCGTCTGGGGAGGTGAGAGCAGCACTTGGAGGGGCTACAGGGCCCTCTCTATCCCTGGTCCAGAGATCTCTTCTGCATGGGAGATTCCTCTCTCTCTTCCGGCCCCCCTCCACCGCCACCCACCTGTTTCCCCCTCCTATCAACCATTCTGGCTGCCCTAGGGTCTCGAGACCCCACCCCTCTGATGCACGCCGCATCATATAGGCCCGAACTAGAAGAAGGCGATGGTATGGGGAGGGAGTTGGTGTGGGTTTGTTTTGGGGGGGGGGTTTCTGGTGGGAGGGTTGTGGACTAGCTGGCCCCTTGCTATGACCCAGAAAAGGCTGTTGTTGTTTAATCGTTTAGTCGTGTCCGCCTCTTCGTGACCCCCTGGACCAGAGCACGCCAGGCACTCCTGTCTTCCACTGCCTCCCGCAGTTGGTCAAACTCATGTTCGTAGCTTCGAGAACACTGTCCCACCATCTCGTCCTCTGTCGTCCCCTTCTCCTTGTGCCCTCCATCTTTCCCAACATCAGGGTCTTTTCCAGGGAGTCTTCTCTTCTCCTGAGGTGGCCAAAGTAATGGAGCCTCAGCTTCAGGACCTGTCCTTCCAGTGAGCACTCAGGGCTGATTTCCTTCAGAATGGATGCATTTGATCTTCTTGCAGTCCATGGGACTCTCAAGAGTCTCCTCCAGCACCAGAAGTCACAAGCATCCATTCGTCGGTGTTCAGCCGTCTTGATGGTCCAGCTCTCACTTCCATACATCACTACTGGGAAAACCAGAGCTTGAACTATACGGACCTTTGTTGGCAAGGTGATGTCTCTGCTTTTTAAGATGCTGTCTAGGCTAGCTCCTGAATGGAAACATTCATGGAGTTGTTGTTGTTGTTGTTGTTGTTGGCATCTGTCTGTCTAGAGAGGGAATGAAGTGACCTGAGAGTAATTAATCCACTGGAGAATCACAGTGTCTGCTGTGGCAGCAAACATTGGTAACTTGCAACTTGCTGTCTCCCGCATTGTTTTTGCAAAACCAAAATGACCTTCTGGGGAGCAAACCTGGGCAATGTGCATGGAGGTCCTGGGCTGCCCAGATGACAACCTCACTGATGCGGTCCAAATAAAAGCAGAGCAAGACATTTGGCACCAGTTTGGCTGCAGGAGTTCCTGGGAGGAGGCATAAACAGCACCGTCCGACGGCCTTAGCGACTCGGTTCAAGATTTGTGTAGGCTTTACACCTTAGGCCGTTTTTGGAGGTTGAGGAGACACCGTAGCAAAACGAGCATCCACGTTCAGGGGCAGTATATCTCCAAATGCCAGCTGCTGGGGGAGACTGCCAAGGAGAGCCCCCAGCTCTCCTTGGCAGAGGGTCTCTGCCATGGGAGCATATTCACCCAGTGCTTTTCCAGCTGCACTGGCTCCCGGTGGAGTACAGGGTCAGATTTAACGGTGTGATTTTGACCTTTAAAGCCCTTCATGGCCTAGGACCCTCATACCTATGGGACCGTCTCTCCTGGTGTGCCCCACGGAGGACCTTAAGGTCCATAAATAGCAACACCCTAGGGGTCCCGGGCCCTAAGGAAGTCAGATTAGCATCAACCAGAGCCAGGGCCTTCTCAACGCTGGCCCCGGTCTGGTGGAATGCTCTGTCTCATGAGACCAGGGCCCTGCGGGATCTGATTTCTTTCTGCAGGGCCTGTAAGACAGAGTTGTTCCACCTGGCCTTTGGCTTAGAATCAGTTTGATTCCCTCCCCCTCTTTCTTTTTCCTTTCTCCTCCTGTGAAGAGGCTGCATCCGAATGTTTTAATGTTGTATTTTAATCTTGTTTTTTTAAATTGTATTTAAATCAACTTGTTTTTATTATTGGTTGTTAGCTGCCCTGAGCCTGGTCTTGGCTGGGGAGGGCAGGGTATAAATAAAATTTATTATTATTATTATTATTATTATTATTAACACGTACGCTGCTTCTTCCAGACATCCCATCCTCAGTCCTTCCCCCCAGTCTCCACAGCAGCCAGATTCGGCTCCAGGAACTCCAAGCCGTCCTCACGGGTCTCTTATTGCTGGTAGGATTATTATTTCCACAGGGCGTGCCAATTCCTCCCTGCCCCACCACAAACACCCACCCCCTCTCCCCTCTGCCAAACCTTTTCCTTCCAGCTCACATGACCAGCCGCAGTCCAGAGGGACATGCGTGTTTTGTCAGCTGAGGAAGGAAGGAAGGGAACCCGAGACACAGTGTGCTGCCAACGGAGCTGGTGGTCGAAATTTTGCACATTTCTCTCTCCGGCAGCCCTGCTGGAGTGCAAGAGAGAGGGAAGAACCGTGCACACAAAGCTCTAGGCCAGGGGTAGCCAACGTGGTGCCCTCACGATGCTGCAGACTCAGCCTGCATGGCCTAAATCCAGAGGTTATGGTGACAGCAGTCACGAAATTAAAAGACGCCTGCTTCTTGGGAGAAAAGCAATGGCAAACCTAGACAGCATCTTAAAAGCAGAGACATCACCTTGCCAGACAAAGGTCCGTATCAGTTCAAGCTCTGGTTTTCCCAGTAGTGATGTATGGAAGTGAGAGCTGGACCACCAAGACGGCTCCACACCGAAGAATGGATGCTTTTGAATTCTGGTGCTGGAGGAGACTCTGGAGAGTCCCATGGACTGCAAGAAGATCAAACCTCTCCATTCTGAAGGAAATCAGCCTTGAGTGCTCACTGGAAGGACAGGTCCTGAAGCTGAGGCTCCAATACTTTGGCCACCTCAGGAGAAGAGAAGACTCCCTGGAAAAGACTCTGATGTTGGGAAAGATGGAGGGCACAAGGAGGAGGGGATGATAGAGGACGAGATGGCTGGGCAGTGTTCTCGAAGCTACCAACATGAGTCTGACCAAACTGCGGGAGGCAGTGGAAGACAGGAGTGCCTGGCGTGCTCTGGTCCAGGGGGTCACGAAGAGTCGGACATGACTAAATGACTAAACAACAACATGGGCCTCCTAGTTGCCAACATGTGGAGGGCACCACGTTGGTGGCCCTTGTCTGAGCAGTCCAAAAGAGTATCTATCAAATTTACATCTCAGCCTGCCTGCCAAAGGAGCAGTTGTTCCTTTTCTAAACTGAGAGGTGAAGGGGAGCAAGGCCTTTGTCTCGCTCCAGATGTTTCAAGGCTGGGAGCCATTCCTTAATTCGGCGCTGGCTGGGGCTGACGGGAGTTGTAGTTCCCAACACCTGGATGGCACACCAGGTGGGTGAAGGCTGCTTTCGTTTAATTTTGGACTGAGAGCCAAGCAGCAAGGGCGTTGCCACAATCGGAGCATCACTAATTTGTCTTAATGCCTTTGCTTTCAAAAGCACATCTGAAGTCTGCATTCCCAAATGTACCCTGCAAGGGATATATAACTCTGGGACTTCTTTCTGAGTAAACATGCAAAGTATTGTACTGAGGTTTTTTAAATATATATTTGTTTATTTAAACTCTTTGCCCTTTGAAATGCTGATTTTTTGGTTGTAAGCTCACAGGCAGGAACTTGCCTCTGAAGAATTCCCCGCTGCCAGTTAGTTATAAACGCTTCATTAAAAACGCAATGAAAACAAAAACGTGTGCAAGGGAAATTTTCTTCTGGCATTCTGGGTGGTGGTGGTGGTGACTCCCCTCATTTAACCACGAGGAAAAACAGAGACCCTCCCACAGATCTTAATGAATGGGATGAGAGAGTTTGTGTATGCATGTGCCTGCTCCTGTGATGAAGAGAAAAGCACTCTGTCCATGCTTAGAGGCACTATTTCCTAGGGCCACCATTCCAGGTCTAACTGGTGGCTTAAGTTTCACAAGTTACAGCTTGATCTCTAAGGGTGATGTTCATGAGCCTGCGCCGCTAAATAAGGTCCCTTTGGTCACAAAGATCCCCATTAATCTTTGTGGCCAGAGAAAGGAAGCCCAGATCCCATCAGAGGTCCATCCAGTCCAGCCCCCTGCTACCCCCGCTGTCCAGGTAGATACCCCAATGGGAAGCCAGCAAAGCAGGAGTCAAGGTGCTTTGGCTGAGATTCCTGCATTGCAGGGGGTTGGTCTAGATGACCGCTGGGTACCTCCCAGCTCTATGATTCTAAGTCAATTGCTCCCTCCTCTTGTTCCTCCCTGGCAGCTGATACCAAATTCTTCCAAGAGCTAGAACCTGGGGGTGGCATTCAGAGAGTGGAGGGTAGGGCCCAGGCAACCTGCCTCCTGAAAGTCTCAGCCCACATTTCCTCTTGCACAGGGGTGCCAACTTGAATTAAATATTTGGGGTGGGGGAGGACAGGTAACCTGCATAATCGATCACAAGACACGGTGCACACAAACACCACTTGAATGGCAATGCCCGTCGAATGGGGGGTGCGCTCAAATATTTTGTTGGGGTGGGTGCCGAAGGGAGATGCTCTTGCAGTCTCTCAAAGTACAGAATCCAGCTTCAGCTCCAAGCACCCTCTCCCAGAACACCCCATAAAAACAGACACTCCCACCACCCCATTTTCATCCTCAGGGTGGGTGGTTGGGGTATGGAAATCTGCTCCTTTCTCCGAAAACCTGGCCTATAATGTCACTGAATATTTTAGACGATACCAACGTAGTTGTATTGTCATAAGAACTGGTCTGATATAGGACACGGAAATAGTACTGTTGAGATAAGGGACGCGGGTGGCGCTGTGGGGGGTCTCCGAGATGGAAGACCCTCCGAGAAGTTGCTGAACTCCCATCAAATCGCCCATCAAATCCAGCCAGGATGGGAGTTGCGGTCCAGCAATATCGCTGTGGGTTAAACCACAGAGCCTAGGACTTGCCGATCAGAAGGTCGGCGGTTCGAATCCCCGCGACGGGGTGAGCTCCCGTTGCTCGGTCCCTGCTCCTGCCAACCTAGCAGTTCGAAAGCACATCAAAGTGCAAGTAGATAAATAGGTACCACTCCGGTGGGAAGGTAAACGGCGTTTCTGTGCGCTGCTCTGGTTCGCCAGAAGCGGCTTAGTCATGCTGGCCACATGACCCGGAAGCTGTACGCCGGCTCCCTTGGCCAGTAAAGCGAGATGAGCGCCGCAACCCCAGAGTCGGCCATAACTGGACCTACTGGTCAGGGGTCCCTTTACCTTTACCTTACTGTAGAGATGGAAGGGAACCTCATGGGTTATCTAGTCCAACCCACTGCAACGCAGGAATCTCAACTAAAGCATCCGTGTGTAATTGCGGCTCAATGGGAAACAGCCCCAAATCTTACACTGGGGGCGTTGGGAACCGCTCGATCTGGAACATGGCTGTCGTGGGGTGGGGTGGGGTGGAATCGTGCATAATTAGAGGTTTTCCTTTTTGAATTTTCATCCGCTGCTACAGCTGCTCTCCTAGTTTTTAAACACATTATAAAATGAATTTCTTAAAATCTTTAGGAAAGAAGAAAGCTGGCCACGTGGCTCTCTTCTTGCTCTGACCATTGCACCTCACTGCCTAGAGACAAAAACCGCGGTCGGGGCTGCTTCCCACCACCCTGACCCCCCAATTAACCCCTGTTTTCCCTGTTGAGAAATAAATGCACGCCTTGGGGGGAAAAGCCCAGTTTCTGCTTTCCCCAGCTTTCCTCATTGAGTTACAACGTGAGCCTTAACAGCTGGAAGGATGAATGAATGAATGAATGAATGAACGGAGCAATGGCGAGGCGTCTGTGTCAGCAGCCGGCGAGAGCGCCCAATTGGAGGCTCGGCCCCCAAACCGTGACTCAGAGCCCAGGAATGGCTGCAGCGTTCTTGGCCGGTGACATCAAAGTGCTGTGTCAGACACGTCGCAGGATTCCACCTCCCTCCCAGGCCAGACAGCCAGAAATGTCTCTGGTGTCCGTCTCCCCTGTCCAGCCGACCCGATCCATCCCCCGGATCCTGGATCTGAATCACTGACCACCTCTGGATCTGTCTGAAGGGCTGAGGTTTCCTAACGAGGCTTCTCCCCTCCAAAGGGGCGCGATCCGTTCTCCTTTCTCTTTCTCTTCGTGCATCATAAGGGAGGTGACTCAGCAGCAGACACAGAAATAGGCTTTGCTGGGTTGAAATGGCCCCTCCACGTTACGGGGGTGTTGAGTAAGGCCTCCCTGCTAGGGGAAGGCAGCTATTTATGACTAAGCAAAATATATCTCCCAGGAAAAGGGGGGGGGTAGATTCAGAGAGCAGGAGGTCTGGATTTGACACACACACACCCACTTTCTGTAGGGGTGCAGTGGAAGGAAAATTTGAGAGCCATGTTTCCCAAATTTGGGGGAGCCACTGCCCCCCTCAGGGACACGGGTGACGCTGTGGGTTAAACCACAGAGCCTAGGACTTGCCGATCAGAAGGTCAGCGGTTCGAATCCCTGTGACGGGGTGAGCTCCCGTTGCTCGGTCCCTGCTCCTGCCAACCTAGCAGTTCAAAAGCACGTCAAGTGCAAGTAGATAAATAGGTACCGCTCCGGCGGGAAGGTAAACGGCGTTTCCGTGCGCTGCTCTGCTTCTCCAGAAGCGGCTTAGTCATGCTGGCCACATGGCCTGGAAGCTGTACGCCGGCTCCCTTGGCCAGTAAAGCGAGATGAGCACCGCAACCCCAGAGTTGGCCACAACTGGACCTAACGGTCAGGGGTCCCTTAAGCTTTACCTTACTGCCCTCCTCGGTTCCATAAACTCATCCACCCCAGTGCCCCCCCATAAAAAGCATTGTTCAGAACAGCGATTTGCACGATCCCCTATAGAAGATCACAAAATTTAATTGAAAACAGCGATAGTTACCGTATTTGTCCATCTATAAGACACCCCCATGTATAAGACGACCCCTATTTTGGGGACTCCGAGTTAAGAAAATGGGGGGGGGAATGGCCCCCATGCATAAGATGCCCCCAAATTTTGGACATTATTTTTTAGGGGGAAACCTAGCCTTATACACGGAAAAATACGGTAATTGCACATTTATTCCAAACCCAATTAAAACTAGTTTAATTAACAAAAGGGAGGGACTTGACGCAGGGATAGCAGCTTTTCAGAGTCTGGCAGCCGTTTATACCTTCAGCACCCCTTTGCTTCCCCCTTGCCTCTTAGTGCCCCCTGGTAATCCCACCCCCCAGGGGGTAGTGCCACCCCTTTGAGAACCACTAGATTAGATGATGATGATGATGATGATGATAGTATACTGCCCTCCAGTCGTAGATCAAAGGGTGGTTCACAACATAAAAATACAAGATAAAAAACTACAAAATACGTAATAAAAACAAGAACAAGAACAAGAACATAAGAACAAACCAATTACCCCCTCGACCCACCCCTACATATATAATAATAATAATAATAATAATAATAATAATTTATTATTTATCTGGCTGAGTTTCCCCAGCCACTCTGGGCAGTTCCCGATTGAGAGTTAAATACAATACAGCTTTAAATATTAAAAACTTCCCTAAACAGGGCTGCCTTCAGATGTCTTTTAAAGATAAGATAGCTGCTTACTTCCTTCATGTCTGAA